AAAGTACAAGAATATAAATTAAGTTCGCCGATTATTTTAGTTGTAAGCTGCAAAAGTACTCAAATATCAATAAATATCACAACTTGATGTAGGTAAACAATTTCGCTTCAAGGCCTTCATCTGTTTTTAACTTGCCAAACTCTCTCAAGTCATATGCGACGCTGAGTACAGTCGCAAACATATCCTAAATTAATTCAAATTATTTACGAATAAATGTAGAATATATAATATGAGGCTGCTAGAGGCAGAGTGGTCTAATATCAACATGATTTTTAATAAGAGGAAAATAAAAACGCGCAATTAACTTGGGCGAAAATTTGTACCTACTATTGTGTAAGAATTATGTTAACAATTTTCGGTCACTGTGCTCTTGTAGATGACCTTTTTTACTGTATGAAAATAAATAACTCGTGTCATAACATCGCAGTTAGGCTACTACATCTTACTATATTTTCTACAATTATTTTTGTTTAGATTGACAGACTATTTGTAGTGACAGTTAAGGAGAAAATTTAAAAAGTATTTTTTTTTTATCTATAAGACCTGAGTAGCATAAAATAAATGTAACTTAATGTATTTTAATTCTGATATCACGCGATTAGACCAGAGCAAAGTGTAGGTGATATAGTAAAAATTTAATGAAAAAGCATGTACCCAACATGTCTCATCGTCTGTACAATATTACAAACATTGTTGTTTTACAGTGAGTTAGAATTTATAATACCTATAAGAAGGTGTTTTAGTTTGTAACTTTACCCCTACTGGAAGAGCCTTAGCAAATAGAAGGGAAACTACTTTGTTTGTGTTAGCAATGAACGTTTAATAAATATCTTTACTTTTTACTTTTACCTGCGTATTATACATAATTGATTATGTACATAACAGTTACGACGTAGCAAGCCCTTTTTTTATTTCTTTTCTCCTGTACTTCAGGTTAACTGGAACAGATCGCTGCTTAGCGATAAGGCTGCCTTTTATTTATAAGTAAGTTTTTTTTAATCTTTTGTTGTGGTATATATTATAAATAATAGAGCTGTAATAAATAAATATTAACACAAACTATGCTTTAAATGCGTATATTATACATACTTCCTAATCTCCTTAATTAATTTATTTGTTAAAATGTTCAATAAGAATTGAAATCCCACTTTCCCCCGTGGGGCATAGGCCTAACACATATCTGTGTTCGTTTTACAGATCGGTTTTTATACTGGCAAGTATTTGATCTATTCTGTGCCTTGCCCGACCTAAACCAACTATTGTTTACCCGGGATTCAAAACCAAGACCTCTCGCACTTAACGCAATGCCGTTTACCGATTCAGCTACAGAAGTGGTCCGCTATATTTCTCAGTAGATAGATAGTAGTAGATCAGTAGATTCTCTAAAGTAAAACTGAATGCTTCAATCATTCGTCCTGGGTAGATATTGCTCGTATTTTTATTTATACTACTATATAAAGCTGAAGAGTTTGTTTGTTTGTTTAAACTCGCTAATCTGAGGAACTACTGAGGACTATGAATATTTTTGTGTTGGAAAGAGCATTTTATCGAGGACTAGATATCGCACTATGACTAATAGGAGCGAAGAAATTGCGGGAAATGTGGAAAAGACGAGGAAAATTATTGATCTTTGTAGAATCGAAGAATCCGTCTATCTTTCAAAATTAACTAAGCCAGAAAGAACGACGAGGTTTGCAAAAACACATTTGGGTGCCTAAAATAGCTATTCTACGTGGCCGAGTCGCTGACACAGCTAGTAGGTATGTTTAAAAATTAACTGCTAGTTACAACAACGCCCTTGTCACGAGGGTGTGATACCACAATCCTTGTAATTCTCTGTAAACAACGTGTTGTTTGGAAACATGTGTAATTGAACCCTTTATTAAAGAGTTTCGCGACCGACACGCGACTACCACGCGACCGACACGCGACTGCGGCGTGACCGGTCGCAAACGCAATATTCACTCGGATTATTATTGATCGATGTTCACAAATTATTGTCTCGTTATCGGCCTTTCGCGTGTTAATCCAATGAGAAGGCGTGTGTGAGAAATCGTTCATTTAAATTGAGTTAGACGCTTTTATAACCAATTCGTGATAACAGCTATAACATCAACGCAATATACCTAACGAATAAAACCAACAAACTTTTATTCATACATATAATGTTGAAAACAACTAACATATTAACAGTGAAGCCAATGAAAATGAGTGTGCTACGAAAAATGTTTAGCTGGTCATACGATAGAAAACGGAAATCATATTTTGTAGAAAATATAATGGACATATGTACGACTTAGGCAGTCCAAAAATCATAACAAATATATATTTTTACATAAATAATAATCGTTATTAGCAACTCCCCTCATATAAATATAATTATGATAATGTAGAAACTTAGATGAATATAAAAACAAGTGTAGATGAAATAAACTCGAAAATACCAACAAATACCTAGTTATATTGTAGAAACGATTGTTAAAAGCTTAATTTACCAGTCTTAAATTATTTATGAAGAAAAAAACGTCCTCACGCAGTTGTCTTTATTTTATTTTTAAATAATTAATTTGTCTTAATAAACTAGTCCACATAAAAATAATAGAACGAGGAACAAAATATTTACATAAAACTTGAATTTATAACACCGTATGTACCTAGGCTTCTTTATAAGTTAAACTGTTAAACCATGGTCAAATAAGAACGGAACACATATTAGGTATATCTCTTAACCATAAAGGAACAATGGAATTATTATATCGAATAAACTCTCGGGGGACTTACGAGTTGAAATTTCCCTACAAGCGCAAAGTGGTTAAAAGTTCACCGCTTCTTTCACAATTTCCTCACATATTTGCTCGTTTCTCAACTTTGCCGATATTCTACTGTGAAAAGAATATGTGGGAATATTTTGCATTTCAAAAAAAATATTTTTTATTGATAATTTTTTTTCGATTTTGTTAATAAAATATATACCACCCGATAAAAAGATATACCCACTTGTGTCAATTAGATTCAATAGTACATAAAAGATAGATTTGTTATATTTAAAAAATGATGGATGCATAAAAAAAATATAAGTAAATTATGTATGTTAATGAATCTCAGTTGAAATCTTCCGAAAATCGTCGAAACCCTTTTTTTATTCAAAAAATGATAGTCCCTATCACTGGTGGGACTCAAACTCGTAACCAACAGTGTTACATTCTTATAGTACCAATGACTAACTTTTTGTGTTAAAGAAACCTAATTTTAACTTTATACCTAGTTAAAAAGGTTATTATATTAAAAAAGGCATGTATCTCTTACCTAGTAAGGTTTATTTAAAGGTGCTAAATAGACAAATTTCAAGCGAGTCATATCCACATTGCACGATCGGCCAATCGTGGGATTGATATTCAATTCGAGCGTGCTCCAGCCTCGAAAGGATCGCCGCGGGACAGCGCAATTGAATTTGAAAATATCTGCCCCCTTTATCCCCATTCCCTCGATGTCCAGCTATGTTCTCTGTAATTTGATTGACTTTTGAGACTTTACTTATACACATTACTGTAAAAGTTACATTATTGAAAGAAAATGGCATATTTACATAGCGCATATAGTACCTACTGTACTGTATGGAAAGAAGCTAAGAAAGGCTTAGTTGTGTCTTTTTACATTATTATGTTAAATTTTACAGAAGTCCGCAACAGCAACCAAATGCAATTAGTCAAACAAAACAAATATGGGAATAACGAAATAATTAAAAAAATAATTTTTACTCCATAAAACCTGGTCACACTACCTTGTTATTCCTACCCCAGCACAGCGCAGCCATTTTCCCGCCCATAGACAAGAGTTTTATTGTTTTTATATTTATTTATCTGACGCGGGATTTGTGATATTCTGCCCTTTCTATGGTTTTTGGCGCGCGTCTTTATTACAAAAAGGGTGGACATTGGACGGTGCGTGACCAGGGACTCAATTACAATGTTATGACCTGACAAAATCTGAGTGGACACTTCGTACGCTATAAAGTATTTTTGCGACAAATGAAATACAGTTCAGATATAAAAAAAATACTATAATTAAATGATTAAATTTTAATTAAACTTGAAACAGATAGGTCAAATCTAATAAGTAGGTAGGTACCTAAATATTACGATAATGCTTATCTACATAATAAAAGGCCAATCACACTTCAGTAGCTATTTTATAGCTATCTATGCTTTGCCCGAGCAAAACAATTTTTTTAGGTTTCGAATTGACTTGGACTAACAACCAAGATTAAAAAGAAGTCCTATACACGGAAACCACTTTTTAAAGAATATATTATGTAACATTTTTATGTGATATTTTTTTAAACGATCTTGTGGCCTGTCTGAGTAAGTAATTAATGCTTTAGAGAATGTATAACGATAGATACCTTGTCTCTGGGCAAAAACTGTGACGACCAAAGTTTGGTTAACAGCTTGTTTTTACTTCAGCGCTTCTAATAACGAAGGTATACTACATACCACTTTTTAAATTTTCCTATAAACTAATTAACAATAATAGAAGAATATAAATAATAGAAAGAAACAAAATTATTGTGAAGTTATTCTTTCAGTCGTGAAACGTGCAACATCCTCTGTTGTTGTCATGCACTCGTGTTGGCGACCGTCGAAAACAATTTCGCAATTATGACGGCCAAACACCTCGAAAACGAATGTAAGATGGCCGCGAAGCGTAAAACAATAATTCATATTATTTTTCCGCCTTACTTTCGTACTAAAGACACCACAGAGTACTCTTTCACTCAATGTCGATAACTAGTACAGTATAACCTATGGCGGGCAGTTTGAATGACATCTGACAGTGACATAGACAGGAAGTAGTTATGAATGGAATTTTCATTACTTATTTTCTCCTTCAATTCGTGTCAATTCATTTCAATTAAGCGTTTGACTGACCGTGCGTGCGGTGTGTGGTCGTGTAACTTATTCTAAGTTCTATTTAGTTATTTACCTTAATATAAGTTCAAAATGAAGGGCGACAAAAAAGTAGATCTGCAGGCTCTTAAAGACCTCGCCAATAAGCTGAGAATCGACAGCATCGTGGCCACAAATGCTTCGAAATCCGGGTAAGCGCATAACCTCAATATCTTTTTTGCCGCTACCGTGAAGGACTTGTGAAGGTTATAATTTGAATTTCATGAGGAAAACATAGGATGTCTACAAATGTATTATGTCGCTGGCGTGAAGACATAAAACCAGGAGAATAAGGACATATTTGGTTGAAATGACGGAATCACTTTTTACATCCATGAGTATAAGTAATGGCAATGATATTTTATTTTATACATTTTTCAGCTTTTTACAACTAACTATTATTTTTGATCTATATATGAATTATTCTATAGCAAGGAAGTTTAAATGTTATCTATATTTATTATTTACTTTGTAGATATAATAATTGTTACTGATATCAAAATATAGTACATTTCATATTATTGTTAGATGCATGTGGCTTAAGTTTCATTTTGTGATAATTCATCCATTCAATTTGGTTTATTATTTATTCATGTTAAGTACTTAATTTTTATTTGTTTAACATTATCATATTAAATTATTTATGTGAATTTGATTGATAAGCATTGAAGGTTAAGAACTATGATTACATAATAGCATGATAATGTAACTTAGTTTCTAAGGTAACTAGAAAACAAAACATGAATCAGGGCAATGTTGGCAATTAATTAAAAAAATGTGTATTTTTTCAAACACTTTACGGCCTGATGTGTTGTTGGCTCTGTTTTGTACATTGTATTTTTACTATTTTCTCTTTTATTGTAAAATATATCCACATACAAAGTTATTTTATATAACCATATTCAAATTGTTGTCAAAATGCATAACATTATCATAAAATATACACACAGTATACTTGTGTATGTAACAAAGTTATGCTAAAGTATTTGTTTGTCGTACTCGCATTAACTCCTTAGTTTTATGCGGCCAGTAACATTCAGACAAGCTTAAATATTAATACGATTTTTAACTTTAATTAACTTTCAAAAATATTACAATTATTATTATTTTCTATCGGGGACACCCTTGGCAGGACGGGTGATCAGTCCACATTGTCCGCTGACCTTCACCCATTTCACCCATTTCCTCCTTGCAGAGATTTGGGTCATCCAACTCTTCCCGTGTCCCCTTCAAACCTTCCGGTTTGCTTGCAGAAACTTATTATTTTTTCCATCTGTAGTTCTTTAATGTCATCCACTGTAACTTCATCAGAGCCCATATGCATTATTACAATTAGTTTTTTATTTAAACTTAAAATTTATTTAAACTGTTTGATATGACAATTAAGTTAAAATTATAAAACTGGTTTCAGACATCCCACATCGTGTGCTTCCATGGCGGAGATCATGTCAGTTCTGTTCTTCCACACTATGAAGTACAAGATCTCAGCACCAAGAGATGCTTCAGCAGACAGATTTATTTTGTCCAAGGTGACTTTTTACTTAATCGTGATGTTGAATGAAGAAAATCTTTTTTTTTTAATTATTCAAAGTGCATTGTATTTGGAGGACAGACAAGCATCGGGTTCACTCGATGGGAAGTAAAAATAGCCGAGCCATATAACATTTACGCAAGATCCACTGTTGACCTATTTTAACTTTGAGTATTTGGAAATCCATAACCTGCCACTGAAACACGATTAAACTTCACGATTTTTTTCATCCGTGGATGGTGGTTCGTAACCCAGACGGCATTTTGCCTCCTGCCAAACATTTAATATCCAAATTTTCAGACAAAGTCTGCCATGTTTCAGAAAAGTTAGAAACAAGTTGGATGGGGGGATCAAACCAACAAACCGTCGATTATTAGGCATACACTGCCACCATTAGACCACATGTCAATTAGATAGTATCTTTGTTACAATTAATATAAGTAATTATTTTTTTAATAATAATTAAGTGATTAAATAAAATGCAGCATTTAATTAAACCGAGTATGAAGTCATAAAACCTTGACACTTATTAAAAAGTATGAGGTAATAAGACTTCAAGTATTGCAAAAGTCATTAACAGAATATTGACTGCCTATAAAATAAACAGTAACATTGGAATTAAATAAGTCCTAATTATTTAATTCCAATTTCAGGGGCATGCTGCACCAATCCTATATGCAGCATGGGCCGAAGCTGGCTTATTCCCAGTGGATGACCTCAAAAATCTTCGCAAGCTAGAATCTGATCTGGAAGGACACCCAACTCCTAGACTGAACTTTGTGGATGTTGGTACAGGCTCTTTGGGGCAGGGTTTGGCTGTGGCCGCTGGTATGGCTTATGTCGGGAAGTACTTTGACCAGGCACCTTACAGGTAATTTAATTTATGATAGAATATAGCACTACTAATATATTTGAAATGTGTAATCATTGTGCATTTTAAAAAAAGTAGTGCAATAGCAAATGTTTGTCGTACTCAAGTGACTGCCATCAGTCGACCTGGGCAGTAGCATTCATACACATAATATGAATTTATGCTTTAAATTTACCTTATGAGTCAAGAATTTTATCTAATTATATATACCTTGTGCATTGATTGTTCTTAAGGTGCTTTCAAAAGTTCATTCTATATAAGTATTTGTTGACAGGGTCTACTGCTTAGTGGGTGATGGTGAGGCAGCAGAAGGCAGTATCTGGGAGGCCTTGCACTTTGCTAGCCACTACAAACTAGATAACTTGGTGGTTATCTTCGATGTCAACAGGCTAGGTCAATCTGAACCTACCTCCCTTCAGCATCAGGTAAAATAAAGAGAATTACTAACTTGTAACATTCAGAAATACATACTCTGTATTTATTCGTAAAAAAAATTAGAAACATTCAATTTTTCTTATATTTCAGTAAATTTTTCAAAAGTAATAAACACTGGGTAAAAATGGAAAGTACATATTTGTAATTTATACATGAATTTCATATTTTAGATGGACGTATACGAAGCTCGAGTTAAGTCTTTCGGCTTCCACTCATTGGTTGTGGATGGCCATGATGTGTCTGAGCTTGTCAAGGCGTTGGATGAAGCTGCTTCAGTGAGTGGAAAGCCCACTGCCCTCATAGCCAAAACCTACAAAGGCAAAGGTTTCCCCAACATTGAGGACAAGGATAATTGGCACGGAAAGGCCCTTGGTGCTGAAGGAGAGAAGATTATAAAGGTAATATGTTATTATGTTTAAAAAGAGAGTGCCATTTTAAATATCCCTTCGCTAATAATGACACAAGATAACAATTATTATATGTTATTATTTATACATAATATATAATCACATACAATTTGGAAAGTCATAAAATTAAATTAGTAAGTAGTAATATATTTAAGGAAAGCAAGTAGTAGTTTTAAAAGGTCTTATATCCACATATATACTGCTAGAATGTGCTACACAATATTTTAAACTCAAATATAATTCTCAGCACCTGCAATCACAAATCAAGAACGCCAACGTGAGCATCAAGCCCGCCCCACCTTTGGGACAGGCGCCCCAGGTGCACATCGGTGACATCACGCTGTCCTCGCCGCCGGCCTATAAGCGAGGGGAGCTTGTTGCCACCCGATTGGCCTATGGAACTGGTCTCAAGAAGATCGCAGACACCAATATGAGGTAAACAAACTTCACATTTAAATTAAACCGTTAAAGTGTTTTATTTAAATGTGTACTACTCGCGTAAACTATAGACAGTATTTAAACTTCGCATTGTAAATATTTTTTATGTCCATGAAAATAGTTTAAGTACTAATTTTGTATGCATACATTTATTTAAGTCAGATATTTAGATGCACTCAGTAATAATATGGGGGTGCGTTGAGTGACGCGTCTCGTACACGAGTGCTAAAATAAGTTGTTTGTCGTACTTACGCAACCACAGTTGGTTGATGTGGGCAGTAGCATTCAAACACTCTAGAAATAAATAGCAAGAAATTGATCTATTTTTACAATTCTTCTTCCAGTTCTTATATACTAACTTACAATAAAACATTCCTAAGAAGTTATATTTCTCAACGCAACATAGTTAAACTAAAATATCTTTCAGAGTCATCGCTCTGGATGGAGACACAAAGAACTCTACATTCAGTGACAAGTTGAGATCGGCCTACCCAGAAAGGTAATTTATACAATTATTATTGTAATGTTTCTTTACTATATTTTATTAATAGCTATCGCTTATAAGACCTGCCTTGGCTTTGTACCTACTGTTGGTATTTAAAGGATGGTTCTCAGTGCAGTCTGAAAACCAGCGCTGCTGAATGTGACAAGTATTCAGCAGCACAGCTGAGACTGATACCAACTGCCATCTTATGTATTTATTATAAGTTGTAAATATCCTATATGTCATTAAAAAATTTGAAATTCAATTTAGATAGTCTTATCCCTTGTCCTACTAACGCTAAACCATACATTGTACACAGGTACATAGAATGCTTTATAGCTGAGCAAACGCTGGTTGGTGTTGCGACGGGAGCCGCTTGCCGTGACCGCGCTGTCGTCTTTGCTTCGACCTTCGCCGCTTTCTTCACCAGGACTTTCGACCAGGTACATATTATATGTATACTAGTTTTTCCATAAACTGTTTACTTTTTAATTGATTGATTCTTGCTTACTTATTATTATTTTCATTTTACCTGGCCTAACAAATTCGCAATTTTAATTTAAAATGAAAGCTGAAAATATGCTTTCGACTAACTGCATGGTTTACTTTTAGACTATTAATGGCCTAATTAATCTAATAGTAGCAACATATGGGTAACAATCAACGGATTGTGGGCCCCATCAGATACAACATGTTTCTAATCAAATTTATAATTTTTCTAAAGTGAGACCTGTATTATAAATTTGACTATTAAATGGGTGGGGAACCATGAGTGTCCACCGATAAAAAGGCTTTCCAAACATCCAAAGCCATAATGACTGATGAATGATAAATTTACATGTTATATGGGAATATTATGTCTCTCTATTATTTTTTAAAACTAATTGGGATTTACTTGAAATTAATTAATATGAATCTGGCATTAGTTAACGCGTTATGTATATTAGATCCGCATGGGCGCCATCAGCCAGTCGAACATGAACTTGGCCGGTTCTCACTGCGGCGTAAGCATTGGCGAAGACGGGCCTTCCCAGATGGGACTTGAAGATCTTGCTCTGTTCCGCGCTGTGCCCACTGCCACGGTCTTCTACCCCAGCGACGCTGTTTCCACAGAGCGCAGCGTCGAGCTGGCCGCTAACACCAAGGGCATCTGCTACATTCGTACCTCGCGACCCAACACCGCTATACTGTACGACAATGACACTGTCTTCAAGGTATGGTCTATCTGATTCATTGTAACATTAACTCGTGAATTTTGTTAAAAACAATGTGTTTGTGTGCAAGGAACTCTGGATATTAAATCCTGTCCGTGTCAGAAAACTTTCAATCAAAAATCGATTTTTAATTTATAAAAATTAAGACGTCAACTTAAACAAGGCATACATTTCAAACTAATGTTATCATTCACACAGAGCACACAAATGCTTCCAACTTCGATAGTTTCTCTCAACCTTTCCTATGTATATGTTATTATTAAAGTTTAGTATAACTGAAGTGTTTGATTTGCCAGGTGGGTGAAGCAAAAATTGTACGTGAATCGGCGAAAGACAGTGTACTGCTAATCGGCGCAGGCGTCACTCTCCACGAAGCACTGGCCGCGGCTGACCAGCTCAAGCAAGAAGGTATATTCAAATTGCTAGTTTGGCATTGCTTTAATATAAAAGTGCATAATAACACTTCATTATATATCTCTCCAGGAATCGACGCACGAGTGTTGGACCCATTCACAATAAAGCCCTTGGATGAAGCTAGCGTAAAGGCGCACGCGCATGCTGTAGGAGGTCGCGTACTCGTCGTTGAAGATCACTACCAAGCAGGTATAGTATATACAGTTACATTAAATAATATTAAATAGCATCATTGTTAACACTCTTTTCTCAATATCTATCTCTAATGTACGTAGATAGACGCTAAATAGTGCTGCTCGCCAATTAAAAAATCTTTCAACTCGTGGCAAAAGCAGTTAAATAATATTTTTGTGGTATTAATACAGGTGGTATCGGTGAAGCAGTGCTTTCCGCTCTCGCCTTGGAAAGATCAGTGGTGGTTCAGCATCTCTACGTGAAAGAGGTCCCGCGTTCTGGTCCTCCCCAGGCATTGTTGGACAAGTACGGTATTTCGGCTAAGCACATCGTCGCCAACGCCAAGAAACTGCTCACCGTTTAAAGTCAACGGGGCATAGGAGCGAGTGCGGTGGAAAATGGCGATCATATTTCATGTCACATCATCCATTATAAAATTACTAAAGGTCTGAATTAGCATTTAAAAATTAAGTAATATGTATCAAAATGTCTCACCAAGTCTTAAAAATGTATCGTGGATTACTATCTGTTTCAATTTAAAGTCGATTCGCCAAAATTGTTTAAAACGCTTTACTGTTCCTGTTAAAGGCCAACCATAGACTCCTTAGACATTCCGTTACTCTATGGTCCAGTTCCTGTAATGTCCGCCGCACACTTGAGTTCTCTAAGGTTTTAGCCTGTGTGCGGCGACACCTCGTAGATCGCATATATTTTTATACATAAGTTATATTATTGTTACACATTTATATATTGAGGTTTTTATAAATTTATATTCGGAAAGTGCCTTAATGTTCGCACAAGGGTTTGGATCGCGATGAGGGTAGTTGTAAGGATACATTATTATTGTTTATGTTTGTATAATATTGTCTTATCGCACACGAGAAACTGTTTATATTTGTAACAAATTAGATGAAAAACGACTAAGAGTATACAGGTTGTGCTTTCGGTCAATATTTTATATTTGTATATTATATGGTTTAAAACCAGTTTTTATAATGGTTACAATGAACAACAAAATTCCTAAGTGATTGGTTTACATTCCGGTTGCATTTCTTTTTGTTAATTAAACTATTTCAATGCAAAATATCTTTTTATTACAACATATTTCATTACAAAACATAACAAAATGACTAGAATGACACCTTTTGTAAGTAATTTTCGTAACCAACATCACGCTTGAAACAATTGTACAAACATTCAATCGAGGTTGTCAATGACTAGTTATAGTTAGACGTTAGTACTATTTGAATACATACTCATATTTTCCTCATTCAAACTCTCAATTCATTAAATCCTATATAAATATATTTAATTTATTATTACCAATTTTCAAAATTCTCAATGGACGGAACAAACGCAAAATTTCATTGAATCTCACTAAACGCAATTCTTAAATGCACTGAATAGAGCCGTCTTCACCTCCAGTCAGAAGAGGCTTCATCAGCCGGAGGAGGCTGAGGCCTTTCCTGGCTTTGTTGCGCGGCCTTTTCGTCTAATTCCCCTGGAAGGTAGTCTTTCCAGCTTCTGAACAGGTACCTCGTGAATTTTCTAAGCTGTCTGAACTTACAGTACGTGGCGCCCTCGGCCGACTGCAATTGCTGTGTTTGTATAAGAAATCCCTTCTCCTTAAATGTCTGCTCTAATTTCTCCCTCTGCAAAGTCTTTCTCGACTTCCTTTTCTTCTTGCTGAGCTCATCTTTAAGCGCGAGACCGTCGGACGCCGGCGCTAAGAGAGTTGGTTCAGAGAAACCGATATGCTCTTCGCTGTTCTTCTGGATGTAGTCGTAGGCCTTGCTATTTTTGCTCCCCGTGCCGCTGTAGTACCTAAAATTACCCCCCGAGTCGACCGAGAGCATTTTTTTCTCTTGCAACGACGGTTTTGACCCTCCGGTAAATTTAAATTTACAAATGCTGACTTCCGCGGTTGGCGTCGACGTGTTAGTTTTGACGGGCATGGGGGGAATAAAAATCGCCGATCGTTTTCTCTTAACTGGGCCTCGCTGCGGATTTGGTGAAGTTCTTTTAGTTGCCGGTTCAGGTCCTTTCGTTGCATCTTTTATCATTTTAGGGTCCAATAGTTCGGATATTTGTTTTAAAACTAGTTTGTTTTTGTTTTCGTCGAGTGTTTTGTCTTCGACAGTTTTGGTGCCGGATGTCTCTCCGTCCTTATCCCGAGCGATGGGGGACCGTCCAGCGGCCGCTAGCCTCTGATAATACAATAGTTGTGTCTGTAGCGCTAGTGGGTGCATATAGATCCCTGCGTTGGGCCAGTACACATAGCCAGGGAATTTGTCGTCCTCCGGACTGAGGCGAGACGAACGGGCCGGCTCGGACAGTGTTGGAGACACGTTTCTAGTCTGATGCGAGAGGTCAGGCGAACTGCTAGCCGTGTGAGGAACGTTCGTGTTCCGTTGGATGACCGAGATGGCATTCGGCTGTTCGCTTTTTCTGCCTTCCTCTTCGTCGATCGCTTCACTTTTGATATCCGGTATGGACGAGTAGATGTTGCCGAACTTTTTCCGTATCTGTATCTTCAAGTCATGCAGGTCTCTGATGCACAGGTTCAACGGTTCGTCGTCGCTATGCAGGGGCCCCGCAGTCGTGAGAGGCGCTTCCGGCATAGGCTCGTCTGGGCTGCAGAATCTGGGCGGAGTGGGATTCTCCAGTCTCCTCTTGCTTTCTTGTGAGAGTTTCCTCTCCAAAAGACTCGTGATTATCTTGTTTTGTAAATCCGTTTTTGACGTGTTGACAGGCGTCTCTGTTCTAATAGAATTGCAGAGATTAGAGTTTAGCTTGTCCTGCGGTGGTGGTTGTCCGGGTACAACAGTTCCGTAGTTCTCATAAATGAGATGACAAATATCCGCCTTCTTGGGTTTCCTACCGCGTCTCGGTTTGGAGTTGTTGAGCGTCATTTCACCCATATACGGTAAATTCTCGTACGTCATGACTTTGCTTGGATGGTTCGCAGGCTTCTTCTTTTTCTCCTCTTTAGTCTTGGCCCCTGTTTGGTCCGAAGCTCGAGGAGGGTTAAGGGTTTCGTCGGGTTGAACGCCGGCGAGACGCTGCGCCCACAGCTTGAATGCTTCACTGGTTACGTCGGTTTGCTCTTTAGGTTTGTCTTGAGATTTTTTCTTAGCCGAAGCCTTAAGCGTCTGTTCATAGTGATCAAGGTATTCTTGCGGCAACGCTTGATGATGGAATTTGAGCTTCCATCTATTCTTCTGCCTGTTTCGAGGACTCTTAGCCTTGGGCTCGACTCTCTCACTTCGGTCTTTACTCGCTGCGAGCAGCTGTTGACGGAGAAGTTCCTTGTTTTCTGACGATCTGTAACAAGACGCCCTAATATGTAGACACTAGACAGTTATTTTATTAGCACGAAACCATATTTGGGCGCTACTTCACAAATAATTTTAGGTATAAATGTATCGATTTGCCCGAATTTTATCATAAGTGTAAAGTGTGTCAATACAAATCAAGTACGAACCTGAAAGTGGGCGATTGCGGCGCGGGCGCAGGGCATAGATCGCCGCACGCCGCTCGACGCATCACTTCTGTTGACAAAAAATATTATTCATAATTATTTTGTTACTATCAAATAAAAATATCTCAAATATTGGAGACAATAATGAAGCAAAGAAATGCTTTCCCTAGTTACAATAATTGTTTCAATTGAAAAAGCTAATAAAAGACACAGCATCCGCATGGGAAGGCATTGAGCCTGTCATCACCGGTTAAATAAATAAAGTCAAACTATGAATATATCTTCACACGCTATATTAATTACTATATAAGTAATTTAAATTGGTTCGACAATATCGACCATAATTAATTTTACCTACATGGATGTCTAGGAACTGGGATATATTTTGTTTTTAAGTACCAACCTATACCTATTATTATAATATTATCATTCCGCTTTAGTTTTTATTTATATAATGTTGCTGTATGTTGTTTCTTTCACGCATGTAGGTAATCTGTTGTAAACAGATATTTCTTTTATACCGATGACGGCCATCAAACTGAAAACGACTGCCAATATAATATGTACTAATTGAAAGACAGTTTTGTAAATTACAAACGCAGCTGGAGGGGAGGATGTCCAGGAGTACACCAAGGGCTAAACGAAAAACACACAAACTATGTTTTACGTAACGTTGTTTCAAACATAAAAAAAAATCTAAATATCAACAAGAGACCGACCCGAAATGATCATTAAACTTCTTGGTTTAGTTTCACGTGTAGAATCCTACTTCGTGTTTTGCGAGCTGCTATAAAGCCGGAGCGCTACGCTCTCGTAATAAACGTAACGTATCGTCGTAATATCACCTAAATAAGCTGTGTGTCAGTCAGTCAGTGAGTCCGAAACGGGATCGTGAAACTCGAGTGCCGCCAGAAATACCCGCCGACTTGCGCCGTACCCACTGCTGGGGCTTTCGCAACGGGCATGGACATTGCCCAAGTCAACTAACACTCGCCTTATGTTATCGCTTACTATTCTATACATGAGTTTTATCGTGTTAAACTGCTTTATTGTTTTTTTTTTACAATTGTACTTTTAATTTCATAGAATATGATAAAGTTTTTAGCTCAAATTAAATAAAAGCAAAGTGCGAGTTGCTAAGTCCTAATAACAAAGGCCTATATTTCCTTAGTGTCCGCTGCTAGTTTACGGGAACCCTAATACTAATACTTCATAGCCATAAAGAAAATCCCTAATTCACCAGAGTTTTTTTGTGTAAGAATAATAAGACTTATTTGATCACTTGTGATTGTTACGTATGCAATTAATAATAGCAGTTGATTTGAGAGATTATGTGTTTACCATAAATAATAACTTCCTTTCCAAGTTAGGTACTTCTTCACTACATACACGCGTAACATTTAATAGGTATTTAATCACAGATTTAAATTTTTAAAAAGACCTCGACACCGGAATTCTTTAGTCAATAGTAGTCTTATATGTACGCACGGTAAAGCGATTGATGATGTTGCGTGCGAATTGGATGTGAGCCAGAAATGACGTCACTGTTTATCTGCGATATACAGCAGCTTATGGAAATCGAATTACAAATGTCTTTAATTTGGCGAAAACACTTTTCTTATTTGTATTGTATTGTTACCAAATATAGGAAGTGCTCTACAATACATTAAAAAAAATTTCGTATTTATTGGAACTCTATTATATTTGCATTCTAATTATTGAAACTCGAGCACATCTAGTTTGGATAACAACTGCGTTCTCTGCTTCCAACTGGCGATATCAATAAACAATACAACATAGACAAATAAGTTTAGAGAATTTTAATAACATCCTTATTTGGTGCAAGAGAATGGAATTTATTTGCATGAATCATAAGATGCGTAGGCGCTTCTAGGGCTGTCGCATATATCATCTTAGTACGCAATGGGATTATTATGTACATACTTTATTCTGTTTTACTCAAAACTACGCAGTTCATTACACAAACGTTGAAAACCTTCGATGAAAACAATTGATATTTATGAACAAATGTTTAATTAAACTTTTTTTTTTAAACGCAAGAAGCAGTCTTGTTCTAGATGAGTGCAAGTACAAAAAAATAGTTATATATTACGTACATATTTCTTAGTTTACTCTCATTTGGGTAAACACGTTTTTTTTACTGAAAAATAAAAATAAAATACACGTTATTTTCTCATTTTATCCAGCCCTATTAGAATAACTTATTGGCAAGTTACTAATCGTACTATTCTTAGTAATTAATCTTCCCTTTTGACAGCCCTAATTCATTTATCAGAAGTGCATTAAAAGTCTTATTAGGAAATGTTATACTACTTTCGCTTTTAAAGCAATGCAGCTACGGATCCATTTGGGATATTATAATTTATGTCCGGTCCAGCACATTCGCGTGGGCCGATCTATTCTCGGTATACTAACTTCAAAACAAAAGGAAATGGGCGCGATCTTAGAGTGATATTACCATAATGATTCCATAACATTTCGTAAGTTTTCGCGAGAATATAACAGAGAAATACCCCCCGACGTTCAATGTTAAACACGTTGGTTACCATTGAAAAGTCCCCGGAACATTTCGGATCTCAAGAAAATATAATAAATAGTTTCAGGCAAGTACCTGTCAATAAAATCGACCAGAGAAACATACTCAGAGGTATATCCATGTCAATAGGGGTTCAACTAAGACGACAATACGAAAATTAACGAAGGCCATTTCATGACCGTTCGGTTATTTGACATTTTATTAATAGCACTCTAAAGCGAATGCAACTTCGGTAATAAACAACTATAAGTGCAATAAAATCCGACATTATTCTATTATATACATATACATATTATGTAACTTCAATTATTTAAGTAGACTATCAATACTCGCATAAATTCAAAAGTGCAGTTCTACTGGGCGGATAGAATTTTGATCGATTTTATTTAAAAGCAAGTTGGTTACGCTTTGCCCTGCCCAATGATTGTTGTCCCGGGATTCGACCCCAAGAAACACTAAAGAACAGAAAAAGACATGAAACGGTTTCATGTATTAGCTACCGATGCGGTTTAACGTATACGTACGTTATCTTATTGATTACGTAAGATATTGTATTACTAAACAAAGGTTCATCGAAATGGTTTTGGTCTAGTTGAGTCTACATCATTAAGTTAATGAATTTTAGGATAATTTTTGACATTTTTAAATTATAAAATGTTTACTTAGAAACAAAGCGTTCAATCTAATTCTGTTGATCTTACATTAAACTAAACCAATTAAGTCATAAACAACAAGGATCCCTTTAATTCAGGTTCCAAACTGTTACAAATAAGTTTTCCTTCTATACTTTTTAAAGATCTTGTAATCTTGTCATTCTCTTAAAATGTCCAATTAGTAAAAAAACGCCACACGTAAGTTTCACCGTTTTGGTGACATTAGTATGCTTTAGGACAATTTGACACCGGCCTTATAAGAGCGAGGCTTTCGACTGTAATCACTTGAACATACACTTTACTCAATTCGACACAGATCTATGTTTACATTTCATTTGTCATTCACCAAAAACTATCGCCAATCGTGGCGGGGAACTTGTGAATTGGTGACCGTTATCTGACCGACGGGGTGGAGGGTTTCGGGCGATAGTCACCTGCAGCTTCGGGCAGCATATCTCGGGACATGTGCTGGCGCTGAGCGATGCACCGGCGAGGGAGAGATGGCGTCGACGTCGGCTTGTCCACGCGCGCGACGCACACTAATCTATATCGAGACAAGCCGACCAAAATCGCTATAGCTTTCGGTTTCCATTCGGCCTAAATTTAGAGGCCGCTCGCTACAAAAATAAATGCGTTTTTACGTGTTTTTCACGCGTATTAGACGGGAATAGAGGGTTTCGCGCGGCCCAGAGTAACTCGAGATTGATGCCGTATTTGGCGGAGCGATTCACTTTTGGCGCCCGACTGAGCCCGACCGCCTTCTACGGGATAAGGCGGCGTCTGCATAGCAGCCACTGCACCGCCGCTCGCGCGTCACGCTTTTGGCGCGAAACGGCGCTCCCGTTTCACCTCTACACGTGATGATCGCGTTCGGTGCCAAAAATACTTCGGAACGGCTGAGGATATTCCATTTATGGATGTAAAACAATACCTTAAACCAGATATCTTTGTGCATAACTTATACACAACGTATCAATGCCTAAGGTACAAACCTTGTCAAGTTGCAACCGATTACGAATAATTATAATTACGTCTTGAAGGCTCTATCATAACGTAAACTTTACAATACTTTAACGAAACTATTCAATTCCTAAGTCGAGTGCAACGTCGTATTAGTAACGAGAGAATAAAGATGTAGATTTATTATTCCGTTAAAGGATAATATAATTTTTTATACGGCATAAGCAAAATATTAACCTGTTGAATGAGGCTTAACAAGGCAATAATGTACAATATGCATAACTGGGTGTATTAGCATAACAGCGAGCAGGCCCTTAGCTACAATATTTGCATCCCGACACGAGCTAGCGACGCCATATTAGCCGAACGCGTAGGTTTCGCTCTCTTGCAAAACACCTTATTTCATTATATCGGTTGTCAGAAATATAAAACAACCATAGAGGAATAACATTTGTTCCCTCTGCTTTTCACAAATCCAAGAACAAAACTTGTTGTGGTGATTAATTATTATAAAGTATCATTTAAAAAAAAATAGTATCGTGTACCTTCGTATGAACGTATACGATAATCTTATTAGAATGGCCAATAAGAAAATCGTTCCGTGTAAACGAAGAAGCGTCTAAGCACTGGTGCTCAGGTTCTGGGCAACGACAAATTCCAGGTTCCTGAGCTGAATCCAGACCTTAGGTGGTAGATTTACAAAAATGATTTTATTTACAAGTTATTATGTAAGTATTAAGTTAATCGAGTGTACAGTAAATAAAAAAGATTTTTAGTACTGTACTTATGTAAATTAAAAAAATCCCCACTTTTAACTTGCTTATGTTATAAAAATTAAATTCTAAGTTCTTGACTTGACAACGACTATATGAACTGGCGTCAAAGCTGGATCCGTCCTTGGTTCTGGGTCTGATAGTCAAAATATTAAGCGGATAGTCTAAGTAAATTTATCTGATACAAGCTTAATTGAAATTACGTAAAAAGTAATAAAAACACTTGTTAAATATTAATGTGATTTTCTAATTAAATTATTAGTATGTAAAACTGGGACCCAGTTTAATACTTTATCAGTAACCTACGTAAAGAGTTATCGTAGTTCAAATTGATAAATATATAAAGCTGTATTGTGTCCTTCTATTTGAATAGATCGCTTGTACCACGTAGCAGAGAGTACTTCATGCATCAAGCTAAAGAGAACAAGCTTCTTAAGTGAACCACTCACCGAGAACTTTTAGGTCGGTATCGGTGTCTTTGACCACGCCAAACATAGTAGGAGGGGCAAATCATATAAGCAAAAACTGTTTGTGTCAACTGTATGTCTCCGCCCACATTGTGCCTTACTTAGTGTCATAAATTTCCCGCTACTATACCATAATCATTTCTTACAATTGATATCGAATAATTAATAAAACATTAGAGTTTACATATGTATAGATATAACATGTATTGGGTTTAGATTAGATTTTTCGTTCTGTTTATAGAAAATGGTTAATACGGTAAGTATAAGACTTTTTGTGTAGTCGAATGTACCTATTATTCATTCGATATGCTTTTAAAGTAACCATCGTCTTGATATATAATTAGTACCTACCTGAACTACCCACACAGCTCAATTTTAATCTCCAGTGAGTGCATATCTACTGATTTTAATTATCTGTCAAATGGACCACCCACAGCAGTAAGCGATGGCCGGTGACCCGCTCCCACGCCCAACACACGCTTCGCTAGTAAGAAATGTGCCAGAAAGTGATCTCGTAAAATTGCAGACAACACAATCGGGCCGAAAAAATTTTAAGTATATCTATTGATAGCACAGAAATCAGTGAGGTCTTTAAAACTCTTAACGTTTTTTATTCAAATCAATATTAATTATCGTCGTGTTATAGTAAAAAAGGCATATAACAATAAAAGTTGTCATTTTCTCGACAAAAGGCACATTTAATGTTGAGGTTCGTGGCGCGTGGGAACAGCTTTTGGTCAATGATGGACTGGCTACGTGCGTGCGACGACATTTTCATCTCATTTCTGCCTAGAAGGGCATCATTATGTCATCAATCTCTGTTATACCCTTAGATAATGTAGATCAGCAGTTTGTTTGTGATCTTTAACATTTAGACTAGAAAATCTTTAAACACTGTCTATAGTTTACGCGAGTAGAACACATTTAAATAAAACTTTTTAACGGTTTAAAACGGGATATATTAGTTAAACTTATTGGAAAATGATTTTTAATTTCGGCCCGACGTTTCGGATGCTTTGCAGCAGCCGTGGTCACGGGGAGAATATATCGCGTAAAACCTTTGTCAAGAAAGCGCCAGACCCAATAATTTTTGGAAAACCCTCCAATAGAAGTTTTTAGACATCATGACGTGCTCGTTGGTGTAATGGTAGCAATGTATGGTTAATAATAATCAACACTTTGATCCTCACATGTTCCAACATGTTATCATCAAGTTATAATTTTTCTGAGCCATGTTGGACTTTGTTTGATAATCTGGATATTAAATGGGAGATAAGAATATCGCACTACCGTCCACAGATGAAAAAGGCGTCAAGTCTAATGTCGTTTCAGTTTCTGTCTGTGGTTTTCCGAATATCCAAAGCCAAAATAGATCGATCGATCGATAGATCGATAGCGCATCTTGTTTGAGTGAAGAGCCTAGTGGCCTAGAATGGTCTCTAGAACTGCGGAGTGTAACTAGGTACCATAATATGAGCTTTGAGTGAAGACGGACACAAGAATAGAACTCGAGTTTCCTTATAGCCTTACTGAATCACAGTCAAATGACTTTATTACCTACCTCATTGTATCAATAATAACACCAAAACGGTCTTTGCCAAACTGGGCGCGCGTAACATATTAAACATAATTTAAGTACAAACTCGTCCTGATTTCCTTATAACCAATATTGCCATAATATCTTTAGTACCGCGGTTACTATTGTCCCCTGCCGTTTATGGTAGTCGCTTAGTGGTCGCCATCTTTGGTCAGATTCGCTATTATTTTTGGCGCAAAATCAAAACTGCATCGCGTGCAACAACGTAATCATTATTTTCTATAGATCATTTTAATAATACTTATACATAAGTTGCGTCGTATAATAATGTCGTGTTTTTTTTCCTATGTAAGTATCCATGACAGTAATAATTATAGCTTAGTTAGTTAGTGAATTTTTGAGACACTATAAATGTCTCTGCAACTGCTTTTGCTATAAATAAGTATTGATTTTGCTTTCATTTTTCAGGAATACCAAGCAAAGCTTTACGTATTGATAAAAACTGCGAATAAATCACGATCCGTGCAGCACATTGGAAGCGTAATTTATTGTAAAAATTAAAAGACAAACATATATAAAATATACTAAATACTGTCTATAGTTTACGCGAGTAGTACACATTTAAATAAAACACTTTAACCGTTTAAAACGCCTTTGCAGCAGTCATGGTCACGGCCCACGGTTCTCCCCGTGACCACGGCTACTGCAAAGCATCCGAAACGTCGGGCCGAAGTTAAAAATCATTTTCAAATAAGTTTAACTAATATATCGCGTTTTAAACGGTTAAAGTGTTTTATTGAAATATATAAATACACAGTCACTTACACACATTAATTTAATGTATAGACCGAGTAGTCTTTTACTTTATAATAAAATGGTAGTATTTCGGCAATATTATCAGTACAAATGTTATCTATACTAATATTATAAAGATGAAAGATTTGTATTTTTGTATGTAACGGGTAAATTCAAAAAGTACTGGACCGATTTTAATAATTCTTTTTTCATTAGAAAGCTACATTATCACTGAGTAACATAGGCTATATTTAGTACTCGATTTCTATAGACATTCTTGCTGAAACCAACGGAAGACGTAAAAATTTTGCCGTAAAATGTCTTTCTTCGTATACGCTACGAAAAGTATTAATGATAGGACAAAAAAATGTTCGAAAATATTATTGAATATATCAATATCTACAAAAAACATCACGAGAGGATATGTCAAACTATTGTAGTTACGTCGCTATAACTACTTTTTTTACATTTAACAAATTGATAGAAATCTTCGAATGTTCAGGTTCGTTTTGCAAAACAAAATGCAAGTTCGTCTCAGCGACTTGAAGGAAATAGAGCTAGGAATTCGCGAACGCGTGCACGGGACTCTAACACTGAACGCTCGCAGCGGCTCCTGACGTGATAGACAAAGGTCGTTAACAGCTAGGACGCCATATACATTTTTTTTTAAATTTAGTGATTCATGGTCGTTTTAATTAGCATGCTTATAATTTTAATATCTGTACTTATTTATGTCTACCCGTGCGAAGCCGGGACAGGGCCGCTATTATGCTTATAAACTTTAAAAGTTTGTTTCGATGACTATGGTCTTCATGTATAAAGCAACATTTTGTATTATATTATATAGACTTTGGCAACATTTGTTTATATTATACAATACGAGCATACTCGTACAGTAGATAGTGGTATTTAATTTGGTACGCTAACGCTCACAAAAAACGTAACAAGTCGTTTATTAAAAACTATCAACGCTTGTCAATTAATTGTCTCTAATTAAGTAATGAAACCGCTGTGCGTTGCGACCCACACCATTCACTTAACGCAATTCCAATTAATATATTTTCTAATCAAAACATTGTAAAGGTGGGTTTACACAACACACGGTTCTATTTAAATTGATAATATTTTAAAACTTATTTTTCACGTGTTATTGCGCATGATGGCACTATATGAATTTAAAAGCGAAAAAAGGACGTTTATGAAGTGACGCTTTAAAGGTTTAGTTATGAATATGTGTATGATAGTAGCGGCTATCGAGGCAGTTTGACTACCAGTATTAAGACAAGTAATAAATATAACAGCTTGTTGAAAAATTTCTCATTTTTTGTAGATGCTAATAATCGATATGAACCGGTCATTGTAAATAATTTTTTTTCTGTAAATTTATTTAGTTGTGAAGGTAAGAATGTAACTTTATATTGAAAATATTAATCACAGTCGATTAAAATATAGAATGATATTACGTGTCTTAAAGACAGGTGTCGCGTTGGTTCGGTATTAATTACATTGGACGCGCAAAGTCAGCGCCAAAAGTGCAGCCTCCACGACACCCACACTAACCGCACAACTCATAAGTGGAATAAAAGGTATAAACTCTGTAATCATTTTTAATAACTGACTTTGGTAGTCATTTGACAACAAGATGTACAGTCGGGTGCAGAATATATTTAACTGCTTGTAGGGCTATATTTAGCCACTCCCACGATGAAATTGATTGAGAAAACTATTTTAGGTACTTGTTATAATAGTTTTGATTTACAAAAAAGGGAAAAAACAAACTTCACTTTTAATCGTGACTGTACCTTATCAAAGTGAGTTTGTTTACTATTATTATGTCAAACGTCTTATTAATTCAGTAAATATGTATTGACGATTTATGATCATACATAAAATAATAAACAGAATTTCATTTTTGTTTCCGATTTAAAACCTTATAAGAAATAAATACAGTAAAGGCTTTCCGCTTTTAATTACCTTTGGTTAAAGTTCCCTTAATCCGTGTTGCAAATTTACACATTAGACAACCAAAACTCACAAAATCCAATCACAACAACAAACACGTAAAACGTTTCTTATTCTATATTATATGTAAACACACGAGAAAGAAAAATAAATCAAATTAACGCGGGAACGGCATTGTCAAAACATGGAATGCGCAAAGGTCTAAATTGAATACTGGCTGGAGAACGCGCGCAGGCTTCGAAGCGCAGATGACAGAACAACGCCCACAGACTATCGAGTACCAACGAGTTGCAATGAGATCATTATAATGTTACCGACATAATTTACACCTAGCTACGCAGTTAGCAGGGTGCGCCTTCGTTCAGATTTTACAATCAAAGCACTCATTTTATTAGTGGTATTGAAAAGGATGCAAACGAAACGTGTATGTACGTTATACTTTTTTATTATTTCTAAAATAGAAATAATTATTGTCTGTAGTTCAAGTGACTGGGACACACTAAATATGTAACTCTTAACGGTTTAAAACGCAATACATAGTAATACATTTATTTTAATTGTGAAGTATGGTGTAGACTGTTTATGTACAATAGCCTTGTTATTTCAAATAAATTACTTTTTTATGTATTTAAATAAACCGCCACTGGAATGTATAATATATTTTGATCGATTCTTAGATAAATTGCTTTGTCACATCGAAGTATGCAAATATAGGAAACCCGTGTATTAAAAAACCAAATGGCGAATGAACTCTAAATAAAAGCCTCGTCATGCCAACATTAACTATTTTTTCTTGTTTCATCTATAAAAGTAAAATCACTAAAAGTGAAAATCATAATTTAAAATTAATAACAATTAAGATTTGTTAATAGTTTATTAATATTTCTATTGACACACCGTGTATTACTAATAAATAAAACAATCTAAAAGGATGTATAATTATAAGGCGCCCCCCTAGCGGCATGTAGTCGAAGAGTACCGCCTTCTTGTCGTAACCGCAGCGGAAGAGGTTCCACGCCAAGTCCTCCGGGTTGTCACCGGGCTGATCTGCGCAGCTCTCCAAAACCTACAAATGTTAGTAGTAACTCTGATTGAGTGGTTTTATCGTTAAATATTATATTAAATAGTTTTTACGATATTACCCATACTAATATTATAAAGCTGTAATGTTTGTTTGTTTGAACGCGCTAATCTCAGGAACTACTGGTTCAAATTAGATATTTTTGTGTTTGATAGACCATTTATAGAGGAAGGTTTTATAACCTCATGATGATTGAAGCGACCGATTGACGGGAGACTTGCAAGAACCACGGGAGGCGGAAAACGCAGTGGGTAAAAGCTATAATGTAAAAAGTTCCTAAGTTTGTTGGTAAAAAAAATGATACCGAAAAAACTATTTCAAATGGACAAAGACACGGTAACAGCTAGTAATAATACATTTATTTATAAAAATGTTTCTCAATAATACACTAAACTTATTATTAGTTTGTAGTTTTAGTTTTTTACTCTTTCTTGCCGATAGGAGACCTACCTTGGTGATATTCCTTCCGTCGTTGCGCGTCGCTAGCTTACCCAGCACGGCCGCCTTCTGCATCTTGCCGTCCTTTCCGATCAGCTTGCATTTGAGCAGGACGCAGTACACATGTCTCCTGAGGGCTGGATCATCCACCAAGTGGCCTTTGAGCAGGTTTTCTAGAATATTGGGTTCCACGTGAGACTCTGACATGCACGCGTCCGAATGAGCTCGGAACATAGCTTTCTCTTCTTTTCCGAGATTCTAAAAAAAATATTATTAGGCTGTAGATAAAGTAAAATTAAGACAGAGGTTATTCATAACTTTTAAAAGATCTCTCTCTCCAAGTCTTTTAAAGATCGTATACACATCGTCTCCCTTCAGGTATTTTTTAATAAAGAAGAGATTTGTTTGAATCCAAAATAAAATAAGACGTAAACAGGGTGTTTGTTATTCCCAAAACACAATTAAAAATACCTGTTGCTGTGTCTTTGTATGAAATACTTACAACACAATTCTTGCAATCTCCCGATATCTGCAAACAATAATTTGACATTAGATTGACGCGACTTTAAATTATACAGCACTACACAAAAAGGCACCTGTACGGCCAGCAAAGCCAACAGCAAACAGCGCGCGTTATCCATCATTCCACTGTTTTATGGCAGGCGCAGCGACAATAGCAGCAACAGAGCAGCCAACGGCAACCACAGCAGCGACGACAGGAACACTCGCGCGCGATTCTCACCGTCTTACGATATATGCGGTCGTACATACCGACGCCCTCTACCACGAGACAGCGTACGATGCAATAAACCAAAGAAAGGCACAATAATTTATCATGGCATCTAAACTGTAAGGGTATTCATATTATAAATTTATATATAATAAGGCTCCATAACATTATTAATAGAAGTTTAAACTAAAATAATTCATATTTTAGTTAAAGTGTCTTATAAAACAATTTAATTTGTAATTTAGAAGACATATAAAAATGTATTTTTACAAATTAATTGCACGAGATAATTATGGATACCTGAAAAATAAAACACTTTTCATGGTACGAGGGTGATTGACGGAGCAGAAGACAATAACGGCTGCATGTTTACTAAACAACACGCGGACGTGATAGTTGTTCACTTCGAATGTTTAACATAATATCGGTGTCACTTTAATAATTCCCACACTTGAGGGTCCATCCTGAATATTTAGTAGGAGAACCAACAGAGATAGTGTTGATTTCTTGTTTTAATAGAGAAATAGAGCCTAGCGCGGGTTCACATGATGGAATGAAAAATAGTCTAGCCATATACCTAACATATTAAGTCGATGGTTGAAATTTCAATATTCCTACCGCCCCTTTAATATTCAGATTTTTGGAGCCCCTTTCGTAAACATTCGAAAATCAGACTTGTATCGGGTTTTCAATGCTCACATCACGAGATCAATCCAGCTATAATAACACAAAGATATTCTTACCATAGACTATTAAGTAATGCAGGTAGAATTTGATTTCCACAACTTAATTTTGCTTGGAATGGGGTATTGATCAAGAACGTATGTTTCATTTTTTGAGACACCTGCGAAGAGATAGAAAAGAATTCTAAATACTGTTTGCAGTTTACGCGAGTAGTACATATTTAAATAAAACAATTTAACGGTTTTAAAGCAAAATATATTAGAATCCTCGGGCCGTAGATAAAATAATTTTAACTAATATATTTCGCGTTTCAAACTTTTAAAGTTTATTTAAATAACAGAAATCTAATTCCACAATTGTAAATAAATAATCTTTTCAATAGCTTCGTATTTATCCCCAAATAATTTTCGTTGGTTTGTGGCTTTTTCATTAGAATCTACGACATTATAAATATGCGAACTGATGAGGACGTAGCCGATGCATGCAAACGCTAGAAGGAGGGCGAGGCGTCCTGCGAGACGGGCAGGCGCGTTGCAGCACGCATGGAGCTACGCCGACCGCCAGCAGCAGTGTCACCGCCAGCTGCGCCAGCATCGCGGCTGTCAATGCATTATTGTGTTTATTGTTATTAAACATCCATAACAATGATATTTGACTGATTTAACAATGTATTTGTATTATTTGGTACTGATTCTGAGAAAAATGTATTTTTTACTATTTATATTTGCTGAAATTTGAGCATTTAAATGCGGGCGTAAGCACTAATTTTGAAATAACGCTTTAGCAAACCTAGGACGTCCTTATTTGGCCATTACATTGTTATATTGATCATATACTCTACGATATGCATCATTTGTTGTGAATTTTATCGAATTGAAATAAAAAAGTCACATTTATATATTAGTGCAGAGAATGAACTGTTTAACACTAGGAAGCTCGCTTTATGCATCATTATTAGCAAGTCTTCATTAATTTAATATCCTAATTTCCAGACGAGGTACAACATATTTCAAAAAAATTATAAATTAAAAAAATTAGACACATGATGGACTCGGAGGGGATCGAATCCCCGGGCCGTCGTTTGTGTACGTACGTGAAAATCATGTGCATTTGTAAAAGTTCATCTCAGTTCTTAAATTTTCCAATATAGTAAATATCGTCCAGAAGACACATTGTAATCGTGGTGTTAGGTAATGTCATGCAAAACTTACAGGCTCTATTGCACGACTTTTTCAAACGTTTTCTGCAGCTCTAAAAACTCGTAATAACTGTTCACACTTGCCGGTCTCGAAAGCCAATACATCCTAAAACACTTGTAACTATCCAATGTCTTCAGTAAAGTAATCTTGTTTTATTTTCAAAACAAGATTACTTTACTATCATAATAAAATGATAGATTTGACGTTTGTTTTCGTCTTTCTTCTTCCATACCAGATTCTTTCAATTAATGTCAAAAAAATCTGCAATCTCAATTTACGGAAATATTAAATATTAGATATCGATATAACATTGCCTAACTGTTAAAATTTCAGTTTAATTGTATGTCAGTAGTACCCAGTGGGTAGTACTTATGTGTCGATCTAATCTTTATGCAAACCAGGTTTTACCCAATAGATAATGACAGATTACACAAAGATCACATTTAAAACAAAGATATTGAATTTACTTGCTTTATTTCAATAATGAGTTTAAATTTTCCAGTTGAATCCAGAGTTCGTTTTACATTCAACAAATTTCGGAATGGAAAAATAAAACACGTTTAATATGTCAAACACAAACTATTAATTATTGTACAGGTAATAAAGGAAGCAATAAAACAAATTGTTTTGTGCATATTTTAATTTCACTAACGCCACAACCCACCTAATTATCAACAAAATACAATTATATCCTTGTAAGGAAAATTAAATAAACTGGTTTTCTCTTGCTACTTAAAAGTTGTATAACTAGATGAATTTTATATTAGACCCAATTAATCCAAAACAATGAGTATATTTAATATCAATATAGAATTTTAATTTGAAATGAATCAATGTCCAAACCTTTAAAATAAAATAACATAAAGATCACACCTCCACTAAATCAGTGGCGATAACCAAGACCTACGTCTTCGTCTACGTATGATACCTTGTTATTACATTTCTATTAATTGTATATTTAAATTAATATAAATAAATTGTAACTGAAGTTACGCCAAAAACATTATTTACAGAGTTACGGTTTATGTACAAGATTCAATACTATTCGAGTCAGATATGTATATAACATACTATATTGATATATTTTTAATTATAACTTGATATACAATAAATGTATGCAATAAAAATAAAATATAAATAATCAAGTCCTTAATTTGAGCGACTTGACTAAAAGTGTATATAATTTTATATCTGTGGGTTTGTAAATCATTCAAACACACTTAAAAAATTTCTTAGACGTCTAAAGACATAGTCAAGTAAGAGTAACAAGACCAATATAGAAATGACATAACGGCTACTTAACTCAAGAACTGCCAAAACTTGGTTGGTGATATACACTTTATTTATGATAGAGCAGGACAGAAAAACATTTGATGTAAGATGAAATACCACAGCCCTATAAATCCTCAACAAGATGTGTTGTTGACCTATGTCTTTAGATAGCCTGAAACCATCGATAATAATCTTCACGTCTTTCCATATCGTATCACCCACATTTTTTCTTTTCTCACCACCTATTTAGATTTCTAGACAAAGTCCAACATGTCGTGGAAAAACGAGAAATCGATTAGAAATTTGTTGGACCCGGTAGGAATCGTCCTGTTGATCCTTAGCCATAACTTGCTACCATTAGACTAACGGACTCACCTTTATTTAAAGTACGTTATAGTTTTACCTTACATATCTATTGCACGAAATCCCTATCTGTATGTTAACTATCAAAAAAACATCACTACTAGCACTGGATTAAATTTCATATAAATGTTATTCTTGGTATCTTTTTTGTACAAGTGTAAGCAAACATTTTCATTTTTAATTCGATCTTGAAAAATCACACATGCCAAGATGAATAACTAATTTATAGGATTACTAAAAGCAATTTTTTTAATACTGTAAAGAGCATTCGAGAATTATATTATTAATCTTAAAACACTTATGAAGGGAAAAAAAATCAATTTATATAAAACACTTAGGGTTTAAAACGCGATATATTTTAGTTAAACTTCATTGAAAATTATTTTAAACAATGGACAGCCTCCCCGTGACGACGGCTGTTGCAAAGCGTCAGAAACGTCGGGCCGTAGTTTAAATAATTTTTAAAGTTTAACTAATATATATCGCGTTTTAAACCATTAAAGGTGTAATACTCGCGTAAACTAGACAATATTTAGTTTGTATATTGCAAAAACTGGTGTTGTTTCTAAATTATAATCGTTATGTGTTTGAATCGTAATATTGCAATAACACGTTTGGGTTAAATTAACTATTATAGTAACTGCTACAAATATGCATTGAATATCATTAGTGATAAAATACTCCCCTTGGAGTAGTTGTGACGGCATATCCGTTGAGCACCACGTCATTATCTACTTTGACCTATATTATATGTATGTAAGCTTTTCTACAATTAAGTACTAAGTTGTATTTCTACGCAGGTTTTAGAGGAATGGGAACGGCCCTCGCTCTCCGTCGACAGTACATTCTCAGGAAAACAGCTGCAAACACAAGTGTCACACCGACAGCCCCCCCCGAGTGACACCGCGTGTCCGTACACTGCGCAAGACACCAATATCGACACTGCCTGAAATTTAAAGCAATTTTATGTACTAACCATATACTTGTCCAAATAAAACACACGTCAACTTATTTCACAATTTATATTTGTATTCTTTGCGTGACCATGTCTCTAATATATTTACGTTTTAAATCGTTAACGAGTGTTCTACTCGCGTAAACCACAGACAGTGTTTTGTCCCATGTCCTTACTTTTATTAATTATTTTAGTAATAACGTTCTAAAAATTAATGAGAAAGGGGACTGAAGACTGACCTGTCTTAGCGTCATAATAATGGTGAAAACGACAGCTCCGAACCTCGCAATAGTGCGGTAGATGAGCACCTGCCCCACCGCCGAACTGGCCGATAGCATCAAACAGTCCACCACGAACATCGGGTGCTGCAGGAGGGCGAAGGTGGTGGCGGGGTGCGGAGTGCGCAGGAGTGCGGCGGCGGTAAGTGCGCACGAGCACAGTGTGACGGCGCACATCATCTGCAGCGGACGCAGCGAGTACCGCGAGAAGAGCGCGCTCTGCCACGACGATGTGAAGCTGTCACATGACATGTATAACGCCAGCAGGGCTACACCCGAGAGGCCCGTGGAGGCCGAGGCTGCGTGTGATTCCTGGCTGCCGAACATGAATAGCACCATGCCAGCAGAGATCAGTACCGCGGTACCGTACTCATACGCTTCATACTTGTTGCGTGAGATCAACTTTCCCATCAGCATCACGGGGATCACTTTGCACGATTTGGACAGCACCTGTAATTTTTGTATAGAATACACACATTGTGTCTGTGGTTGAGGAAGATTTATGATGATTTAGTAGTCTTTTTTTTAATACAGAGGAGGAGAAGAATATGGTTCACTTGATAAGAGGTGAAATAGCCCAGCCATATAACATTTAAGCAAGATGCGCTGCCGAATTTATTTGGCTTTGAATATTCGGAAATCCACAGGCTGAAAATGGCTTTTTACCTGTGGACGGTGGTTCCTCATCCAGGCGGAAATTCAATATTCATACCACCCATATAATATCCCGATTTCCAGCCGGAGTCCAACATGTTTAAAAATATGTATATATAAAATATATTGGCCCGGGTGAGGATCCAACATTCATTCATTTCTACCATTACGATATCAACAAACCCACAAATATCCATAAAGCAATTAGAGCTTTCCTTTTTAAAAAGCAACATGAGATTCTTGCACTTTCGTGAGATTCCTATTTCACATAATAACATAACTCTAGTAACAATAAATACACACATATTGAAGTTAATATATTATGCTGACCTGGGTGGGGAAGCTGACATACTTGAGCGCCTCATACTGACACCAGGCGCTAACGATATTCGTGAGCGAGCAGTAGGAGAACTTGTACAACGGCGCCACGAAGATTGGCTGCCCTGTCCAGCGTAGTCGCGCTGCTGCTAAAGCCAATGCCGACAGTCGGTTTATAAACACTAGGAACTGCGAGTCGTTGAAACGGACCACCGTACCGTCAGATACCACGTAGTCCTGTTACATTTTTAAAGCATTAACTCTATCACACGGTACGAACTCTAAAATAATATTGCATGAATAAACAATTATTTTTATTTTAATATGCAGAATGGATTTTTAAATTAGTTTGTTAGAAACAAATTTGAACAATCTTAGATCCCACTAGTGTCTGATTCTTTACAATCTATTAAGTGAATATGGTATTACACATATAACTCCAAACCCTAGTAATTAATTTCTAAAAAAAAATAAACATGCTAAAGATGTGTATCCTAAATATTTTGTGTATAAAGCAGAAGTCTCTTACATCTAATATATATAATGTAATAACTATGTATATAATATTAATAGTTACCTGCGTCATAATCTTTTCCTGCAAAAGTCCCCATACAAGATAGGCTCCCATCAGACCAGTGAAGCAAAATAGAAGTTCAAGTGTTTCTCTTTTGCCGTCCTCTTTTGGTTTAACATTCTCTGGTAGTCGTTCAGGTTGTTCTGCAAAACATGCATGAAGCATCCGGGACAAACATGTGCTGTTTGCTGAAATTGTTAACAAATCTATCATTTACATCTGTTAATATTACCATCAGTCACCAAAACAGTCACTAAAAAGACAAAAAAGGGTTCAAAGGATTTTTGTTATGTTATTACATATACATCTATGACACATTCATTAATAAGGCTAAATTGTCTAACTAAATCCATAAAAAAGTAGTAAAACAATGATAAAAAATATTATTCTAAAGCACTGGCAACTTTTTTGCCTACTCTAACACACTAACTCGGTAAGTAGAGCAATAAAAAAAAGTAAATTTACTGGCACTTACATATTTTATCAAAATAATTTATCCTCTCAAGATACTTATATAGAATAAATGCGGGCAGAAGAACAGTGGAGTATCCTGTACAGTTTAACAATAAGCGGAACACCCTGGAACATAAACATTCTTATTAGTAATATCTTACACATTACAAAAGCTTGTCACACTCTTGTACATGTAAATTTTACATCGAATTATATACCTCATAGTTTTTAAGGACACTTTGAGGGGGAAGGACCAGAAAGGATAACTTTCAAGGCCACACACAGATTTGTGATGCCTATTTTTTTATAACTTAATTATAAGTACGTGTCATCAGGTAGAAAATACACACATAGATGTTAGCCAGTTAAGTAGTTTTAACCACTACACATTATTCATATAAATTAGGTTTTACATCTTAATTTGTTATGGCATATATAGACATATGTATAAATTTAAATACAATCCAAAGTTCTCTAACACAACATACACTTTCAAAAGTATTAAGTATTAAATCCAAACAGGTTAAGTTAATAAATTGTAGAAGCTTACCAAGAGTATTCAGACTGAGTAAGTGTGCCATTTTGCTCATAAGCGTTGAGAAGCTCCTGATAGAGTTGGCCAAACAGCCATGTCACTACCACACAGCCTAACAGCACCAACCTATACATTATTACTGATTTCAACAACACATATATGCTTAATTATTACACTGTTATTTCCATTCCAAATAACTGCACATTTTTTAAGTTAATTTTCCCTTAATGTGCATTTATATAAATATTTATTTGCATACGTTCATATTCGTAATAACAAAGACAAGCTATAAATTAACTGTGAATCAGCAAATATCCTAGTCAATGAACTCAGAATCATAGACATGCAATAATAGATTTTATGCAGACCTAACTGTATAATGAAATCTCAACCCACTCACCCAATTATGAATTTAGACTTCATTTTTTGTTTACATACATGCGAATCGAATTATACCGTACTATTGGATTATTTCCTACTTTGATAAGACGAATCCGTTATTTTTTTAGTTTGAGATGAATTATTTACAATAAATATAAGCATTTTTAGTCCCGCGATGCATTATCGCAATAAACTATCACGAATTATTCTGAAAATTAAAACAAATATTCATATTAGAATAGCGGCATCACATGTTATATGCAGATGATACTGAAATAATAAAGCTGTCAACTGTCAGTTGAACAAATGGCAATTTTTGTTATCTGCATTTACATAGATAATATAAGTCTCAGATAATGCAATATGGTTATCAAACGGTTACACATGTTAAAACACCGAAAACTCCTTATTGTTGTTTACGCTACACCATTTCTTTTATTAATTTAAAGCAACCGAAATAAACATTGTTGAAAACAGATGAATGTTCCTTTTGCTTTGGTAGTTTATTTTCTTGGTTAGTATACAAAAACTCAATGCTAAAATTGAGTTTATACAATAAGCATCACTTATTTTCAGAGTTGTATATGAAAGATGTCGTCAAAACGTCATAATACTACATAGAAAATAGTCGACAGATTCATTTAAAAATTACCATTCTGAAAGCAATAATAGTTTAAAGAATATTATATGATCAATGGAATATTTACACTGTTGCACTTATAGTAAAAATGGAAATTATATGGTATGACTTGGATTTAGCAATGTTCCTGGTGGAGTTTTTAGCTGCCTTGTGTGCTGTGGCTGTTTGTGGACCTTGCTTTTTGGCATGTGCTAGAAGACTTATACTCGGAGATGAACTGTTACGGACTGGGGGCCATATCATACACGAAGCTGAAGTCATGGGATGTGATGAACCATCCTGCCCCTATTATAAAAAGAATGTCCGATATCTAATGGTTCCTGCTATGAGGCGAAGACAATACAACTCGCCGGCGCGTCCTTGTTCGTAATTTATTGTTTTTGTTTAGTGTTTCGTATTGCACTTCTATTATAAATAAAATAAAATTTCAATGTTTGTAGATTTTATTCAATTATTTCATATCGTATTATTTCATATATATAAACCCAAAAACTAGTCCTCATAAGGGTGCTGTCCAATTTCTTCATTATCGACATGGATTTCTGGATCCTTTTTGCACTTCGGATTTGTAAGATAAGGTTCGTAACGGCTACAAATTGTAATTTTTTTTTGACAGAAATGGTATAAAGCAGAAGTCCTGATCAGAATATTCTTTATTACTTAATCCACAATATTTGAAGTTTTTCTGTAACAAAAATCAAGAACATAATTAGAGTTTACATAATAACATTCCTAAGAACCTTAGTGCAAAAACAAACCGAACAAAGTGCAGCAAGGACGTGTCTCTGCTGCACCACCAGCAGTAGAACCGTGAGGATGGCAGCCAGTGCGTGCAGCAGACTCATCTTCATTTTCAACGGGAAATTTTTGTTTTGTTATATTTTATACAGTTATATTAATTTATACAGTATATTACATATTTTGATTTAATTTTTGAAATTTACTTAAGATTGTGGTTTGACATAGCTTTAATCTTTTATCAAATGAATTACTTTCTGACAAAAAGTTTTAATATATATTTTGGCCTTTTTTAAAAGTTACAACGAATCGACGACCGAAAAATTAATCAGATACACAATAATTAATATTGTATCATAGACTTATTAGATTGACAGCTAGGCGTTAACTTATTAATATTACGAGGACAAAGCTAAGCGCCGTCTTCGATGTCCAGGGTTATCAATTACAATGTTAGAGTCAAATACAGTGTATTCCAACGGTAGTCGAACCACGTTTTCTGACACTGTACGCTTGATTGACTAGTTGATAGAAATTCCTTTTCAAAACTTTGGGGTAATCGTATAATCATACTACGTACCCAGCTAATAGAATTATAGTAAGCGTATATTTAATTATGTAAAGGTCACCCAAGAGTAACTAACGAGCTAAAAGTATTCGTAAATAAGTATAAGCGTCGCATGAAAATAATGTAGATATCAGCCCTTAATTCAGTTACTCATGACTATTGTTTCCGATCGCTTTAATAGTTGCTGCCAATTGCTTTGCATGCAAAGTACGAAATAATTAATGACACCATCCATAACTGAACAAAGCAGGTGCTATTTAGGTGCGACACGAGACAATGCTTAAAGCGAATTGAGATTTTCTTTTATATTTTGTCTAATATTGTCTATAGAATAATATTCGGTTCAGTCTGTATATATATTACATGTCAATTGTCAACCATACATATATAAAATAATGTATTGTAGGCATATTCAATATTGGGTTTGAATTTTGGGGACATAAGAAATTCGTTTGTCAGGCAGGGCAGAGATCAACTACATGCCTAAAAATCAAATCGATCAGTGATACGAACACCGAAATATATTCGCCCCATGCCCCATGAGGGATACGGAATTTAATTCATATTAAATTGTAACGAGATAAAAAATCGCTATTAAGATTGCCAGTTTACTTTACTACTCTATATCTGTTAAGCACAAAAAAGTAGAAATGTGGTATGTAGTTGCAACAGTATATACGTTTCCATACGTAAAATTATGTATGACTAGCTGACCCGACAAACTACTTCGTCATATTTTACTATCATAAAAACGGTTCTTGTGATTTTATGTTAAAAGAAAGACATATACTATATACGGACATTTTAGATTATTTAAAAAGCAATAATTCTTTCGTACTTTCTGAATAGCCAAAGCCTTTCACGATAAATGCTCCAACCGACACAAAAACAATGTTTCAATTCGAAACAGTAAATTACGAGATTAGCGCGGTCAAACATAAAAACCCTTCAGCTTTATAATGTTAGTATAAACAAACACTGTATGTATATAATTGAAATAATATTGAATATGCGCATCTCGTACGAACCAGTGATTGTCGTTAACACGCGGATATCTTTGTGGTTATTCATTGAGTCGAACACTTTGTTTGTAGATGGGTTTGTGGCTATAGGCTAAAAAGTTTATTGATACCTTTGCAGAGCCTTGACCATGACTTGTCAGTCAAAGATTTCGGTGCTTCCTGCAATATAACATACATATTACATAGATAATTGTTAGTAACACTTAGATAGCGTTTTTTTAATGATGGAGTTCAGGAAAAGGGTTCATGCAATTTTATTGCTTTAGTAAACATGTCTAATTACGTAGTTTTACACATTTTTTTGTATCCATTTTAAAACTCTAGGTTTAATTTTCTAGCACTAATGCTAGAAATTTAAAGTTATTTTACGACCACGACCTGACTGAAGGTAAGAGGAGCAAAAAACTGCATTGACTTTGAACGAGGTCTACATTATATCACGCAGATAAAACGGAAAATAGGCAAATCAGCTATTTTGCTTCAACAGATACGATCTGATATTTTTAAAACTCTAAAGCAAAATAATCCGTTTTAAAAATTTAATTGACCCTCATTCAGCGGGCATTTTACATTATTTGAAACACTTTTAACGTTTTAAAATGGGAATTGTATTATTTGTTTATAATTTTTTTCCAATGCATTGGTGTTGGGAGGACTGTCTAAAGCCTCCAAACCGTCAGTCCGTAGTTAAAATAAATTGTTCATGACTTAACAACTAATCAATTGCGCGTTATAAACCGATAAGAGTGTTTTATTAAAAAGTTTAACATAGTTTTTAATATGTGTGTATTATTAACTGACCGATACTAAGAAGAGAACCCGAACACAACAATCAGGTCAGCCAAAGCCGTAAAAATGGAGGAGGAACAGACCGAGCCATCCAACGACTTTTTTTTATTCTATCTATCCACAAGTAATTAAGTTAACCGATTACTAATTGTTTAACTACTATTCTTCTAGTCTGATCCATGATGGATAATCGCGATAAGTATTATGAATATAAACCTCCATAAAAGGTCCCACCATTATTTTTATGGAAACGTTGAAGTCCGTCCAAGTAAGGTATGCCTGTACTATTGTTTCGTTTCTGAAGGAGCTGAAATATAGCCATGGATTGGCAAGACGTCCCACTATTATAGAAGATATAAGTGTTTGAAAACTTTTATATTTAAGTATGTATTATTGCACATAATGGCATTGAAAAACAATAACAACACGGGCGGGACTTGAAGCGGCATTTACAGCGTTCATAATCTAACCAATTGATTGAGATAAATAGTACAATATTAATTTTGTACACTTTTCGTAACGTTATCATAGGTCCAAAATCTCCTCCAAACCGTCTCACTCTTAGCCACATTTTTAACATGGTACAATTTGTGTTCTTGGACATTGGATATTTTATTCATGGACATTTTTTTTGCATACTATTGTTTTTCGGGCAGTTCGGCCGACGTGAGCGAGAAGAGGTTCTCGACTGCATCATCATGAGATGTTAACTCCTCGATTGCTCGAAGAATTAGACAGTTTTTTTATTAATAACAGTCTAAGCAAACTACCTAAACCCTTAACCACATAATAAACTCATAAATACGTGTAATAGCACAGTTTCGCAAGTAAGTGAGAATTATCACTTAAAGACTAGAATCGAGTCTATATATACTAATATGTGCGAATATATTGATGTTGTAACAAAGGAGAGTCAATACTGATTATCATCAGGTACGATATAAAAATATCACAATTAGAATTCAATTCGAGTAAGTAGCACATAAATTATAAATGTAGTATTGTATCGTACAAACTCGGCATCCATTGTGAGTAGGTTGACATTATTTTTTATTTGAGCAGCCAAATTACTTTATAATATTGTTTTTATTATACTTCAAAAAGTAATACGTATAATGCATGATAAATTGGATCACATTCGTAGCTAAAAGTACTTTTACGATATTTCTGAATTTTAATAGCAAAAACAAATATCGTTGACTAAATACATTTTACCTGTTCAAAATGGGAAAAATATTTGATAAATTATGTTTAAGTACGATCCGATGTTTATATACCTTTGAAAGATTTTTTTATAATAATTCGTAGCAATCTCGTAAATTATGAAGTCCTTAAAATTTAACTTGCTCAAGAATTTTACTAATGCGACGCTAAGTCCATTTTGTTCAGTCACTTAATGTTTTCTATAAACTAAGCTGGACAGACTTCTATTTGCTACCATTTTGTTTGCTTGTCCATCTTTTTGAACTGAGCTTCTCTTGCTTCTGCTTTCTGATCTAGGAATATGAATAAGAATTCCCTTTTCACCAATTTTGGTTTGTAACCGGAAACAACATATAAAAAACACATATTAAATGTTTTTGTCATATACCACTAAACCAATTGCAATATTAATTATAACTACGCTAATAAGATATACGAGACGACTCTACATAAAATCTGAAGAAAGCATCTATTCATACTCGGGTACAAACGAACGACTGTAAGAGCCTCAAATGAATACGTAACCGTAAACGAATAAGTATTAGTCGTTCAATTAAATAAGCGATATCAAAGCTAAAACGCAAACATCAGTAATGTCCGATTGTTGTATTGTAATGGAGTGCTTCCTTTGACCCGAAGCTTACAGAAGCAGCGTTGCGCGGTCGGAGTTCGGTCGTGCTGTATAACGTCCGAAGCCGATTTTATTTTATGTCCTACTAAATAAATATACACTGTGCTTAATATTCAAACTTCAAAATAGTAAGTGATTGTGATCTGTGAGTTTTGAGTTCTTTTAAAGCACCAAGTTAAGGGTAGGTTAATATATTTTTTATATTAGGAACTGTAATTAATTAATTATTTGATTTCTTGCTTAGTAAATACTGTATGTGGTTTACGCGAGTAGTACCCAATTAAATAAAACATTTTAACTGTTTAAAACGCGATATCTTCTAGTTACTTTCGAGTCAGAATTTTCAAAAACTGTTTAACTGCTTAACTGAAATATATCGCGTTTTAAACCGTTAAAGTGTTTTATTCATTGTTTAATATTTATATGTATCCTTTTACAGCAAGCAAGATTATGTTTTTTATGTACAATTTTGCCATAGTGAAACCAAAGTGGCAAAAACGATTGTTGTATTATTTTATCAAAGTATTAATAAAGTTATTATTATTATGCTATGTTTAAACTCTATTTGTTTTTAAGCTTTACTTTCTTTTAAATCCTTGTTGGTATAGGCAAAAACAATAAAAGAGACGTTTTGCGGTTTATTTAATGTCAATAGTGTCGATTCATGCGGCATTATAATAGGTCAGTTAACAATTAATTAGATACCATTTAACAATGAAAATAATTTCTGATCATTATATAATATTGAGTTTCTAAAAATAAAACAAATCAGGTAATTAAACAAAAAAACCTTTCTTACTACAAAATAAAATAGAGAAACAAACTTATTATCTGTTAAATATATGCAAATAAACATTACTTTACATAAAAGCTCAATTAATACATTATATTACATTAAATAGACATAAAATGTATTTAATTATTTTAAGAAGTTTATCGGCAAAATTACTAATGCATCGTAATATTACGGTATAGAGTTAAATCCTGTTGGTTGAGCTTTACGAAACTGCTAAGCAATTATCATAGGAAATCAAATTAGTTCTTATTTAACTCAAATTATTAAGGTGCGAGTCCATGACACAGCTAGAACGTAAATATTATAATAAATAATTGTAAAATAAAAAGTAGACTAAAATATTTCAACATAACAAACTAAGTTGCATTTATTATATAATCGTTACTTATGTAATTGAATAGTAGTATAAAGGATTTTGGTTGGAAGTAACTAAACACACGCACACTACACTCGATGTATTGAAAAATTTGAATGATTTTTGAATTCATACATACATCAAAATGTTAAACAAGAATAAGATGACATTGTGTTTCGATAAAATTGATATTCAGTGACTATTTTGTAGATGTACCTACTAAGTACACACTAGTGGAATCTAGTCATTTGGTATAAATTTTACAGAGGTAAGTTTTTCTCTAGTAGTTACTGACTAAACAAATAGAACTGCAACTCAAGATCATTAAAATTCACGAATGCCCCTTTTGTAATAGCGGAACAAAAACTACAGGACTGCATGGGTTCTCCCGGAGATGTTCCCTAAACTCGTTGGATATCGTTAGATTACGTTATCTCGAGTACACTCCACAGTCAGCTGTTCCAAAACTGATAGTATATCTAATTGTCTCTAATTAGAAAAATATTCGACCCATAGTCAACTACTATAGATATGTTTAAACTCAAGTTTCTTGAATGAAATGAAAATGTAACAGTATATACCCTCTTTGTGTTAATATGAAAAGTTTGATATTTCCCAAGCTCTAGGTAATTAAATAATATAATATAATATAAAATAATAATCCTTAATCTTCAAGAAGTTTTTCGAATTTGATATGACTGTTTTCTATTCTATTGTTTTATTTAGTAAATAGAGTTTACTGATAACTTTGTTTTTATCGTTTATAATTAGAAAATGTCAGACCATAGACATTTTCTGCCATAGAAACCCTTTTAAAATATTTGTTTTTTTTTTTAATATTTTTACAGAAGAAAAAATATTAGTTTTCAAAAAATAATGTTCGAAAAACTGTCTAAAATTGTGCAAATCATTTAACCTTTATTACTTATTACAATACTGTACGGTAAAAAACAAAATAATAATGTATTTAAAATACATATTAAGGTTTTATCTTAATTTCAGATTATTGAAGCTAAGAATAACGAGAATGATCGTACAATAGAAGAGAAGTAGAGATAAATCAAGGCACCAGTTACTAAAGACCCACCATGATGTCAACATGGCCACCAGACGTCAACGTAACTCTGGACTACGTGAACTCAACCGAACCCAGCAGCACTGCAAAGGCTCTCGCTGGAAAGCAAATGTTTTTAACTGTGGTGAAAGTGGCCTATGCCATCGGTATTGTGGGAAATGCCGCGGCGATCCTCGCGCTGAGGATCGGCGAGAGAAGAGTTAGGAATAGAAAGCATTTGTTACTTCTTACATCACTCGCTGCCAATGACTTGGTCGCTCTGGTGAGTGAACACGTAGAGGTTGTAGCAACTTGAAAATATAAGTTAGTAAAGACTATAACTAAACGTAAGGTCATCTGCTAAAATAACTAGGTTGATTTTGCATCACCTTACAATCGTCTGCTTAGAGCAAAGTTTAAATTTTTTACTCCAAAGGCGGATCAACAAGCGTCGATTACTTGATGGAAAGTATCTTAACTCAACCATAGAATTTAAAAAAAACACGTTAACTATTGAAACTTGAAATGTTTAGTCGAGTTAAAGGTGTTTTATTTAACTGTCTACTACTTGCGTAAACTACAAACAAGATACTTTATACTGTCTATAGTTTACGCGAGTAGTACACATTTAAATAAAACACTTTAACGGTTTAAAACGCGATATATTAGTTAAACTTATTAGAAATTGATTTTTAACTTCGGCCCGACGTTTCGGATGCTTTGCAGCAGCCGTGGTCACGGGGAGACGGGAGGGGGGACGTCGGGCCGAAGTTAAAAATCAATTTCTAATAAGTTTAACTAATATATCACGTTTTAAACCGTTAAAGTGTTTTATTTAAAAGATACTTCATATCATTTTATATGACTTATTTTGACTTTGGACATTTGGATATCCACAGACTGAATCGGATTAAACTTTACGAGTTGACCGTTATCGATCTGTGATTGATGATTTGTAACCATGAAGGAATTTGGCTATTTGTCCAACATTCATTTAAGATAAACCACTCATTTAAAATATTGCAGGCGAAATCTAAAATATTTCAGACAAAATATAAAGTCATCTTTAGAGACATATTGGCTCTAGGTATAGCGCTAGCGTTATATCAACGAGCCCTTTCAAAATGGTAGTTAGAAAAAGGTGTTACAGTCTTACAAATCCTACTGCACATAATAATGCCTCTAAGTTCTTAAATAATTTATTTGTACAGGTTGGCATGCTTAGTGCACTGATAGTAGCGGAACAATTCCCTTCCTTAGCCCGAACGCAGGGATATTGCGCTGCGAGGGTTGTGCTCCGGGTTTTCGGCATTGGCAGCGTCTGCATCGCAGTTACCATGGCGCTGGAGAGATATCTCGCGCTGACAAGACCCTTCCTCTACCAGAAGGTCAGTCTAAGATTTTAATTACTCATAAACATTATACGATTCTTAAACACTACATACGTACAACGTATGTACATGTAATGTACAGATGCGCAAATTAGTCCATTTGAATTCTTAATGTTTTCATCCCCCTTCTTACTATATGTTGAGACCGCAAATTTTTAATATTATTATTATAGTTTTTAAATTTATTTTTTTTTTTTTTTTTTAAATTTTTTTTTTTTTTTATAAAAATACTCGTAGACTCTATTGTTTTAACTGTTATACTATAAATGACTTTTAATTTATAGAATTAGCACTTCAAAAAATAAAATCGGAAATTTTATTATAAGAATATTAGTTGTACATTTCTACATTGAGTTCTTCATAAACATTATAGTCAGGGACTAAGTTTATGCAAACATTGGGTTGTTTTCTTTGTCCAACTATTGACTACCCCCTCGTAAACTCTAACACTTCGCCTCTCGAGCTAAGCACACGTTGTTAAATAACCATATATAGATCACAAGTAGTTTGGCTTATCATAAAGATCCTTACGCGGTGCTGAGCACGAATTGTCATACGAATACGGAAGTTGTTAAATTATCCGCAAGTCCTCGAGCGAAATTGCACATTGTTTGGACCACCGAGAAGATTTGGACGGCAAGATGATGACACCACGATAGCACCTAGTATATTTATCAACAGTTGTTCTCTCCAATCGATAAGTATAAGAAGCATGAGAGACTATTAAAATTGTTAAACATATGACCATTAACGACGCGAAAACCAACTTACGATAATCTTGTACATGAAGTTAACGACAAGGCGAATTATATTCAAATAGTCCTTGGTACTCACAGAGGAACTTCTTATAGATGTCATTAAAGAACTATTAGAGAAATAATCATATCTATTAAACATCAAAACAAGATAGGTTGACCATAGTTATAGAGGCATCAAAGAGATGGCATCATATCATGAAAGAGGATATCAAAACCTTACACTGGGCATAGAACAGACAAAATTTTATACTGTCTGTACTTACGTGAGTAGTACACATTTAAATAAAACACTGTAACGGTTCAAAACGCGATATATATTAGTTAAACTTATTTTAACTACGGCCCGACGTTTCGGATGCTTTGCAACAATTGTGGTCACGGGGAGATACAATTCTGTAAATAATTCACATAACCGTGCTCTGCTTGAATGAAGACTTCCTTAGATTTCGAACCCAAGCACTTTACGAGATTCTTTTTATTAGGGATTATTGAGCTACGGAAGTGGTCAATAATCATTATAATAAGAATGCAGCTCATAAAATATTTTCCCTTCTATGTGTAACGTTTGTTTATTTATTGCCGATCGGACCGGTTTAACCAGTGGTTTGCATAAATAAAGGATCTCAAATAAATAGGCGATAACGAAACCGTACTACGCTTATGACTTAAAGTTATTACACGCATCGAGCGCTTAACCTAACACAATAAGCTCCTTAGAATTTTCCTCGTTTATTTTCTCTTTCGATTCGTGCGATGTGGGTCACGATTACTTTGGGAGCCATTCTTCGGTTGGATATTGATAATACATCGCCGACACATCTGACTGTTAACATCGCATATCGATCGGCACTTATTTAATTGTATTTCAGGGAAACCGAAAATTATATCTGTGTTAGATGATTAGTTGAAATACTATTCAAAGCATATTTATCTTATATCACCACATCTATAATCAACAATATATCTCGAGGTTAGTGTTCGTAGAAAAAAATAGTTTTACTCTATTTGGTATACTAATTTCTAGATTATATAAAAAAAGATACCAAAATAATGTTGACAAAACAACGCGAGAAGATAATAAAGTTTTCTCGAGGCGCGCGTGCTAAGTCACGTGTAGAGATGAGCCGATTTATATAAAGCGAATATCTACACTAATATTATGAAGCTGAAGGGTTTGTTTGCTTGATCGCATTGATCTCAAAAACTACTGGTTCGTTTTAAAATTTTTGTTGGTTAGAAAATGTATCGAGGAAGTCTTTAGGCTATAAAACATTACAATGCGACCAATAGGAGCGAAAAGACGGTTAGAAATGTGGAACAATAGGGGAAAATTGTTCATCTGTGTTTCCGTTGCATGCGTTGCCAACGGTCCAAGACTCAATAAATATGTTGTAAAATAATCATTCATTTTTATAAGATCCAAAAAATGCGCGCATCTCTATAATCATGCATAAGATTAACTTGCAAAAACGACGGGACACGGACCACGTCGTGGCTAACAGCGAGAATTTATAAAGCTAAGGGAGGTTGTTTGCAAAAATAAATGTTGACGCTCAAAATAACTAAAGTTAAAGTCGCGGGCACTGGTAGTGTCTTATAAAAACAAGACACCTTTATTTATTCGTGTATAAATAATACCAGTAATGAAACTACCGTGAAACCTCTCATGTAACCGCACATATAGACCCCTTCCTTGCACCTGACTACTCTTTGGTTCACCTTTTCCGTTTACTGGTTTCAAATATATCAAAACGCGAACGGGCCTTGACCGGCATATAAACCTGGCACGAGTTGCAAACTTTCTATTCCTAACCGCACTCAGGATAACGTCAAAACAACAGCATAAAAATTATAAGCGCACGCGCTTTTTATAACTGAATCGAATCTAAATATACTTTAAGTTTAGACTTTAGATGGATACGGACGCCTTAAAAGCAATTTAAAAAAATCATCACACTGTACGACCTAAATTGTAAAAAAAAGTGCTGATTTAAAACGAAAAATTACAACAATTAATATGTTAGTAGAGCCAAAAATGTTACTAATTAATTTTTTTTTTTTTTTTAAATTCTAAATTTAAATCTGGATATTAAATGGGTGGGAGGAATATCGAAATACCGCGAGGGTAACAAACCACAGTAAAAGTGAAATTTAATCTAGTTTCATTTTTAGTCTGTGGATTTCCGAATATCCAATGCCAAAATAGATCGAGATCGCATATTGTTGAGATGTTATCTGTGTATAATATATGTCCCCCTGTTTTATAAAAAAATAAGCTTGTGCGACACATCTTTCACTATATATGGTAAATATAATTTAAATAATTTAGTCGTCATAATTAATATTAAAAACGCAACGCACCATAACGATAAATAGGTATCAATGTGTTTGTTTAATAATGAATGCTCTTACCGACAAAATCGGCATATTATGAAAGCTCAGATGTACTCTGAACGTTTTCATACAAAGTATCGAATGAACAACAAACTGTTGTACGCGAGTACTCGAGATGTATATTATTGTGAATTATTTTAACCAACATAGTATGTGGTCCGGAAACGGGAATTCTCGAATGTAAACACTGCTCTTATATATAAAATCTGTTACAAATACTGGAATTTGAGTCAATATACTTTAAATATGTATATCTAAAATACCTAATGTTAATCTAAGGTACCAATTTAATTGTCATTACGTAAATATTCATCGTAAGAGATCGATGGGTAGCGATAAGGCCGCCCGTTACTCTCTGTAACTAAACTCTATTTCCTTAATGTAGGTATTTTGAGTTAAGTTAGGCAGAGCACTTAGCTTGATTAGTTCATAATACAAATTTTCCCTGAAACTGAACATATATTACATAAACCGTAATAAAATAGATATGAGGTATCTATTGATTGGGATTTAAAGCATTTATTAGGGGAAAAAAAAGTAATTTGAAATTATATTATCAGCCTAACATTTTATATGATTATGAAGTCAGTTTAATATGTAGATATGTATGTATGTATGATATACAAGCGTATTTGAGAGTCACCTATTTCCATCAATTGGTAGGCGTTAGCAATGCAGATCAGAACTTTGAGCCTGTCAGTGATGTGTGATGCAACTTTGCACTGTCACAACAGATAAAAACAACACGGCCTATTCGTGTCAATTATTCATTTATTTATGACTTACTCTGTTTGTTTTAAAAGTATACGCATAAAGCTTAATTATTAAATAAAGTTTTATCTTTAAGTAATTAAGGTTTATTGATTTTTTTATTAACAAGTAATAATTCATACGTTAGTCTATTTTTTTCTTATCAGAATTAATATAATTTACTGCTAAGATGGTATTATATGAATTAAACACGTGAAAAAACATGAACTGGCATTCACAGCGTTCCGTGCTGTTTCTCAAACCAAATGAGCTACCATGTCCGCCACGAAATCGTCGACTTTTTTAACTTGATTGATACGTGCACCTCTCGCGCAATATAGTATTAAAGTTATCAAACTAAGATGGTCTTAAATTTGCAGCAAGTGACTTATTTTGTCATTCGCATGGCTTTGCTGGTCTCTTGGCTGTGGGCAGCCCTGCTGACTTGCGCTCCCGTTTTGGGTCTAGGTCTCTATTATGACGAAGCAACACAACAGTGCGTCCGCTACAGAAATGCCACTGAGGGCATGGATTTCTTCTATGCTATATTCTACGTCACGTTCGGTAAGTTTTTTTCTTTTATCTTTGGGTGGCGTAGAGATATTTTTGTAATGTTGATTGATTATTTATCTCGCTAGTCACTCCATTTAAAGTGATATTGGGACAGTGTTATGATAGATTAGCAGCATCGAAGTACGCGTGGGCTTAGTTATTTTTGTACTTGCAAAGCCCTAGCTTAATTATTTTTTTTATTAAATATAGTTAGTTTCTAATCGAAGTTTCAAAGATATTTAAATAGAACACTTTAACGGTTTGAAACGCGATATATATAAAGGTAAAATTATTTTAACAGCAGCCCGACGTTTCGGATACTTTGCAGCAGGCGTGGTCACGGGGTGACTAATATCGCCATGACCATTTAAACTACAGACAGTTTCTAAGATAGTTTAATTTTATCTGTCTTAATTAAACTGATTTATCTTTATATTAGGAACGGCGTTGTGTGTAATACTTGTCTACTGTAATTTGGCGGTGATTCGTGCACTATACGCGATAACGGCACCGCGAGATGGCGGGCCTGTAGTGAGGCGCGTCTCCAAGAGTAGCTGCCGGCAGAGGCAGCGCTGCGGGGAAGCTCTTCATCATCACAATGCAGCCACAGCGGAGGAGGTCGCCTTCAGTAGACTAATGGCAACTCTCTCTGTGCTCTTCATGATTTGCTGGCTGCCTCAAATGGTTAGTTACACAGTTAACACTGAACATTTTTTTATTACTCTTCGTACTGCCTAATGAATTATTTATATCAGATGTAATGTTTTCATGGAAATGGGTAAAGTATATTCTTTTACTTCTCATAAACTCTTCTATCATCGGTACATTTACCTTACTATACATAAATAATGTGATAAGCTAAAACAATCAGGTACCCAAGGCCACACATCACAGCACAACAGTTTGCCGATTGAATATCAATCTCTGCGATAGTTCCGTCTACCCTATCAATCCATGCGCATGCGCCGACTCAGAAATTGCTCATTTTGAGTTTATTTATTTTTAAGGCGCGGCGTCGAGATGCCAATGAGAACAACTAAGTATATGAAGAGTACATTCAATCGCTCTTAAACATAAAATGCTTAATTCACAGATTTGTTAATACAGGTTGCAAATTTATTATTAGTTATGAATAATTGTTATAATTACACATATTGGTCAAATAACAAACATAGGTATTTAAATAAAACACTTTAACGGTTTAAAACGCGAAGCATATAAGTTAAACTTATTTGTCTTTGCAGCAGCCGCGGTCGCGATATTACTAAAGATAGTGGGCGTTTCTAATGTCGAAGAAACCCATTGCAGCAGTCGTAGGCAAGGGAAATGATCTAAAAATTTCAAATAAGTTTAACTAATATATTTTACGTTTTAAACCGATAAAGTATTTTATTTAAATTTACTACTCCCTAACCGACAGTATGTAGAGGTTTGTAGAGGGTACATCGTTCTACGAGAGAAAAGTTATATAGATGCATAATTGTCAATCACATGTCAAATCGTGATTCAAAATTTCCATTGTTAACAATAAAATAATCGATAATAAAATTATTCACAATTGTCATGCACAGTGCGTATTCGTCGCAGGCGAATATATTTCATTGTTTTAGCAATAAAAGGCAACGAATAACGATCGACGACGAGCGTTCTATAATCCGTTCATTCTTTTGCACGCAGTAGTTAAACGTCTGTCAGAAAATTTAAACTTTTTCGTGAATTGAAAACCTTACACGTACACCATTATCATACTTTTTACTATGTATTATTTTTAATACAATAACAAAAACATTCCAAACGTTAAAATCATTCAATCAACCACTAGCTAATAGATAAACAATTAAGACCATCAAATTAATACTATGGTTATCTGTCCTCCTCAATCATAAAAAACAATTATAGATGATTCACAAACAAATATTCATTCCTACAATACCTATCCACGCGTGTTATGGGCGATAATAATTCGCGAAATCGGGTATAAGATCGCTTTTGGGCGGTAACCAAAATGTATTTTCGGTCTGTCGCGGAAAAAAAATACTTACAACTTAATATTATTCAAATGTATTTCAACTACCATCGTGTGAAACCCAGGCTTGGTGTGAAATGTAAAAATTACATTATCAACAAAATATTACTGGTAGCACCTACTTCAGTTGTTTTGGCAAAGAATCCATTACCAGCATGTGGCCGACGACTGCTGATCGCTAATCGACACTAGAGGGTTAATTGGACCACCTACACTAATAATATAGATTATGTCCCCCATCAGATAAGAAATGACATTAGGTTTGTCGACCAGCCGATAGCCACTCCTAGTATATTGTTTATTTTCTTCATGATGTAAGACAAAATTGGCTATTAAAAGAAATTAGTAATTACTTGATAAGAATGTTGAAAAATGAAGCGCCTACGTTTACGAAACTTCCCATATATGTATAATATTGTTGTATAAACACGATTTATAAAAGCACAAAGGCAAAAATCTATCGATTTATTTACGTAAAGATATGTTCTTTATGTGTTTTTTTTACCCATTTTCTTCACTTTGCAGGTAACATCCGCGTTATACCTATCACTGGGCCCCGAGTCGTGGAAGCGGCTCGACAGCTTGGGCCGTCTCTCTGACATGCTGATGCTACTTAACTATGTTTTGGACCCGATCCTGTACGTGCTGTTTCGACGCTGTTCTCTCTCCGCGTTTTGTCACAACATCGCAACGTGCTTTAAACGGGTAGGCTGTCCCTTAAGAAAAAACCTTTCTCATAACCGTTTTACTGTCTTTGTCTGTTTTTCATTTAAAACTAAATCACAGAACATTTTTCGTAATTTATATCAAAAATACCTATTAGGCTGTTACCTTACGCATCACCTCAGCAAATGTCTATAATATAAGGTTGCTGAATAGGAACGAATAAACCTACCGGAATTGACATTAATGGGTAGCCGAACAACTAAATTTACGGCTTGTCTTTTTTGTTACAAATTTTTTAAATTGAATAGTGAGCACATGTATTATTATATCGCGTATTTGTAATTTTAAGGAAATATTTTGTATGCGTCAAACACTCTGTCGCGTTGAACTTATTCGGCGTCGGTTTCAACACTTCCGTACGGAAGTTCATATTTAAAGCGACAATGAACTAGACGAAGTCTTTTGCCTCTGTGAACTATATCCTATCATTAATTGTATTTTTATAATTCTCAAAATGTGTCTTCCAGAATCACAAGACTTCTACGGAATCGATGAAAACATCGTGCTGTCCACAGGATACTGTTATGATGAGCGAAAGTTCTGGTGCAGAAATGCGTCCACTTCGTCCCGTAGCACCTGCCTGCGCCACCATTTTCAACGTGGACGACTGACACTCACACATGGACACGCGGACCGTGACGCGTACTAACGACAATCACAAACACATCAGATCGGAAAACTTGAGGAGTCGATACTGAGGGCTGAGATCTCGATGTATTGCCCAATACATGTTCTCAAGCTGTTTTCTCTCGTTGGTCATATTATGTAGACACACTAGTCTATTTTTACAAAAAGAGTGCACATATCCGTACTAAGAAAATCACAGATTATTATATACTTTGACAGGAAGTGAGTTAAAGAAAAGCATCAAAAAGTACGGCGTAACTTGTTATGTATTGGACTATTTAATTTAAGATGGCAGTAAAGTATTGCTCTGAAAGTTTGATTAAAAAGTGTGTAAAATATAAAAAGGAATGTGAAAATATATATGTAGTTGGTGAATCGAGATACGTGTAGTACAAACTATAGTAATATAGGGGAAGTAAGTTATTTTTGTAATTTTATATAAACATTAATAATACAAGTTACCAATTAAAAAGTGTAGAATTAAATATAAAACGCCTAGTCCACAATATATTATATAATTGTCAAATACACAGTCAAATATGGTGCTGATGAATTAAAACAGCATATCAAAAACGAAAGTCTGTTACGTTATTTGCGTGTTGTCGTTATAACTAAATAAGCTACAATCGACCCTTAAAAAAATTATATACAATACTAAGTAATTAAAGGCACCAATTTAAGGGTAGTTTTATAAAAATATAATCTTTTTAGTATTACAAACTTCTTTTATTTTGTTTTTATATTATCCTCAAACTAATAATTGTAAATAAATGAAAATCAGAAGGGAACAAAATATCGGATACAACGTTTTTACAATGTTTCGCTTTATGAGTTCGAAACTTTGATGTTGAATATTCACTGTAAAATTATTTTGGTATATGTGTTAAATAACTGACATCTGACATTGACAGTTAACATTACCATTTGGCATTTACCTATGATTTAAGTCTTAAGATATGTAACCAAATGTAAACTTAATTCATACGTTACTGTAATAATTTAGGAGTTTTGTTAATTGAATCAAAATAATATTGACTAATTTAGCCATGACGATATTTCATGACGAAGTTGAAATAGAAGATTTTGAGTACGACGAAGACGAAGAAATGTATTATTATCCATGTCCATGCGGTGACCGGTTTCAAATTAGTAAGGTTAATAGTATTTTTGTACCGCTAATATTCTATTGGTTTGCCGATATGTATTGAAATATATATGCTATTTGTATTTTAGGAAGAATTAATGGCTGGTGAGGAAGTAGCAACATGTCCTAGTTGCTCATTAGTAGTTAAAGTTATATATGACATAGTGAGTATCTGTTTATTACATGTACTAGTTAAATATTACAGTAACCCATAAATGTAATTAACTTTAACAAAAAAATTGTTTGTGTTTAAGGAAAAGTTCAAAGCAGAGTCTGAAGAGATACAAAAAGACACCAGTGACAAAGAAGCTGTGAAAGCCTGAAGTGTTATTGTACTCCTGGCTGGTTATATTGTTAATGCTGCGAGTATGTGAGAGCTGTCCTTATCTTAGAACAGGAACATGAATAAATTGAATCTCTGAGACATGATGTTTACTCATAGTTGAGTTTTTGACAATCTTTGATATTGTATAAAAATAAACTTTAATAACAACACACTTTCAGATTGTCTTTTAATGTACCCTATAATATAATTTACACTCAGTCCTAACATAAGTAAAAGCGCCGTAAAGCAAAATGACTGTTACAAAATTGTAATGACAGTTGGATTTTCAAAATACCAAATTACAGTACATCTTATTAAAAATAATATGTGATTTCTTATAAGTACATATTTTACATACAGAACCTAAATGTCAATATAGCTATAATATATAAATTATTATGTTAGCATAACATAAAATGCAGTTTGACTAGCTAAGAAATATACATATTGCCTACTTATATTTTGAAGCCTTTACAGATATTGTCTCTCATATCAGGAAGTGTCAATATCAATAAATGTTAAATAATTAATTTATTTTGACTAGTTAAATTACCGTCTTGTGCCTTGTGATAATATTGATGTATGATTATTCTAAGCAATAAATAAAACTGTATAAATGATATTTTTTACAATAATTAAAATAGTAATAACTTAGTTATAGGGGGAATGTAATAAAACTAACACAAAGTTCAGTTACTACAACAATAGGTATAACATCTATCACAGGGGACTCACAGAAGCAGGCTTATTTGGACCTTAATAGATTATTATCCATATGGCCCTCTTTCACGCTTTGTGTACAAAGTTGGGTCACTATTAAAATAAATAATCTTAAAGGAACCAATTATTCATATTACCAAAATAATTAATTGTTACCTTCTTAATTTAAGCAACACTCATTTTAAAGTACAAAAATAACAGTCAAACATTAAAGCAAATATAGAATGAATACTATTCAGTAAAGAAATGCCTGAATCCTAGTTATAGATGATTTCTCGTGACAATTTATGACAAACCACTGGATATATTTAATCTCTATATGATAAATGTTGTGTATAGATCTTCACAATGACCAGAAGTCAGAATAATCAGAATTTAGTTACCCATGTTAATGTTAAAAGGCCACGATGTAAGTAACCATCCTTCAACAACTTGGAACTTTTAAGTTGACCGAGGAGGTGCAGCAGCAGTCGAAGTGGTAGTTAGCTGTGTTGCAGTAGTTGCTGGGGGTGCAGGCTGTGATGGCGTGGCCCCTGGCACACTGAAGTGCCGCACTGCCGCCTCTAATGCAACATTATTACCGCTGAAGTAGGCCGATATCGCGTTGTGAAAAAGTAGTAGTTGCTTATTCATCACTTTTACCTACAATCACAGTTTAACATTTAACATAACAGGGGTTATAGTTTAAAAAATACCTCAATACTAAATGCTCAAAATACTGACCCGATTCTCATGAAGCAATTTCAGCTTCACAGCCGAGTCATCCCTTAGGCGAGCATAAATTGATCGGTGGCGCTCAATGTTGGCCATCAAACCTTCAGGTGGTGAGCCCCCATGTGTCTCCAGCTCGCTGCGATATGCGTCGTACTCTACCCTGATGTAAACAAATTAATTTCATAATTGGGCACAAGATTTTTCACTGTACATTTCCATTTGTACGTACCTAGCAGCCTCATATTGTCGTATCGTGAGCAATGTGTCTTCCATGCTCTTGTTGGTCAGAGTGTTGAGTGAGTTGTTGAAGAAATGCAGAGCTGCCAATAATGTCTCTCCATTACGAGTGAGTGACCGTTGCGTGTCGGCGTTATATAAGAATCTGAAATTGAGAGAAATATTATTAAGCAATTCAATCAGCTTATCACTTAGTTAAATAACTATTTATTGGTGGTACTGACTGTGTCTGTAGCTCAGGTGATTTCTGTGCAAGCTCTGCAAATGCTTCGCCTAATGCTCTTTGTGTGTAGGCAGCCGCCGATAGCTGTGCTGCCAACGCAGTACTCAGTCGAAGCACATTAAGATACTTACGTTGTGTCTCGCGTAACATCTCTATTTGGGCTTCCAATTCTAAACAACATAGTTAATGTTATTTGTAGTTAAAAATATAAGTAATTAAAAATATTTGGTTTTAGACATCATTTCTCATACCAGTATCCACAGTACGTGAGCTTTTGCCCAGTTTCTCATACAGCAGTTGCTTGGTGCACTTGTATGTTGAGACACTCCAATTCTTGATATGCTCGAGTTTAGTGGAACCTGATCTGAGCAGAGTGCTGCTGCCACTAGCTCCATTAGCTGTTACTTCAGGTGGAGCTGGAATAAAATAAATTTGTTAATTATCTACAACATAATATTATTGTCACCTTTGATAACTACTGAATGTAAAATCTTATAATTTTTTATATTGTCTACCATATAACTTGTTATTTATGATTCTAAATAAAAATATTAGGACAGGATGTATATTAAAAATATATACAAAGATGTAGACAGCGAATGTTATAAGTATAATATTTATTTATTATAGTACCATATGACATAAAGAAGATGGAAAGATGACTTTTGCTGGGATTTTATGAGATCAGCATAACAACAGATAGAGTGCAATAGAAGCATTTGGAGGAGGCATATGTCAAAAGACACACTGAATTATGAGATATTTTATATATTTTTAACTATGTAAATGTTTGAAAAAAAAAACAAAGGCTATTATTATTATTACGTACCATAACCAGGTGGGAAGCTCATGGAACGTGAAGTTGAAAACTTGGCCTCAGTTCCCGATGTAATGGAATCACTTGATTCCCGAAGTGGAGGAGTATCCTTTAACATTTCGTGAATGCTGCGTTCTGATTGCCTGTAAAATAACGTTTGCTCAAAAGAACATACAGATGAGAATATACAAAACGAATTTAAACAATATAATCATATAAATGAACCAATTGCCGTATTACTTTATAACAATAATGAATGTATATAAATTATAGATACGATATTCAAATTCAGTTCGGGTTCTCTATTTCTTCTAAAACTGTAAACATAAATACCGAATCCATAAAAGTAAATGAGCTCACCACTTTGACATTATTCTTTTTTTATAAAAGTAATATCTGAGGCAACCGGTTTGATATATGCTGCACCACGATTTATTGGACTAGATATTTAAGAGTATAATATTAAAAATAAAAGAACGTTTTTAGTAGGAAATACACTGCTTGCATTATTACCACTCATTTGACAGTTGACTAACAAGTAAAAAACACAGATGTAGTGAGCATTATATTAAATTTAAATTATGAAATTATAAATTCACAGATCTACAAATAATGGACCACAGGTATAAGGTCGATGGTGAATCTATCAACTATCCGATTTTTAATGTCTTTATTGTAGAGTTTGGGCAATAATGTTGGTTAAATTCAAAAGTTAAAAATACTTTATAATGCAAGTCGTAGTATTTTTCAATATGGTAGCTCCCTTGTATGTCATTCGACTCACGTCATGTGCTACGTCACACGTCATTCATTTTTCGATTCATTTTTGTGGAAGAGGATGATCGCTGTGGTCTTGCTTGTATAGGTTTATTTTTATTCAATTATTGTTTTAGTAGTGCAGTGAAAAGTGCATATACGTTTGGAAAAAGCCTCAATACTGTAACTCAAAATGTTTAGCTGGCTAAAAAAGGAGGGAGAAAAGACAGAAAGTATAGAAAATGTCGTGGAGGGTCTCAAAAGGATATATAAAACGAAACTTTTGCCCCTCGAATCACATTATCAGTTTCACGACTTTCATTCGCCTCAATTAGAGGAGCCAGACTTCGATGCAAAGCCGATGATATTACTCGTCGGACAATATTCGACGGGAAAAACGACATTCATCAAATATCTTCTAGAACGAGACTTTCCCGGCATTCGAATCGGTCCCGAACCGACCACGGATAGATTCATCGCTGTCATGTACGACGAGAAAGAAGGCGTCATACCGGGGAATGCTCTTGTCGTAGACCCCAAAAAACAATTTCGGCCTCTAAGCAAATTTGGTAATGCGTTCTTAAACAGATTTCAGTGTTCCACGGTTTCCTCTCCAGTGCTACGAGGTATATCCATAGTGGACACGCCCGGTATCCTCTCCGGAGAGAAGCAGCGCGTTGACCGGGGATACGACTTCACCGGCGTTCTAGAGTGGTTCGCGGAGCGTGTCGACCGTATTATCTTGTTGTTTGACGCCCACAAACTAGATATATCTGATGAATTCAGGCGGAGTATAGAGGCTCTGAGAGGCCATGATGATAAAATTCGCATAGTTCTCAACAAAGCCGACATGATTGACCACCAACAGTTAATGCGAGTTTATGGAGCCCTGATGTGGTCATTAGGTAAGGTGCTGCAGACACCTGAAGTGGCCAGAGTGTACATTGGTTCATTCTGGGACCAACCTCTACGGTACGATGTTAACCGACGGCTATTTGAGGATGAAGAGCAAGATCTTTTCAGAGACATGCAGTCGTTACCGAGAAATGCAGCTTTAAGAAAGTTAAATGACCTTATAAAAAGAGCACGCCTTGCTAAAGTACATGCATACATAGTAAGTGAACTAAGAAAAGAAATGCCATCAGTGTTTGGTAAAGATGGAAAAAAGAAAGAATTAATAAAGAATCTTGCACAAGTTTATGACCGTATTCAAAGAGAACAACAAATATCACCAGGAGACTTTCCAGACATCAAAAAGATGCAAGAAATATTAGCTAACCATGATTTCACAAAATTCCACCCTCTCAAACCCAAACTTTTGGAAGTGGTGGACCACATGTTAGCAACAGACATTGCTAGGCTTATGGACATGATCCCCCAGGAAGATGTCAATGTTGTGAATGAGCCACTTATAAAAGGTGAGTCATTTTATTTAAACCCCCATTATTCTTCAATAAAATAGAATTAATTTCTTCTTTAATAGGTGAAAACTAAAAACATTTAGAAATCTTGTATGACATGGAAATATTCATGTAAGAATAATTAGCACAATTCATACAAGTGTTATTTAACACATTCCCAACAAGGCTATGTAAGCCTGAAGATATGAAATCATAAGAATATTATCAGTAGATATTGACCTGCACACTCTTATCACTGATAAGACACATGGAGTACACAGACCGAAGTTAGAGTATCATTAAATTAGATTAAATTAAGCTATGCTTAGTCTAAACATAATCAACAATTAGTTTGCACATTATGATTCAATATTTGTGAAAACAATAAAATTTTAAAACTTTAATATCTTTCACATGTACATGCACAAGATGCACTATATAAATTAAAAACTGATTTTAAATTAAAAAAAATACTTAACAGTTGAAAACTTTCATATTTTTTACATGTTATTGCACATGAAGGCACTATATAATTTAAAAATCAAAAAAAATTCACGAGGACTGAACCAGCACCGTCAGAGTTCTGTGCTGTTGCTCTAACTTAACTTAACAGTTTTTTGAATGATCTCCCTAATCCAGTTAAAATAGGCAAAGTTGTTACACTTTATTTGTTGTTATTGAGAAGAAGTGCCTGTAAGTATGTCTAAGTAAGATACAGAATTTTTTTTGAGTAAATGCAGTTGGAAATTATGTAATTAGATTGCAACTCAAGTGCCCTAGTTTAATGAGTTCATGAACTTTCAAGTTGTCTGTTTGAACAGTCAGTCTCATGCGTTTTTGGAACATTGAACTCAGTGCTTTGGTGGTAATTAGGTATTTTGGCATTAATTCAGATGTGGCAGTGGCTGACCTTCTTTGTTGTCGTTGGCTTCAACTCTCTTTGTTCTTCTTTGCTTACTAATTTGTGTCTGGACTAACTGTTCTTTTTACCATTCGTTACTGTTGGCGTTGAATTGTGGAATGTTGCGTTTATGTAATGAATAGAAAATACTGTTTTACTATGCTATTATGGAACCTAAACCTCCTTTTAGTAGGAACAGATGTTCCTACTTGTTTTATGGTGGAATGACACGGAAGCTACATTAGCCATGTGATTGTGTTAATTTCCATTACGTTGTGTCGTTAATTTATGTGTCAGGTGCAGGCTGCAGATATTTTACGAAAATTTTACCAAGTGATTAGTCATTATGACTCAAACCTTTTATTGTTTTCTTTCTTCTCGTTCTAGTTATTATTGCTTCATTTTAGATAGAAATATGTAGGAGAATGTATGTATGCATTTTTCGAGACGACTGAAGTTTTTATAAGATCAACTATAATAGGTCATAAACCACTAATTTGGCTTGCTTAAAATGGCGTCGTTGTAGTTACGAAATTATAAACATTGTTATTACTTTATGAGTAATGAATTTATACGCGTGACGTCATCATGTTAGAACACCACAATGTTTGTCATGAAATGTTTAACACGGAGTCTAAGGTCAGTCAGGTGATAAGTTTTTATTGCGTTAAAATTGCTATATGGGTTTGGAAATTGTAAAGTGTTCACAACTGTTATCACGAGTGTAAATGACTAATTTTGGATTGATAAAATTGCTTTCGCATCGTCATCGAAATGCGGGCGCGGCTGCGTCGGCCTTGCCTTTTGTACTTGAACTATTGTCAATAATGAATCGGCTACGAGTAAACTATTCATTTGTAAGATCAACTTATACGATCTTTGTAAGTTAATTATTGACGAAAGCAATTTTGGACATTGAAAAAGGAAATTAGACTTGCGTTCGCAGTTTTTTTGTCAAAGTCACAGTCCCCAATGTCCCCTAAACCGTTGTTAAGTGTGGTATGCATGCAATAACATTACGTTTCCTCAAGGGAGGGCCAATGGCGAGGCGACGGGCGCCGTAGAGGGACTGCAAGGCGAGCCCGGCTTCGTGAGAGGTAAGATCATTGTCCGAGGCTTTTTGCACATGATCCTCGATCAGTCATTGATACGACTTTGAAAATTTATAAATACAGCACATCTTGCGTCACAAGTGAACTCCGTCATTCTGATCTTTCTGCAAAAGCTTATTTATTATAACGTTATTAAAACGTTTACTCAAAGTATGTACTTATTAAAGAAAGGATTTTTTAATCCTCTTGCATATAACGTTTTATCGGTCATCACGAGTATCTCCAAAAATTATCATTTTAAATTGTACATACGTATAGTCGATAGTGTATGCATGTCCCTGCATAGAAAATATATTTTCCTGCAATTACTACAGCCCAGGACCTCTAGCACAATATTACAAAATGTTAAACCAACGATCCTTATGAGTGTTCATTGTAGACTGTAGTTGTAACATTATGCCTTCATTAGTCCGATAGTTTAAAGCCTGGGGTAGGATTTAAGGGATAGTAATTATTAGCTCTTCATCGATGACTGATCGAAGATGTTTCCTGAGTGTGTGTTGTCAATGATCTACCTCTTGTGTTCATCTTTGCCACTAATTATTGTATAAATGTGTACTTGCTGAGCTTTGCGTTACTTATTAATACTATAAATTGAAATCCTGTACATCAAGCTTTACAATATTTTAATTTAACTAATTCTATTAATATATAATAGATAACTGTTCTCATTCGGAGCGGTCGAAGCTATATTAAAATGTACGGGTATTGTATTTGTTTGTGTACCAGAGACGCCCACTAAATGTCGTAGAACGACTTCATCTCATAATCTACTAAACATTGAACTGTATAGGCACTATAGGTGGCGTTCAAGAAATATATGCATACTAGAATGTGCCCGCGACTTCGTCTACGCAGGATTAGGATTAGGATTACGTAGTATCGCGCATTTAAACTAAATGATGTCTATCATATCATACAGTACATATTATGTGTAACTAACGTTTATGGCAGCGCAAGCCAGAATAGCTCGCAGAAAGGTAGGTTTTTTCCTAGTTACTTGACACTTAATGTCATATTTTGGACAGCTCACACAATATCTTTATAAATATATGTTATTCTGATGTATGAGCTATATTATTGGAAAGTTCAATTAAAATCCATTCAGTAGTTTTTGCGTGAAACAGTAACAAACATCCATTCACACATACAAACTTTCACGCTGATAATATTAGTAGGATATTGGTTTCTTAATAAATTTTAACGTCATTCTAATATGTCAAAAACAGTTAAGAGTTAGTGTGAATTAGAATGTTAAGAGACAGTTTTAATACCAAAATTAAACCTCTCACATATTAGACGAAGTCTAACATTAAAAATATTTTTATGCTTGAACTAGCTGTGTTAGTGATTTAGCCCGAGTGGAATAATATAGTTATTTTGGTCATATAATTTGTTTTTGCAAACCTCCTGTTCAACTCCATAAATGTAAGCTGTTACCCACGTCTGCGTCCCGTCGTTCTCGCGAGTTAGTCTCAAAGAAGAAGATATAAACTGTCGCGGACATTTTTTTCATCATTTCAAGAGGAGTCATACCTACTTTCGTATATATTTTTTGGGTATCTTGAATCGCTTTCGCAGCGAACGTAAACTGAAACCAACAAAGATTAATAATTTTCCCCCTTTTTCTACATTTTCTGCTGCTTCTTCGCTCCTATTAGCGCAAGAATTTTTCAATTCGAACCAGCTTTATATATTCGTATAGAGTTTATCTTTCACTCTATCGAGTGGTCATTTGGATGATTGGAGTCACGCTCTCGATGATAATTCCTATTGAAGTGATAACGGCGCCACGGACGAGAGCTCCAAAGCGCTGATATCACTGAATTTCGTTATCAATGTCGCTTGTAAAGGACGTGTTTAATCACTGATCGGTAATTGCCCCCATTCGATTGGATTCTTCAAAAGATCTTGAAGCCATATTATTTGAAACTCATTATAGCGGCATAATATGTACAAAATACACGTTTACGTTATAGGATTTGTCATATTCTTAAATGAATGTCTGCGTACCTAGTTTCCCTATAAAATATACAGGATTGTTTTTTTTTTTAGTTTAATTAAAGCTAATTACATAATACATATTTTTTTACATAAATAAGCATTTATGACAAAAAAAACAAATTTACGTACTTCGCAACAATTGAGAATGCGCTATTTTTTTACAAAGTTTAGGAATATGAAAACTTAAACATTGTATGCTTGTGAATCACTTTAAATTGTTTTAAAAACATATTATATGCATTAATTTACATTTTACAGTTATACGTTACTGAGCTGGGTGAACAGCTTATAAATAAATCAATTAAGTATTTTTTTCGCGTTTTATATTTTTTATTACGAACACTTATTTCGATTCTGTGGTGTGAACAAAATATATATATTTATATTTGTAAATAAAACTTTGTATGTATTTGAAGATAGCAAAATTGTTGTGAGTACCAGAGAGAGTACTAAAGTTTCATTAGAAGTATGGGTGTTGAATGAGAACAAGATCACTTTCTCCCTCGCGCCATCAAGATTGGCATCGCCTCTACCCAGCTATTGCTTGCTTATTTATTGTTCATTGTCCCCGCCCTCCTATTTACTTAAGTGTATACAAGCGAACATTCCGTGGAATTTCATTGTTTAAAATAAACTTGGTCTGCACAAGTTGTCACTAATTTTAAATTAATTAAAAAAATTTGAACTGAATATGACTTCCATTTTAATTTAAAGAAAAATTTAGAACGTAATGGTTCAAAATTTTATTTAAAAATCAATTTTGTACACCGAATCTGCAATAGGTGCTGATTACCAAGAATATGCAATTCTCTCCCGCTTGTCCGAGTACATTAACAGTCTCGTTATGCAATAACCTGGTTTACGCCAGTGATGTGGAAGCGTAGATCAGTCTCACGCAACCGGCACCTAGCATAATGAGCCTATTTTAATGGCAGATGAGCGAGAGTTAATTGTTGTTCGGTCATTGTTCGCACGTCCGTCGTGACGTCACAGCCCATTCAGCCCCTCTCCGCCATTATTGTTCGCGACCCACTTGTCTCATTGACACGAGGGCGTCGCACACGCAGTGCCAGCCACTAGGCGCTTATTCTCGCACCCTACAATGGCTATAAGGTATTGATCTTCGTCGCTTCCACTGCGACTGGTATGCATAATTCATTCAACCTAAGAAAGGGGAAAGCATTGGCATATGATGTAGATACACGATTTTAATCGAGTAAATCTTACTAGAGTTTCGCTATTTTATTTAAAACGAAGTCAACGAAATTTACATTTTAACTATGCATTGGATTACAAATTTTTCTTTAAAGCTGAAAACTATTACATAAAAATATATTATGTATAGTACCTAGATTTGTTTGCCTTGCTGTGAACCCCCTTAACGAGTGACATCGTAGGACACACCTAGCCCACGTTAAAACTGCCTTGCCATTGAAAATATTATATGCTGCTCGGTAGCCCATTCAATTAGCTTGAAAGACCTCGCTATTATAAATAGGAGGGTGGATCAATGACACTATTTAAATATAGTACGCTAGATCACAGGAACATGACTTTAAAGATGTCAGTTCCGTCTCTTAACAGCATCATTGGTGTCGGAGGAGGCTCGATGTCATCTCGGTGCACTGGAGCAATTGGGGCACTTAGCTGCCTTTATGCTCTCTCGCGGTCTCATTGTCCACGCGCTATTGACGCTCAAATAGTCTATTCATTCATCTGATATTTCCGGTTACATCTGTACTTGACATTGGTTACATGTGGTCACGCCCCACGTTTCGTGCCTAATTGCTTTCATAGAAAAAAATTGTGATTTTTTTGTATCTCTGCCAAATTACTAACACTTGCTATACGTCTTAAACGCCGCTATGCTATTTTGGTGAGATACTAGATTTCTGGTAAGTTACATTAGAGTCCGTTGAATAGTTGTTTTTGCACTTACAAAATATTATTTTAAGCACTGTGTTACGGCGAGCTTGAAAATCAATATTCTCCGAAAAGGTTAATTAAGTATAGTAGTCCTGATGAAATATTTTACGCCAATAAGTTTGCACAATTTTAACGTGTCGAGTTCCATTATTTGGTGGTTCTACGCTTTCCAATTTCACAATTCAGTCGATTTAGTGACTATTGCTGTTGATGTCTGGTAGTAACATTTGTAAAGTCAAAAAGTACCGGCAAACAATTCGATAAGTATATCGGAAGTGCTAAGTATGCCGCGCATGAGCTGAATTCCGCCGACGAGCAAGTAGGTACCAAGCTACAAAATACACATTATTATCAGTACAGGCCTACCATTCTGTTATCGAAAAATCTCTTTGTAATCAGACCTTGCCACGACTGTATATTACCCAACCGCTGTATGGTGGTTTAAACTTTTTGAAAAATACACCTTAATTCAAAACAGCCCTTGATTCAAATATTGGAAATAGAAAGTTTTCATTTTAAATACTAACTTCCATAAATGTTTGTCATAAGCAAAACCAAATGAGTACAGGGAATAAGTACTTTCGAATTCGTTCGCGAACTTTATTAATTCGAAGCGTGTGTTTAATGACTCATTGCCATGATCTATATTTCGTTGTGCTAGTTTGTACCTGACATGCCTTTTTGAAGAACCTATTTTCAAATAACTCTAGTGAAAAAATCTTTTTGATCTTCATCACCAACAAGATTTTGACCACCTAATAAACCTTTTTTTATTATTATCTAGCATTAAGTAGTTTACATTCTTCTTCTTTATTTGATAGCTTTCCTCGTGGTATAATTTGATGTGTCTATGGGAGAAACAATAAGGCGTGATAATATACATTTGTAGCCTCATCTTTTTAACACTGGAATTTAGGAAAACACATTATAATATATTTAAATAAAATCATTCTAAAGAATGTACATTTTGTCCACATGTTATGTTAAAAAAATGTCAAAGAATAAGAAAGAAAAGTGACAAATAATATTGAGGCTGCACATTCTGGGTTTAGTTTAATGGAACGCGTCAATAGAAACAATGCTGATTGTTTTCTTGCAAAGAGGCGAAACATAAAAGTGGTCGCGATTACACCGAGGAATGCAAATAACGGTTCCGATTGTTACTTCGAGCTGATCATATGTAGGACGTGTTCTGACTGTATACGATGATAATCGACATCACTATGTTTAGTTGGATATTACTTGTTCGGTGGTCCTTGTCGAAACCTTTCTGTTAGAAGCTATGTCATTTACAACACATTGGTGTTTATATTTTTAGATAGACAGTTGGTCTGGTCACTAGTGATTCTTCCTATCTTCGTGTTGATTATTGATATGTAATACCTCTGGTATCTTAATTTGAAAAAAGTCCCGTGTTAAATGATTGTGAAGCACAATGTGTTTTTTTCTATTAGTTCATTGCGACAATGTATGTGAATTTTCTTTTTATGTGTTTTTTTGTCTATTTTAAAAATTGCACCAGCACATAATGGCTTTCGTAATAAAGCGAAAAGAACGCTGATAAACTAATAATAGATAAAAATAATAACCTAATAATAAACAGATACAATTTAAATTATAAAGGCTTATTAAATACATAAACTACATATCTATATATGTTCACAAGATTTTGGACAAAGCAATATTTATCGCTGTAAACTACGTGAAATAAGTGCCGATTGTATGGCGTAGTGGTTCTTGCGTTGTGTTGCAGTAGCGAAGTAAATTCCTAACGTAACCGGTCTCGTAATGAACGTGCTTCTAGATCGGCTCAATTGCTTTACGCGTTCGCTTCCTGCTCGCGGCGCGTGTCCGGTCTACGATGTTTATTATTTCTTACGTGCACTTCAAATATTTACTGAAGCAAAAGTAATATTTTGAATAATGAAGCGGTAACCCTGAACGCGAGTTTACTTTCGCGAATATTTTCACTAGACGCGTGTTCTGCATAGTAACAACCCTTTTCTAATGCAGTCGCTTGTTAATTGCACACTGTGCTTTTACTTTTATTATTCTCTTTCTAATACGAATAATTATTCATTGTATGCCCACTTTATGTTCGTTAATAAAACGAATGCATACCTTTTAATTTACTCTATCATTAAATCGATAGGACGAATGGAAATCCTTAAAAAGTCCGTTTAATTTTAGTTTTTTGGGTTATATTCACCTTTTAATCCACCTTAAATGATTAAAGTTAGGCCAATGTTGGCTCAAGCTTTTATTATTGATGGTACATTATGTTATGTTAATGAATTAGGTACAGTTGAATATGCAGGTTTTCACACTTTCTTATATGCAATATAGGTCCTAATCTTAAAGCTTAGATTGAGGAACCTATTTGTGTTTATGCCATTTGCTGGTCGAGTGCGGGGTTGTGGGTGGCGGACGCGTTTCCTCCTTAACGAGCTCATCTACATCCTGCGAGATGCAGCCTCGACCTTCACTCTTAACCATCCTTCACAATTGTCCTGTCTCCGCTCTGTCGTCTCTGTTGCACAATTACGTACAAAAAAAAACATTAATCTTGTGGGTTTCCAAAGGTCGAATCGCTAAATGGAAATATGTCTTTATTAGGTGAATTTAAGCCGGCGGCACGTATTTGCCTGAATAATCTAGGTACGGAGTAAAACAAACAGTGTTGCAGTTTTAATATCTTCGACTAATACTAAATAAACATACGTTTTGTTGAATTTGGTTAATATAATTTCAAACATTTAAACGAAGCACTTTCACAAAAACAAACACGCGATACTTTATAGTTTTGTTAGTGGCATTCTGGCCACAACAATAGCGTAATAGATAGTTCGGAAGAATAATTGCCTATACTGGCAGGTAGGAGGTGTAATAACATATATCTAACAGCATCCACGCCCTAGATTTGGTGCGGTCTCATAGACGTTTATTTACGTAACTTGACTTGTTCAAACTGGTTCAGTTCTAAAATCTAACTTTAGACCTAAATCGATACAACCTATCCATCGTTCACTGTGGGCACCTGAAATCCTTAACATGTACAAGAAATACAATTTTATTTTTAATGAGGAAATTTCTTAGTAAGTCTGAGGTAAGTGGATACAGTGATACGAGTTATAATTATGTTGCAAGTTTTCCGTGAACGTTACGTCCACTCAAGTGCCTCTCTAATATGATAAATATTCCTATGAATCATTGCCTCCCGTTGCTACCTGATGTTATACAATAAAACATATACTACTCACATGTTACAACATCTTGATAATTAAAAAGTAAAAAACAACAAAGGACCTTTTCCTTCAAACACGTCTGAGAAATAACTAATTTCTTTTTTGTTTACTTGCGATTGGCTTTTCTTATTTTGTAAAATTAAGGAACTAAGTAAGACTTTAATTATTTTATAGTCAAATTGTTGCGTTAAATATATAGTAGGTACTTATAGGTTTTATCGACGATCTTGTACTAAAATGGTAAACTATATGTTGACCTATTTTATTAATGAAATAGCAATTAATTATTTAACTATTTCTAATGATAGTGGTCAAACGGTGAATGATTCTAAATTACGTCTCATCAATTAATCGCGTTATGTATTATTTAACTATCTATTTCTTATTAAGCTGGTTTTGCTTTATGTGTTTGTTATATATATATTTGGGAATTCTGAAGAATTATCTTCTTTCGTATTGTAAGTGTTTATTTCATGGGTTGCGTGTGGGAAGTACGCATGTTTGCAACGTATTAATTGTTTAATTCTAGTGCAGAAGGCATATAGAGCGTGTCTTTCATTGAGCAATATCGATAGTGAAGGGAGAAGAACTATTATTGTTTCTTTAGGTTGGTCATTCAACTCATCGTTAGAAGCTTAGTCTTGAAACTTTCTTATATTAAATCTATTATAAATATAGATGTGTCAGCTGATTGTGACGTTTATCGCCGCTGTAATTAATTAAAGTAACTTAATTAACACAGATCTTAGTATTGGAGTCGTGTACGGTGCGGGTTCGCTCGTTGTCGCTCCTACAAGGCTGACAATCATCTGAAGCTATCGGTTTTCATCTAATAGCCATTAATTGCCTTCTTATTGTGCATCTCGAATGTCTTGTCTCTAAGTTTTGAATATCTGTAAAAAAGACTACAAAAAGTGTCGTCCAGTTCACGAGACCGCCGACAGCGTGACGGAAGCCTTCGTTTTTGCGCCTTCCGGACCTACTGACCCAAATTACTCACAATTGATGATGATCTCTCGTTTTTCCTGCAACTTGGCGTCATTATTGGTAAAACTCTAGTTTGAAGAAATCGGGCGCAGCCGAACGCACACCGTAGTCACCTTGCGCGATAAGCGAGACATTGTTATCACTGCTATGTCGACTCGTCTCACCTTCTCAAGCGGGAATATATATACATATCGTAAATTATGTAGATTATTTAACACTTTTAAAGGTATAAGATACAAAATTGTATAATTGTGTTGTACCTTTCTCTTAGTATCTATATATTTACCTTTTTTGTTAGGTGTACGCTGTTCTTATGTTATAAACCAACCTCTGTTAAATAAACATCGTTTACATTTTCCATACGTGTAAGAATTCAATTGGGTTACATAGATAAAACCGCGCATGCGCATCATACGTTATGGGCATTTAATTTTCGAATGTATCAATTCCAAGAATTTTAATAAAATTTATTTGCCTATTTAATGTTCTACCTCTTTTTTGGAATTCCTAATCCCATATGACTTTTTTATAAAAGATGAAGAACCATAAAGAGGTGCACAGAAAGTGCTATTGTTACAACACAATCTTGCTCTAAAAACAGTTGCGAAATATAGATTGTAACGACGATTTCTCGGTATATTTCAGGTGGCGCATTCGAAGGCGTGGAGGATCAGGTATCGCCGTTCGGATATGGGCGCGGGGAAGGCGTGGATGCCGGTCACGGTGATCCCGAGTGGATTTGCAGCAAGGAGAAGCCGCGTTACGACCAGATTTTCCACTCGCTGAATCCCATCGACGGCAAAGTCACCGGCGCCGGTACATCTAAAGATCTCGCACAAGCGCTGCTCGAAACGACACACACTTGCTCACAACTCACACACTTCTGTTGTACACTGTACACGCACGGCGTTGACTTTACCCGCGAGGCGGACACGCTGTCACTCGCGGCGCGCAATTGCTCCCTTGTTGCCCACTTGTTATCTAACGAGGCCACCACTGACGACGGTCTGTCCTGTGGTGTCTCCGTCCACAGCATGCCCGAAACTGTCCGCTCGGAGAGTCCCCTCTTCTACCCTGAACCTCCTTCTGATCCCGTCAAAAGCGATTCAGAGGCCGGCCCAACTTCTCCCACTACTAAAACATCGGGCGTAATTAATTCTTTTTGGTTATCGATAAAAACTTTTAACCTTCTCATTCTGTGCTTTGTGACAACTATCATTGTTGTTGACCTGTTGTTCGTTAGTCTCAATTATATTTTTTCTGACAAACTGTATTTAGAGTTTTCGGTGAAAAAATTACCGGAAAGCGCTTACGAGTGGGCGAAAGACCTCATCCTCGGCCCCGAGACGGAAACAGTTCGAATACATTCATTGTTACAACTTTTCTACAGACACACCGTCGTCAGTGTTCTCAAATATTTTCTTCATCTGCTAACTTAGTCGACGCTGTCACCGGCGATTAACCGTACTCACCTCCACTAGGGTTATTTTTAAAACTGCAGAAAATATACATTAAAATAATATTTGCAAGTTAGCTTTAAAAATAATCCTACATGCTTTCGCTTTACGTATCACGGGGGCGTAAGAGGTACGGAGCCCTTCAGCTCTTGAGCGTGTGTTCCTTGTCCAACAGCTGCCAAAACGGAGATGGTCAAGTCGAAGCTGCCAAACTCTGTGCTCGGCAAAATCTGGAAGCTGGCGGACATCGACAAGGACGGATTCCTAGACGAAGAGGAATTCGCGCTGGCCATGCATCTTATTCACGTCAAAATCGACGGACACGACCTGCCCTCGGAGCTGCCGCCGCACCTCGTCCCGCCCTCCAAGCGGAACTAATTGCACGATCCCACTCATTCTTAGGTCTTAAGTGCAAGGTACTTCCGCGAATTTTATCGGCACAATCGTCAAAAACCTATTCAGGTATAAAATCTTGCTCAGATTGCTTGAGCTAAATGATCAGCTTGAAGTAGATTTGATGCATAATGATATAGTTTCACTCAAACTATTTGTAACGGTGCAAATATCTTTTATATTTTATTTACGTTAAAAATACATATGGTAACCTTGCAATAATTTAAGTATATATATTTTTTAATTTTACAAAACATTGAGAGAATATTTCGCTGAGGTGTTTATTCTTTAACAAATTATTTAATTAATTAATCTTAATTATCCTGTTCTTAATTTATTCAGTCATAAATTGATGCTTCGGTGCTTTGGAATCATATCATCTTATCGATTTCTACTGTCAATATCGTTTTTTAAGTTCCTATTGTTGCTAATGTTCTTTGTGACTTGAGCAGATATTTTTGTCAAAAAAATCTTATTAATCTTACCAATTTTGTACTTATTACAACTCATTTAACACTAGCATTTATTCAATAGTGTGGATGCAGTGCCTTCTCTTGGAAGCTTTTAATATTGATTCGTCCTATCGATATTGCTGTACGAGGACTCAGGATGTTATGTAAATACGAAATTTTGTATGATTTTGTTTTCGAAGGAGCTCACGTCACTGCGCCGGTGCGCGGAACGAGACGCGATGTATTTTTACATTTTGCTACTGTGTGTACATAAATATTACTGTTAATGTATTTATCATAAATTATACACAGAGTGTAAGAAATAAGTAAAAAAGTATTAAATATTGTTGTTTTCATTTATATTGTTTCTGTTTAGAATAGAACTTTAAGCACAAACGCTTAATAAGCAGCCTCCTTGGGCTTTTGTTGTATTTCTAAATGAAATATAAAGTCACAGCACAAATTAATTATAATAATTTAACAATCTAAGAGGTTATCAAATTAAGCAATATGGAGTCTGTAACTACTTCTCCATTTTATCACTTTATAAAGTAGATAGTGGAGACCCTCCTCGGCTCCACACGATATACTGGTACAGATGATTTATCTTATATATCGAATATAGAATATCTTTATAAACAAGGTTAAATAGGTACTAGCAATTCTCCGAGACACATGTTCGCATTTCGAGGTCCCTTGTTCCCCGTTATCCTCAGTCGGGTTGAGCATCTCTTCAGCTCCATAACCTCCCACATGTGAGCCTAGCCGAGCCCGATGACCCCTCAAGGCACCATTGCTCTAGCCTCAAACAGGGCAAACACTCTCCAAAATAGTGGAGGCTCCGGGTCAGCTTATGGTATATGCATTAATACACGTAAAACTAAGCTATAGGCACACGCCGCTCCTCAATGTCCCTACAGTTCAAATCTGTAATATCTTTGGAAATACCAATTGAAATTACAAGTTGTAAAGTTCTATTTTGCTAAAATCTTGTTGTGCTTAAACAATGATTCTTTTTTTTTCAATAAATATAAGGATAAAAATGGTTAACTTGTGTATATAAGTGCAAAGAATTGAGTTAATTTGAGACATCATAATATAGGCAACCTCTTTATGTATATGTTTTTCTAAAATATTATATGTACATGTGTTATACATATAAATCTCCATAAATCATCCTATTTATTAAAAAATCACTGCAGAATTAATTGTGTAGTTTAACATAGGTCAAAATAGACAGTGACAGCTACTTATTTTTATACAATGATTTGTAACTATAAAAAATAAAAAAAAAGTCTTTTGTATTCCAAAACAGAAAATATTTATATAATTTTAATTTAAACCAATACCTTACTTATTTAATATCTAATTTTTGGAAACAATGTTCAAGGGCAATATTATATGCATTTTAAACTTCAAATATTACATTTTGTCTAATGATATATTATTTATAAAAAGCAAAGTCTTTTCCGTATGTTATGCACCAAAAAATGAATTTTAAAATATAACTGAGCACTCATTAATAGTTCTCATTTCCATAACTGAAATATATAATTGAAGATATTAAATAAACCTGTTATTGTGAAGGAGGATTTCCACCACCTCCTTGTGGAGGACGCATTTGCCTCCTCAATTGCTCAACTAGTTCAGGATTTACAGCCTGCATTTGCTGTGCCAATGCTTGTCCTGCTTCCAGGAGGGCATTTACATTAGTGCCTCCAGCCGCCGCTGGAGCACCTGTGTTTGTATTCATAAGCCCTGATATTAGGTTTTGCATATTTGGATCTGACAACATCTCTGTTGCCATATTAAGTAATGCTGGATTTTGCAAGAGGCCTCCGAGGTCCATAGAGGGCCTGCCGCCGCGTTGTGCGACCTTTTCTTCGGCGAGTCGCAGGTTCTCTTTATATGACTCGTTGTCTGGTTCGAGCTGAACAGCTCGGGCAAAGGCAGCACGTGCTTCGACGTCTCTATCAAGCGCAGTTAAAGCTAATCCAAGACGGCCGTGTGCTTTGCCGTAATTGGGCTGTAGCGCTAGCGCCGCCATGCAGTCAGCCACTGCGCCTTCATGCTCACCCAACTTGAAGTGAGCGGCTGCTCTATTACAAAAGTATACCGAATTCCGTGGATCCAATTCGATAGCTCGACTGTACTTTTCCAGCGCCTCACGGAACTGCTCCTTCTTCATACACTCGTTGCCATCGTTCTTTAATTTCTCCGCCTCAGCGCGCTGTTCGGCGGCGCCGGCAGTCTGTTGCCTCACTAGTTGCAAGAGGTCGACCCCCTTCGTCAGTTCATCGGTCGAGAGCTCGTACGCCGTCTCAATGCACTGAACGGCGACTTCTACGCTTTCCCGGTACTCCGCATTGAGTGCGTCACCGTCTAGTTGTTGTTTTAAAAAGTTTACTATACCTGCGGCTACCGCTTTTACCTCGGACATGTTAAACTGGGTTATATTTACGGCTTATAACTTTTAAAAGAAAACTAATTAACCGATTAAAATAATTAATCTACTCGCTTGTCACCACAATTTCCACATTGACAAGTGAATCATGAATGACTATTGACATTAGGTCAATCAGAATGTCACCATTTGTCACAAACGTCGACAGACTATATATATCGTGATGAAGTGGTATAATATTCAGTTCGATTATTCTATTTTCCATTTCATGGAATTTAAAATTGAGACTAGTAATATATTGATAATATTATTTCTGCACCTTTTGCTGATCTTTTAATTCACTACTATATGGTTATTAATTTGTAAAATAATTTACTTTACAGACATCTTTACTTTTAAACAGGAGGAAATAATGCAATTAAAACTTAAGTTGTTACTTGAAATACAATTCCATAACAAGAATCAAAAGGCAAGTTTATTAGTCAAATATATATATTATAAATCATTTTCAAATAAGTTTAACTAATATATCGCGTTTTAAAACGCTAAAGTGTTTTATTTAAATGTGTACTACTCGCGTAAACTATAGGCAGTACTTAAATATATATATTCTTAACTGGTTAAAATAAAAATATTAATTTTAGTATTCAATGCATATATAACAAAGTAATAAATCACTTAAAATAGGCTTGTTGACAAATCACTAGAGACAGTGGTCCACACACCTAGACGCTTGCATGTGAGTTAGCAAATTTTATACCTAGCTTTTTATATGATTTGCATAATCATCAAGATAAGAAAAAGAATTTACAAGATTAATTTCTTAGTACTTATACTTATTACGCATGCTTAGGTAGTTATAATTCAGCAGACTACAATAAAAAAACCTATTAAGGGCAGTGATGATGGTGGTCAGGCGGTGTGTTGTGCAGGAGACAGGCCCAATCACGCAGTCGGGGCTCACGTAGATACTGGTCTCGAGGGGCAGCTCGCACTCCCCAGTCAGCCGCACCACAAAGCGCGCCCCCTACCCACGCACACACATTGTCCTCACAGGGGGAAGAGTGAAACTTGAACTTTGCTACGTGGAGAGAATCCTTGTAGGGATCCTGCGAGACCAGATGACGCAACTCGCACGCAAGCCTCGCCTTCAGGCCAGGCAGGGCGGCACCTCCGCCTGTGACCAGCACGTTCTCAGCAAGCGCGCGTCTCGTGTCTATCGGGCACGAACGGATACAGCGAAGAACCGCGTCTGGCAGTGAGGCTTGCTCTCTGTCGCGATCGAAGAGCGGTTCCGCGGCGAGGGCACGTGCTCGCCCTGACACCGTAAGCGCGCCGCTCGCCCTCGGATATTGCACGCTTCGCACGGAACTGCACTGCCCACCCAGCTGCGCCACTAGTTGACGTCCAGGTACGAAACATGTGCGAACTGCTCAAAAAGAGATAGTATGTAAGATTCAGGTTACCATTATAAGTTAAACCCCAAATTTTAGATGTTATATGGCAGAAGTATTCCACCCACCATCAAGTGAACCATGCTTGTCTGTCTAGCGGGTAAAGTAGATATTAAGAGAATAAAACTCACCTTTGATATCCTCTATGACAGAGGGCTCAAGATTGAGCTGGGCGTTGTTGTCTTCATCCAGCATCCGCGCAAGATTGTCATGCAGCGTCTGCGCTCCAAGGGGCTCGCTCTGTATTGCATGAACTACAGGGACTCCATGCACCACTATAGATTAAACATTAAATACATAATTAAACTTTGTTGAGTCTGATTGATTCATTGCCACAAATTTGGAATCTGTGTACAAATAAGTACCTGCGACAACTTCAGCCTCCTTGGCTCCAATATTAACGACTAGCACTATTGGTGTGCCAAGAGTGGCTGCGCAGGCCCGAGCGCTGTCCCACCAGGTCACACCTGAGACCTGGAACAATGATTCTTGATCAGAGAAATAAAACCTCATTGTTTATGTACAATTGTTACTCATTGTTTAGGTTAATTGTTGTACAGGACAATTGTTTTTTAAATTTTATTAATGTAAACCATTGTGGTATTTGTAAATAATATGTAGGTTTTATATAAGTTATATAAATAAATTATACTATATAGTATTACTTCATTGTTGTAGATGTTTGAGAAATTATTATTTCTGTGTGTGGAAGTAAATCCTATATATTATTGACTACTGTGACTTGTTTTATGTTACTTTTGTTGACAATTCTAATTGTTATTTACGAGTCTTATAAGAATTAAATATTTATGACAAATGATACTTCTAAGCTTACTTAATAAATTTTTTTTAATGCTTTGACAGTCCTGTGTCAAACTAATCAAATAGAGACTAAATACAGTTTACTAGCTATCTTGTTAATTTATTTATAAAGCACTCCTAATCTAAAATCTAAACAAGTTATTAATTAATCTTGAAATAAATTACCTCATAATGCATGAAGAGCACTTTAGCAAGTGTCTCTCGAAATTGTGTAGTAGTCAGCAATGATTCCACCACCACCACTTTCCGCTCTTTAGGATTTACTAAGACATGTCTGAAACATTAAAGCCAATTATGTCAAATTTCATAAATACATTTTAAAATAATTTAGTAGTACTCTATTCTAAAGGTTCAATGAGCATTAGGCAGGTTTTTTATGGTTTGCGCTAATTTAAGCATAATTATAGAAACTATATAAAGTTTGAAGCAAGTCAAAAGACAAATATTAAGTAAATATGTCCTAGTTTCTTGTAATAATTTATATAAATAATTGGTTTTGTATTACGAACCGAAAGTAAAGTAAATGTAACATCTGCACGAGGTTTTCATAGAGCTCTTCCGTAGAGTTGTAATGGTGTACGCGCTTGTAACGCCTGTCTTTGGTGCACCAGAACTGTGATGGAATAATACATCGCGGAGCAGCCTCGCCAGTAAAACCAAATCTGAAAAGCTCTTCAACTTTAAATCACATACTATTTAACTTACAGTTTTATCATTAAAACTTGCAATAATAATAAAACAACTTATATCGAAAGTACCCACTTCGTGTAATCGGTACCCAAATCCAGAACAACAGCTTGCTTCTCTTGAATTAACGCGATACCCTCGTATAGTGTCATTCTTAAGGATAAATTTTACGCATATCAATAAATTAACAAGTAATCTTTCGAGCAAAAATTTCAAATAAATAAGACAATGTTTAGTCGAGTCTCCAAAACGACTTAGTCAAGTGTCAACTATTTCTCTCAAAGTACACAGTTCAGAGTACTGTGTCAATTGTCAAGTATTTCACCATAGACTATAGTATAAAAAATGAAAATGCTTAAATTACGCACTAAGTATATGCTTCTAGCCACACTGAACTTACTGCTACCGCATAACAGGTGCGGATAAAAAATATATTATTACATACCATACTGCTATTTGCTCTTGAAGCTGCCTGGAAACTAATCGTTCTGGTGATATTAGGCTGTCACTAGCATCGCTTGTATTATTTGTAATTAAATATTATAACGGCTAATAAATGCTTTATTAAATAATTTATTCAATGCCGCGATGCTACTTACTTTTACAGCCAATTAAGGTTTCTAATAAATTACCATTACGATGAACCCTCGGTCATATGTCTTTATTTTGGCTATTAGTAGTAATAATTAATAATCTGTTTGTGTAATCATTTTATATTATTATTCTTTAATTATTGCCAACCGGTGAAAATAACACACTTGTAGACAAGTATTAGACAGCAGTAATCAAAATACATAATCAAAAATTTCAAGTGACTATGTCTATATAATAAACTATACTCATTTTGATTTTTTACTGGTTTATATTTATCATATATTAAAGCTAAAAGCAGATGGGATGTTTCTGACGGATGCTTATTAGAAGTTGTTCGATTAAAAAAACAATACGCGTTGCGTAATTGGACGGTCAAATAATGAATGTTCTTCAAAAGGCGCTGCTCGGCTCGAAAAGACTTTGTATAATTAGGAAAAACATACACAGGCCGCGAGTGGCTCGTTCGCGACATCTAGGCTCCGACGAAATCCGTGCCTTTGACCTGCGCAGACCTACCACAAGACGCTGCTGCACCAGGGTAGCCAACAGGAAGTGCTACGTCGGATGTATGGCTAAACTTATCGATTCATTTCTCATGAACTATTCTTAAATACAATAAGTGCTTTTTAATATGCTGTTTATCATATATTAATTGTTGTATGTAATCTTATAGAACCGAGTAAAACACAGTACTTCGTAACTATTAATTTATTTTACAAAAATTTCCGCTATAATACATATTTACAAAGGTAAAAACGAAATGTAGAGTGTCATATCACTCGTCGGACATAACATAAGAAGCTTGAGCAAGACGGCGCGGCCGTCCCCTACTTACGTACTAGTTCCTACATTAAGTTAAGTTAAATCTAGGCGAGAGCCGTGGCACCGCTAGGCTGCTCACGGAAGGCTCCAGGGAAGAAAGCAGGCGCGATCATTCCAATTAATTGCGCTTTGATATTAAATTAATAAAATTTCCTCTTTATGAGATTGAATGAATAGGTTTACACCGAAGCGCCCTTATTTCGGACTTCATCTTATTGCCTTAATGGATAATATGATCAACGTGGAAAATGTCGATATTGTGAAAATTGTTATAGTGAACAATGTATCTAAAAGTAATAATTTAGTAAATGTGCTATGGATATATGAATATTATTGTCGGTATATTCGGTTTAAACCTATCACAGTTATCTAATAAAGTGCATTCATTTCGCTGCAGGCCTGATTCACACAACATTTTACGGCATAATTAAATGCTCACAGCGTGCCGCATTAGGTAACCGTGCTCTCTTACACTCGGCAATTGATAATCTGTAGCAATTTCGGTCGCTTCCCTATTATTCTATATACTGTGTCGTGTCGTATCTCGCTTTCCATAAATTATATAAATATCTAGAACCGGTTGCGAGTGCGACCCGAATAGAACTTATTCGTTGTGCAATACGATAATAAGCAAGCTAACCGCACACCCACGTACATAATTATAACTTAAACAGCATAAAGCGCAACGCACACACGAGTCCTATTCGGTAGCGCAGAGATGAGGAGGACGTCTCGCGGTCGGTCGGGCCTGGCGCTTCGCCCGCGGCGGGCCGATCTCCGAAGTGTCGTCTAAGGGAGATCGGGTCGCCCCCGGAGCCTTTGAATTGTTCTAAGAGCGTCAAATTAGATGATGGAAGTGATCAGTCGCGCCTTGAAGTTGACTATCCTCTCAGAAGTCTGCGCGATGCGGAGGATCAAGTCCTGGATGAGGTTCGCAATACCCCTGTTGGCGATGATGAACAGCCTCGTGATGGGGCCGGGCACGCCTTCCGTCAGGTTGTCGCCTTTGGAACCCTCTTCGCCCTCACCCGCTTCGGCCCCCCCACTGGATGCGCCGGATGACGATCCAGCCACCAACTGTAACATTGTATGTTCAGAGCGTTAGCTTTGGTAACCAGACGGATGAGAACATTAATATTAGTAAGGAAATAATAAAGAGTTAGTAGAAACAACGATGCAGCTAACTACAAACAGCAACCGACGTACCGACTGGCCTCTGCGTATCTACGTTTCACTAGAATTGTGCTAAAAACCCGAAATGGAATCCATATTCAATCCACAAAATAGTTTAAAAGCGGACGTCCATTACGAGTTCTACGGTCTACTTTCTGTCTACGTGCGTTCGTCTTAATGTACAGCCGTATGTGGAAAATGTACTTGTGGGTCGTTAGGGTCGAGCGTAGCGGAATGCGAAGCTGTGAGGCCCAGGTTGAGCGAATCGGTCCCCGCGAAGAGCCGGAACGCCGAACCAGCCGCGCGGGCCACCATTTCTGCAGGACGCTGTAACATGGCCTCGGGATTCGAACACACTCACACACACATGGCTCGCATACTCACACCGACATCTCCCTCGTTTGACGACGAAGAACCGGCTAACAAGAGCAAATTAGACCGGAGCGATCTCAGTGACGTTGAGATCCGTACGTCTAAATTCATAAATCTCAGAGTTTACTTCAAATGCTAAGATAACTTAAGATGTTGCCCATGACACAGTGAAAGAAGAGACAAGACAGAGAAGATATAAGGAAAGATGTACGTACTCGTACGACGTCAAACAAGAAGTTGCCGGAACCACCTCCAGATGAAGAGCCAGCACCGAAACTCAAGAACCTGCAAATATAAAATATATTCACTCGTATAAACCTTCATAGCAATTCGATTTATTATAAAAATATTTTCTCATTATTCTAGTTGGAATAATAAATCAAGGTTCTTTAAACCGGAATATTACTCATCGAAGGTTGCGATTTTCCTTTCGCAATATTAAGACTGAATATTTAGTTCGTTGCATATTTTGTGAAAAAGCAATGTTGATTCTTATGCAAATTAAACGTACAATGAGCTTAATGCGAATTGCGAATCAATGTGAATGTATTGTTCCCTTGTAATTGGTAATTATCGCGAGAAGTCATAAGAAAATGGAGCGATACTGTGCGAAACAGCCGCATAGCAAAAAGGTTGCCTTTCGCTCTGCGGACTGTTGCGCCAATATCTTACCTCTTATTCCTGTTTTCCTCGGTGTCGTCGGCGTCATCTAGAGTGATTTCGTCGATGGAGGCCGAGTTGGTCTGCGCAGCGGCCTGTTGGTCGTCGGAGGACGGAGCGGCGTTTTCACCGAATGCAACGCGGACCTCTGCTTGCTGCGACTCAGCACCTGACAGCAGCTGGTTGTCCTCAGCGATCGAGTTCTGAAAGGGAAACGAAGATCAGCGAGGGTAGAGGTGCGACGGCGGTGAAGGTTAGCGATGGGTGATGGATGGTTGCGGTCTGCGCGCGCACTGCCGTCTCAGGGCAGGCTGTCAGGTGAGCGATGTGCGCGCATACCGGCGCCGGCGGAGTCCCAAAGAACAGCGCGCGACGGCGGCGGGAGGACGCGGGTCGCGGGGTGGTCTGCTCGTCCTCGTCTTCGTCCTCGTCGCTGTCATCGATCTCGACGGTCCCTCCGCCGCCGTTCATCTTCCCGTCGTTGCGGTTGCCTAGGAAGGCGCGCAGGAAGATAGGGCCGAACGTCTTCAGAACGGCACTCGTGATCTGTTGCACCGTCTGTTCCACTACCTACAACATACACAGCGCTACTCTCTCGCATTACCCGCCTTCTCAATACTTAAATGGAAATCCCGCTTCATCCAGGTCGCTCCGGCTAGTTGATTCCTGCTTAAAATGGTGTCTCATTATAGATATACTAAGTATTTTCAAGTAGGAGAAGAGCCCGGCTCTAGTATACCTGTGTCAGTTGTGGGAACAGCTGTCGCAGGATGCCAATAGTTCGCTTGTTGCGCTCACTGAGCTCGGAGCCAGGCGCGCCAAGGTTCAGCGTCGTCAGTGTCTCCTGTAATAACACAATTACACATTGGCGAATGGCGTCTTCTGAACAACACTAATCGTTCTATAATTACATACTCGCCTGAGATATCTATTAGAAGAACACTATTAAAATAATTGTGAGTAATTTTATGTAAAGAATTATTTGTACGGATAATTGTGACACGAGATGCGTAAGGCCAAGGATGTGAACTCTGAAGGTGCAGGCGGTAAGAGGAATGCTGACGTATGGGAATTTCGCATATTTAAACGGTTTTGAGTTTTGACACGCCATTTGCACGTTTCCCCGACGCGGGAGCATTTACGACACCGTTATTATACACTCGCTCGGAGTCGGTTAGGAGCATAAATATGCGCTTATGTAACTGTTGCATCACAGCGATCGGTGCACGTTGTCGGAAATATACGAGCTCCGAGCTGCGAAACTTCACTGACATTCGATTGTGCTATTTCTTTGAATATTTCGACACGTATATGGGTCAATGTGATAACAATGCAACAATGCCGGGCTCTGGGAATGATCGGCATCGATGTCGATATGCATAGAGAACTATATTACAAATCGGTTCTAATGATATAAAATTTTTTGTTAATGAATTTCAGCGGCATTAATTGTGTGTATGTGGAACCATTAAAAATCGCTGCATCTAGATTAACAGCCAAAACTGAGCGGTGACCGAGTGCTCTCTATATAGATAACCTTCCTTGTATATCCTATATGCGTATATGTAGATATTTGTGTGACATATATGAGTTTTAAATGTGTTGAAAGCGAAGGTATGCGGCAGTAATGAGCTAAAGACTAAAAACATTAGAAGCAACTATTGAAAACGAACCATCCTACTTGTGGGAGTGCAGCGAACAGTTCCAAAAGTTGAACAATGTTAGATATTAATTATTCATATGGCAAAGAGTAATCATCTTTCATTTTAGTATTATATAAATATATATAATAGACTAAAATCGAAATTGTATATAAACAATCGTACTCCAAGTTTTATTTAAATCGTGTAAATTCTTACGAGTAAATATCTCTAAACCTTACTTGTGCGCTTGCGGCGGGCGCGATTATCTCGATGATCTCAGGTTGCGAGTCCAGCGCTGGGTCAGGGCTCGCGGCAGGTTGAGGGTTTGCAGCCGGGAGCGGCTCGGGCGCAGGCGCCGCGCTCACTAGCGCCACCACAGCCAGAACGTACACTATGCTCTTCATAGTGCTGCTATGTGTACTCTCGTCTTAGCTCTTTCTCCGTCAAATCTGTAACGAGCGAACAATTAATTAATTGAATATGCTTCGTTCAGAAGCAGTAAAGGTCCGAGTGTGGCAAGCGGTCGGTTGCCGCGCGACTTTGAACTCGTTTCAAATGGAAAGTGCCGAACGGCCTTCGCGTTTTTCTACAATTATTTTTATATTCGGCTGTAATTTTTTTACCGTACATGTTTATATGGTACACCTCGAATATTACGAAATGCCGAGGTCGGTTCCTTGTCTCACTCCTTCGACACAGCCGAGTACCTAATTCGATTAAAATTATTATTCCATTCGACTTAAATCGTTATTTTTACTTCACCTTCCGGCTTCTAACGTCTAATGAATATTCATTGCAATGGGTCTCTAAAAACCACAAATAGTTAAATCGGACCAATTCAATTGTAAATGTACTTCTTATTTGACGTTCAAGTCGACATTCAATACAAATCTGTTAAGATTTAAAATAATAAATTTTATACTATATCTTATTACTATGATTACTGTACATTACTACATTTTAGATAGTTCATAAGTTTTCGTATTCATAAAACAAAGTGGTGTTTATAATGAATAAGGTTAAATAAATAAATAAATTTATTCACCGCACTGGTAAAACGTATGTTTCTTTAGATAAATAAAGTCTAACAAACACTAGCTGCCTCTTAGAGCTTGAAGTGAAGATTAAACAGCCGTTAAGTACCCTGTAATATTTAGCATGTTCTGAATTGAGTGGTTGTTGTGACCCTCTCACGAAAAGCTTCCGTAAGCTAAGGTCACGCCGTCTTGCGTGGCCCTTGACATCAGCATATGTACAACGGTACTTGATAGGGAACGGTTACTGCAAGTGGATGACCGCGTGTAGACTCGCTACGACCTCTACGGTCCTTGTAGCAGATTATGTAACGGGTTCTACGTTACGTTATCTATACTACTTTATGAAGCTGAAGAGTTTGATTGTTTGAACGTGATAATCCCTGTAACTAATGGTTCGAATTGAAAAAAATATTTTTTGTTAGAGCTTTTATTGAGGAAGGCTAAATGGCTATAAAATATCGCACTGCAACTAATAGGAGAAGAGAAACAGCGGGAAATGTGGAAAAAAACGGGGAAAATTTGTCCATCGTTGTGGGTTTCCAGTGCATATGCTGCGAAAATGGTCAATAAATCCAAAAAAAAATGGAATCTAAGAATGATTTCTCTTTTAAGGATCTGAAAAAATTGCCGCGAAAGAATATGTCTACATTTTAAGATCAACTTACAAGAACAGCTTAATGAAAGACAAACCAACAGAAAAGACGCAGCTAGTATACAATCATGTCATTATTATTTATTGGCAAAATAAAATCGTCTTATAATATTTACAGAAGTTACAACAACGGGTTAATGCAACGAGCGGTTTTCTCCCTCTCACTTACTGGTAACAATTACTAATTTCAAATCGAATACAATATAAAATATCGGTTGTGAAGAAATGCACTCATTTCGTCTGTCGATTGGGCTGCACAGCTAAGGTCGCATTTTAAATTAACACTTATCTAATGTTTGTGGAGGGAGCTTGCGACACGCGATTGCTCAACGTCTTAAAAATGCTAATAAATTATGTTATTTCGAATGATTCGGATCTTCCATCTTTTTAGTTGTTTAGGTATCAAATGACATCGCAGATAAGAGGAACCATAGACTATCTACTATTATATTTACATTGTTGTTCACGCTATTTACCTAGAATTTATAGGTATAATTAGTAAAGATTTCCATTAGAAGTATTCTTAATTACGCTGAGAATTGCTCTGTAAAACGTAAATAGTAAGTCTTATGTAAAAACCTCCGATGGAAGTGTACACGACCATCTCACGAACTAACGGGAAGTCAGCTTTATATAATAATTGTCTGCCTAATTACTATAAATTATATTATGCTAATCTCCAATGTTTATACTTTAATATTATATAAGTCAAATAAATTGCTAGGAAACGGCACACGACTAGCGCGCTACCTGCTTCGCTACGGGCCACTTTTAAATATTATCTCAGTTTTATTTGCGTAAAGAGTTAACAGCGATATGAGATAAGGCAACAGCCCAATCGCCTTGAATCGACCTGGAAACAGCCGGAAGCCATTTCCACTGAATTACTTGCGAAGGTTTTATTAAAATCGCTTTACGCAAATAACGTTGTTATTGCTTTTATGCTTTATTACTCCATAAAGTACGATTCTTTGTGTAAACAACGTGAGTTGATAACAAGTGTTCTTTATTCTGATGTTTTAATATGGTTACTATTACTTTAATTTACCATATTTTATAAAAGATAAACAATTAAGAAGATACTAACATATTTCTACTATTTTACATAAGCCATTATAAAATCTTGAGTAAGTACATTCATTTTAGTACTTATATCAAATATTAAAAGAAACTTTGTACATATAATCCCAGCTGATATTTCCATTTAATTTCACCATTGATTTAATGATTAGTTTTTTTCATTTTTAGACAGTTTTTTCATATTTCACTATTCGATAAACTATCATTAAGACAGCGCAGATGCATCGTACCTGTTTTATGAACATTTCTCAAACTTATTGTTTGTTTGATTAATGTTTTTTATTAGCACAAGGTGCACTTTATGCTAATCTAGGCTTTACACTAGGGAAAGTCTGCGTGATAATCCAACTGTTTTTGTAACGATATAAGATAGTATGCCTTATAAATCATAATAATTTATTATGGACGTCTTATTGTTAATACATGAGAATTACTCATAACACGTATTGCTTGAAAGTTTGTAATGAATACCACGATTACAATCCTATTAGCTACTAATATATCTAGTTTATTATGATTGCCCAATGTGGGTTAGTGGAGTCATGCTATCGTCGTTTCTAGGACACGCCAGTTTACTTAATCACGACGTTTTAACTGAACAATCGTTTTGCATACGATTAAAGTCTTACATTAGTTTTTTAATAATTTTTTTAAAAACTTTATACGATCCGTACAAAGTACGACGTCAGAATGGCGTCTAAATACAAAGAAATCGTTTAGTACTTAAAGTAGCCAATGAGCATGTAATGTCCTAAGTGCAGAACGCGTCGCAATGTATTATGTTACATTAATATTGCAATATCCTATCTATTATGTGCAGACAAGCGAAAAGTAATGCAACGAAGTTTAATCTCTATTTTTCCATTTTGACTCATATCATCTGAGGCATAGAGGACATAATGTAGTGTTCATTGTGAGATCTATGTTATGAACCAATTAGTGCGGCCCAAATGATACGAGCGGTTAGTTCACCACAGCTCTGAGATGATGGTCGTTGAGTAACATCTTAGGTTTAATAGTCTTGCTTAAATGTCTAGACAAATGGCGTAAGTTTTTGATAGCTCCTTACTTGTTCACTCTTGATGAACTATAGCTGAATAAGGCTTTGATAGAGGGTTACATGATGATAGCAAAAAACCCGAAAAGCAATTAAACGATAGATTCTCACGCATATTCATCGGCCGAGGCCTTGGATCTCTTTCTAGTCTCTGCCGACTGTATTCAAATTAGATAATTACAAATATTATTGTGCTTTATTATCGATGGCACCGATTATTTGTGAGTGTTCTTAACATGGTCACGATTTAGTCGAAGCAAAGGTACCGTTCTATAATTTGAAATTGTGATTTTTTTCCAATACCTTACGTACGTCTTGCTCAGTGAAGCCGCAGTTAAAGTCACAATATATTATAGTGTTGAAGTATGACAAAGTTGTCAGCACGTTACGTAAGTACGCCGGTAAAACCGATATTAGTTGCGCCCGCGCAGCCACTCCAGCGACCTTATTGACTCCGTCTCTTTGTATAGTTACTGAGTCAGATACTCTAATTGAGACATTTCAAATATTATCTTTAACTCTACTTTGGTAAATTTCATCCGCGAATGTTATAAGCAGACACGCCTAATATGCCTCCATTAGCCTCAATTTCGCCATTGTATAATATAATTATCTGCCTTCGCTAAAGCCATAAAAGTCTAGAGGTTTGTAGTTCGTCGGTTAATCCGGTGGTTCAAAGCGTTTGTCGACGCAAAGTGAATTGCGTCACGCGCATCCGATGCTCATTACGTTGCAGAATTAACGAAACAATAGAACGATATGCGCATCGCGGGGCGTGTCGCAAGGAGCGTAGCGCAGGCGGAAGACTGCGCAATGCGCGCGCATTAGCGCTTGCACCGAATCATCAGGATGCACGGACCAATGGCCCGATCGAATCTCGCGTTGTTTCCACACTATCTGCAATAAAGATAATTTTCCTCGCTCCAAATTGACGCCTCCGACGTCCGTTCGGCCTTGCATGAATCCACTGTCGGAATTGAGAAGATAACTTAATTCCAAACAAGACTCGGGAAGCGGCTGTCATCTATCTAATGGTGATTGTAGTAATGAAACAATTTGAGGATAAGGAGAACAATGCGTCGTCCGTAACCATAATTAGTGTCACTGTCCGACAGAATCCGGATTGCGGTAGACGAGCGCTTCGTATTAACTCAGCCACCGGAGCACGGTTAATCGTAGACGTATCATTCGCCCAACGCACGTAACGCAGAGAATAAAACCGGAAAAACAAAAGAGCATCGTTTTCATTTCATTACTAATCTTCTCCCGGCTTAAAATGCCGTTTAACACCTATTTATCGTTTAACGTTTTACGCAATTAACACCTGTTAGAGGTTATAATTGCCTAAACAATATAAGTACTTCTAAAGGCTTCTGTTTAAATTGGAGTCTTTTGATTTACAATTTAATGCGATAACAATGAAATTGTAGACATTAATTGCTATAAATCTATTAATAAGCATAATCTCTGTTAGACGAAGCGCATGAAAATTGATAGAATCTAAATACGATATGTCTCTTATATTAATATTTGGATAACTTTGGTACTTACATTAATATTAGCTTCGAATTATATCTGAATATCTTTCGATTCAAAAACAAAACACTTCCATTTTGCGATGCAACTTAAATATGCATTATGTTGTAAAAATATACTGAACAAAAACTTAAACACTAGGTATGATGTGTTTTGGAATATCTTGTCACACCACAACTTGGCGACCTCCGACAGTGCGAGGTTAATTTTAAGCATTAACATACAAATTTTAACACATTTACTTAAGTTAATTATCTTTTATAATTTTGGCATGAGCTTGCAATCTGCATATTAAACGTGATTGGTTGTGACTGTACTGCACTCATACAAAATCTTACAGGTATTTTAAACAGAGACGCCATTTTGAATAAATATACTTATATATTTATAGTAACCATTAAAAAATCTGAACAATTTTTCTATTCTTATAAAATGTACAGTTTGTTTTTATTCTGATAACTGTTGTTTCCCAAACCGATTCTAAGTGCATATTTTTAGAATAAGCATTTTACTATTAAGAGAACCAAAGCAAAGCCTTGCCCCTTATTCTCAATTATCGAGTGATCTATACAAGAGGACCAAGAACGGAACATTTACTTTTCAGTTTTTATCTAATTCGTAATATAGATTTTATTTAAGACAATTCAGTAGTATCAACGAGCAATTATCTATTTGCCAAGTCTTAAAAAAGACTTTAACGCGCTCACCTCCCGCGGTGCAAGATTTTTGTACAGTGCCTATAATTTGGCAGTAGGTGGTGTACTTGCGCGCGCAGTCATTCAAGACGGCATAAAACACGGACGCGGGAGCCGGTTCGGCCGACCAACAGCTGTTCCCCACTAAACTGGACTCCTTTCGCTTTCAATGCACTGCTTTTCGAACTTTACGTACGCAAGCCTACTGACTCACTGATCGCCTTAATTTTGGCCTGCACTGTTACTCAATATATCTAAGATATAACATTTGAACTATAATATTTTTCACATGTATTACACAAATGGAACTATATAAATTAAAATTGATTTTAGTTTGAAACAAATTCTATGACACGGACAGGACGTGAACCGGAATCCACAGCGTTCCGTGCAATTGCTCTAACCAATTGAGCTACCGTGTCCTACCAATTTTTACGATATAACATATTCATTATTTGATGGTAAAGTTTAATGATATTAACTTAACAAAAAATGTGGATAGATGTCAATTAAAATATATTTCGCATTTGAAACATATGGTTCCAATCGATTATAAAAACTCCGAGTTTGATTTAAAAATAATCGAGTTTAATCGGCAAAAAGTGTGATAGCTGTCGGAAGTGACTCGTTTGAAATAGACGCCAAATTGACCGCTCAAAGTCTTGACCGTTTAAAATCCGAAAGCGAGTTATTAGGAAACCTTTACTGATTATGCGACCTTTGTAATAACGCTCTTGATTTATTAATTACTATTTTGAAGTATCATTCATTTGTCCGTGACATTTAAAAATATTTAGTTTAAGAACGTCCAATATTGCAATTAAATGAAAGGGTAACGAAACGCTATATAAAACTTACGATACTTACGAGAAAACATAATTTGTTTCGGTTAGACAGGACAAAGAACTCGGAAATATAAATGTGTCTAACTCACACCCCTGTTAGAGAATACAAGAATCCCCTTTTTGCCTAAATGTTGCCACCACATTCGTTGTTGTGAGAAAAACTTGTGTGTCTTTATTATATCTATTTTTTATCGGAATTATGAAGAATGTAAATAAAACCCTTTAACGGTTTAAAACGCGATATATATTAGATAAACTTATTTGAAAGTTATTGTAACGACGTGAAGAATGTTGCTAAAAGATAATATAAATGTCACAGACTATACGAAGCAGATCTGTAAAATAATTGTATATACTTATGTATATTCAAAGTTATGAATACATCGTATCGATGGAGGTCAAATCTGTGGTTACTAAATAGGACTTCACTGGGTTATCGATTGAAGGTTGTATCTCAAATAATATTCGAGAGATTTATTATTTAACAGCCTCTATTTATTACACATAATTATATGGTTTACGAGACAATAAAATAACTCCTAATACTTAGCTTCCAAGTTTAGCGCCAGTAAAATCCGAATGATATCAATACTATTATTAAGTACTAACTATTTGGTGCACTCAGCAATGCAAGTGAAAGGAAACCGCTTATTTCAGAGGTGACTTAATTTTGTGTTGCATATAATGTGTGTAATTATACCATACAAGGCTGACAACTAAATTAAAATTTTGTTTTAAGTAGAGTACTAGGTTGAGCCACAATTCATACGTTTACATTGGGATATGAATCCGCAGAAAAAACAAACGCTTAACTTGGTACAGGAATATTTGTTTCAATCAAAACAAAACCGCTTTAAAAAAATATGTATTAATAAAATTTTATTATATTTATTTTATGTTTCTGTGTTCTCTTTTCTATCCCGGTTTATATAGTCATTTGTGCTCACATTTTTTTTTACTTGTTTCATGATATTATAGTTGCAATAAATAACATTTATATTTTAAGCTACTGTTAAGATTTACGAGCATTTTTGTCAGATAAGATCTCCATTAAAGGATATGTCAAATTTGAAATTGACATATGACAGTTGACGTAAATGACCTCTAAGCTAACACGCATCTTATTCGCTCTTGTTAATTACAATTAATATTATTTTAAGACCACTCTCTTAGAGAATAATATGGTCGATATAAAATAATTGCTAGTAAAAAAAAATGTTAATCACGATTTTGTACTAATTTTTTCTACTGACTGACACCAAGTACAATTGCAAAATATTATTTTAAATACGATTACATATTATTATTTATATTTTTTTAATTGATCATAACATTAATTGAATTGTAACTATTTCTTGACATTTCGATTTCTTTTCCTACTTTATACCTACGCGAGCGGTATAAAGTAAACTACAATAAATGATATTTGTTATGAATTGGAGATGAACATTTATTCTTTTCTTTTGTCCAGGAGTGCTTTAAAATGGCAACTAATATTCTAGTTGTCCAAATTGACATACTTTGTTAAACAAACAATGCAATATTCTATCATTCTAGTGTTTCGAACATAATGTAGAGATGATGTTATTATGGCGTGACCGATTATTCGTTATTACTGTGCTGTAATGTAAGTTTTCCGCAATCCTTGTACATGCTATGTCCAAAGTTCAAAATGCAAAGAACACAACTTTACTAAGTCTCCAATATACTTGCGTTTAATTCAAGATATCTACGATCGCGACCCGATGTCATTTGTAACGAAAAGGTGGTTGTTGTGTGTTGCAAGGTGCTGTTGAGGTCGGTGAGGCAACGCGGAATCCCGAGGCAGAGTGATGTGTGTCGGGTGAAATGTCACCTCGCGAGAGGTCGCCGGTTCGACGACGTACTGGGCATACCTGTGTGTGTGGCTAAGTTACCGCGGGAAAGTGTTCGTGATGCAACCGTGAGGTAACGGCGCTCGCACCGCGAACAACAACACATTAACATAATCTAGATCTTTCTAAACCCTTTAATGCGCGTGATTCTTTTTTTTGGAATGTAGCAAAACGTATTGTTAGTTTTTTTATGATAGAGGAGGACAGAGATCGAATCATCGAAACAAGATTTGCTGACCTATTTTGGCTTTAGGTATTAAGAAATCCAAAGACTGAAACCAAACGCGATTTAAAGGCCTTTTCATTTATGGACGGTGATTCGTGACCCGGATGGAAATTCCCACCAATTTAATATCCAGTTTACGCGACGAAGTCCAACATGTTTCAGAAAAATTATAAATTGATTAGAATAATGTTGGATCCGGTGGGCATGTGCTATAATTACACCAACGATGCTGTTCAAATGTAATAATTAATAATGTCTCAGAGGACAGTAGCTCATTTTTAGAACAACAGTACAGGGCTTGCGTTCGAGTCTCACCCGCGTCATCGCTGTTTTTTGTTTAAGATATTTTTTATTATGTGACTTTCCTTAGCATGTGTGGGAATAGGCGAGGGCACAAGGTGAGGGTCGCAGTTCGAGTACAATGCACGCGCGATGAGTTATCTGCTAATGCTATGGTATTATTTTAGTGACGAGCGACTCACGAACGACAAGTTCGTCTCACACGGAGGGACAAGTTCAAATCTATTGTCTCATGTAATGGCAGTGTGAGTCTTCAATTCATATTGTTCGATATTATCGCTGGTTGAAAAAAGAAGAGAAACGTTTACTCTGAATCTATACTAATATATAAAGCTGAAGAGTTTGTTTGTTTGTTTGAATGCACTGATCTCAAGAACTACTGGTTCGAATTGAAACATTATTTTTGGTTTGGTTAGAGCACTTATTGAACTATGACTAATAGCAGCGAAGAAACAGCTGGAAATGCGGAACACCTGGGGAACGTCGTGGGTGACAGCTTCAATTTATAAAGATGAAGGTTTGCAAAAACAAATTAGCATGTCCGAAATAACTATGATATGTTAACCGATTCCTTTAATTAAAATACATTAACACGCAATAAATATTTGTTTTAAACCGTTAAAGTGTTTTATTGAAATGTGTCATATATGCGCGTAAATCCGTTTAAACTCTTATATTATTCATTGTAAGCGCAAAATAAAAAAAAATAAGCTAAAATAAAGTAGGTGAGATCGTAGCTAATGGCTCTAAGGGCGAACTGTGGCAACACTTTACGACTTTACGACAGACAGTGTCAAAGGTGAGCTGCGTTAAGTAACTAGTGACTGGGCAACGTGCTACTGTTGACCTACACATGACGAAATCTATTAGGCCAATCGAAACTAATATTATAAAGCTGAAGAGTTTGTTTGTTGGTACGCGCAAATTTTAGGAACTACTGCTTTGAATTCTCTGGACCCTGGAGCATTTATCGAGGAATACTTAGGCACATAACGAGGAAAATTATTCATTTAAAGATGAATAATTACTTAATCTTGAAGGTTCAAGATATCCCTTTATATATGATGATTAAATTCAATGACTCCTCTTTGAATCGTCTAAAAAATGTCAGTGACAGTATATGCATATCTTTTAAGATAAACTGCAAGAACGAAATCGACGTTGGGGGTAACTGCTATAATTTCTAAAGATGAGGAGAAGGTTTGCAAAAACAACATTTGATGCCCAAAAAACGTGAATGAAGTTCTTGGCTCCGTTAGTCAGAATATACTAACTACAAACTCAATACATTGACGTACAACTATTCTTTGGCAGTCGGATGTTTTTTAGCAAAATCGTAAATAAAATCTAAACGATAGTCAATAAACCCTTTTTTTTATTTTGTTCTGCGTTTCTTTACACAAATACGTATATCTTAATAAGATATAAGAGCTCTTTAATATATATATATTATATATATATATTATTATTGAACTATACTTCATCTCTGTGTAAGAATAAATGCATTTTAATTGTTACTACAGGTTCTTTGTATGAATTGTTACGGTTTGAGGGTTCTTCTCGTGTTTTCCTGTTACGTAAACATTTCCGCGAACACAACGCATGCGTCGCTGACATGATTTAATAATTATTGTTTTGTACTCGATTCTACCTCGCTCATTAAAATATTTGGAATGTCGTAATTATTCTATTCGAAGCGGGATTATATAAGTATAATAAGATGGCATTAGTTTGACAATGCAGTGAAGAAATGCAAAATATGCTCGTTAATATGAGGTAATGTTTGCGCAAGAGCAATTGAGGAAGCGGCGACCGGTAACGAACGACGTCGCTTGTCAGTGGACATGTGGATTAAGTAACGCCCGCCCGAAACAATGCCTTTATAAACTTCAAAATGTATCCATGAAGCGACCTCTACATCGTACGTATTATATAAAAACAATCTATTATGTGAGAAGCGTATTTCTCACATAATAGTATTACTTGGGTTACATCTAACACTTTTGTGTTTTAGTTCGCTAAAATGACGTCATTGGTGTCCATAGTTCAAGGAATTCTATATTCATACTAGTATTATAAAGCTGAAGAGTTTGTTTGTTTGTTTGAACACGCTAACCTTAGGAACTACTGGTTCGGTTTGTTTTTTTTTTGTGGGTAGAGCATTTGTCTAGGAAGGGTTCTAGTTAAAATACATTACGCGGCGTCTAATAAAAGCGAAGTAATAGTGGTAAATGTGGAAAAAAACGGTGAAAAATTATCTTTGAGGCTTTCCATTGCGTGCGTTGCGAAAACGGTTGAAGGTGCCCAAAAATATGAATGAAAGAATGATTCCGATTTTGATGTCCAAAATAACTATTATACGCGGACGAAGTCCCGGGCACAGCTAGTGTTCGTATATGCGTATACGCAATGTTTTATTTTTAACGGCTTTAGTTTATGTTTAACGATGTCCTCATACTAGTTATTTATTTGCGTCAGTTACATTGTTAGCATTTTGTCTTTTACTGTCGGGGTGCGGCTAAGTGCTTGAGTTTCATTACGATTTTATAAACAATTTAACGGTTTAAAACGCGTTATATATTAGTTAAACTTAAAGTCTCCCGCGACTTCGGCTACTGCAAAGCATCCGAAACGTCATGTCGTAGTTAAAATAATTTCCAGATCACTAATATATATCGCGTTTTAAACCGTTAAAGGGTTTTACTACTCGCATAAACTACAGACCGTGTCTCATTACATCGAAACATTTTACGAACTAGTTATTTATTTTTCATACTTAGAGAGCTGCTGCTAAAATTGTACTACAAATATTATTATAGGTTTTAAATCGCCTTGACAGTGCTCTTTGCAAACACTTGGTGTACACACCACAGTATTTGACGTCAACAGTCACGCCTCATCGGAACAGCATTGAGCGAATTTAATATTCGGATATAAATAAGCTACGTCGGCGCCGGATCTTGGTCTAGAGCTGATACCTGAATATTCAGAGCATGTCTACTCAATCTTATGCGCCAATGTCACCTCGCAGAACCGCGCATTGCATCACAATTTACTGGGAATTAAACATCGATCAATCGATCGTTGTTAAACCCGCCCTAATTTTATCTTAACTCGGGTATTCAAATGAATATAACAAGTTTTTTTTAAACAGACGAGCATGGTGTTCCCTTGATGGTAAGTGAAACACCCCTATAGCATCAGAACAAGATGCGGTGTCGATTTAATTTGGCTTTGGATATTCGGAAATTCACAGACTGAAACCGAAATGCGTGTAAACTTCACGGCGTTTTCATCTGTGGACGGTGTTTCCTGACTCCGACGTAATTTCGATATCCCTATCCATTTAATATCCAGACTATCCAGAAGTCCAACATGTTTCAGAAAAAATACAAATTGATGAGAAAAGTGTTGGACCCGGTGGAGATCGAACCACTCCTCGAACCACGAGGCGTTATTAGGCGTACATCGCTACCATTACACCGAGCCGGTAAAAATGTAAAGTAGACATATGAATGGAGATTACATCTACACGACAATTTACTTAACGACGCTATAAACCTTCGCTTCGTAGCAAAGGCATAACGGCTTAATACAACGTTGTCTAGTGATATATGAATTAGTGGTGCGTTTGGACAAGGAAAGCCGCGTGTATCGCAATCGGCCGTACGCGATCTGAATTCTGTTCGACGGCCGCGATGTTCGCGCGCGTAAGCGGTTGCTCAACCTGCGTCCGTCCAAGGATATGCTTCGTCCCTGAGTTCACACGTGACTAATGAGACTCTTTTTAAACGCGATTTTCTTAAATTTCAGTTCATGATATTCCATACAGCCTGTATCTTTTCGGTGAAAAGACTTTTTTGTTGTCAATACGGTTACCACCATTAATTAAGTGGCGACAATCATTAAAAAGCCGCCAACAGAAAAACTATGTTGCAGTGTAATAGGTTCGAACGACAAAGTTCAATTGCTCAGTGATCTTGATCCGAAATTATTTCCTCGGAGGAAAGGGTTAAGACGTGATACGGTCGTGTGTTTTGCTTTGGAACGCTTTGGCCTAGGCGCAGCCGCGATGTTGTAAGCGTTATGCAAGCGCGTTTGTTTCTTTAATCGAACTGTAATCGAATATCAGTTCGCATAGAAAGGTACGTGACGTAACTCGGAACTGTGACGTCACGAGCCACTCGCCACCGGACACTTACTTCGAGTCGTTCTCCATGAGCCACCAGAATTGGAGTCTAGGGTATCACCGAACCATAGAACGAGATGCGATCTCAGAAAAATCTAGAATAATTTTGAGTAACAGGTCGACGACTTCAATTGGTGCACCCAACACAATCTAGTGTGACAAAACTTAAGCCTCTTAAAAATACGTACATATTGGTTATTTTCATACGAAATATGTTACTTGGCGATAATAAGTGTTTTGTAATTTAAATAAACTATGATATTGATTTAATTTCAGATTCGTGCAGATCTATTGAAAGCGAATGTGATGACGAAAAGCAGTTAGCAGTTTGCTGATCGAGGGAGGTTCTCGCAAGGCACTTCGCAACGTTCAGCTTTCCAGCGCGACTCGAATCGGCCAATCTACGGTTTCATTTCAACTACCCTTGACCTCTTCACGTTTTATTATTCTCTCACCTCAGACAGACTCAGGCTCTACTTTCAGTATCAACGACAAACAAAACAGAAACCATTTAACAAAGACCGCAATCATAATGAAGCTGTTTTAAATATTTGCAGTTTCCCTTTTCATATTGATATTTGACCCGACGGCGCGTCGCGGACCCTGACCTTCACGCTCCAAACATAAATACGATCTCCATAAGGCACCGTGGAGAGAAAGCGTTCTAATGTCAAAATGGCTCGAATGTAGGTTACGGGTATTATGTAAAGTGACGACACAGAGGGACGAGAGCGGCAACAACCGCGCAGCGGCGCGCTTCTTACGTTCTTCGAAAAGCAAGTCTTCGTCGCTGCACGGTCGGGCCGAGGGTAGAAAAACACAACACTATACACAAGTACACCGGCGACGCGGCGTTCTGAGCTTACGAGATTTCACCGGGTCGTGTCTGTCAGAACGTCGCATCGTTTGGTGTCAAAGCGCTACGTACCGGCACGGTGCGTCAGGCGTCGAGAAGGCGGCGCGGGAGACGCGTGTTGGCGGTGAACGCGGGACACGGAGTGACCTGACGCCTTCAGTCGGCGCGAGCGCACCCCACGTCGCGCTTCGCCCCACCACCTGACCGGCCTAAACCCGCTGAAAAACATAGCCAATGCCAGCCGGAAAACGTTCTCCGAGCTTTTACTTTATCCCGATAAATGCGATATTTACATTATTGGATTATTAGGAGAGACACGATTTTTCCCCGCACCCCCGCCCCGCACCGAAATGATCTTTGTAAAATCATATAAATTACAATTGCTTTCGAGAATTACGAAGAAAGTAAGTACTATGCGTGAATCCGGCACTTGTTGTACACCTTGAGCGATTGAATCAACCTTTCGGTGGATATTTCACAAAGTGCGCGGAAACAGGTAAATGTCGAAAGGTTGGACATTTTGCAAATATATCAGGGCCATTTCTCTGGCCTCGAGCTGTGTGTCACCCGAATCGTATTAAAGAATAACTTATAAGCCCCGCTCGGGACACCTGTTGGAGCGCTCGACGGTGTCACGACAAACAGACAAAAAGGGATGATCTAGTTTCGTAACAATGTTGCAGCGTTGTAGCGTTTAAAATTAAAATGTTAAAGGTCAGGTGTCGAAGGTGAGGTTATAGTTTTTAATAAGACGGAATTGTAGGTCTAGGTTGAAACTGGAAATTTTAATTAATTACACCCGAATCGTGATTTTCATAAATTAGACATAACTGTTTCGTAACGATACGTAGGCATTTGTAGGTTACGGAACTTTGTTTAGGAAGCAGTGATATGGAAGAGCCATACTTCATTTTATTGTTACTACTTAACTAGCTTACAAGTACATATTAAATGTATTGTGTTAATTTTCATTATTTTTTAACAAAGAGAATATTTTTTTAAATCACGAATTTTTTTACACACTGTAATTATTGGATTCGTTATAGAGTAATTTATGATTTAGGCATACTAAAACATATTTATTTACTTTATATAAAACAATAACATATATTATAAAGTAAGGTTATTATAGTATATAATGTCGTTTTAAGGTTTAAAGTAAATTCTTTAAACAAAAAAATATACATTCACTTAAGTTATTTTCGACGTAAATTATACAACTTATTTTAATTAATGTGGTGTAAAAAATGCCCAAATATCAAAATAGTTTGCCTCACTTCTTCATCAGCTGTGTCATTTCCACTTACACCTAGGAAATTATACAATAGTCTTTCAAGATACTAATATATAAAGCTGAAGAGTTTGTTTGTTTGAACGCGCTAATTTCAGGAACTACCGGTTTCTGTTAGAGCATTTATCAATTAAGGCTATGGGCTATAAAACATCGTCCTGTGACTAATACAGCGAGAAATGTGGAAAAAAAATGGGAAAATTATTCATAATTATGGGTTTCCGATGCGTACACTGCGAAACAAGATACCCCAAAAATATGTATGAAAGAATATTTCCTCTTTAAATGATCTAAAAAAAGTCCACGATGTTTTTTAAGACAAACTTGCAAGAACGACGGGAAGGGACGCGCCCGACGTCGTGGGCAACAGTTTAAGTTTATAAAGATTTGAGATGAAAAAGAAGGGGTTTGCAAAAACGAATTTCGATGCCTAAAATAAATATTCTTAGCGGACGAAGTCGCTGAAACAGCTAGTGATATATAAAACAAAACCAACGAACATCTAAAACTGTAGACTAGATACTCGCGTAGTATTTATAATTACCCGAATACATCCGGTGATTTATAAACAATAATTAGTAATTAAAAATTGTAGTTTCAGAGGTACATGTGTCACGCTTAAATCCGGGATAATCCATAATGAGTCTTACAAGAAATGAATTAGCAAACCCATCAACCGTGAACTAACCTGAGTCTTTCAAGTTGCCCAACAGATAGTTGTCGTGGGTATTACCACTTTTTTGTCGGATTTAATCATCGTACTTTAAATAAAAGTATTTCAATGTTTTCATGATCTGCATTACAAAGAAAGTTTTAACAATTCTCAAAAGTTACAAAAATTGTATTTTTTTCTCCTAAAAAGGTGAATATTCCGTAAGAAGATAGAGAGCTGTACTTACACACAGTTTTGTTTTCATTAGGATGGGTTTAATGTGGGCCTGTATAGTCTTAAATCACAAATTATCTACTTTGAATAACAAAGATTTGACATGATCGAATTAATTTAATATTAATGAAATGAGTTTGCGCATGGATAAAGTTTAGTCTTGCTTATATATCTGTGGTGTATTCTATTTTATATATGGATGTCTGAGACCTGTAAAGGATTTTGCAAATGTCATTATTAAATTATGAAAGTAATGATTAAATCTCGTCGAAATTCCCTCATAAATGGCACTGGAGTCAAAGATTGTCGGGACGGGGACAGAGTGTCGAGATCCAAGGCTGGAGGGTCGAGGGTCGAGGGTGAACGCATTTGAAGGTTGCGAGTGTCGAGTGTCGCATGTTGAGTGTCGCGTGTCGCGGCTAATTGCTTTCAATACTGTTAACTCTTGCAAATCTGCAGCAGCGCGGCCATACTGCACGCGTGTGGCGCAAGAAAACGCTGCTAGCTATCGAACGAGCGAGTTGCTTAAAGAAAGAGGTCTCACCAAAAGAAATAATTTAACAATGGATTAAATTTTATAAACAATCACGAAAACGTGCTGTTTACTTATAGTTGTGTTAGAAAAGTAATAACTACTAATACTATATGTTTATGACACAAAATAATTAATCTATACTATTATAAAGCCTAAGAGTTTGTTTGTTATTGTGCGAATTTATAAATATTTTTGTGTTGTTTAGAATATCGAAAAAGGTTTTGGGCTAAAAAACATCACGCTGCGAGTAATACAATAAAAAAAACAGTGGGGAATGTTGAAAAAAATGGGGAAACTATCTATTAAGATTAACTGGCAAGAACGTCGTGACTACAACTTATAGAGATGAGAGAGTTGACTAAGACTAATTTTAATGCCATAATAACTATTCTAATCGGACGAAGTAGCAAGCGTAGCAGTAGTTGTTTTAATATATAAATCAACAGTTTTTCAAAGGTTTCACGCAAACGTACCTTTGGATGCTTTACAAAAAAACAGATGCAAATTATGAAAACTTTAATATTTTTCACATGTTGTGCATATGAAGGCACTACATAATTTAAAAATCGAAAATAAATTGCTCTCAGCAACAGCACAGAACGCCGAAGGTTCAAGTCCTGCCTGAGTCGAAGTTTTTTTCAATTTATTTTAGATTTTTAAAGATACAAATTAGTTTTTAACACTAGTTTGTTTTTCGCGGTTTATCAGGTTTGGTCTAGTCACCTAGTAGCATGTGAAATGAAAAAAAATCTTTGTGCACTGATACTATTTTCCAATAAAAGAAGACATCGTTAGATATATCTTTTACGAACTAAATCCTCGTCCATATTATATGTAACTTACCTGGACGCACCAGCGTTCTAGATTAAGGCATATGCTTTAATAGTAGGTCCCAGCAGTGGGAACTGTTAAAATCTTGTTCCCGGGCTTTACGTCCGCTTCTGCCCCCGCTCCCTCTATCGCTTATGCGGTGCGAACTCGCTTAGCGGGCATCGCACTACCTTGGCTTAGTTTTCTCCAGCGAATGGTGTAAAACAAAACCTGATTAATTGTCATTGTGTCATGTGCGTTCAGTGAATAATTTTATTATAATTAATGATATAATTATCTAAGTAATTCATTATCTTACTGATTTGCATTCTAAGACTTTTGATTAAATGAAAGTGAGATAACCTGAACAGAAATATCAGGTGGTTTTCAGTTTTAAAAACATTACTCGAGTAGGGCCCGGTACATAAAGCAGCCCGAGGAACGGTTCAACCACGATTTTTCAATTTATAATCGATTTTAAACTTAGCTTAATCGAGTAATTCGATACTAAGTACTGTCTGTAGTCGCAGTAGTAGGTACTATGTGTAGGTACACTTTACATAAAATAATAAGGTTTAAAACGTTTCGGATGCTTTGCAGGAGTAAAGCTTTTCAAATAAGTTTAACTAATTTAATTGTTTTATTTAATATTCATAATAAAAGTAAAATGCCATTACGCTTATAAGACGTGAAATACGTACGAATCATTGAGTCACGGACCTCATTATTTTTATATAATTCATATGAAAAACTATTTAAATAAAAAATAAATTATAGCCCAGGTCAATACCGTTCATTCGAAAAATGTTACATTTAGCTAATTAACCTTATATTATTGTTTATTTTATTCCTAACGGAAGCAGAAAATTTAGAGTGCTATAATTAAGTAGCCATTAAGTTCAACGCGAAATAAGAGACACGGAGCCTATTACTTAATACGGCTTAATTCTAGAGTCTTATTTACGTTGCAGCTGCATAGCTCATTTAGAATGGATAAAACTAAATCTAGATTTACGTTTAAAATGAACGCTGTATTCGTACATTAATCATATATTGATATATATCATGAGTTAGTGATTTTAATATTTATTATGAGAGTTACGTAAATGTTGTTAGGAGAGATGAGTTTGGCAATGTATCTCTCCGCCATGGTGTCAACAAAGTTTCGTAAAACAAAAAGGCATGTTATCTCAGAGTATTTTATATTTTTAAGAACCTGTTCTCATGTGAATTTATGCAAATTAAATCATTACATTGATTAGCTGTTGTTTGTATAGTAATTTAATGTTATAATAAAAAAGATGTAATCGATTTTTTTAATGACAGTAACATGTGGTAAAGTTATGTACTATCGAAATATATATACATAATCGATCGACATGGCACCTTTTAATCGATACTGTATAACATCCAAGCGCTATCAACCAACTTTGGTAGGTAATTTTAAATAAAACACTTTAACGGTTTAAAACGCGATATATTAGTTAAACTTATTTGAAAATGATTTTGCCCGACGCCCGACGTTTCGGATGCTTTGCAGCAGCCGTGGTCACGGGGAGACCCGGTCTCCACCACGTGTTTTATTTAAATGTGTACTACTCGCGTAAACTATAGACAGTATTTAGGTAATTTTAACTTCTCTTCTTTCCCATCTAGAGTGATAAGTAATATATTCATCCAAAGCCGAAATAGGCCGACAGCGCATCTTGTTTAGATGTTATATGGCGGGGTATTACACCTATAATTAAGTCAACCCCATGCTTGTCTGTACATATAAAAAAAATAAAGTTGAACGAACCCAGGACCCGAGACTGATACCACTGTACATACGAGCACGCCGAAAGCGATCTAGTACAGTGGGGCTGTGGGCCACTGACTGGTAACCGGGTTTCGTGACATTATAAGAGATCAGTGATTACATAACGACATATCGGTGTCAATAACTTCTTTATGGACGGACGATTCACGACGCATCGCCGTGCATTCGGACAAGATTCCTAGCGTCATCTGACTTGAATTTTCACGGTTTTAAATAGGATGTCGCTAATATCTGGATACTATTTTTATTTAACTTAAGTAACCAATTATAACGTATATCTATACTAATATTATAAAGCTGAAGAGTTTGTTTCTTTGTTTTGGTTAAAGCATTTATCGAGGAAGGCTTTAGGTTATAAAACATCACGCTTCTTTAAATGACGTAAAAAATATCTCTGCGACAGATTAAAGCTGAGGAGGTTGTAGGAAAAAAATATGATGTCCTATTCCACGCGGACAAAGTCGCGGGTACAGTTACATACATAACTCTATCTCGCAAACATAGTTCAACGAATGCTAAAAATAATGGCCAAATTTGCGAAAATAATGTATAGCTACGCGTGGAGCTAGAATGGGAACATACCTATTAGGTAACTAATAACTCGATCGCTGTTGTAAAAGTTTATAATGAACACTACGACGACTCCTATAGAGAGATGCGGACTTATACCTGACATTAGATTACGGTGCAATACACTGCAGTTTGGTAACATATTTTATAGGTGATTGCAGAAGACCGTTACATAACAGCACAAATTGTTATTTATAACCTGTCCATTTCTAACATCATATAACTATGATTAGCCGAATAAAAATATATTACATGTAATTAAATTGTATGCAATATATCTCTATCATAATCTTAATACCGTGTAATATATCGCTAGAAGAGGATTCGGTTTACATTTCCTCAAACTATTGCTTCATAAGTTGTATGTGCTAGTTGAGCGTTTGTAATAATTATCGAATATCAACTGTAAACTGACCGCCTCTATGGCTCAATTATGAAATGTGTGTAAAGCACGAGAGGCGCTAATTTCGATTCCCGGAATAACAATTAATTGTTTCACAGAAGTCTGATCAAATCTACATTGCTTTAAATAAAAGCTGTCATGAAAAAGACAGAAATAAGCGGGTCATTAGGTGGTAAGATTATCAAACACTCCGTCCAAGATAAAAAACCGACATGTTTAATCGCATTTAAAAAAAACACTTTAACGGTTTAAAACGCGATATATTAGTTAAACTTATTTGAAAATGAGTTTTAACTTCGGCCCGACGTTTCGGATGCTTTGCAGCAGCCGTGGTCACGTGGGGTCTCCCCGTGGCCACGGCTGCTGCGAAGTTAAAAATCATTTTCAAATAAGTTTAACTAATATATCGCGTTTTAAATCGTTAAAGTGTTTTATTTAAAAAGATTAATCGCGTTTCGGTTTCAGTCTGTGGATTTTCTAATATCCAAAGACGACAAAAATAGGCCCACAACGCATTTTGTTTAGATGTAAAATCACTGGGGTATTTTATTTACCATCATGTGAACCCATCTGTTCTGTTCTGTTCTGTTATCTGTTCTCCTCTATCATACAAAAATTACGATAACATGGTGGGGTCTAAGCTCTGAAGCCCCTTCAAGATTTAAGGATTAAATTAAAGGAAAAAAATTAATGCTACGCTTAACTGGTTTAAAAATATTATATAGTATATATATAGTAACTACTGATTCGCATTAAAGTCAATATTTAATATACATATATGTATTTATATATTAAGCCTATGTCGGACCCTCTCTTGTGTTATTTGTACTTAAATTAATTAAATTTTTCTTGTGTATAGTATTCTTATTAGTCAATGTAATTAACGTATTGTTACCTTTTTAGCATACATATAATATGTAAACCAGTCGAGTGCAAAAAACAGTGTTTCTGTGAGAATGCATTGTAACACTTTACATTAATACTGTTTTAGTATGTCGTTACTGTATTTCAAAACTAAGGACAGTTATAGACTTTAAATTGTTATTACCATACAAGTGTCAAATGATAAAAAATACAGTTAGCGTGCCAATTACAAAAATCCAAAAATAATTAACGAATTGCCAAAACAATAATGATAAATAAATAAAAAATATAAAATAGAAATAATACTTCAAAAAAACTGTAATTAGGTTATCCGCAAAGTATTTGTTTGAGAATTTTTACATTCTGTAATAACATCGATCAATAAAAGGATAGTAATACTCGCCTCTGTACTCTGTAGCTAAATGGTTAAACGTGTTGATTACGTTAAGCGCGAGAAGCCCTGGGTTTGAAACTTTGAACCCGGGGAAACAGAAAATTGTATCGGTCAGGCAGGGCACAGAAGTCTGTTCACCTACTTGCCTGTGAATAAAACGGACACAAAAATGCGTTTGCTCTATGCCTCACGAGGGGACATGGGATTTCACTTATTATATTAATACTAATATTGTATTATGATCTTACAGATAGGTATGCCATTATTTAAATTAAAAGTTAAACAACATATTTATTCTGTTCGTGTTTGGTATGCAAGTATTAAGTTGAGGCGCGTCATAAAAAATGTGCAACCGTGTAATACATATTAACCTTTCAGATTGAGCAAAAATACTAAGAGTGTGTTAAATGCCGCACACCAGTTAGAACATTAATCATAAAAACTAATTAACGCGTTACGATATATTTTACCATATATAAAAACATGTGTGACAAACTAAAAGTTGAAGGTCGTCGGATTTTTAGACATTTCCCAACTACGTCGTTTATGACTGGATATTATCGACGGGCTCATTGATACTTGAATAGCAATGTCAAAAACGTCCCTGGGTCGATATTTCTATCGAAAACTAAGTGATTTTGAATATTCTTGATATATATGAAAATCATTTATTGATCACGACTCGACTCTTTATGCAAAGTCTGGAAGATGCGGACGCGAAATCGTAATTCCAGCCCCCCGCATGAATTTCAATCCACAATCTATTCATTCTGTGAGTTGTAGTTTTTTATGATAGAGGAGGATAGACAACATACGCCCAGAGGGTTCACTCGATGATGAAGATATATGCTAGAAATATTACAACTAAAGAAGATGCATTCTCGACCTGTTTGGGTTCGGGTTATTTGGAAACCACAGTTCATCACAGGTCGGTGGCTCGTGACCCGGATGGAATTTTAATTTTCCTATCCACATTTTGTATATTGTATTTTGATGTTCCCAGTACGCATTTATTATACAGATTTTACAGACAAAGTACAATATATTTATAAATTGATTAGAAACATGTTCGATCCAGTGGGGATCGGACCTTTGACCGGTTGACTATGAGCATTGCTACCGTTAGATCGACGTCGACATCGATAATTATTTCATCATAACGTGATACTCTACCCCTTTCTCCAAGACGCGCTACGCAAGACTCTACCGATGTGTTTTGACTCTCGCCTTTGTTTGGGCATACCAACTTTAAGACGATTACTTAATAGGAAGTTACTTAGTTCTGAATGAAGACACGGGATGTAACGCAATATTACGAACTCTAAATACTTTCAAATGTTTTAAAATTGTTTGAACAACTATGTGTTTTAGTTTTTTTTGGCGCTGTGTAATAAATTGTTATTTCTAATGTTTATACGACTCGTTGAGCCATTCACTAGTCTATTGCTTATACTATTTTTTTCTATACTCATAATATTTTTTCATATTATGACCTCGTATTCGTTTTGAATAATCAATTACATTATATTATTTACCTTCAATATTGTTGATAAATAGATCTAATACTGTATGTTTGAAGCAATGTAATTCGAAATCTGAAATAAAAAAAAACATGTTCGAATTATTGACGCGACAACGGAATTTCTACGTTCCTAATTTAAAAATTCCGTTGAAATTCAAAGTTGAAACGAAACGAAGGTATAAAGTTTAATCCTAATTGCATTAGATTGTTCCAATTTGGAACACTGAAAGTTCTACTTATCTGTTATACAACAAACTCGCTGTTTGGCCGAGACAATCTGTTGGGCGTTAGCCGATCATGTAATACAACAAATAGCAACAACCGGCTCAAAATTAAACGCCACAAATATTTATAATTAATCCTAAAATATAAAGATGTGCTTGCCTACGATTTTTAAATTGCTTCTTTTTTGCGAACAGTGTTTAAAACTTATTCAAGGAAGCTTCTTCTACTACTCAACATACGTATACATATATAAACATGCTTTCTAGTATATCACAAATATTTAAATGAGTTTAAATTTAAGTATTTACCCACTAATATAGTTTTACTGTATGATTTATCAAATGTGTAAAGTTTAAATAACAATATATTATTATCTGGAAAACCTAACTAAGTATGTCATGTCGAGGGCAGACTGCGGAGAACTACATTTTGTGGTTTTAGCCTTTTGACTTATTCGTTACTAAATGTTTAGGATTTCACAAGCTCCTCTAAGGTTATACCTATACAATATAGATATTTTGTTCAAAATAACCATGGTAAAACTCTTATAAATCAGTATCATTTCTACAGCAATGTTTTTTTTATAATTTATACGTGAAGTAATTAATATATTTTATTTATTTATACAGTGGAGAGCTGCATGTATACAATGGGAATCTCTGCGATTTCATATAAAAGAGTTCAACGCGCTCCGATCTTTGGGATATCGAGGGGAAAGTAACTTTTAAATGACAGAAATCTTAGTATAATGCACAAGTACATAAAAATATGTTCGATAATTAAATTTGCATTTACCTAGTTGCCTTAGAACGTAGACCTTGCGTATGCCCAATTACAATTTGAACTCTAGCTCGACCCCTTCGTTGTCCACATTTCTCGTTATTTAGCAGCTTAAACAGCTTAATATAAATAAATTGTATACGTTTAAGTAGAATATGCTGGAGTCCTCATCGATATTCACGAGCCGTTGCCGAATACACGTCGGTTGATTATATTAGTTTATAAGTTGTCCTTTACATTTTATAAGTTGTCTTACTAACAGTTTTTTGTTATTGAATTCTATTTTAATTTTAACGTATATTATGAGAGTTTTTGCTTCTTTTCTTTAGCTTTGGTGTATGTGCTCAGAATTATTTCTGACAATTCAAGTACCTATCACTTTGACTTCCGTATTTTTGATTAAGTGTTATTATGTGTAAGTATGATTGAAGCTATATATTAATGCTGTCCTTATTAAATGATTCAAGCCAGTTTGTTTTTAAATTATATTAGATTCTATTTGCACCAATTAACCTTTTTTTGTTTAGCCGTCGCTCTCTGTCAATGTCGGTCAGTCAGAAACTGAGCGACATATCCGTTTAAAATAAGTCACACTTAATTGCGCACAAGCATAGTCTGGGTCCTGGCTTCGTAACACTTAGGAGGCAGAGATACGACATTCGTGATAGGCAAAGCCGCATAAACTGTTATGCAATTAGACTTGTGGTCGTTTGCGTAACTATTATTTTAATTACTTCAGAATGTATGACTGGGACAACGATTAATTTTATCTATTACTGGGATCAATCATTTTACAAAATAGTATTTAATCATTTTTTATGTAAAAATTCGCTTCTATTTTTTTTTCCTATTAATGCCAACGATCCGTCAAGTTGACGTTCAAAGAGTTGGATAATTTACAGTAAAATTATTATTAATTGCGCATGCGCATTTCAGAATTTTTGTGAGTGCTTAACAATGCCAAACTTAGAACAGTAGTAGCAATAAAATGGAGATCAAGGGGTTATGATTAAACAAACTTTGTGATGATTGCACCATACTCAACGGTTTCACCCAGTTAAAGTATAACCGGACATAACATAATTTCATAACAAGGACATCGTCTTTGAATACTGACATGATAACTAACGTATAGTATATTGTATGACACATAAAGTGGAAACTCACGCTGAGAGGATGTTTACACTTATAAAGTGATAGATTTCTGACCTTATACACTAGCACAATCGTTTTTTCTAAATAAAATTCATAAGGAAGCGGCCATTTTGAACTTACAAAAATGAAATTACATAACTGAATTAATAAAATGCGTAGGTACATAAATAAGTGTATATTATGTTGTATTATAAAGTCAAGTCAAAAGTGTATCAAGGCGAGCTACATCATAGTACCGCCAAATGGACACTAAGGTCTGCCTATTCGGAATGATCGAATTTATAAATCATTATCTATGTTTGGAAAGACGATTGATAGGGTTTCGTATGAGGACTAGATGTGTTTTATTTTTAGGCAGCCAAAGTAAATTTATAAGAGGCGTGGATACACTCGAATTTGTGAAATCGGCAGTTTGAACCTCAGTCGTGCATCAAATGTATATTTATTATTGTTTACAGTCTAGTACGTGCATTCCGTTATATATCGCAGAGATACCAGTATGACCTAGTATTAAAAAAAATCATCAAAAAAGTGTCCTCTAGCAAGACTTAGCTTTTCTTTTATAATAGAGGAGGACAGTCAAGCGTGAGTTTCACTTGATAATAACTTCTAACCAAGATGCACTGTCGACCTTTTATGAATTTCGATATTCGGAAATACACAGGCTGAAACCGAAACGCGATTAAACTTCACTTTCATCTTCGGTGGTTCATAGCCCGGACGAGATTCGATATTATTGCCATATTTTCGAAATTATTCAAATTTCCAGATGAAATCGAACATGTTATTAGTAATATATTTGTCCGGTTGATTATTAGAAACGAGCCCTGCTGATGATAACGAAGGACAGTAGTAACGGTAATGTTGCTTTATGCAGCAACCTCCAACATATTTTGGTAACATAACATTAAATTTAAGTAGTGTGCATTATAAATGATTAGACGAGAGGGTGAATTATGACCTTGAGTGCAGTCCGCTGTGTCCTGTCAGCAGTGGGGCGGACGTTGGGAGGGGCGGCGTTCGATTCGAGCGGGCCGAACGACGACGGCGGGCGCACAGTGCCCTCTCCGCTACCATGTTTGCCTGTCGCCTATCTTTGTGCCTCCTCGGCGCGCTGCTTGCTGCGTCGTTCGTCGAAAGAGCCTCTGCTTCGCCGGCGAACATTCGCGTTCGCAGACAACTCGCCGATGACAACACTTTACAACCGATCGACGTAAGTCTATAAGCATATTACTTCTTCAACTCCAACATATACGACCCAGTGTGTATGATATATCGTCTTGATCAAATACTTTTATAAAGCTATTACTGGTCGGTCCTAATGACCTCATTACATCTAAACTTATGCTAAACGGTATCTAATGATGGTTTACGTAACTTAAGTTGGCAGATTTTCCAAGAGCGATGAATATAGTTATTTTTAGTAAAGCAATTATTATTAATATTATACTACAATGGATTTATCAAGGACTTTTGAGCTTAAATGTCAAGAAAAGCATTGGTCGAAACTGCGTTAAGTTAAAATCAATATATTTAGGTTCGCATAATCCATCTAGGCTCCTACATATTGTAGGGTCTTTTGTAACACATTTAGTTACAAATAAGCATCTCGACATCCATAAATCTAGTTTGGCTTATGATACTTATCTGACGATATGTCCACTTATTTTTTAATTTCATAAGTAACCTCAATTACCATGAACATAGTCACTTTGAATCTAGGTCGAAGCATTTATAGGATGAACGACTGTCCTTGAGGACGAGTAACATTTAGTGAGGTGAACCTTCCTAACCACAAGTGCTGGAAAATTGCATCATTCAAACGCTACACTGCCTCTTTGATTTACTGGTTAGTAAGTTACTAGTCTTCGGCGGATGATGGCCTGGGTTCAAATCTCTTTAGGTTAGGCCAAATGCTTGGTATTTAGAAAATTTGTATTATCCACTCGAAGTTTTTAAAAGGGGGGTGTCCCCTCCATGTCTCAGTAAACCGGTTACCGACTTTTTTAATGGCAGTAGTAATTATAACCCACCAACCCTCAATGAAACAGTACTGTTAATCTACACTGCGAAACTAAAAGATTAAAACTGTACTCTTAAAATTTTGATAAACAAACTTTTAATGGACAGCACTAAAAGCGTGGATTGTAAAAATTAATTAGACTGGGCCGAGGAGCAGGAAGTGAAATGTAACGTTTAGTTGTTTACTATCGCGTGCGCGACACGTGTTCAAGTATAATCAACTCAAGTTCAATTATAAATAATTATTAATTACTCTATTATACGGGAAAATAAAATTATTCTTAACATTAATAATAATTCTCCAATTATTTGCACGGTAGGCATACTTTTTTACTCATTCTATGTTACTGAGTAATTTACTGATTTATGACTTCAATTTTTTTTAAAAGACGGAAATTTATCATTAATATAAGTTACATAAATAAATAAATCTCGAATATTAGATAAGAATGTACTTAAAGATATTTTTCACCTAACTTTTGAAACCAAATTAATGCTTTACCAACTCATAAATATATAGTAATAGTATAAACACCCAAAACGTCGATCGCAATTAATAATTCATTACCCACTACAGTTTACGTTTAAACTTGTTTAATTCATTATGTCTAATGACTCAAAATGGCATAGTTTCGAAATACCGAATAAAATGAGATCTTGGGCCAAACAAGGGTGAACGTGTATGTGTGCGCTCCACGACCTCCGACCGACAACGCGAGTCGATAGCTTACGACACGACCATCGACACCGATACAAACGGAGTTTTTACCTAAAACGTTCCCGCGGTCTTATGTAACCGCTTTTCACGTGAACCGGCGTTTGTGCCTCATGCCTATAACGCTACTTAAGATTCTAGGAAACCTAAAGATTCTACGAACACATCAAAAATCCGCTCAACTAATTATCTATATACCACAGTTAGTGAGCGATGCGACCTCCAACGTAATTGGCTTCAAATTACATTTTGTAAAAGGTCACTCAAGTCAAGAAGACTTCATTTGGTAATAAATTCGGTTCTTAAAGTACACTGATGTTTAAGAGTCGGCGCGCATTAACATTTAAGGTGACATTGACTGAGTCCCTTGCAGTTGCACAACGTCGAGTTGTCGAGATAGCGGCGCGCCCTAGCAGATAGGGGGGCAGCACAAACAACATACAGTCAGCTGAGACAGGACAAACACGGTTTTACACAGAACATTAAGCATGCATTCACTCCACACTTGTTCTAACTTACACTCTTACTGTCGTCTCTCATTTGTTTTGCAAAGTAGTCGATCTTTGACGTAAATGCTGAAGAATTCGTCACAGCAGAACACAATCTAACTCCGTAGTAGCACCGCAGTACTTAGCCGTTTTTATGGTCGATTCATAACACCGTCACGATCCGGGCGAAAGTCGCGTCGTGGGAAAATGAAAAGAAATTGAAAAGTATCATCCCCGACACAGACTGTGACGCAACTCGGTTCGGACCGTTCGCAAAATTCAAGTAGAAGTAGTGATTGATCGATATTTTAGTGGTGGTGGTTAGAATTATGGTGATCGGTGTGGCATGTAGTAGTGTATATAGTGTGCTTTGTAGCGTGTAGTGTGTAGTGTAGTGTATATGTGTGTGCAGGAGGAGGGCGACCAGCTGGAGAGGGAGAAACGAAAACTGGAAGACGTGACGCAGGCCAAGTACGGCGTCAAGAACGCGCTGCTCGGATTCGTGTTCGGCGTGAGTATGCCCCCCTCTCGCCTGCTGGCTAGTGCCCTTCGACCTTCACCGCAATGATCGCTCGCTCTGTTCTAGAAAATAAACTCGCTGATCGACGCCAAGACCCGCCTCGTCGAATCCCTGGACAAGAAAAACATCGAGCTCAATAAACAGTACGGTATCGAGCCGCCGCAGAATGGGCTTAGCTCGCTACCTGGGCTCGTTGGACAGCTGGTCGGACCCAAGCTGCAGCTGTTAGCTCCGAAGCTTCAGGCCGCCTCAGGTCTGATCGGCAGCCTCTCCTCCGGTTCCTCAGGCTCGGGCTCGGGCTCAGGTTCGGGGCTCGGCTCGATCTTGTCTCTCGTGACCTCCCTGTCAGGTTCTTCATCTGGCGGCGGGGCGGCCGCAGCCGGCACGGTCGAGACTATCGATTCCGACGAAGACGATTCGTGATCCTTCCCTCCCTGCATGTTCATTTTAAATAAATCCCTTCTTTGCCGAGACCTTTTGAGTTCTCGCTCGTCAAAGAACTGATTTATTGAGCATCCTCTTGCTCCGGCTCGCTACGGTTTTCGATGCGAAACTACGACCAATCCGAAAGCGATTCTATTTATCCAAATTCCCAGTAAAGTAGTTCTGTCGCATCGGCAACTGAAAAGACGGAATGTCCCTTTCCGCTTCATCCTCTGGCGACGCCGCGAAACAATTAATCCTGTACATTGTACAACCCTGTATTTATAATGTAAATAGTATTAGGTGAGTTTGGTGATAAATAAATATAGTATATTTTTATTTTCGTACGTGTTCGTTTTCTTGCACCATGCCATGCATGTTCGTCTTCACTTTGTATATAATATATACGAACAATTTAAATAGTGCTACTGATAAATAGAGTGTACAGATATTAATGATAAAAATACATGTATACACTACACAATACACACATTTTTGTATTTTATGTAAGTCGAATAGTGCAATCCGCACTTGTAGTTCTGTAACGTTTTTATGAAATGTTTATGATAATTTATTGGGTTGTTGTGCGCCGGCGCACGTTCTCGTTGCGTCACTGCTCGCTCCGAGGTGGAGCAGAAGATAGCTTGAGTGGATGGGTTCGGTGGAGCGGCGCCTTCTAGTCAGTGTGAGCCGCAACACATTGTGTCGTAACCGCGCTCGCGTTGGGCAACCGCTATTTGCTGACCTCTTGTGGCCGTCGAATAAGCACACACACGCAAAAACTCTTTTATAGGTAATTTATTTAATGGTGGCGGCGATGCTAGGCTATAATAACTAGATTGTTACGGGACAAGGTACTTGCCTGAACACGGTAAAAGTAAATTTTGTTTTAAAACTAATTGACCTGGCAAACGTTTTTTTTGCCATCTTTAAATATATACTGTCACGGATATTTTTTAGATTATTTAAGAGAAAATAATTCCTTCAATATATTTTTTGGGTATCTTGAACCGTTTTCGCAGCGTACGCAACGAAAACAACATATATTTGTCGCTTGATGTTTTATAGCTTAAAGCCTGTAAAACCAGTGATTCTTGAGATTAGCGCGTTTAAACAAACAAACAAATTCTTCAGCTTTATAATATTAGTATAGAAGTATAGATTTCCGTTACTCCGCCCCATTTAGAATACTCTGTTGTTATCTTATATAATGACTACACGATGTCCATGCTCGTAAAATGTATAAAATGCTACAGAATTAATTTAATTTCGTATGATTAATAAGTAAATAACTCTTTTGTTGAAAAGCACAAAAAGGAAATACCGACAGTGATTTAAGAATTGTAGATGTTAAGTTTTTAAAATATAATTTAAAAAATATATAATTCAAAAAAATTTAAAATGCTCTCTGCAAAGTATCGCCTAATGGGTATAATTTAATTTTTAATTATATATGTTAATTGGATATTAATCTACTATCGTGTAGCGTCCAACTCGTATTGAACATGACCCAAATTGGTTTCGTAAAAAAATAGAAAATCTGACTTGAAAGTTTGTAAATTAATTCCATTGAAAAGAATTGACAATTTAATAAATATTTTTATGTTGGATGTTGTAAAAGTAAAACGCCTAAATAAATTAATATTTCTGTGTATTTGTGGATATTTAGCAAGCTGTTAATATCAAGGCATATTTTATGGTAAGTTATAAATAATGTAAATACTCTTATGTAAGTGACCTCTGAACCTGATGCAAAGTGAAGCCAGTTCTAGACTCAAACAAACCTCAAAAAGGAAAGTGTAAATATTATGGAGCTGTATTTTAGCTGAACTACCAGTGCACAGTTATTTGCATCGCCTCCATCCCCTTGACTAAGTCCGTTTGCTTATCCAGCTGCGTCGTCTCTTCCTAATTACTCTACTTTTCAAAGCAAAATATCGTCACTACATTCGTAAGTACAGCTAGAGTAGATTAAATATTGCTGTAGAATCCACCATCGATCCCGTAAAGGTTTGTTAGTATTATTTCTATTCATAAGATTATAAGTATTATTTATGTATTTGTATATGCTTAAACGAAAACAAATGTTATATCCTAGACTGGCACTACGTCCCACCTCGCGGAGAGCACATCGAGCATCACCAGCGCGGCTGGTCACAGGAGCCAACGAGGGTCTGGAATCACGAACGACTTGAGACTGCGGCGCCAGTCACAGAAGGCTGGGGACATCCCGGTATTCGACCGGAACAAGGTCAGCCTGGACCTTCCTGGGAGCCTCTTCGGCCCCTCCGTATCTCTCCTCATCAACACCACTAAGATCGTTGGCAGTGTCATCCAGGTATTATTTGTTATTCGATTCTGATTCTTCGTAACTCATATATAATGCACACGTAATTAACCGCTCCGCATGTTCCAGAACTCGGCGGTACGGTACCAGACATTCCTGCGTCTTTTTCGACCGCTCTTCCGAGGACCATTCGAGATCAAGGGCTTAGATCCTCCTACCACAACCACCACCACCACCACGACAAAACTACCCCCCATTCGTGATAACGAAGTGCGACGCAGATGAGAGGATCTTCCCTAATCATTAAATTATTTATTGTTAACTTTGACTCAGTAAACCGTATCACGAGAGTTTAAAATAGTATGATCACAAGGTAAACCATAAAATCACGACTGCTGTAAGTACAACATAGGAAATCCTTGGCCTGTATTTAGAATGTAATATAACTTGCATAGTTAAAAAGTAATTCCGGACTTTAGTTGTTTATCTTTTTGAACCAAATTTAGCTTGTAGTCTAATTACTTCTCTAGTATAGTTTAAATAAGGTATTGGTTTTAGGATTGAGAGAACAGAATATGTATAAGTGATGAGAGATGGTGTGCATTATTCCTGGTTGTTGCAATTTCAATAAATTTAAATTAAATGTGGTTATTTTTATTAAGGATGAATTTTATGGGTAATCCGAAAATAGCCCTTTTTTAATTTTTTTACTATTCCCTGTCAACGTGAAGCCTTTTTTTAACAGGTTTTATTTAGCTCGACCCATACGGTTTTTTTTTTTTGAAAAATCAGAAATTGAAATTTAAAGCACGGTTACGTTGTCAGATTGAGCTGAAATTTGATACACACACTTAATTTAGATGACAATACAATATAAAATAAAATCAAAAACATTATAAATCCACCGATACAAAATTGCAGATTACATATTTTTCCTTAACCCCCTCAATATGGGTATCAAATCATACACTACACTGGTACTGTACAGCTACAGTAGTAAAACACGATGATTATGTCGAAATTTAAACTCTTCATAGTGCACAAAAAATAATACCGTTTAACTTAAAGTTTTTAAGTTGATACTTGTTTCTAATATACCATGTAATAGGTAGTTGGCATAGCTGTCTTTTAATTTAATAACCTGATTTCTATTTAAATGTTGTCAAAGTAGATTTAATTATCATAAACAACTAAATTCAACATAATTATGGAAAAAATGTGCATTATAATTTAAATAATGCAACGAATTAAACCGTAACAAAATATACTAAGATTTGTACGCATAATGATAGATGCCACATATACGTGCATACTTTATTTATACAAAAATCCATACACAGTTTTGATCGATAGTTTTCTGTATTATAACGGTTCATAAAATCTTATCCATACTAGTTTACTAACAGAATAAAAAAACATTTGTAAATAATTAGAATATAAAAGTAAATTCTTTTCGAAAATTTTACAGTTAGCCCACTTATGTTTCTTTGAAAATAATATGAAAGCACTCACAATACAATAGTTTATACGGCTCTATGTATATTGATACAAGTATAAAAAATTCAACGATATCGCAGGTATAACTACGTTTAAAAATACATTCTAATAAAGTAGACTGAAAATTCATAAAAAACGACCAATAAACAATATTGTTGAAACGATATGCAGTATCGTTGATTACAAAAAATAAATTCAAAATATAAAACACAGCAGAGTGACTAAGTATAATGGAGAACTTTATAGCTTTATATAAATTAAACTTGTACATTTGTAGGGGTTTTTAAAAATAATGGCACCAACGAAACTCGATGCCGCGACCACAGCGAGCCATGCTGTTTGTTTTTACCAACTCAGCTACCGACTACTACTAGTTCTAGAAATGCGGTAATACATTCGAATCCCGCCCGTCTTAACATTTTTTAGTTATCATTTTTATAAAACTATAATGTAAATCAATTCGCTAAATACCCTGATTTATAACGATATAACCGCTGTAGCAAACTAAATATTGTAAAAAAAACACAATAAACTTATACATATAGCACCCCTGTTAAAAATAAATTCTTGTAAATAATATTAAGCTTTAAAAATAAATTCACGATTTAAGAACTCGTATTAAGCGAACAAATAATACTTGAATTAAAAAATACAAATTGGACCAGTAAATTCAAACAACTAAAAAAACATGATTAAATAAGGATGTGAACACACTATGTAAACGATACTTACTTTAATCCTAATTCAGGGTTTAAAGTTTGAAAAAGATTTTTAATCGCTAGTTATCCCGTAAGTTTTTTTTTTTATCTTTATTTAGTAGGCTTTAACCTAATTAGGTTATGTCGCCCAATCCCGTAAGTTTGCAAAGACAAATGCAGTTTGTTATTCTTATAAGTCCGTCAGTCTTAATAACATTATATAAAAAGCGGTTACGACCTAAAATACGGAAGTAAACGTAAGTAAATGATTTCCTTGTGAAATTAGGTTTTTAAAAATCTCGTCTCTGTTCAGAAAAACCATAAACAGCCTCGTTATACAAAAGCAAGGTATTACTAATCTGGTTTGATTTTCATCTCATCGGTGGGTACAACTGCGTCCCGGGGAAACCAGCCACGTGGTCCTTTACTCGCTTCTCCCATTCCTACCTGCTTCTCACCAAATAGCCACTGTCTATAACAATACGACATTTCTAAATGAATATATTTACTAAAATATAATGTTATTTGTGTATATTACTAATGTGGTACTGTTTTGTGATAAGCAAGTCACAAATCAAGCCATATAACGTCTAAACAACGCAGTTACGCAGTCGGCCTATTTTGGCTTTTGATATTCGAAAGTCCACAGACTGAAACCGAAACGCGATTAAACTTGACGGCTTTTTTATCTGTTGATGGTGGTTCGTGACTAGGAAGGAACTTCGATATTCCTACCACCCATATAATATCTAGATCTCCAGATAAATTCAAACATGTTTCAAACAAGTAAATGTTTAAAAAATTTGGACTCGGTAAGGATCGAACCCACAGCCCATTGATTATTATTAGCCACTATTTATTTATTATGCTACTATTACACCGAGAGCGTCGAAATAGTAACAAAAAAGTATGCTGAGATATCAATAAGGAATATCATACTTATGCAATTAAATATTAAAATATCACTGATTGCTTAACACTTATATAGTCAAAAGCTGTAAATACTAGGTTGATCTGTCATTTGTAAGAGCTTTGAATTTTTTACAATAAGGACTCTATGTAACCAATAATACACATACCTTCTCTGGCGCGTAGCACGGATTATGTCACCTGGCTGTAATGGTAGTCTTGCTTCATCTGAGCAAGGGACAGACAGCGCCGCCCGCGGCCGAGTCAAGATCGGCACCCAATGTCCAGAGTAACTGGATGTCGCTGTGAAGAGACGCGAACGTAGTTGCTTCTCAATTTTTTGGGCCTTTTGTTCCATCTATAAATTTATAAATCAGGATTTCAGTACTTTCCAAGGCTAGAAATCTGACCTTCTATAGGAGTAAGTAAACAAACAAAATAATAATTATCAAAAGTATTTTTTACAAAAAATATAAAACAAAAAAACAGTGAAATGTATTTTATAATAAAAATTTCCTTGTGATCTCAAAACTTCCGAATATTATTATTTGAAGGTAAATAATTTTCTCACTGTTAGGTCGTACTGGCCACATCCATCTAAAATTGGCCATTTCAATCCGTCATACAGAACACCGGACCAAACTAACTGCCAGTTCTTCTTCCAACCCAGGTCATATGGGTAAATGAGAGGTGGAAGACCTTGTTCCTCTCGTCTGCTTACAGCTTTCTCTACAATCCATTCTTCAATTGTGGTACGGTTGCTGAGTATTCCACGTATCTAACGAAAATTTTATTGAAAAATAAATAATCTTTGTGTATAAACTATTGTTCTGAATAACCGATGTTGAAAAAGATCTGCATTGCAGAGTATGTTATTGTTAAGTGGCCTGTGCGTTTAATGAAAGGTTTTCACCTAATGGTGAAAAGCTAGGACTAGTCATTTTATGGGGAAAGTTATATTGTTTATTTATTTTTATAGAAGTCCTAACACCTAACAGTATATTTGTTTTACAATTAGACAAAAATTTACGCCAATTACAAGGATTTACAATTAATAAATCTATAAAACTACCCGAGTGAGGAAATACTCTTAATTAAATATACACTTACTTAGTGTTTAGGGTTACATACAACAAACTTGTGGAGGACCCAAAACCTCCACAAGGTGGAAATGGTCAGCTGATAGTGTGGACTGATCACCCGTCCTACCACAGGTGTCCCCGAAAGAAAATAATAATAATACATACAACAAGAATTGAATTGAGGACGTATCCAGGATGGGGGTGAGTAATTGTGTAATATCATCACTTTGCGAATAATATTATTAAATTCTGTCTATAGTTTACGCGAGTGTCTTTAGTTACGCGATATTTTAGATAAACTTGTCTCCCTGTGAAAAACACGGTATATATAGTCTCCCCGTGACCACAGCTGCTGCAAAGCATCCGAAACGTCGGGCCAAAGTTAAAAATCATTTTCAAAAAAATTTAACTAATTTATCGCGTTTTAAACCGTTAGTGTTTTATTTAAAAGTAATATCATTGTTTTTTTAAAAGCGCTTATTCAACATTTAAAATTACATAAGTCTTTGTATCTACTTTAATTAACAGTAGCAACATTTAATATTATTATGAACAAGAAGTACTATAATGTAAACCTGGAAATACAGAAGTGCACCAACAGCGAGGACCACACCAACAGCCATGCCAGTGGCTAACAACGTGAGAAGCAGTGTGCTGAGTGTGAGGTAGATCATTGGCTCTTGTCCTGTCCCATTGTACATGTACCATACTCTATTTATTGCGTGGTACAAACATATAACCAGAACCTAAAAAAATACAATTGATAGTTGAAAGTACAGGACTGGTTGTAAAATTCTAGTCTAAGAAATATATTTATAAAATTTTATTAAATAGTGAATTAAAATATTTTCAAAAATTTAATAATATATGCGTTTTAAACCGTTAAAGTGTTTTATTTAAATGTGTATATTAATATAGACAGTATACAAATGTACATGAAAAATACACGAAGAAACAGATGTATTTTTAGTTTCTAAGAAAAATTCTATAAAGTAGTTGTAAATTTATCCATTTTCATAACATTTAAACTTTTATACATACATAATACATTTCCCTTTCATTGATAGATCTTGTATGTTCCAAACAAACTTGAATTCTATCGCGATTATTTTAATTTTTTTCAAAAAATAAGCTACAAGGCCATTTTATAAGTAAATTTGGGTTTGTAGAAAGAGTTGATTAATGAGAAATAAGTAATTGTGAAAGTTGTCATGTACTCAATCTACAGTATTGTACAATTAATACAAAGGTACTAACTATAGATGCATGAAAACACCCTAATACTGCAAACATTAGGAATGTAGTGAAGTACCCATGATTAGCATGGCCAACACAACAGTTTATCCACGGACAGTGATGATCCATCTTCTTTACACATCTTCCACCTGAAGTAAGGGAAAAAGCTGCATACATCTCATTGCTAAAAATGTATTTTCAATGCTTGAAAATGTACACATTCAGAACTTACATTTTTTGCAATGATGTGACCTAGGTGCTTTATATGACTCACAAACTGTACAATATTGTAAATATTCAGTGTCTTCTTCATTTTCCTGAAAATAAAGTAAACATATAATTATATTCATTGCTTTTAAATTATTTATCAAAAGATGACATGCTAACAACCTATTTGGCTTTTGATATCAGAAACCACAACCTGTAACCAAAAAATCATTACACATTTATGGATTTTCCATATGTGTTTACAACCTAGAAAGAATAAGAAAAAACGTGTCAGGTGAGACTGTCTTGAATATAACTAATAGGTAAGTAAGTAAGTAATATATTTCAATATGACTCACAGGTTTCCACCCATTTGGAACAAATCCTGGTCCTTCCAGAAGTGATTGTAAGAAGTAATAAAGGGTCAGTGCTGCAAGACTGATAAACATGACAGAGTGAATCACTGCAGCAATTGAAACATGTGGTGGCCACCACATACTCATTAAATGTATCATAGCCCATGTTATTAGTTTAATTATACCTGCAAAATTAATACAAAAGGACCTTATTTTATTGATTGAATATACTGATAAGCTATATCATTCAAGGAATGGATTATGTATCAATTTCTTTGTTGCTTATATTATATTATATCATATCAGTCGTCACCACTTGATTTAATCGACTAGGACACAAATAAGACCATAAGTGTGACACAAAACTTACCTAAAACCGCTATTGGACCCCAATGCAATAGACGTCTAAAGGGAGATGACATGTTTAAGAGTCCTAACTATATGTACAAAATAAATTAAATTAAACTAAATTGAATACATTTACACATAATAAGTTCAACTCTAATCCTGACCGGTAATCTAAAATGATGTAAATACATATTATTATCTTCTACTATTATTTTAAACAATCATGTTTTCTTTGGTTTTCAATTTTCAAAACTAACCACAGATGAAAGATTAAGTAGTTTATTAAAAAAAAACACAGTTGACACAGATATATAAAAGGTTTCGATTATATTTATCTCGCATATTGTAGTATATGCATGTTTAAGTTTGACAATTTACATTGTATTTAAGTGAAATACACAGTATTCTTTTTTTAAATTATATCGCACAGAAGAGCAGGGTAGCAATTCTACAGCACGAATCAGCAAAAGATAATTTTCTCAATTAGCGGTATTTTTTTAACCTGAACTTTCTAATGCTTCAGTCGGATCGTGTTTACGGCTACTGCAAAGCATCTGAAACACCGGAACGTAGTTTAAATAAGTTATCTAATATATTTTGCAATTTAAAACTTTACAAGTAGGTATTTTATAAAAAGTTATACTAATTACGTACAGATAAAACGTTGACATGCTAGTTAGTAAGTAAGTCTGTTAAATTATTCAATGTTATATTTTGTCTAATAGAGAATAACTATTTATGGCTATCCATCTTCTAAGCCATCTTTATATTTTAATAAAAAACGAATTACTTTATAATTATACAGTATGTCTATTGTATAGATAATTAAAGTTTAAGAATAATTAGTTTTTTTGTATTCTTCCATTTGTTTGTATTCTTTAATAGTTATAACATATGACATGATATAACAAAATAAGATTATAATTCAGTGTATTTTTTGTTCTATGATTAAGTTTTTTTTATTTACTTTTTTAAGAAAAACAAACAGCTAAAAAAAGAGAGACAATAGAATGCAAATAGACGGCTAATTACAATTTTCCACAAAGTATATGAGTTATTATATTTAAGTGCTATTTTTAAAATAGATTTAATTCCATATATTTACAATACACAGGTATCCGATTGAATATAGGGAGACGATTACGCGCAATAAAGCTATAGTGACATAATTTTATTAGGATGTTAATACCTTATCAAACTTCGTGAATTCCTAATGCGTTTAAGTGTATCGCTGGCACATTTATTAACGAACCTTTGATGATATTAACAACGTGAAAATGCAACACAATATAATATTTAACACTGTGAATAATGTTGGTTTTATTATATTAAATCGACCGGAGTCCAAGAATGCATTAAATCAAGAAATGTATATTGAGCTTAAGCAATATCTACGGGAATGGGAAAAAAATAAGAAATTGATTATCATCAAAAGTGCAGTTGAAAACGTATTCTCTGCGGGCGGAGACTTGAAGGCTGTGAAAAGTAAAACTGCCAATCGGGCGTACTTCTCCATTGTGTATAACACAATTTACTTAATTGCAAATTATAAAATACCGTATGTGGCGTTCATGAGTGGGATTACGTTGGGAGGTGGTCTGGGCGTGTCGATTCACGGTCAGTACAGAGTTGCAACCGACAGAACCGTAGTAGCAATGCCAGAAGCTAGGCTGGGATATTTCCCTGATGTTGGCGCATCTTACTTTCTGCCTCGCCTTCCAGACTACGTCGGCACTTACATGGGTTTGACTGGTAAGTGAAGTGATTAATAGAAATTCAGTACCAACTACCTGCCATAAACCAACCAATTTTGATTTTGTCAATATTCATTTATTACTCCGTACTCATCTATACTAATATATAAAGCTGAAGAGTTTGTTTGTTTGCTTGTACGCGCTAGTCTCAGGAACTCCTGGTCCGAATTGAATTTTTTTTTTGTATTGGTTAGGGCATTTATCGAGGAAGGCTATACAGCATCGTGCTATGACTAGTAGGGGCAAAGAAACAGCGGAAAATGTAAAAAAAATGGTATCCAAAAAAAATATATGAAAGAATGAAATTTTTAAATGTCTTCTCTACTCTTACAGGGGAAAAGATAAAAGGTAACGATGTGGTAACCATAGGTCTCGGCACTCATTTCGTATCGAGCACTCGTCTTGAAGAATTAGAAGATGCACTAGTACGAACCTTGAATAAAATGGAAGTAGGGGTAATTTTAAACAAATTCAACGAACCAGCAGAGAACTCCACTTTGGCACCACATTTTAACGACATAAAGCTTTGCTTTTCCGCATCGACCGTGGAAGGTATAATGGAACGGCTTAAGAGTGTAAACAACGATTGGTCTATCAAAACTATCCATGTAAGTAGTTTACGATTAGTCATATTACATTAATAAGGCATCTTTATACTAGCTGCGCTTCGAATCATTTGCTACGAATCTTTGGTTCAACTGTTAGTTACATAATAACATTAGTAGGTACTGTGCTAACACCTTGACTGAGTTTGTACTTCGATTGTGACAACTACGCTTAGGACGGATTCCAGAATTACGGCGACACCTCGGAGGAGGAGGAGGGCTAAGTCCGTATGATTTTGTAGGAAATCTATTCAGAATTCCAACTGGCAAATACTAACTTTTTTTTCTGTGACTCATTACTGAAAATATTTCTTATAGGAATTACTCAACTAAGATTTATCATAAAATAATAATTCTGTGGCTCTAAACAAAGTATGTACTTACTTTTAGACTATTTTTAAAGACCTTGATAAACGGCAGTTATAATACGAAATACGAATACATCGCGTCCTTTTCACACAAATTGATTCTTGACAATTGTTTAAGCCTGACATTCGTTCGAATTATAATATTCAAAATAATCTTAAATTATAATGCAGAAAAAGTTACAAACAATCAAGAGATGTGTGTATGATTTTAAGACTTAATATTTAAAAATATTATTAAAATATCACAATTTCTCTAAAAAATTTATTTGAGTAATTAGGTTTTTCCTATGTGGTCCCATAAACTGTAGAAGCCATTAAGTCCCCACTTTCCATGACGCACGAGTAGCTGCAAATTTAGCATTTCGGACACCCCTAATAAGATGTCAATACTAAAAAGACATTTTTTATTTGACATAATATATGTTAAGTTACATTACAATTCTAGTTCTATAAGGATTTCTTTATTAATGTTGTTCCGCAGACTTTGCAAAGTATGTGCCCAGCCTCTCTAAAGATTACACTTCGCGCACTTCAGAGGGGCGCCCAGATGGAGCTGTTACCATGTTTGAAAATGGAATATCGGATGATAAGCAGAGTTTTTGATAACCACGACTTTCGCGAAGGTATTCAAACATTTTCATCGAATAAAAGAGCAAAGCAAATAAAAAAAGCATAACTGTTACTATGTAAATATTGTCTCTATCTATCTAACTATATACCATTTCCAATTTAGGTGTTCGTGCTTACATAACGCAGAAACATCAGAAGCCAAAATGGCATCACAAATCTATCGGCGATGTGGACGAAGATCACGTGGAGTCTTACTTCAGAAATCTCCCTGTAAATGAAGAATTTGTTTTGACTGCGTCTAAAATATAATTTAACTATTACTCGTATACGTAATTGTTTATACTACTATACGTTATTAAAAATTAAACATGTTCCGTATAAAATGAAAAATTTATGTGCACCAATAAAACTATATAATGATTCTGTTATCATAAAATATACCTAACTTACATGATAAAAGTAACATGAAACCCATAAAACAATCAATGTTTTATAGGTTCGCTACTAATTATATTAATGAAGCTCTAATTGGGTAACTGATCTACCCATCGAATAATCATTAAATCAAGGATTAATTACTGGAGTGCTTAGCAATTAGAGTGATAATAATTAACAATGACGGTAATCGCACATATCGAGTTATGATAGTGCAGGGCTGAATCAGAACCTAGAAAATATAAATTTTCATTGTACGGAAATCTGATTTTAGGAAGTCGCTTAAATGGAATATTAACTCTGGTATAACATTGCCGATAGCTATTTTTATGTTTTCGGGAGTATTATTAAGTATATACACTAATTTATACTTAATGCTTATGTGTTTCTATTTTCTTATTATTAACGCAAGTAGTGCACGCCATTAAAACACCTTTAACTGTATAAATCGCGAAGAATATGAAACTTGTGCATATGTCTCTCAAATTGTTTTATTTTTTTCTGTATATAAGACTAGCTGTGTCAGCAACTTCGTCCGCGTAGAATAGTTATTTTGGGCATCCAATTTCTTTTTTTTCAAACTGTTTCTACGTCATCGGACGCGTCCTATCGCTCGCGACCCGTCTTACGGTTCCTGGCGTTCCTGCGAGTTTATCTTAAGAGATAGACGTGCTGTTTTTTTTGATAATTTGAAAAAGAATCATTCTCTCATACTTATTTTTTGTGTATCTTAAGCCACTTTCGCATCGTACGCATCGGAAACCTACAAAGATCACTTTTCACACATTTTCCTCGTTTTTACCATATTTTTCGCTGTTTCTTCGCTACTATTAGTCACAGCGAAATGTTTTAGCGCATATAGGCTCTAAAACATTTCGCTTTATTATTGAGGAAGGCTCTATATTCGCTAATTCTCTATTCTCTATTTATTAACCAAAAAAAAAAGAATTTTTCAAACCGAACCGAGTTTAAATAAACAAACAAACGTTTTATATATTAGTATAGATATAAAAAATTTTCGTGGTACTATAACTTATATCCTAAAAAACTACGTTTAGTGCTTGTGTAATATGCGGACTTTTTGTATGAATAATGCACAGGGCGTGAAGTACTATTTATTACTATTTAATACAGTTAATACGACCCTGACTTCCAGTGAACAATATAAAATGATGGAAACGCAATCTTAAAGATTGTGTAGTCCGTTTTTCGTGAGTAAAATGGCCAAGTACATAAAAAATAGCACATCTGAATTTATTACTAAATTAAGCAGGCTTCAATTTTTTTGTGGTCTGTGTTACATTTGGGTGGACCCAGACGGTCAAACACCTGGATTTCTTAAAATCATTAATAAAATATTTACACTTTTATTAATAGCCTTTATAACTTCAGAATACGTTTCGTTTTTCACTCAAAATAATTTAACTGAAAAGCAAGCGACTGATCTAATATTGTTTGCAATTTCCCACCCCGTTATGATGTCCTATTCGTGGAGTACCTTATACTATAAAGAGGATATTAAAAATCTGCTAGTCAAACTGACTATTACTCTTAAAAATAAATATAATAATAAGAAAATAGAAGAAGATATGTTGAGAAAAGCCGTACTATACTCTTCTGCTTATGTTGCCAGTTGCAGTGTCGCTTTATTTTTTTACGCCTTTGATGCTGTTGTGCAAGTTCTAAAATCAGGTATACAGTTGACAAAACCTACATTTCATTTATATATGACTATTTTACCCATTACTTTCAGACAACTTTTGCCAAGTCTGAACAAATAGCAAACAATAATATATTTTTTTATTAAAGTGTTGAAAGCTTTTAATTCCAGGCGGGACATTCACAACTGTCGTTGTAGCTTGGCCTGACGTGGCAGAGATAGGCTTATTACCAGACACAGTCAGAATAATAGCTTACGCGATGTGGTGGTACTTTATGATCAGGGCATCCGCTGTCTATGTTCTTGTGATTTCACTTACCATCTTATTGAGTCACCAATACAAGATCTTACAAGACTATTTCTATAGTCTAGAAAATATTTTCAAGGCGGATGTTAAATTGGAAGAAAAAGAAAATGACTATGAAAATGCCTTAAAATTTGGAATATCAATTCATGCTGAAACAATGTGGTACATTTTGAGAATTAATAATAAATAGAAAACGTATTTTTAGATACTAAAATCGAAAATTCTTTTAAGGTGTGTAAAAGAATGTCAAAAAGTATGCAACTGGGTGTTTAGTGGCCAAATAGGCATAAATTTTACAGTTTTCTGCATGCTGATGCTTCAAATGGTGGTAAGTAAACTTAATGAAGACGAACATTTTTGGTTAAAAAATACATGGCTGATTGTAGTGGTTCAAAAATTTTTAATACAGCGTACAAGTTGTTGTCGCAGTTCATTTATCAATAAATGTTATTTTGCGTAATCTATGAGCGACATTTTTATAATATAACTCTTTGTCGCTGTATAAATTAATAAAAATCATGGAAATCGTTTTGTTATACATCATCAAGATGTTTAATCGTCGTTAAATGTACATGTTACAAAAAAAGTACATTTTTAATTAATTTTCAGAATTCAGAGCGCACATTTATGAGTGTTCTAGCTACTCTATCTACTGGCCTTGCCCTACTTACGACCACCGGTTTTTTCATGTGCAATGCTGGTGATATAACAGTTGAGGTACAACAACGAATAAAAATACTTTATTTAAATAGTAATCAACTCTAATTTCATAATTTTTTCTAGGCAGGACTGTTGCCGAGGGCAATATTTTCTTCTGGCTGGCAGAACTGTCGTGGTGATGCCGCAATACGCGTTAGAAAGCTGATTACTCTTGCCATCGCACAAAGCCAGGTTTGACTCGAGTCAATAATTTACTTATTAATTATATTAATCTAATCATGAGACTAACTACATATCGACACGTTTTATTTATATAACAATAATTGATCGAACGTTTTATATAAGTGTTACCATTTAGTTATTACGGTTGTAAATAATCAATAAGTTTCATTTTTTTTTATTGTGATTTCAGGATATTTTAAAATTTGTAACTATACGTAACATAGGTATTATTATGTTTTACGTCATCACAATACAATTTTAAAACCTTTAAACGTTACAGGCACCAATCGTTATGCGCAGTTTCAATTTAATCGAACTTTCCTACCGTTCTTATGTTTCTGTAAGTAATTAAAACAACCCTATACTTTATTTCACCAGTAGTTTCGTCAATTAAATTTGATTACTTTCTTAAGTTTTGTAAGAATGTTATATATAATAAAAAACATAGAATAGAGAAAATGCGTATAATATGTAATGCAAAATTAATATTTTGTATCTTTTGCTTTCAGATCGTAAAATCTTCGTATTCACTATTTTCAATTTTGTATTGATGTGAAAAAATAAGTATTAAGTTTTAATTGCATATGTCCTAATTCATTCGTAAACAAAACATATATAACTACTATTAGTATTTTCACTTATAATTATTATGGGTTTTTAATGACAGTAATTTTTTATTTTAGTGACTACTGTCTTATTTAGATTAGATTAAATGGTGGCTAAGTTGCGAGTGGTGATAAATGAGACGAGTACCAACTAGATTTCAGCCATAGACCTAGGTTGTACAAAATGACGACGTCCACCATGACAACAACGTCAACAGCTCATTTTTGACAATTAACATTATGTTTTCATTTATATGAATAGATTCTATAAATAATAAAAATAAATATTTCGCATTTGATAAACATTTCAATTAGTTTGTATTTACTTATTTCCATAGTTAATAGTCAATCTGGTATTAAATTAATGTTATGCAAAATAACGTGGACGTTATTATAAGTTAAGCGAAACTTTTTAAAACCAAAGAACTTATCAAAAACATCAACGATATGTTTAACCTGATAAATATTTAATAAGCTAAATAATTACGAAATAAGATAGGTTATGTATACTTGTAAATAACAGAACAAATAGACTATAATGCGTACATACTCGCGAAAACCGCCGGAACATCACATTATCGAAGGGGTTTTGGAGTTATGTCGACTTTGCCTCCATGAAGTTAACAAACCAATACACATTTTTATGGATGATGATAATAAATACTGCAAGTTTTTACCCATGAGAATAATGATTTGTCTTGGCTTAGAGGTGAGTTGAATACAAGTTATGAAGAACTTGATCTATGTAATTAATCTTCATATTCTATACAAATTTAAATATCAAAAAATGTTTTTCGTTTTATTTATTTACTTAAATAATCTTTCAGATAACCAATGAAGAGTGTTTACCAAAAATTATATGTTCTCAATGCTTAAAGGATTTAAATTCATTTTATGATTTCAAAAAGAGATGTACACTATCATACCAGAAGTTAAAGTCACACTATTTAGCTGTCAAACAAAAAGAGGTTTCAAAAACTCAGACAAAAATGGAAAAGGAATCACTTCTTAACTCTCATACCCCAGAGGTAGATTCAAAGGTGGGAATCGACAATAATAAAGAAAAGGAGGTTGTATTGTCATTGACCGAGGGAAATGCCCTAGAAGTTATCAGTATTTTTAATCAAGCAACAGTGCCAAGTAGACAAAATTCTGAACATGAGCAGGTGATAAAGATGATACTTATACAAAATGTTATTGTTTATAAAAAACATTTATCATACAATACTTTCAGGTTCAAACTGTTACATCATATAATGTCAATGACGGCTTAAATTTCCTCAATGTGGGCACATCACCACCGATACCCCCTATACCTGAGGATGTTACCAGCTTCCTATCAACGATTTTAGTACAATTGGGCGTACTTACTAAAGACAATGAAAACATAGCTGTGGTCGACCAAACATTTAAAAATGTGAGGTTGGAAACTAATGATGGATCAGTAATGTTAGAACTTGTGGAAGAAGAGGTATTTTATACCAATTTTTGTATTAGATATATAGTCTTAACTTATTTAACATTTGTAATATTGTAAATGTAAAATTTTAGGCCATCTAATTTCATATAGATATCTCCAAAAGTACTGGGCATAATGCAGTTAACATTCCAGAAAAAAATATGTTTTTCATGTTACCAGTATAAATACAAAATAACTTTAAACATATAATATCTGCTATTGACTAGTAAGTTTATTTAATAAATTCAATATTTTTAGGATTCACCTATTAAAAAAGAACCAGAACAAGAAAAAATGCCAAATGGAAAATTTGATTTTGTGTATGATGCAAATAAGGGAATACCAACGTAAGTGGTTTCATGAAATTCAATATACACAAGCTATTTCACATTGTTGTGTATGGTTTATCATTTCAATCTTATCATTTAAAAAAAGTATGTTAAAAAAACACTTGCATTTTAATGTTTCTTGAACAGGGTTAAAGCAATGTGTGGGACCTGTGGTAAGAAGTTTGCAAGTCGAGGAGCAATGTTGCGCCATGATCGCACACATAAGGGCATTCGGCCATACGTTTGCGAAATATGTGATAAGGCTTTTACACAGCGTGAGGTTCTACGACGACATATGCATTTACATCAACGTATGTTAACTTTTTTCTAAAGTAAGCCTAAAACCATGGTAATGTATCATAGGCACTTGGCCTATGCTACATTACCATGGTTTTGAGGCATATCATAGGATATTCATTGAAACATTTTAGCAAAATATTTAAATTGCACCTAAATTTCCTTACCAATTCAAACATTTGTTTATCCACTTTTCACTGGCAAACAATTTGAATGTTATTCAAGTTCCTTACACACACAATGTTTATTATATAATAGTTCTGTCGACTGCCTCTGTAGCCAAATAGTTAAACGTATTGCCCTGCATTGCGTTAAGCGCGAGAGGTCCTGGGTTCGAAGCTCAGGGAAACATAAAATTGTTTCAAGCGGACAGGGCACAGAAGTCTGATCAACTACTTGCCCGTTAAAAGCGGATCAGTGAAACGGACACAGAAATGTGTTCGCCCCATGCCCCACGAGGAGGAAACGGGCTTTCACTTTTTTTATAGAATAGTTCTACTTTATGTAGCTATGGATTCTGGGGAAACAAAGTTATAATTTTCCGACACCGTCTATTTTAGTTTTCACATTCTATAGTCTTACTGAGAGTAATACCATATACTTTTACACAAAACATTTATTATGTCCAGCGGAACGTCCCTTTAAATGTGGCTCATGTGACAAAGGATTTACGCAAAGGGCCGCACTTCGCTCCCACGAGCTGACTAACCACGCTCCTACGAGACCCCTTTCACTTTATCGCTGCAAACTCTGTCCTAAAATGTTTCTACATGCATCTGGTGAGTGGTACTAATAATAAGCTCTTATCATGCACATACGTTTATTATGAAAGAGGGCAGAAAAGTATGTAATTCACTTGGAATACTCCACACATATTATCTCAACGAGATTGTTTGTTTGTTACCGATGCTTAAGGAATTCGAAAATCCCTTGAAAGACTGAAACATCGATCTTTTGCATTTGTAACCTTTTGTTTGCAGTCGAACGGATTTTCGATGTTTTTAACATGTTTTAGAAATATGTTGAATCGTAGCCAGGATCCGTTGTTATTAGCCATAGATCGGTATTTGGACCCTTAGGCAAACCTATCAAAATAAACTGTTATTCCTCTAACAAAAGAAGAACCCCTGCATCCCTAAAACAATAATAATTAGGCTATAATGGTAACCTTTAAAACTTAAGTCTTCTTTGCAGGGTTAAGCCGGCACCAGACTGTACACACTGATCGCGTTTATCAGTGTAATGTGTGCTCGAGAAAATTTAAGGACAAGAGCTCTCTGGTGCGACATTTCAAAACGTCTACTCATAAAATGTCTACTTCTTAAGAGAACAATTAATAAGATACACCAGGTTGTATAAAAGTGATATCATAAAGATTCACTTCTATTAAACAAATATTACCTTTTATTTCTTGTCTGCTGAAATGAATTTATATACATATTAGACTTTACCATAGTTGTAATAATGTATTGTATCTGACGAGAGGGATATAAGAAAGGGTAACTTGCACAGAGCTACACCTTACAATAAATAATAAGCACAAATTTGCTACTTCTATTGTAAGGGGAATCTTCATAATAAATAAAACACAAATAATTACTTAAACATTTTATTGGAAAAAAATTTCGTCCTAGACTGAAAGGCAACGACGTGGTTCTGTATAATTTAAAGGGTTTTGAATAACTCAAGTTTTGGCAAAGACAAAGTACGAAAGGTATTTCCTAACATGATATGCTCATTTCTTCGGGGAATGCTCATACATCAATCTCACTTCGCACTTTGCCTTTAGAGAAGTGATACATCGGATGGCACTTAAAAATATTGCAAAATTCTATATTTTTTAAACAAAATTTTCACAAAGTAAACGCCACCGCACTGTTACATATTGGAATGCCTTTTACTCACTTAAATTAACATTATAAATACACATATAGCATACAATAACATATAGTATATCTTCACGAATTTTGTTCAAGAGTCAAGAAGTAGAGGCCGATTTCGTGCGAATATACAACACAGCACTATCATATTGTATATTATAATATCAGAAACACGGAAACGATACTTACACTTGAAGGTAAACAACTCCTATCTAAAATATAAATGATTATAAAAATAAATAAGTGACGTCGCTTCCCCATCTCCCCCGCTTTCCCCCGACTCGACCGTTGCTTCACTTTGAGCAATACTAACATACAAATTTTATATATCCACAAAAATAACGGTGTCAGACACGTTGCGAATTTTATAAACATTGCAAATATAGATATGAAAGTGGCGAACGCCGACCGCTACTACATATTGTATACAAGGTCCCATCGATCATAGATCGCTTAAAATACACTACGAGCTAACAGACCAACTATCGCATTAATAACGCACATGAGCACACGCCGTTCCGACTCGCTTACAAATTAATTAATAATAATAAAAACAAACTGTGCCTCGATTTCAATATAGTCATCGGATGATATTCGGTTATTATAGCACATTAAAGTCTAAAATAAAATTACTATATAGTAATAATCAATATTTACAAGCCCCGAGGGCCGACGGCTTCGGACGAGCACCTTCTGTATCTTTACACTTGATTGCGCACTTACTACTTGGACGGTGAGGACGCTACGATAATTCGTCACGGCTGACGTCAAATTCTTCTAGTTCTAAATGTCGTTGGCCAATAGTTAGAGATTTGCAAGTGGTAGACACGATGAGCTGTGCGTATATCAGTCGCGAAGTAATGAAATTTTTGTGGGTGATTAAGTAGATATTTTAAGTACAAAGTTTTATCTAGAGGACTAGCATAGTGTGACATCGAAGCCGTGACGAACCATGAGGTACAATAATCGCGGTTTTACTCTCTGGCCACGCATATAAAATCTTAGTACTATTCCTACGAATACCGTCGAGCATGTCTCGGGCCAAATACGTCGCTCTACAGGTGAACTATTATTATTAACATCATTTATACAAAATTTGTTGTGAAAACAGTCGTAAACATAAATGATACATTGCATAAAATTCAACGCGAGCATTATTTTACAACAACAGTTTCAGTTTTATTGGGTTACCGTGGCTTGGAATATTCTAATACTTATTTACCATAAAATACTGTTCTAATCTCGAACAAAATTCCAATGAAATAAACATACCAATATCTACCGTATTCGATCAAGTCAATTACTACACAATAATCATGTGACTATAATAATATAGTGAACAAGGAGAGTCAAAAATAAACTATTATGTAATAACTGGCCTGAAGCTAAAAACTACCAAGAGGGAGCATCCATATATTACATTACACGATATATTTTAGGAAGGGAAAATTGTGACAGTGGGTGGAATCACTTACATAATGAAAAAATGTGTCACTTAACATCATCCCCATGAGGTGCTGTTCCAAGGATGACTCTGTCCCCTCCAAAAATTATAACTCGTGTATAGTGATATGTTGATGGCCCCTTTATATATGAAAAATCAAGCATACTTAATCGAGGAGCGCTCTTCACCTGTAGAGCGAATGCGGGTGTTGGCACACTACATGTTCTCGAATTGGTCGACGCGACGCTTGGTGTTGCCCTTGCGAATTTCGCGCAGCGTCTTGTACTTGTCGCGCCCCTGGCGGACGTTCTCGCGGTGGATCTTGTCCATGGCCGTCTCTTTAGTCTCGTCGCGGGACTGAGCCAAGTCTTGTTTCAGCGCCTAGAATATATTCGTGATGTTTATAATATCTAGTACATCGCAAAACACGCTATTTTCACTTGTATCAAATACATACTCTGAAGTTTGGTTTTTCAGTCAAAATTAAACCTACCTTGAGCTGGTTGTGCAAACGCTCGTTCTTTTCGGCGAGGGTGCGTCTCTCTGCGAGTGGATCCACAAGATCGTCAGGAGCACGGGTTAGCTCACCGACTCCCGACTCGGAGCCACCGTCCGATCCGTCTCCGGATCCGCCTTCTCCCTCACCCTCTTCCCCTTCGCGTCTGCCCTCGTTGACGTGGTGGTGCTGGGGAGTGGTCGCTGCCGCGAGCAACGCAGCGGCCTCGTCCTGTAATTCCATATAATAATAGTAACACACATAACCTCAAAGTTGTTGGAGAAAGTTATAAGAACATGAGGTATATTTATAATATAAAAAAACGTGAGGCTTTTCTGAACACCAAAGTAACGGCGAGTGGTGATCAACATAGAAATACACGTACTATTTCTCTCGTTCAATTTCACATACCTGCTTGCGACGTGCCTCTTCAACTTCCTCTTGTAAACGGCGAGTTTCAGTGTCCTTGATTTCAACCTCCTGCTGGATGCGAGACACCTCCTCTTGCTTGGCTCGAATCTCGTCTTCTAACTTCTGTCTTTCAGCCGCTTCCATGTTCTGTATTTTTTAAAGGTACTTTAATAAAAAGTTTGTAAAACTTGTTTTCTTTGTGGTGTTGGTAAAAACCATTGTTTGCGGTAACATTGTTTGTTTTCCTTTCGTCATAATATAATAGAAATGTCAGTTTAAGTCTAGTTTTTACTGCTAACCGTACCTTGGTCTCCTCGAGGCGCTGCATCATGTTGTGGAGCTCATTTTGACGCTGTTCCAGTTCGTCCTTAGCGGCCTGCAACTGCTTCAGTTGTTCTTCCAGCCGTCTGATCATCTCTTGGGCTTCGATCAGGTTTGCCTATGAAAGGTTTAATTATTACAAATAGTTCCAGCAATAATAGGTATAGTTTAAATCTTGAAGACATATTCAAGGCGAGATTTTTTATCTTGCAACGTAAGATAATAAATTGTTACACAATGACGTAGGCGCTAATATTTTATTATGTTTATCACACAACATAGATTATCCTTATAGCGCCATAATCATAATCGAATTACAGAGGAAAACTATTCTCTAATCGAATATGAAGATTAGATATTAAATAGAAAATTTTAGCTGAAACTATCACATTTATATATCAGCTAGACAAGAAAAGCAAAAATGTTTCAAATATGAGACATTTTTAAATTAGATATGGTTTGTAAGAAGCTTACATAAAAGGAGAACACCATGAAAACGAAATACCCTTACAATTATGTAAAATGACTAATAGAATATAATTAATATATTTTCATAGTATATATTTCTTGTGATTAAGTAACAAATATTATATATAATTAATACCTGTGAGCGTTCCATCTCTTCTTGCATCTGTCTCAAGCGATCTTCATACTCTTGTTGTTTCTTTTCGGCCCGCTCACGCGCAGCAATCTCTAGTTGGAGTTTTTCCCTATAATCATTTTCCTAGGTTAAATCTACATAATGATTTTCTTTGTAATATATAGTAAGTGCATGGTTATATAGTTTTAAGTTAAATACCGTTCGTATTTACGCGAGTAGTACACACTTAAATAAAACACGTTAAATTAGTTAACCCCAAACACTTTAACGATTTAGTCGGGCCGTCGTTAAAAAAAGATTTCAAATAAGTTTAACTATATATATCGCGTTTTATCCGTTAAATTTATATTAATAATTTTTACCTTTTTTGTGAATATAAAGTGAAATATAACCTATATTTTTACCTTTGCGCCTGCTTGGCTAACTTCTCTTCCCTGGCTTGGGCCTTCATCTGCTGAACATCAATCGTGTCGGGCTTGCGTCTGCGCATGTACAGTTCATGGTTGCCCATACACAAGGCTAGAATACGCTTGTTGACGCGGACCCGCGGGGCGAAGAAGACGAAGTCGGGAGCCTTCTTGTCTATTGGCTTGATTATGAACTTGCGGTCGTTGAACGAGATGTTTCGGATCTCAGACCAGGGGAAACCGATTTTTGGAGTAAGTCTGAAGTTAAAGATATGTTTATTAAACATTGTAGGCTGAATGGTTTCCTTACCGACTGTAAATGATACGATAAAATAATGAATATTTTAGAAAACTTTTAAAACTTAAACTTGAAGTCATCTAATAAAATGAACTTCTGAACTTGAATATCAAGAGTATCAAGCAATAACTTGCCAATTTTTAACCCCGTAAAATGGAGGATAATTTAGCCAATAGCACTTACTTGTCATCCTTCTCGTAAATGTTGAGCCCAAGTGCATCCACACCGAGCCACAGCTCCGTGTTTTTCTTGTTGCGGATCTCAAAGTAGTTCACGCCGTACATCTCGAGATCTTGAGCAATCTTGAGGTACTCCATCATAGCGTCCTCGCGCAGCATCCCGCGGTGCTCTTGCCACCAGTTCGTAATGCTTTGCTCCCATTCTTCGCGCGACATCTAGTGGGAGAACGATACGTATAATATAAAGATTTAAACATTTTCGTAAGCTTAATAAACCCGTTACTTTTACGATGTACCTTCCCTTTTGTTTGTTATTCCTTACACCTACCCACTAAATGAATTTTTTACTATTTCTTTTCTCCTGTACTTCAGGTTGCCTAGAAGAGATCGCTGCTTAACGATAAGGCCGCCTTGTATTTATAAGTTAGTACGGAAGATGTTTCTTCTTTTTATATGTTTTTTTTTTGTGAAGTATGGGATATAAATAAGGCTATAATAAAAAATATATATATCACAAACAAATGGTTACCTTGTGTTGATCAGTGACACGCTGTGGCAGCAGACGGTCGTTGGCCAGGAAGCCCGGACCGTGCATCGAAGGGTTGTGGTCGCCATGTCGGGCCTGCACCGCGTACGACGCCAACAGAACCGAAGTCTCCGGTGGACAGTATATCTCATCTGATAGGATAGCGTTCTTCACCTAAAATAAAAACGAGTGTGTCAAAGCCTGTTTCTTCGTCACTTTACGTCATTCTCTGGAACGAGTTAACCCTAAAGTTGTTATTGATATCGTTTGTTCAAATTCATTTTATAAACAAGGACTAACTCTCAAACCTAATTTAAACCTTGTTTTTTTTTAATTCTTATTACAAAACTAAGTTTAACGTTGTGTACTGGAGTAAGTATGGTAGTGACTGAGATTCATTTAGACCATGTTTTAACAGTTAAACCAAGTCTCCGCAGTTCTGGTTAAAGTATTTTTTTGTGTTAAACGTGATTAACTTTGAATCCCGGAGAACTATATAAATTAATAATCGATTATAAACTGAAAAAAATATTGTATGAATTGAAACTAAACAAAATTTAAAAAACCGGCAAGTGTTGAGGTTGGAAAATTTGTTGGATTCCGGTTCAATTCCTTTCCGCATTTCCTAAATTTGTACGATTTTAATTTTATTTGTATAGTGACATCATGTGCAATAACATGTGAAAATTTAAAAAAAGAAATGAATTAGTGGAACAGAAATGAAAATATGTCAAGAGCTTTCTGAAGTACCTGCAGGTAGAAGAGTTTCAATGTGATCTCCTGAATAAGTTCATCAGCGACATCCTCCGGGTAGAATTTAGCGCGAAACTTGAATTGGAGCGGATTCTCCTTCTTGACGTCCTGTTGCATCACCTGGAAACAAATGGCCGCATTATTAGTCTATATACATGTGTTACAGTATTACTGGATATGTTTTTTGTGCGAAAGAACATTATAGATCCTGTTAAATTTCCCAATATTTCCTAAGGTACTACTAGGTACAGGGTAAGGTATTAGTTCCATATCGATGGAGGTAACGTATAGTTTGAAGGATAATAATAACATCTCTAGGTTAATATCCTGTCCATGTGTAATAAAGTAACTGTTTATGCTAAATATACTTGGAAAGCCAGCTGTTGAACAAATGATTGAGTCATCGCCGCTATTATTAAAATATATCATCTTCCTTAACCTCCACTGTAACTTGTAAACCAACAAGACATATTGACTTCTATTCGGATAAAAACTAAGTCCCGTGTTTTACAAAAACACTTAACGGTTTAGAACGCGAAACAAACGACGATCGACGACGTGGTGCTGAAAAGCATTTGAAACTTCAAGTCGAATCATATATTTCACGTTTTAAACCGTTGATATTATTATTAAATATACATCACGCACATAAACTGCGGACAATACAAAGTCTTTATACATTGCATATGACATCATTGCCTTATATCGTTGTAACTTAATTGGTACATTTGTTTAATATAACGTGCTTCGCAGGGCGTTGTCTTCTGTCCCCATGTGAAACAACTTAAAGGCATGTGTCTTCATGTCAAAATTTTTTATGATATAAAATACCATCAAACTTACCCATCTGGAGAACGGTAGCGACCCTGACTTCGCGGCGTGCCCAAGTGATCCAGGGTTAGCGTTAAAAGGGCAACAATTAATTACAATTCAGCGTCAGTTTATATTAGGACATCACATGTGGTTTACGGTTTACAGTCTTTATTCTCATAAGACTAACATAACAATTACGATTAGAGAAAATAGCATACAGTGAAAGTATTATTTCTTATCAGCTTTTAGAATGTCATTCAAAATCAATTTTAAGGTTTAAGCCTAAACCTCCGGAAGCGTTGCTAAAAATAAATATTATCACACAATACGTTTATTGTGCTCGTAATAATATTAACTTTTAGTTTCAATGAACAAGTTCCTTAATGCGAATGATATGTATTGGAATTTTATCACTCCCTATCTAAGATTATTAACGGATTGATAAGTTATAAGATCTTTTTGTGTAGATTCCAGTACCATGAGTGCGTGTCAGTTTTTTGTCTTAATTGTTAATTTATATGTGTTTGAAATAAAAAGAGATACGTAGAAACCAACGGGTCTACAATTTTGATGTTGAATATGGAATGAAAAAAAAAAAATAAACAACACGTCCAACTTAGGCCACAGCTACCAATAGATACATACCCGCATCTATAAATTTAAGTTTATTTATAAAACTGACACCCGCGTATCCGCTAGCCATGACCCGCCGAATGTTATACCATTCACTCTACCATCAATTACGCACATAAAAATAGACGTAGATCTTGTCATCTTCTCTTACCACATTAGTTAAAGAAAACGACTATGTTTTTGGACAACCATAATTCTAGCAACTACCAAACCTTTGTAATATCTACTTATATTTTTAGTTGTAATAGCGCATTTTCTACAATCACCTAGCACCCTAGCTGTCACTTCTTACCATATCGTCCGCTCTATCATATGCGGCTTCCTCGTCATCCTCTTCAGGATTCACCAGCTTTTTCACAGCTGTTGTGACGCATTTCACGGTTTTTTCTGCTATTGTTTCCGGCTTTAATATATTAGAAAGTACGTGAGAATGATCGAAAAGCAATTGGTGCTTCATTTTTACAGTTAACGTGAAATAAAGAGGAATGATGACATAACTTTTGCACAGAATATTGAGTATATAACGGCTTCCGTCAGTGTCGTACACTTACTTTCGCGTGCCACTATCATATCCTGAAATCCTAGTAAATATCAAAGTAGTAGAAAATGAATTAGCCCCAAGTACATGGAGCGACGTCGCAGCAGTGAGCACCGCCTCGTGGGAGCGAAAGTGCGGTCATCGACCCCACGACCGCGATTGCTGCACAATCAGCTGTTCTTGTGCGAACATTCTTTCAATTCGTGCGTCTATTTAGAATTATCTAAAACCAGCAAGTACCTTTTCCCGGGCGCAAATGTAACCGTTTGTAGGAATTTCTGAACGCAACGTTTTGTGGCTTCAGTAGTAAATTAATTGAAAATCCACAAAAGCGTAACAGCAGTATTCAATTAATCTCATGTGATATAGTAAATAGTATGAATATTTGGGAGGCACGTCATGCATAAATTATAAAGAAATCAATACATTTATTGGGGACATCGGAATTTCAACGCGTGCTTTCCTTTGTTTTCCTAGCGACTGCCAAAGAGAAAACACGAGTTCCAAATAACGTGGAAAGTTTCAAAAGGTGCGTAAATTCCATTGCGTATGTCAGAATCGAGAGAAACTCACAAACGAGACATTTCTCATAAACGTTCGCACGCGCATCGCATCGCCTTCGATCGGTTGCAAACGCGAGCCAAACATCTTATGTCTCTCTCGATAACCTAGTCTCGTGAATCGATCGCATCGTACCTGACACGGCATTAACCGCATTTGTGATATCATTCATTTGCACTTTCCTTACGTCGGGGTAAGGGGCTTTATTTAATAGTCATAAAGATGGTGACGGCATGAATGACCGACAGATTGAAACGACTCAGTTAATTATTCCAATAGGAACGTCTAATCCAGTACCGGTAGTTTCGTGCTCTCGCAATGGTCTGCTTCATGCATCATTTTGGAGTGAACGATAAGAAAAGATATCTGACGCGGAGTTACAGCAATCGAATTTCGCGTAACCTTCAAATAACCTTCTGCGAATTTCGAGTCGCGGTTCAGTCAAGGACGCGGCAAATGCCGGTGGCTGGTGGCAGGGGTCAGCACGCCACCTGGTGGTGAGGAGTCGTGAGAACGAGGTCATGCGGACGCAGCGTCTCGCTTGGCTGAACGCACATCGTATATGATTCGAAGCCAACAAGTGAATGAGTCGCCACAGTACATGGAGTTTAAGTAATTACTTGGAAGGTTTCAAAGCGTTTTCATTAATAACGACTCTGTAAACCGGTTAGATGTTATCCTAAATGACGATATACATTTTCGATATTTAGCGCAGTTGTCGTGAGAATATGCGGTCTAGGAGAGGTCGTATTCGCAACGATCGAGGCCAATTTTCTTATGCATTAAATATTTGAAGTCGGCGACTCGGGCGACATTCCGTGGTGGCACTAGCGTGGCAACATCGGGCAGTGTTAATTAATAATTTGGCTTGAAAAATGGCTTTGCTGACGATTTATTTGTCGAGGTTCTTCTACTATCACATATCAATATATGCAGTAAAATATAGTAGGCCTAGAAAGGTTTTATTTTTTAATATAACAAACGTAATAATAAAAAACTGGTAAACCAATCAACCAAATAATACAAATCTCGACAACCGATTTTAATTAAAAACGAGTTTTAGTTACAACATTGAATCGAAATTGGAAAAGCCCACTCGCTAAATACGCAGACGGTATCATAGTTTATCGACTACGTGGCATAAAAAGTGAAGCTTTTAAGATGTGATCTCATGCCTAAGCATGTGCCTAGGCTATTCAACAATTATAAATTTTGTTGCTTATCTTGTGATTCACCGACAACATGAGGTAATATAAAAACGATGAACGACTTTTAGGAAGGTTAAAAGTGACGAATTAAATAAGCAGTAAGCAGTGTTAAATACATAAGTATAAATGACTTATTTCTTAAGGCCGATATTGCAATATTGTCCTATATGAACTCATCACTATACGACAAACTGCAATCGTAGTTACGTACATTGAAAATACATTTCAAATAACAGGAATAAGCCGATCGGGCGGAAATTCAAATATACGTATAATTGACTTCGTGTTAACAATGCGCTTATCAAAAACGTCATTATTTAGTCATTCCGGAACTATTCGTATGAATCAACGCTATATAAAATGTTGCTATTATGAAAAAGGTAATAATAGAAATCTTGTAATATGGCGAAGCTATTTTATGTCTTCTAAAATATACAATAAGCTGTCTTTCTATCGCAGATTTGCTAACGATGTGAGAAGCGGCAGATATAGATAATAATGTACGTGTGATAAATGATAGTAAGTAATATGAAAGTATAGAAATGCTGATATTTAACATTTAAACGAATTTCTTTAGTAAGCAACTGTAGAATCAGTCTTGGTTCATGTTTGCCTCATTTCGCTGGTACTGCATGCTTCATAAATATGTAAACATTTTTCGAGCACGCCATCTGTTACGTGATAAATAAACAGTAATCACTACAAGATTCACTGGAGGATTTACGAATTACCAGAACATTCTCCCAACGAACGGTGCCAATAAAGATGATTTATATTTTCATAAGACAACAGCGAATAGACTGCAAGTCGATATCTCCCCTCGACGAATTCTAAATAAAGAGAGCATAAAATGTAAATGAACATCCAATGTACTTACAACATAATTCAGTTTCTTTAAATTTAAATCGCGTAAGAAAAAAGTGGAATGAATAATGCGGCGCTAAACGATAAAGAAAGTTATAAATAAGACGCCGAGAGCGTTCAAATTATGTGCGAGTCGTAAAGAAGTACTGCGATAAAGCTAATTATTAAAAGACGAGTAAAGTATAGAGGATGTTATCGATTGATAACTTGCGTTGTTTACTAACTAGACAGAACTATTAGTCATTGCATATACAGCTAAAGCATTTACATTTTTATTAAGAAAAAGCTAGACTACTATTTTATTTCTATTTATCAAGTGCAAATGAAAATCACATTTTATATTATGATACTTTCATATAATGCAGTTTGTGTTTCAGAGGTCTGTATTTAATGTAATTTAAACCGAAAAACCTAATAGGACGAGAGACACTTTTAAACTGAAAAACAACTTCAAATCAATAATATTATGAACTCCAAAAAACATATTTAGCTCTTACTTTATACATTCGCCCATTGCATGCTATTTATTTAAAAAACCACCTCCGACGACCAAACACTTTCTCAGACGGGGACCGCGTACTTTTCTTTTATTATGTAACGTTTTCGGCTCACAATGACCTACTAGACAAAGGCCGGGTAGAGACAGGTACATTTTATGAATCAATTAACGCGACAATTAGATTAATTACAACGGAACCTACTATTTCTTTCAATGAAGACAGAGGAGATTAAAAAGTAGGCGTCCTCATTGCAAGAGGCCGTATGAGGGTAAATTAACTTTTGGTATCACACGACGACATTGGCTTACCAGGTCAATGCCGGTAGGTACTAAAGGGAAACAATTTTACAAACACATAGTTTACGAATACAATCGACGGAACCACCATGAAATACAACTATTTACTAGATTCCACTCGGCCCGTCGGTTATTATGTGTTAACACGAATGATTTATGGTGTATCGTAATGACGATTTGATACTACTCGTAGTTATTAGGTGCATTAACAACCGTTAAAGTTAGAGAACGTGCCGTGAATTTTAATATCTTGAACATTCGAAGTTATTTGTTGTGGAACTAAGTACTATTGCCTAATGGATGGAAACGGAGTATCCTAGAACCAAAATTCAACGAATGTATCCGAAAGCAGGCTGACAGTTAAGACCTATTTACATTCTAGAGAGAAATTAGAGTCCCAGCAGTGGGAACTATAAAAGGGCCGTGATTGTTATTGCGTATTACAATAACGGTCAGTTATAATTAATTATATAACTTCATCTAATAAACACCACTCTTTCTCTTCTATACTCAGGCCAGTCTGTATCCAGCACTGCTGAGTGTTGCAAGCATTCAACAGCATATCTAAGACTGGTACCGATTGCCATCTTTATCTACCTTATTATCTATACATTATTAATTACGCAATTTAGTAGTTATATGTTTACTGTACACACATATGTACAGTAAACAAATGGCAATAAAAAGTTTTGAATTTCAATTAATATGATTTATCAAGTACCGACGTCTTGGGACTGAATTATGTCCATAGTTCTACCCTAAGCAGGATATTTTCTGCTTACAGTGTGGAACTTAATATATACATATAAACTAACCTTCTTGTAGAGTTTGATCCATGTTAAATCGCCTTTGGAATCGGTGTACTGGAGTCCAAAGAACCACACCTCTCGCAAACCGATGGTTTTAACCACCTGATCGAAGAGTTGTTTGCCAGTTGTCGTTTGCTGGATCGCGAACTCCAGTTCCGCGTCCATCGTCGTCACCCGGACATTCATCTGGAATACATTTATTTTTTATTAATAAAGAAACTTCCTAATTGGGACCAAACCTAGGAAGGTTTAAGAGAATGAGCGGGATGGAACTTAAACAATAAAAAAACAATCATATGAAACTAGCGTGAAAAATGAAGTTACGTGTCAGTTAGAATATTTTTTAACTTTATATCATGTTTTATGGAAACAAAGAACAATGCATAAGTGTAATGTTGCAATAATTTTACATAGACTCAAACTGATATATGCACATAGTGAAAATTGAATTAAATCTGGAATTGGAAAGTTATGAAACTAACAACCAACGTTTTTACAGAAATTCTGAAGTATCTCCTTAGTATGTCTATTTATGCCTATATTTACTGTCAGAGGGAATTCTTATTAATTGACAATAAGAAAAGAAATCGTTATCGGCTTGGTCAGTAGCAGTTGACGATAGAGAAAATACACGAAAACAACTCGTAGAAAATCAATTGGAAAACGCGTTTATGTTACTATGTTAGTAGCAGCGTTGTGCAAGGCTTATTAGCCATTGTTATCGCACAATACAAATATACTCTTTGAGCCTAGTAAGACTTGCAAACTTTTCTGCCGCTGTAGATAAAATCGAGGGTTACTTTAATGTTTTGAGGCATTTAAAGAGTGAATATTTCGTTATACCAATGTAAGATATAGAACAGACAAAGAATGTTTATATTTATGGACCACAAATAATATTAATTCAAGACATACAATTTGTTTTTAATTTGTTCGTTAAGAAAAGCAAAGTAACAATTATATGATAAAACTTTCATTGAAAATAAGATGATAAATAAAATATTGAAACGTACCTAATATTGTTTTGTAAGCAATCATCGTTTCTACATTGAATACAACAGAAATAAATCTGTTGCTTATAGGGTACTAAAAATACAATCATAATCTGAGTCTAAATTTAAACGTTGAGATCTTGCCAAGCGGATGTGATCTTCCGGAGTAGATTATGTCATTGTTTATAACATTAATATATCCCTCTTAGTTGTAAGAAAGTGTTTCAATAAAGTAAATAAAGTTGCAATAAGGGGATCCTATGTTAGAATTTCTGGGAACATACATGATACTATTGCACTGCAAATAAAAATACAGACACTGAAAAGTGTCTGCTTCGTGCTCAAGTGTGGTACATTAATTTTAATTGACAGTTATAGCTCAAAGCGTTGACTACGCCCTAAGGGGGTTGATGATGTTAGCATACATTGGAAAAGGTAGTAGAGAAAAATCGGCCTCAAAGGAATTGTTTAAATAATCCGAATCGCGGATAATCTGCCATATTATTGGATTACGAGATAGACGTTTGTCTAGATTTATTTCATTTTCAGTATTTTCTTACGCAAAACAGTTACGTAGTAGGCAAACAAAATATCTATATTACCAGTTCAAGAAATTAAATTCGGCGCTTAAGTAGAAGTCAAAATAAATGCTTATCTAATCAAATGCTTGGTAATTCACTAAATATCTCTAGATGTGTGTAATCGTAATAACTGAGAATTGCTGATAAGCTTCCACCACGTTTCGTAACAATTCAATGGGAATTGGTTCAATTAGAACAATCGCTCTCTTTACAGACTGGCGTTTCCAACAACATTTCTTTCGTTTATGTGCCATTCTATTTAGTAATCATTATAATTCAATTGATACACTCGAATCTTTCAAGACAACTAACAGGAAGGATAATGTAATGTATAAGATTTAGAAGAAAAATATATAAATTATGTATACTTCATAGTTTAGTTATTGCTTACACCTACCCACTTATAAAATAAGCCTTTTTCTATATCTTTTCTCCTATAGTTCAGTTTGCCTGGAAGAGATCGCTGCTTAGCGATAAGGCAGCCTTTTATTAATAAGTTAGTACGTAAGACATTTCTTCTCATATGTTTTTTATGTGGTGTGTATTATAAATAATAAAGGTATAATAAAATAAATAATTATATTATTCTGCAACCTTTTCCTCTTCACTAGCAAAAATACATTTAAATTATCTTATGACTTTACTCCTTTGAGTAGTTTATTAGAGGATATAGTAAACATTCCAGAGATTCAAGCGATTCTAATTTTAGTTTTACACGGTGCGATATTATCTGTTGGCTGGCAACAATGCATTCGCGACCATTCATCGAATACGCTCCGAGGTCGACTCAGCCCTGACTCCTCTCATTATAACTGCATAACTTAGTACCCGCATTTTCATTAAGCTATTTATCTAATTTTAGTCTGTCTTCTTCAAATAACAATAATACAAAATATTTCAAAAGAATAAAACTCCTTTTATAAATTTAATAGTGGACAATTGGCGTGTTTGCTTTTTTGTGATTTTACAAATCTCAATCTAAAATCAAAGACACAGCAAATTATCATATTGAAAGGCGATACTAAGAAACTTGTTGATGCCGCGTCAGATAATCTTGCACGCGATATTGTGCTAGCGAGTGTGGCTAGTGAGCCGGTGAGAATAATTGAGATAGACACAAACCCCTTGATTATGCAAGGCTATTTGCATAGTTATAACAATGAAATATTACTTATTATAGTGTTCTTTTACACATATAAACAAAAATTTAATACCTACAACTTCATACACTAATCCTGTATTTCTTTAGGTATCATTTTAGCTGTGCTACAGTGAGTACTTTTAGATTGAAAAATAAAAATTTTACAGCACGAGCCGAACTCGAATCGGCATCCATAGTGTTTCGTGCCATTACCTACTCAAATTGAGCTACTTTTTTCGGAAACGTAAAGCTCCAACTATTTTGAAACGAAGCGTAATTGTGATGTAAGAACCTTGTTATATATCCTACTTTCATGACTCAAAGGCGACGGACCTACATGATATATTAATAACTGTATTAAACAGCGGCAAACATCGTATGTTTGAGTGCATCTCAGCTTCAGCAAACATCGAAGATACGAGTATGACATCAGCGTCGTTTAGCGATAAGATTCTATATTTGTATCGTGTTGGGTTAACTTGTATGAATTTTTATTGTATAACACAATAGATTTCATTAATAGCTGTGTGTTGCCCGCGACATAGTCCGCGTAGAATCGCTATTATGGGCATTAAAATTTGTTTTTGCAAACCTCCTCCTGATAAATTATAGCTCTTATCCAACACGGCGCGGAGTCTACGACCTGTCGTTATTGGAATTTAATATTAAAAGATATACTGTCGTAAACATTTTTTTTAAAGAGGAATCATTGTTTCACACATATTTTTCTGGATATCTTAGACAGTCAGATAGTCATAGTAATAATACTTGACATTTGTCATTGTTGCCTTTAAGGAGACAATTTCATAGAACGTTACAGATATTTATGTTGGATTGAAGCTAGCATAGTAACACTTTGTATACGACGTCAAAACAGTATCTGATGCTTCATCGTGCCGAACAATAATAATTGTTATTATTTCATGCGACGTTAATAAGTAGATGACCCTGAAATTGTATGTCAATTTACCACGGGTATTGTTAGGGTGACAAACCGTGACTCTAACGTGAACGAAGGAATTGAGTCATACAAGGCGAGAAATATTCTTTTCCACTTTATATTACCTCAGTTATAACTACAATGAATTGCTTGGCAACTTGTAATGAATATACGTAATTAAATTAAACAGGTTTGACCCGACCTTACGCAGAGTAAGACAATCTCAAATTATCTAAGTATAATTTTATTGCTTTCAAATAAAGGGATGTAAAAGGGAATAAGGGGTTGGATTGAAACAGAAACAGGACGTAAGATTGAACAGGTGCGCAGGAGCAGATGTTACACCACTTGCTAGAATAGGAGTAACATTTATATCCCCATTACTTTGTAGTCCGGTTATAAAAATATTTTATGGCAAATGTTGTCTTGATACACCGTCATTGAGCATTACGCACATGTACGTAAATCTCGGTTACTAATATATTTATATTTGTGTAAATTACATCATGACGGCAAAAAGGTATGTATGTAATCCTCTTCCTATAAGAAAACAATAGATGTTAAAAATTAATCATACTACAATGTCGATACAAAGACAACTAACTTGATTAGTTTTTATATTTGTATGGTGTCTTAAATTGAAGCATCTATTTTAAAAGATTATTAACGAAAAGTAATAAAAGACGTATGGAAAATTCTTATCTATTGCGTAAACTTAGTAATGCTTTAAAAATCGTTGCTTATGTTCAGATAATCATGCGTAGTTTTTTACACATTTTTTACCCCAGAAAACATGAAAGGAATTCTAGAATCTTCTAAATCATCGTGAACCAATGTTTTAGATTCAGTGATAGTAAAGGCAAGCGACTTGGAAGCGACGTGTGTGAAACCAAATGAAACAACGCTTCGTGGTTATTGACCATAACGGCCGTCAAACTGAATTGAAGTTCAACAATTAAATAATAATTGGATAGGCTTTTATATTTAGCCTAGAACGTTCATCTCTTCTTATACCTTTGCCAAGAGTTTTATGGAATGATTTAACACCATAAATTAACTTCTTTAAACAAATTTTTATAACACTTTTTATGTGAAATATGTTAAAATCATTTTTGTATTTGAATACAAAAAAGCAAAGTCATGAAGTCATAAGAACGCATTACTCCAATGTCTTGTATGACCGTGATTAACAATGACACAAGGTACGGAGGAAACAGGTAATACAAGATATTGCTAATTCTGAGAAGGTCTAATGATGTACAATATCGAAATTATAAGAATTTCTAACTTATGATTGAAATAAGTACCATTAAAAAAAACTCAATCGATAAATGAAATCTTATAATTGTGTTACGGTGTTTAAGATTTAAATGGGACACTTGTTGTTCTTAGGAGGTAAGCAAAAAAAAAGTATGTGATTAAACGTGATAGCAGCAGAAAAATTCAAGCTCTAAGAAGAAACGTTGAAAATGCAGGGCTTTACAGGTAAAATTACTATTAATTATAATAATATCACTCGTTAACCTTTGAACGAACGAGGAACAGCCTTGAATTGTTACAAGAAATACGTAATTTTAAATTCAACTTTTTGCTTGGTATACGTCGACAACTTTTTTTAAAGCGCCACCATAACGACGTCAACCAAAATTACAAATTTTGTACATAACATGTTCTTGTGAGATTATATACATTTCGATAATTCTTTGCGATTAGATAAGAGCTCGATTACGCAAAGGAATGAGATATTACAGTACTAAGGAACGCGCAGGACAAAATGGTAATAAGACCATTTCACTTTACAAATAAATTTTCGCTCCGGTGACTAAATATAACTAAAGAAATCGAGAGTGAGGGAACGTTGGCGAAACAGGAAACTTTCCATCCCTTTTTTACTGACGATACAGACAGGGACAGAGAACGTGGCGGTTGAAACCGTTTGCGACCAATAAAATAAATAAAAATAACGAGCGTCTGTACTCTTGGATAAGACTCAAAGGCTCTATGGATGATGTCATAGCAGCTTATGAATTGTGTCTACACTCTACACGTACAATAATCACTTGACGATTGCGGCTGTTGCTAAGTTATAGCGAAGTCGTGAATTAGCAGTTCGGAAAATTGATAAGGCGTTTGCAAATAGGTACGAAAAATAGAGTAAAAATCTCTGGGATTATTACATATGTAGCTTACTTTACAGAAGGTGGAACGAGTTTTAGCATAATGATTAAATACAATTTGTATAACGACAAGTGTATTGCATTGTTGCAGTCAAAATCTTATTAAAACAAACAGTTATAAAACTTCGACTTTTTCCCATTATGTCCTATGTTATTACGTTAATAAAGTTTTTCACAAGCGATTTAAAATGCAAAAAATAATATTAGAGGTCAAAGTGCATAAATTGTTAACATTGACTTGTTACATAATTTACCTGTTTGCCGCCTGCGACCATCTTGTTTAGATTTTATGGGTAACACTTGTAAATGAACACAGCCACCGTACTTTCCAGTGGTTATTATAATTATGTAATTACTATAAAAGGGGGGTGAGTCACACAAAGCCGCGTCTGCCGGACGCGGCGGTAGATTTTAAACTGAACCGACAACTTTTGCGCCGATGGGGATGCGCCGGTGTTTGGGCTCCGAGGACGAAACCTTGAGGTAAAAACGATTCAATATTCAAACGCCATGTCTGTACAGTAAGACTCGCTATTGTTAAGAATTTATATGTCGCCACAAGTCATCAAATATATAAGAACGTGTGTACTTACAGTACGAACGATAATCAGTTTTGTGACGTACAAATCAATGTAAAAACAATTAATATTTTACGACCTTTGTAAAGCATAGGTGCACTATTTAATTCTGCTTAGTTAGATATAAGTTTAAATTTGCTTATTAAAAAATAACTAACACAGTAGCTTGGGTTAGGATCTCCTACTATCATTCAATAACAGGTATACAGCTTTTTATTGAAAGGTACTATGCTGTAAAATGCCTGTCAATCAGTCTAGACGGCTTTTTGTTTTGTTTTATATAAGGACGACTCCTTGTTGTTTTTCTTCACTACTTTAAGACATGTTTGAATTAGAAGTGAGTATTGTGCGTTAATATATAGGAACGCATTCAATAAATTACGTACGCTATATTGAACCGTTAAAATTCCTTTTTTCTATTTAAATAAGTTACTAAGTGTAGATTTTTGAAGCGGGGTCTGTTGGAGTTATGCCGTGATCCAAACATATGAATAGGAAATATTTTTCATTTTTATTACATTTTTTATATGTCAAAGCGATAGGGGTGGAACAGATCCTCCGCAGAGGAGAAATAGCTAATATTAGAATAATTCTTCATAGTAGAAAATAATAACATACAATGATTATTATTTTGACACTAATGCTATAATTCTTAAGCAAATCCGTTGGTGATATGTATTCTTCGATAAGTATTTCTAAAGCGTACGTCTATCTATCTGCATTACATAGATCGTGGGTGCAGTGTCCACTAAGTTGATAACGTATGTCCTACTTTCGCGTTTCCTTCCTTTGACACCTACTCTTCGAAAGCTATTTCACAAACGACACCTCATCCATTCAGCACTTATTTACAAAATAATATTCTTTAGATAGCGGCAAATATCAGATTTATTGAAGATTGATTTCTCAATTGAGAGCGTTCGTAAATATGGTAGTTAACACGTACGTATAGCATTATTTTTATACTTCTTACAGCTAATTAACATCGTCAATATAGTTTTTCACCTTTCATTAGTACTATTGATTAGCTTTAGTATGTTATTACTAATGTCTTAATATACAAAGTGATACCTGTTTTGTAATAGTAAAAAAATAATTTTGGGCATTTTGCTAATGCTTAAAATTTGACTACCTATTTGACTGAATAGTAAAATGCGAGAGGAACCTTTACTAATATATAAGGCTAAAGAGTTTGTTTGTTTGAACACGCTTATCTCAGGAACTACAGGTTCGAATTGAAAAATTCCTCTTTTGATGGTTAGAACATTTATCAAGGAAGGCTAAAGGCTATAAAACATCGCCCTGTGACTAATACATGCGAAGGTACAGCGGGGAAAAATCGTTGGCAGTATATGTCTATCTATTAAGATAAACTTGCACGAACGCCGGGGCGCAGGAGGTTTGCAAAAACAAACCAATTTCCCAAATTGAAGTAGCTGACTCAACTAGTAATTAAATAAGATTAATTAAGAATCTCGAGAAAACTATACTTTCAGTGGAGCAGTCACAGAGGTTTAATCAAGCACTTAACAAAAATAAGAGTAAATGAGACACAGGCAAGTGTCTTCACATATTTTTTTTACTTTATTTGCATGGGTGGTGTTGGAAGAATTATTTAATGATTTTTCAAAAATATTTACTAATAGAACATTCTTGCATGTAACAAAGGATTCCTAATATGCTATTTGTGATGCTACATGATATTTCTAGATCAAGTAGCGGCTAATAAACTAAGTGAGAAGTTCTTGTTATTTACAAAAATATTAGCAAAAACCTAGCATATAAAGGTTGCAATGCATGGGGAATACAAGGGAGTTCAAGTGTATAAGGAGGGCAGAAACTCATAACTAACCAAGTGATTGTCACTGGTTGAGCCTATAGCTTTATTTAAGAATTCAAGTATCTGAAAAAAATTGTAATACCATTAATATCCTAAAATCATAAACATACCATTAATATCCTAAAATCATAAACATACCAGTAATGTGTTCTCTAGTAAATGGTAATATACTACTATTTTTACATTTCTCTGGGTGTAATGCAACAGGTTACACATACAACACCAATATAAATGTAACTGCACAAATTATCAATCTTTAAGTTGTTAAGTTATACAACAATTTTGGTCAACACTCAGCTTTAGATGTACTTGTAGTTGTTAAAAAGTGACTATTTATACTATTATATTTAGAACTAGATATTAATTTTTTTTATTGAATGTGCACTTGTAACCCATTTTTATAAAAAAACTATTTGTTTGTAATGATTTAATTTACAGAATCAATATTTTGCCTATACACATTACTATTAAATTTTATTACTATAAGGATAAAAAATAAGTCCACACAATCAATGGTTTTGTAGTAGCAAGTATTAAAGATTATTGATAAGTGTATCAATGATTTCATTACACTTTATTAAACTATGGTAATATTAATAATCTGGTTTGTAACCAAATTTTTATTCTGCTATTCAAGGCAGCCTACTGCTATGCTAACAGCACTTTGTCATAATAACTAACCAGGTAATTTTGACAAAATTCCAGAAAATAATGATGATATATAATTTCTTAAGTTCTCAATATTACATCATTGTTATATTATTAGAGACACATTATTACAGAATTATGCTTCATACTAAATTTTCAGATATACTTAGTAATAGGACAGTTTTGAGAGTTATAGTAGAAATTATATGTATAACATTAATGTTAATATTTATAAGACGTTGACTTACCGATTTCGGCATGTTTGCGGCTTGGGATTACAATCTGAAATGGAAAAAAACAGATATGATTGGCATGCACATTGCTAAAGCAAGGAAAACGTAACTTTCGGCACCTAGTTAGGACAATCCTAATATTTTGACCTATTGTTTAAGAACTTATTCTTAACAGAAACATTTAATAAGTCCGGTGACGATAATCTCAAGAAACGTAGGTGTAATGTGAACGAGGTATATACCGGCGGAGATCATGTAAGTCAATCGTCTCGCTCAGCTTTCCGATTTTCAACATTACGTTTCTGTTAAGCTATATGACATAACTTACCCGTTATAAAAAAAGAATATCACCTAATAATCCACATAAGTTGCACAACACACATGAAGAAAGCACACACCCTAGAGTCACAAAAATATCGCGATAAAATGTGACAACTGCGTGACGTGGTACGCAGGGTTACCAGTTTACCGGCATTAAATAATTATTCATAACTTAAGAATATTTAGTACCTCTGTCATTGAGCAAATGTGTAACACAGACTATTAATGATGACATCACTGGAAACTTGACTCTTTAGTAAATAATATCAGTTTACCTTGATGGAATTTCTTAATATTGGAACTATATATTTCAATAAAATAATTAACTATTTATCTAATATATGTACAAACGATTCAATACTGCATACATTATCTGTATTGTCAATTGTCCAATATCTTTCATACACATTCATAGACACAAATATAGTAGCGCCATCTAAAATAGCGCCCTGACACTAGACGGTTAGTTGTTGCCAATTGAAACCAATTAGAAGTAACTTTATTAAAATAGATCTTGAAAATTATACGTTATAGGGTCTAATACACAAATTATCCCTCTTTATGAAAAATAACTTCAATGCTATAAATTGTTAAAACGAATTGTTGTAAGTAGACCTCATTTGATATTTTTATACATTAACGACATACTTATATAACATGGAGTAATTCTAATAATGTCGCTAGATGTCTCTGTTCTTCTTAACTCTTCTAATTTAATCGCCGAAATTTATAACTAATTAAGTTATTGTTATATTTAATAAATTTATTTTTTATCTACTGTTATTTTAAATAAGAATTGATTTTTAATTGATTACCACGAAAGTGATGTCATTGTCAAATCTTAAGACTTCAAAATACATTAACCGCGAATTTATAAATATTAAGGTTTTAATTTCATATTATTCTTTGAAGTATGGCATTATGATCCTGGAAAATATTATAACAACTTTACAAAAAAGAAAGTATTTATCGAATGAGCTAAAGAATTTTTCACTGCAATTGAGAAGAAACAATGAGAGTTCTTACTTACATACCATTTAATAGTCATATTATCAATGTTCTAACATGTAAGGTCGTGAATTATTGTTCTTTATGAAAATATGAATGGATATAGCATGGTATTATGTGTATGGATCTATTTTTATATAAAGTAAGTATGCAATCCTTAGCTCAAACGATGCCAGCATCAATACTAAGGGCTTAGTTCTGGCAAACCATTGAGTCTCTTGGCCCATGGGAGTACCTTATTTTATCTTTGTTTCATACGCATTTCATATTAATTTCTTCTTATCACTTCAAACCTGAGTTATTATAGTAAGTATGTATTTGGATTATTATTAGACTGGTTTACATTATAATCTAATTACATACCTACAAAGGCAACTCACTGTTACTACAATCAAAACAATACTAATATAGTAAATCTTTATTGTGCATATAAATTAAAATATCATACTATTAATTAAAAATCTAATAAGTTAGCTCCAAATTTTATGAAAGCCAATAAGTACCTAATAAAAAAATATTATCACGATCTCATATAATTAATAAATGCAAATCACACAAAGTTACAGATAATCAAACTTTATATTTCAATAGAAATTGTTTAAAAAAGTTTGTACTGTTAATAAGCATTCAAACAAGCGCACTTCACAAATCCTTACAACTAATTTGTTACTTACATAAAATCGTAAAAAATCTACTACTTTAGAAGTATCATATTAATGGACATCATTACTAGAAGTAGAACTAATTATAATAGAGAAGTTAAATAGGGATGTACGATTGCAGAAACTATCGAGTAGTTATTATGAAAGTATATTTTTTATTGAATTTACAGTTTTGTTGCTATAAACGTGCAGGACTAAATATTGATAATATATAGAGAGACTGAAATAGACCCAACATTTATATTTTATCGATAATCCATTAGGACGTCATTGGTGTATATAATTTCAATGTTCCATCAACTTCATTTTAGGCTTTCTGCTCCACCAAGTCACAAAAGATATTTCATTAATAGGACATTAAAATTTAATTGCAATACCGTAGTCATGATCGATAGCATCGCTCGCATACATCACTACTGTCAAACGACTTAATACTCATTGTCTTCATCGAGTTCCCCTTCAGTAGAATCAACTCCAACTTCCTCGTAGTCCTTTTCAAGAGCAGCCAAATCCTCTCTGGCTTCCGAAAATTCTCCTTCTTCCATACCCTCGCCCACGTACCAGTGAACAAAAGCGCGCTTAGCGTACATAAGATCGAATTTGTGGTCAAGTCTGAAAAGAAATAATCTATGAAAAACTGTGAGGATTTAATGACAAGAATGGACTAATGCATTTTCAGAAAGTAACTAAAACTATCTATCAATAGGTAGTATGTCTGACGTAAATAATTCTAAATGTGGCAAGTCACATTTTATTTCTTTCCAAGATGGACTCGACTTTTGTTGAACTAGTATTAAAATTATATAAATTTCCAACAATACCAATATCTTTGATTAATAATATGTAATTACATAGGTTCTTTGAATTGCTATTTTACCTGGCCCACGCTTCAGCAATTGCAGTAGTGTTGGACAACATACACACAGCACGCTGTACTTTAGCAAGATCACCTCCAGGGACTACTGTAGGGGGTTGGTAGTTGATACCCACCTTAACGAAAAGTAAAACATATTTTACAAGGTATGTATGTAAAGAACAGTTTTCTTCTGGCAAATAGAAATGCAAGAGTAAGATTTTATTATTTGCTAAAAGAATATAACACAATTTACCTTAAATCCAGTAGGACACCAGTCCACAAACTGGATGGAACGCTTGGTTTTAATAGTTGCGATGGCAGCATTAACGTCTTTTGGTACCACATCACCTCTAAAATAAAAATTATACTTAGAATTTCCACTATTTATTAATGGTATGATGGTTTATGTATGGAGATACGAACCTATATAACATGCAACAAGCCATGTACTTGCCGTGACGGGGATCGCATTTTACCATCTGTAAAAAAATACGTTTTAAATACATACTTGGTACGTATGTTCATATCTAATAGCACAGTGGCGGAGCATCCGTACCGGATTGTATATTATTTCTACATGTGATCAAGACACGATACGATAAAGGACAGGCATGCATCGTGCAACACTTAAACAAGATGCCCGTACCTATTGCTATGTGCTTTGGATATTCGGAAATTTACGACAAACACTCAACTTTAAGGCTTTTTCATCTGACCCGACGGCCGTGAACCAGACGGAATTTTGATAATACTATCAGATATTTAATAACTAGACGAAGTCTGTCATCATGTTTTAGAAACAATATAAATCGAGTAGAATAATGTTTGATCCGGTGGAGATCGAATCCACGACCCGTCGATTATTTTAGACATACGTTGTGACTACTAGACCAATGAGCCTGGCAAAAGTGTCGTAAAATTTACTCATCTTATAATACGATAATTTATACAATTAACTAAAAAACTTTCAAAATATGATATTCTGTAAAAATCGAAAATAAATTGAAAAAAAAGATCAGGATTAATCGGCATGGTCAGCTTCCGTGCTGTTGTTCTGACCATTTTAAAATTATATAGTACCTTCATGTGCAATAACACGTGAAAAATAAAAAAGTTTTCAAATGATATTCTATTTTTTTCCCAGAACTCCTTACGTTAAAGTTACACTTACACAGCAAATTGAAAACTGTTTGCTGAAAGCGAATCTCGTATGCACAGGTTCATAGAATTTGTAAAACGAACCTAAACGTTTTGGATAAGCGCCAGACAGAATTAATATTGCATAAGGACCTGCCTGACGCCTGCAATGCGCATATTTTAACATTTTATCACAACTTAGAATTCATGCTTTTGGATCTACTTTGCCATTTTGTTGAAACGCTATGAAAACTGTGAAAACGGTTTTATGAAAATGCTCCGCTTCAAATAGGAAAAATGACTTTTATAAGGCTCTAAATAGTAGCTCAGTGATATATTTAACTGTCACCAGTAATTCATATAACATTTTCTAAATTAAGTAACCTTTTATAGCTATAACGCAGTCCCTTTTCAGCGACGCAATTGCAAAAACTCTATCAGGCGGATATTATCAAGTTGAAATAATTAAAAAACAAATGTTAATTTTATATAAACTAGAGCGATATTATTAAAATTTGCATCAATTCCAATGTATAAAAAACGAATCAGTAATAATTCAAACAGTAAAAATACTACAGGGTTTCAAATTGGGGATGTTTCAATTGTATTCATAATGCAGAGTTTTTTTTTTAAATGTTTTATCATTCAAACATATCTTCTTAAAGCATCCCACAAAGTAAATGAAGACCTATACCAGCTTCAAGAATGGTTAAAGCACTGCTTATATTAGAGATGTACCTGATTAGCTGGTTCAAAGCAGGCGTTGGTGATTTCGGAGACCGTCAGCTGTTCGTGATAGGCCTTTTCAGCAGAGATGACAGGGGCGTAAGTTGCGAGCGGGAAGTGGATACGAGGGTATGGCACCAAGTTGGTCTGGAACTCTGTTAGGTCAACGTTAAGTGCGCCGTCGAATCGGAGTGACGCCGTAATTGAAGAGACAATCTGAGAAGGTGGTGAAAATTAAATAAGCGTTCTTATGAAACTTGTATAAATACTCTTCAGTACTTTTAAAGATTTTAGGCTAAATGGCTTTTTAATCAAATATTTGGCTCTCGTGCAGTGTTCAAACAAAAAGCCGTTGAGTTCTTTTAGAGATCAGTGTACATACAAACAGACAGACAAATATATTTTTAAATATTTCTTTCTCTTTCATCACTTTTTTATATAACACACAGACTAAGCTTTTGACGATACTATAAAAAGTGCAGAGAGATTATTTTGTTACCATATTTTACGCTAATTTGATAGTCACTACATTACCAGGTGGTTTACTAGAGTAGTACACATTTTAAATAAAACCGTTAAAAGTGTTTTATTTAACTATATCACTCTTAAAACTCATTACTAAATCTCTTTGATAATACAAAATAATACGTCAAAAGAATAAAAATTATATACTGCAATATTTATTTACTTGTCCAATAAGTCTGTTCAGATTGGTGTAAGTTGGTCTCTCGATGTCCAAGTTTCGGCGGCAGATATCGTAAATAGCCTCGTTGTCAACCATGAAGGCACAATCTGAGTGCTCCAATGTCGTGTGGGTAGTCAGAATCGAATTGTACGGCTCTACTACAGCTGTTGACACCTGCAGAAGATATCTTGGCATCACAATTATATTACAAAAGGTGTGTGACCTTAGAATCTGTACCTTTTTTAAAATATCATTTCTTACGAACTTTTTTACCTACGTGAAGAACATACTACACCAATTTTCTTCTCTTTAAATGCATATCACTAAAAACTCTTAATACCTGTGGTGCTGGATAGATGGAAAACTCAAGCTTGGACTTTTTGCCGTAGTCGACAGAGAGGCGCTCCATCAGCAGGGAGGTAAATCCTGATCCAGTGCCTCCCCCAAAAGAATGGAAGACCAGGAAGCCCTGAAGAGTAGATGTATCATCGTTATAAGGCAATATACAGTATATAAGTTTCATTGATATTTTTTACTGAACTAAATAATTATTGACACAAAACTTCATCAACTAAATTTCTCGTGTTTTTCATATATGTTCTTTACTTACTATTTCTACAGCTTAGGTCTTATTAACGTCTGTATTTTACCTGCAAACCAGTACATTGGTCAGCGAGTTTCCTAAGTCTATCCAAAACAACATCGACGATCTCTTTTCCGATGGTGTAGTGACCTCTTGCATAATTATTGGCCGCGTCTTCCTTGCCAGTGATCAGCTGTTCGGGGTGAAAAAGTTGACGGTAAGTGCCCGTACGCACTTCATCTAGAAAAAGGTAAGAATAATTCTAGTAAATGTTTATTATACTATTGATTTTTTTAATGTATTTATGACAGTAAATAGTAAAAGTAAATTTAATTCAGTGACTTTGTCCCTTGCGTAATTTTATAGATTTATTAATAATTGTAAATCCTTGTAATTGGCGTTATTTATTTTATAATAAAGAAAATATTATTAGCTAAATACTGTCTATAGTTTATGCTAGCAGTACACATTTAAATAAAAGACTAACGGTTTAAAACGCGATATATAGTAGTTCAACATATTTAGAATCATTTTAACTACGCCGGACGTTTTGGATGCTTTCAGGCATAATTTCCAAATAAGTTTAATTGATCTAATCGCGTTTTAAACCGTTAAAACTTTTAATGTACTATTAGCTGTAAGGATTTCTGAAAAATCATTTTCTTTTTTCATTGGCAAATTTCTGGCAAATTATTACTTAATAACAATATTTTCTATAGCAAATTAACTTTACTACTGGTTAGCATCACGAATCTCAGCAACATGTGTCTGAACCCAGACTTCAAACAGACATAACGTAGGATTAATTAACAGAACTCAAGTGGGAGTTAAATGAAGTGGAATGCTCTCTGCAGAATTTAATTGGATCTGTCTGATTGATGCTTTCATATTTTTCACTTTGTCGACCAATGAGAAACTTTTATATCAAATCATAAAAGATTCTGTAGCGAGAGTATTTGTTTATTTTTCATTTAAGGGGTAATGAATAAAAGATAAAAAAAACTATAATCTGAAGGATGATTAAGACAAAATATTGATTTAATTTTGTTAGGCTAACTGCTAAAGTATTATTTATAGTTTCATGAGTGGTACCAATTAAATAAAACAATTTAAAACGCAAATTTTTACCTAATACAAAATGTATTTATTAGTATTGAATGCTTTATCGATACCGGGACCATTGCAGGTATATTCTTTTTATTTAAAAAAGTTACTTAAAGTTTTGTAACCATTAAGAGTATTTTGCTATTTTTTTTTATTTTATTTACTGGTTTTTAAAGGTAGCTTTAATCTTTGATAATTTTGAGAATAATTTCTTTAGTTTGGAGAACCGCTGACCAATTCCGGTAAAGATTAACGTAAAATAGGAAATGTTCCACATTTCAGTGTATTCTAGATCTCTATATCTTTATTTTTTCTATTAATATGCTGCGCTTTAGAGAAGTACCTACCAAGTGCAACATGGCGACTATGCTTGGAGCCCCTTGTAACGAGACTAGGGGCGGTTCAATTTTATCTTTTTGTGCTCAATCCCCCTGAGACAGAATGTAATTTTTGGCGACATAACGGATTCTCTGTCCGCTATGTTTGATAATTATTCACAGTAGACGTTCTGAGTATTAGGTAAGTGCATAATAATAAATATATATTGATATAGAGATACGTGAATACTTGTATGATTTTTGCTTTCATTACGAAATCGTAATCAGCAATCTCTGCCATCTTGTGTTTCTTTCCTCAGAACTATAGATGAGTCACGCTTTTATCTTAAAGATTAGTTTAATTAAAACACATTTAACTGTTTAAAGTGCGAAATTTTGTTGACCAATTTTTAAATGAACACCGGCGTGTTGTTGCTCGGGGACTGGTATGTTTCGCGTTTTAAACCCCTAAAAGTTGTCTATTCAAATGTTACTATTTGAGTAGGTAAACTACAGACAGCACTAAATTATTAATTTGGTATAGGTGTCATGAGAAGAATTTCTCTATTTGATAAATCGGATTTTAATAGGCATCAAATGGGTGGAACTGGGAATCGAACCTGATGTCTTTAAGTGTTGCAGCGGGTATTAGCTTATATTGTATATATTAAAGATCTTCGAATTTTACTGCAATATTTGAATACCGTTTTTTTACGTCAAATATGGCTCATTTGACGTAAAAAAAATGCCAGGTCAGCCATGCGCAACGCAAATACGCCGAAGCGTAACGTGTTCGATTTCCTCCTATATGCAAATTTCTCGATATTCGATCTACACAGATAATGCAAGATCTAGAAAGCTAAATTTAAACTACGACAGGAACTTACTGTTCATTCTCTCTTAACACAAATAAAACTTTAAATGTATTTAAAATATAAAAAATGTGACTCAGGTGGGTATCGAAACCACGACCATTGTACTGTGCTGTTGATCTATTAATTGAGCCCCCGTATGAAAAACTTTTTATGGCCCGTTATTTATTGAATCCGGCATAGTTATGTCAAATAATCATGGAGATATGTCCAAAGCTACAATATTCTTTAATGGTCTTTTTAACGGGAAATATTACATTAGCATTGTAAGATGAAGCACTTAGACGATTTGGTAGATGGAAGTACAGTGATTGTATTTAATGACACCTTACTGTACCTAATGAGAGCGTTGAGTGGGTTCGACGCCCCGACTGCACTATTAGCTCGGGTTCACAATATATATTTATACATGAATCTACAAAATTGTTTGTATATAACCAAAGTAATGTAATTTTGTTTTCTTCTATCTCTGTATCTGAGTTGTTCATACATGTTAGCTTTTCCCAAATCATTTTTCATATTGTTTGTAGTATTAATTTTTTACTTGCAACATGTATATTATTTTAAGATCTTTGCGACTTATAAAAATCGTAAAAGTACCAATCTATATGACATACGAGTTCTTTTGAAATTATTATAAATAGCCCCAATATAGAAAATCATCACGAATGGTGGTCACAGTATTCAGAGACGTAGACGCAGCTTAAAGAATCAATTTAAAGTTTTTGTTGAATTTAATTTAAATGCTATTACTGGCGTAGCGAATGCTTTGAAAAATGTATCTACGTTTTCCATTATAAATGTTATCTTGAGGGGATTTAGTTTATGTTGGAATCCTAGTATTGAAATAAAGTCCCACCAACAACGTCAGTCATCAATATAACATTTAAACAAGTGCGCAGTCGACCTATTTTTGGCTTTAGACATTTGCAAATCCACAGACTGAAACCGACACTTACGGATTTTTCCACGTATTTAATATTCAGATGTCCGGACGAAATCCACCATATTTCAGAAAAAAAATATTTATTAGAAACAAATGGGACTTGGTGTAGATCAAACCCACGAACCGCTGATTGTTAACCATACATTACTACCATTAGACCAAGAAACTCGTCATAACTTATATAAGTCAGATGGTAAATATTTTGAGCATTTGACAGGAAAGCGAACTCAAGACGTCACGATTCCACTTATTTGTCCATATTTTTAAAGTAAGCTTACCAACAACTGTGGGTTCCAAGTCGACAAACACAGCTCTTGGCACATGTTTGCCAGCACCAGTCTCGCTAAAGAAGGTGTTGAAAGAGTCGTCTCCACCTCCCAGAGTCTTGTCACTGGGCATCTGGCCATCAGGCTGGATGCCGTGCTCCAGGCAGTATAGTTCCCAGCAGGCGTTTCCAATTTGGACGCCGGCTTGGCCAATGTGTACTGAGATGCATTCCCTCTGTAAAGTTATGTTTATTTTATAAGACAGCCTAGCTCGTTAAAATTGTTGATCGACTCTCTCGTTTCCTTACTAGTTTTTATTATATATTTGTACCTTGCTATTTTTTTTCCACAAATCACGGCGCGGGGCTTATTTATTTTTTTTTTTTTTTTTTTTTTTTTTTTTTTTTTTTTTATTTTTTCCCTTTTTTTTTTCTTCTGGTGTTTTTTTTTTTTTTTTTTTTTTTTTTTTTCCTTTTCCCCCCCCCCCCCCCCCCCCCCCCCTTCTCCTTTTTTTTTCCCCTTTTTCCCCCCCCCCCTTCTTCTTTTTCCTTTTTTTTTCCTTTTTTCTTTTTTCCCGAGGCGGAAGATAGTCCATATGTAGTTATTACAAGTGAGTGAAGCTTAATATCAACTAAGAATTAAAATTCGTTAAATTACTTTTTGTTAAAAAAAAATGTTTTGCAACTCTACTAAACGTAAAACTCATAGTTTTAATGAAAGTGTTTAAAAATTATCATAATTCTATCGTTTGCTGCTTTTCCGCTCCAGTTCCTATCACGTCATGTTTACATTTTTATTACAGCTTTATTTGATGAACTTGCTTTAAAAAATATATTCTATAATTAAACCAGTGTATTTCTACTTCTAAGACTAATCTAATATCTAATAAAAGTTAACTATTCCGTGCAATAGGATAATTTGTAACGATATTCAAAATTGAGGGTTGCGTACAGTCAAAGTTCATTGAACCCATTACAGCCGCCTGAAAAAAACATGCATGTGAAATGGACAGTAAGTCACGGAATCTATAAAAGTATTGATTTTACATAAAATTCATTTTTCGTTTGTTTATTGCTGGATTTAAGAATGAATCTTTGTATTCTAAACAATTGTATCTATTGAGGATTCTTCCTTTCTGTAAATGTTTTGTTCGCGTACTATTTGTCTTATTTCCAATGAGTTCAGTGGTGAATAGTATTGTGTAATGCGCGAGGTTAAAAGTTCGAATCCTAGGAAAACAGCAGTTTCGGTCAGACAGGCACACAGGACACGAAAGTTCATCATAACTAATTGTAGAAACTTGGAAGAGTATCTGCCCCATGCCCCACATGGGGAAAACGTTATTTTATCTTTGATCAACTTTTAATATAACACATATTATTTATATACATATTTATATATCTTGCATTGATAGATTGCTGTCGTTATTGGTAATTTCGTAGTCACAGGAGTACATATTTTTTATTGGTTCGCATAATGATTCCAAACACTTGATAACATTACAAATATAAAAAGAAAACTCGATGCAAGCAAAGTGAATAATTTGACTTGGCTAATTCTGAATAGTCACTTTCTATTAAATATTTTCCTAGAATGAACGTACCCACTTTCCTCCTGTCGCTATATTAAAGCTTAAAGTCAACACGCCATTGTTACTGAAACTTTTGTGATTCAGTGTTTAACAAAAAGCATATCTTATGAGTCAAACTGAGTCAAACGATATTCACTGGGCTATTAATGTTACACTCGACATTCGTTACACACGACTTATTGCCAGACATGCTCGATAGAATGTTCTTTAGTTTCATCCACTTGTTATTGCTTACATAGCTTGAAAAATATTTGATTGATCTATAAGCAAATTAATATAGGTACTATATGGGTAACTTGTTTTAATAAACCATAAATAATAGATATGATATTAATACTATTTATTTTAATATAATTTGTCTTAAATCTTCTTCATATTTTTTCACGTGAAAATCGAACCTTATCAACGAAAAACTTTTAAGACTTAATAAGTAACTTATTGTATAATTAATATTTTTATTTACTGGCCCTGTCGTCCAATGACTTAAGGCACTGCCTTGCATTGCGTTCAGCACGAAAGATTCTAGATTCGAAACCCGGAAAAACAATCATTTGTTTTGATATTGAGGGCACAGAAGTCTCATGGACTTTACTTGCCTATGTATAAAACGTACCCCGTACCCCCTCCCCCTTGCTCTATAGGGCTTATGTAATTTATTTTATAATAATTATTAATATAATGAAGTAAAGCAGAATAGTACGGTAAACTTTGAATTGTAATGTATCTTTCTTCAAAATAAAATTTCTTGTCAGAATAAAAAATGCTAGTAACATTTGAGTTGGTATAGGATGCTAGTGTAACTCTATCTATTTACATGGCGGGCGGTTCGCCCCTCCCGGAAAGGGCTTTTAGGGCATCGTCAGGAAGCACTTGCTAATATAAATAATTTAAGTAGGATATTTGTACGGGTTTTGTCATATTATTTTGGGCCTATTATTTACATTTTAGTTACACTTAATGCATATGTTGGGTCAAGAGTTTTCGAAGATTTATTCATTAAAATAAGAAATACTAATGATGTACTAGGTTATCATCAAAATTGGACCAGCTTTTAGTGTATTCATTTATCAATTAAAACGCTTGCTTTGTCTAATTGAATTTGAAAAGTTGACAACGGTTTAGCACTTAAAGGAGCTTTGTTGTATCGTGTTGTATTAAAAAATCTAATTTTGAAAACCTTTCTACTTTGTAACATTTTGCCATGAATTGATTGCAATACGATAAAAAAACAGGGTTCTATTCGATACTCGATGAAACATTGTTCAGGCAGGTAGCACGGTGTGGTACGAACTACAAACTACGAAATGCAAGCGATCATCAATCAACAGACTTTATTAAACGCAGCCTTTGTAACTTCAGAAATTATCTACGATACGGGTTAATGTTTTATTTGTTTGTTAAAATTAATCTAAATGAAAGTAGGTTATCGTTTAAAAAACTTATTTAAGATTTGTGAACATTAGGTTTTCCTTTTTTTTTTGGGGGGTTGGTTGGAAATTTTTCTTTTTTTTTTTTGGGGGGAAATTTTTTTTTTTTTTTTTTTTTTTTTTTTTTTTTTTTTTTTTTTTTTTTTTTTTTATTTAGCAGCTGTCTAAGCTAATTTTGGAAATGGGGAAAATTTATCGGGAGGTTTTATGTACCGTCTTAGATTGGAAGCTAACCTTATTTACATGTTACAAGCAATTACGATTCAATTGTGGACATATATATTACCAAAAAAGGCAGGACAGTTGCGTTTCATTGTTAACTCTTAAACTCCTCTCTATAAGATACGCCCACGATATGTTATTTGAATAGGAAATCACTTACAGACAACCGATGTCCATATAGGTTTCAATAAATGTATAAAATCAATTAATTTATTACGCCTTAACAGGTATTTGGTAATAATATTGTTCTCTCCGATTTCTTTCAAATACAACACTGAACAGCTAAAATTATTATTACTCGTATTTTTTAACCATGTGTCACCAATCAATGGACTAGTTAACTATTTGAGGAATAATTACTGTATATCCAAAATCGAAAGCAAATTAATTTCAATTAAGATCTCTTTCAATTAAAGTGGGTAGTTCTATAAAAGTGGCCACTTACTTTTTATTGTTTAATTGTGTTACAATAGTGTTTCTTTATATTTAAATATGTACATAGGTATATTTATGACAAGTATTTGTCTAAAAATCATAAGTGGTATGAGTTACTTGTTTAATTAAACTTTTAATAGCTCTTCAGTCAAATAATAACTTCATACTATACAGTAATAGTCACTATCTACTGTATTCACTAAATTGTATCTAACACAATACCATTACGATTTCAGCCTGTCTGTAAACTTCGATAGTCTATTGTTTATGTTTTTGTAGCATTTTTTGTAAAGCTAGCAAGTGGCCGCCATTGGAGATTACTTTAGTTCGTTGACCGTAGATCTTACCTATCTAAGATAGTGCATAGAATTATCTTGTTTCCTTTTAGACATTATCTTATACAGAAAGAATTAATACTTTGTATCCTAAATATTGTCTATAGTTTACGCGAGTAGTACACATTTAAATAAAACACTTAGCCGTGACCACGGCTGCTGCAAAGCAACCGAAACGTCGGGCCGAAGTTAAAAATCATTTTCAAATAAGTTTAACTAATATATCGCGTTTTAAACCTTTAAAGTGTTATTTATTTATGTTATTAAAACTTTGTATCTTCTCAAAATAGCTTTAGTCAACGGATTTACTCCTATAATCAATCTAATTATATTAATAATAATGACATGGTGTGGACTAAAGTGGTAATAGAAAAAGGTTAGCGTAGATTTGGATTTTTAGTCTTACTTACCCATGTTTAATAAACTAGAATCTTTTTTTTTACTGCTCTAATAAACCTTTGGAAGATCTATGACAGGAAATGCCCCAATCTCAAGAAATGCTTCATTGAGTGCGCCCGAGCAGGAGTGGTCGTAATGAGCTGTCTGCTCAATCTGGCTTTGTTTGTGATCACTTGAGTGGAACGGTCGGAGTTTAAGCAGATTCTTATTTACGAGTTAGGTGAACATCTTTTAGCCCGCAGTTTAACTGAGATATACATGGCCGCTAGAGACAGAGTGGCCTAACTGCAATTTTTATGACTTGAGTTATTTATATTTGTAAAAATGCATAGTGTAAAAATGTTGATTTACAAGATCACGGTGACCGAAAATTGTTAGTATAATTCTTACACAAATAGTAGTAAAATTTATTTTCGCTAATAGCGCATTTTTATTTTCCTCCTTATTCAAAATCATGTTTTGGTCATTAGGCCACTCTGCCACTAGGCTCCTAGCGGCCTCATATTATGTACATTCATTTTATCATTTGACTGAGGTAAAGCAATAACAGAAAATTAAATAAAACAGCTGTACATGTAAGCTAACAATTCTATGAAAGAAATACTTGTGTACATTAAAATGAGCTGCTGAGGCACGTTTCTCAAAACTCTGAATCATGGTAAAAAACGAACACAATCTTGCTTGTGTTGCTAACTTGCAGTAATAAAATACAAAACAACCGAATTCAACTGATTGTATACTCTCTCAGTCAGTTAGTCATACCAAAATTCAAAATTACACGTACGAAATTCTACGGAACATAATAGTACAATAACGTAATACTATCTAGTTTAACGCAGTCAAAACGTCGTATGTTAGTTAAAAATTAATCCACGAATGTAGTTTGCGTTTGAAACCGTTAAATAATATTTCAATACTTGTTCAATAGTCAACTCGTTCAGTTTGTTCGAAAGCTAAAGTCTCATAAGCTTTATTATTATATAACGATATAATGTAGCTGTTAGATATTAAAATATTTTTTTGCAAAGCTATCTAAATTCCAGACCACGTGCAAATACGGGGTGACTCACAGGGAGTGGAAAGGAGCGGCTATTTAGACAATTATGACGTCTGGATGTAAATATATTTCGTGTATTCATTAACTAATTAAAGATCACAATTACATGTTAAAATAATCCACTTTATTACTTAAACCCAACCCCCGTTTTTTTAGTACAAAGTACAGTCACGACTAAACTCTCATTAAATAGTTCTTTTCTCTTGTCCACCTTATTTTGAATTTGGAATATTTATTTATTTTACCAGATAAGTCAAGATTTTCTTGTTTGATCGAGTTCTGAAATTATTCTAGGTCTTCTTTTTTTAGGTAAATTTTTATTTTTTTCTTAAAACTTTTTAAATTGTCATTTAACAAATTAAAAAATGGTAAACAATTATATTCAATTTTAGGCTTAACACGTTGTATGGTCGTGACCCATAATCAGATAGAATACACCCACGATAATGAAGGCAATGCAATTATTCTAGTCTAAGCATGCCTAGCATATAAGATAAGTATCAATAGTTTTTAGGTGTTAATTATTCAGGTTCTATTTATTAATATAAAACAATAAATAAAAGAAGTCTGACTGAGTTCTTTAATTTTTTTATAACCCTAAACTTGCTTGTAGTTTGGGATTATTGATGGAGAGTGCCCCAGACCTAAAAACATCGTATCAAGATTTTGACAGCCGCCGCAAATATGTCCCCGCATTTTCACCATAATAACAAAATATGTTTTTCTTTATTCTTCTACTACTTAAGTACTGATATGAGGTTATCCTATTTAAATTACTTTAGTGATTTATTTAAATAAAACCACTTTAACGGGCTGTAGTTACATTTTTTTTAAAAAGAAAAAAATACGGTTTTAAATTGTTAAAGTGTTTTATTTAAATGTGTACTACTTCGCGTAAAGCTACAGACAGTATTTAGTGATTTATACAACAGGCAGTACCTTTACTGTCATACTTATTTTCATGTTGGTTTCGTTAAGTTTACACTTGACAGTTCGATGAACTTAAAAAAAAGTTGAATTCGACTCCCATCGATATTCGTCGCAGAAAAACTGATGACTTTTTAAGGCAACAGTACAACTTATTGTAGAGAGTTGGAGAGCACAAAAAGTTTATTATGTTAGCGAAGCAATCGTCGATATTTTTATAGAAACTAAAGTTTTATCGACGTACACGATAAAAATTTAGTGGTACTGCTGTAATATTATTTATTCAAAATTCACCGGGATATTTATGGCCCTAAGCTAAGGATCGGTTAGCATTCGCCACAATACGCATTGTTCGCGATCGAAGTCCCTAGGTAATAACATGGTAATAGGTATGCATTGTCCTGTAGGAAACTAATTGTTTATTCCCGATCCAGTATTTATTACTCGTGAATAAAACATACTTCAGCGAATAAGGGACGAGAGCAACATATATAGTAGAAATAGTCAGTATATATTGTAATATTATAATAGTGTTCTTTGTACATTCAATTCCTTTGGTAAATTCATATTATATTTCCGGCGATAAGTCAATGCGAAGTTAGAACTGATAATGAGATATACATTTTTTATAAATCTTATATCCTTTTAATTATAGATATAGTGCCGTGGTTAGTATACTTGAAAAGCAATAAGTTACTTAAAAGATTAATATAATTTAAATAAAACACTTTGACGGTTTAAAAACGCGATATAATAGTTAGTATACACACACAACTAATATATCACGTTTTAAACCGTTAAAATTGTTTTATTTAAATGATATTAATCTTTTAATTAAAGTATACTTACGTATTACTTACGTTTTAAACAGTTAAAGTGTTTTATTTAAATGTATACTACTCGCGTAAACTATCGACAGTATTTGATTATTATCATGTTACGCAAAATAATTAAAAATTATAATAATTATTATAATATCTAATGAAACTTGTCCAGATAACGTAGTAAAAAATTTAATTGAATTATTTTATTTTTTAATGTAATATTTTCCAATATGTTAAGACTTACCGAATTAAGAGCTTTTTTAATAAAGAGCATAAAAGACTTACCATTTTGAGTAAGTTTCCTGGAGGTCCTTAACGTGGGGTATGAGGAGCAAGGTTGGCGTGGCGGGTTCGCAAGGCAACGCACCGGGCCGAACTGATGACGATATAGTCAGTACTCTACTTTTATAAGACGAGGAAAATACGGAAGAGTTATTCTGAAGTTTATGTATTAAGCTTTTCAATGAAGAAGGAACCAGAAAATGTTCCGATGTAGGGTAAAATATCTTGTCTATTTTAATTTGTAACGTCGTCTATTATTCTTTATTTAGTAACTTAAAACTGAATAACATTTATTTACAAAACTCGATAATTTACGACACTTTTCCTAATATTGCATGACATAAAACTAGATATCCTAGCAAATAAAAAGAATATATTCTTATATATTTGTACTATGTATACCTTTTCTTTCTAAACATTCACAACATTATAATTAGTTTGTCTCGCTTTTAAGATAAAGCCTTCTCCACTGTCATTTAAAGCTTTCAAAAAGAGTTCTACTTGAACAACCTAAAATTTTACGAATCGCAATAAATTTTATACGAAAAAACTTCCATAAGAATAAGCCCGCCGACTGTAATTATACACTATAGTGTGTCCAAGCTGCTGGTTTCAGATAGGATTTGTTTGTTTTCAATGTTGATGGCTAGAAATGAGTAATATTTGAATTCTGTTTAATTAATTACATTACAATTAAAAAGGTATGTTTAGAGACTATTAAGAAAACATGTTACTGTATTAAAGCAATATTTTTTGTTAAGCTGTTCCTAATGTCTTTTTTATTTGACTTATTTGTTAAAAAGTAAATGAAATACAGTTCCCCCACCTCTAGGTATCATGGCCACTGCGTTAAAGGGTTGAGATGAATGGGGATGCTGGATACGAAGGGTCGCCCCAACCTTGAACCTTATACCTCCTGCATAATCGGTATTGTTGTTTTGACTAGAAATTACGCGATTTGTCTGCCAGGAAATTTTATGGTTTTTAACGTAACTACATAATGTAGTTACGTTAAAAACTTAGTTCCATTATTGTTAACAGTTACACTTACTTAACGACCCTTAAAATTTTGGCCACATTTGTATCTTTATTTTTAAAACTATCAAATCGTTGAAATTATACAAAATATAGTTAATAGATATATAGCGACGTTCTGTTTTATAATAATGTGAGTAAATATTAAAAAGCAGGCGTTGTTTTACAAAAATGGCTAGGTCCAGTGTTATTATTTGATGGTCACAACACTAGTTATGGGAAATGTTCTAGATTGGAAACTTAGCTACTATTTACTATGAGTCATAGATTTAGGGACGCCCGACTAAATGTGTAAAATGAAGACAAAATTATAGAATAAAAAATAAGTGTTACAATAAACACACAATAATTAAGGATTTTTTGGGCATTTTTTATATTTATTGTTAAAGATTTTATTATTAGATTAGATAGTGATAGTACATGATGGTAGATACTCCTACCCTTATCTCTAGTTTTAAATTTTACTTTATGTTTATTTTTATAATTATTTAATATATTTAGTTAAAGTTGTGCATACCTCAAGTTAGATACATAGTAGTAAGAATTGTTGTTAGAGATAAATTTTGAAAGATTAATTATGTATGTAGTTGGTAGGCCTAATAAATAAAGAGTTGTTGAAACTCACAAAATATTATCAAAGAAAGAAACCTTCTACGTCTTCTTAACTTCCTAACATATTGCTTCATTACGTTACTTCTCTAACTTATATTTTAGAATATTATATGATTTATAAAGCCAATAGCGTCCAATTGTTTTTATTAACCATCACATGTTACATCGATTGAACTTTTGTACTCAATAATTACTTGACACTAGACCATATGGTGCAATTTTGTCGCGAAATTGTAATTCTTAGTCTAACGCAATATGGTTCAAAATAACGTAAAGTAATAGTTGTCTAAGAGTTTCTGACCATGTAGAGAAAATGTTAGCTGTACGTTTTAATTACGGTAGCGGATAGACAGCAATTACATACTATGATTGAAAATAAGTGTCGACGTGCTCTTTTTGAGATGAATAAGATAAATACTGTTTGTAGTTTATGCGAGTACACACTTAAATAAAACTCTTTAACGGTTAAAAACGCGATATATTTTGCTTTAACTTGTTTGAAAAATATTTTAACAAAGTTTAACTAAAATATATCGCGTTTTAAACCGTTAAAGTGTATGATTTATATGATAAATACACACTACCAATTTATTAAATTATTCTTTATATTTACTCACTTAAATTTATTCCATCTGTTAAGCTTGCCGCTTGCTTGCTGATAGTCTTGTCTCTGTAGTTCAGTTGTAGCTGCGAAGGTCGTAAGTTACGTTACTTAGATCCTGGGTTCGATTCTCATACTACTAATAAATAGTTTCAGTCTGAAAGACTACAGAACCTGAAAATTAAATAAAAAATCCGTACTTATATAATACAAGTACACTACATAATGTCTACAATGAATGATGTCTAGGATGTGGTTAATGAGCCATGTAAATCCTAATATGTCTGAGACAAACAAAATGTAATATCGTTCTTACGTTTATGGCTTTTATTATTCTTGTTTGTGACTCTGTAGTTTTTGGGTCAATAAGATTAATGACTTAGAATATTTTGAAAAAAATATGTGACGTCACAGGTTAACTTATACGCTGCTGTGAAAAGGAAAGAACAAAAATACAGCCCACCCACGTTTAGTCTCATCATTTTAAATATAAAGACGAAATAAAATAAAACAAAAAGATTATACATAGGAATGATAATATATTTTTGTATATGAAACATTACATTTACCTATACATTTTATTAATACAAACCAATACCACAAAAATAATGGCACCAAAATAATGTCAATGATTCTTCCATGAAGTCAATATTAATCTAGATTCTAGAATATGTATTTTAATTATTATTTTTAATGCCCAATTATTTGTTTAATTAAATTAAAATACGAATATTATGTAATCCCGTGTTTAAAACTATAATTTGATGATATATTGAATAGCTTTTTAGGTTTTCGAGCTGTTCGGCCGTCGTAATCGGAAAAAAGTTCTCGACGTTTCGCCATTACAAGTGAATGACGTCATCAGACGTTGTGTGTTCCTCGACTAAGCTTAAGAAGTTTTGCAAGATGGCCGCGGTAGCCTTATACAATTGATATATTCAATATCGTTATAAACACTATTTATTTAGTAGCGTGTAAAATAAAAAAATAACTAACTCAGGACTAGCCCTAGACTAGGCCCTTTAATTTGAGCTAAAGTATTATCAAACTAAGTTATACTTTGGTAGGACGAATATAATTACAAGGATATTTACAAAAAAGCAATCAGAGGTACTTATCCTAAATTAACATATTAAAAACGTTAGTTGAGTACGATCATTGTGAAATAATATTTATAATAAGTTAGAAACCTATGTAGATAAAAAAAATTATGACAACATTGATAGCGACCCGTGTTGCTGCTTTAACTAATGTGTATCTATGGGTTGAAGAATTTCAACGATGACGTAACAGCACGGATGCCAGTTCAATTTAAATAGATTTTTAATTTATGAGCAATAAATTGTGAAAATAATGAAGTTTTCCATATTAATTATGATAAGAAAGTACTATCAAATATCTATTCGTATTATAATAATTATGTTGTCTCAAAACTATATCTACAACAATCTTAAACAAACATTATTGAGGTACTCTAAGAGGCCTTTGATGTGTGACATCACATAATAAATTATACTTTCACCAAAGTAACGAATAAATTAATATTAGAAAACATGTTTCTTGGGGTATGAACGATACAGATGGCATACAAGCAAGCAACAATAGGAAAAGCAAGAAGGAAAACTTTATGCTGTGTGCACGACACCATAACAAATTTGGGACTCAGGAAACTCTCGTGGAAATTAAAAAATATTTCACTGTCGAATTTTATTTTAGTTATTTCGTAGTGAAAATGTCTAGGTGTAACTACTTCCTTCTCATCTTATTTCTCAATTCTCATATCTCATTTCCCCCATAACCCAAGATCCACGTCTCCTATAGATAATTTGAAATGCTTCAAATATTATTCAAAGAACTGTCACGTTTCCTGTCGTCCAGTTTTGTAAAAGATTTGCGAGTTCTTGTTAGTGAAAATATACGGGGCCTGTTTCGATGGACAGCGGAATGAGTTCATCAGTACAGGCGGAACGTTGTCTGATTTATTCCCCACTGGTTCTAGCAGGTTGTTCCAGAGGAGGTTCGCAGCTGGAAAAAAAATTGGAATCGATTACGTCTAATACTATGTATATTCACAATTAAAACAATTCTTTCCTTTTCCTCATTATAACCTGATACCTGACCTACTTTTAAAAGTTCAAAACGTAAAATATGTTAGAATGATTTTTTATTGTTTAATCTACGCCCTGACGTTTTAGATGATTTTCAACGGTCGTGGTCACGGAGGGACTGAAGATTCCCAAATGTGTCAAAGGAAGTGAGTCCCAAATCTGTCAGTTCTTTGCTAGTGCCATATGTTTTTCGTGATTGCTTGCGTGAGTGAGTCCATACAGAACTGACTCACGGTGTCCTCTCATTTTTCGGTGTCTTTTTGGGATCTAGTGTGTAATATATGATCCCAGGTAAAGGACTGACTAGCATGTTGTCGTGGAAATGAAATATATCACCTAGTGACAGCGCCGGTCGCACTATTTTGGGGTGCACTATCGACCTATTTGGGGATTTTTTTATATTCGGAATGTGTACTTCTAGTGTAGTATAGTAGTAGGTAAGTAGTAATTTCAATGTTTGAGATCTAATCTTTACTAATTTTTCTAGAACCTTACTCACCAAGAGCATGTCCCTTCTGTGAAAAATGGAAACAGTCGTGCGTGATGTACGACTGGTGTATGACGAGCGGCAAGGGCTCTGTAGGTGGGAGCGGGGCGTTGAAGAGGCGCATGAACGGCTGCACCACCACCGTGAAGTCCGGACGAGTGTCGTATCTGCCACTCTCAATCTGAAAGGATTAAACAAAATGGTATAATTCACACTAATACCTACTGCATAAGTACAACATACAAACATTATTTATTCAAATAAAACACTTTAAACGGTTCAAAACATTAAAGGTATTAATTAGTTTACGATGTATGGTAACTACGGCCCGACGTTTGCACGTGGTCTCTTGGAGACTGCTTATGTAGGATGTCCCTAATGTCAAAGTAAAACCTGCAACGCTAGCGCCATCAGTTACGTCGTTGTTGAAACTTCAGTGCCCAGTCACGGAGACTACGGTCGTTAGACGGTAAAACGTTCGTTAAAAGTGTTTAATTTAAATGAGTACTGCTCGCGTAAACTAGAGACCGTACTTATATTTTATTTTTGGAATTAACAAAACTGAAGATAACAAATCAAATTCAATTAACACTTCAAATCTAACGGTATTGCCATAAATAAACTAATAATAAAACAGGATTTGGAGCTTATTTTTAAAATAAATGAAGTAACAGTCTCGGGTAGTGTTTTAAGAGGGAGTTCTTTGTCAAACTTACCAGAGCCATTTCAGCAGCCTGATAGAGTCGTGCTTGTCTAACGAGATCGAGCAGTTCTCCACCCCCTCGGTGGAAGCATCTGCAGAATAACGGATGCATCAGGCGGCACATGAGAGGTCTCTGCACACGAACTGACACCGACACATCTGTAATATAAACATACATTGTTAGGTAGAGTCCGCTATAGGTGTTTTGTCTCTTGCGTGTTTTAAATTATCTGTGCTTGAGAAGAAACATAAAGTAGATAGATTAATATACTAACTAAAGATAGTACTTGGGCAGGACTTGACATGGCATCCACAGCGTACTGTGCTGCTGCTCTAACCAACATAGCTCACCGTGTTTTGTTAGAATGGAAGCACAAAACGCCGCCCGTGCCGTCAATTTTTTGTTCAATCTTAATCTTATCATTGTTTTTTGGGCTGTTCGGTCGATGTAAGTGAGAAGGGGTTCTCGACGTTTCTGCATCACTAACGGACGGCATCATCATGATGGATGATGGCCTTCAAAGCCTCACACAATTTACTAAATACACTTGTAATTTAAATAATGCCATCAAGTGCACAACTAATTAGTCGTAGTTTAGATTGCTCATGGGGTTTATATGTGCAAACAAAACTGCGACTCTTTATTTTTTTAAGTATGTTTCTTTAACTTGCCTAAAACAGGAATCAAGTTGACGATTGTCCTCGGCAAATGTTCATGGAAGTAGTCGAGCGCTCTCGCCAGTTTCCTGGCGTGTGCCGTGGGAGACCAGGACACAGGGGAAAGACAGGAAGCCGAGCACAAGTCGTTGGCCCCGATGAACACCGTGATCATCTTCCAGTCGCGCGACACGTCGATATCGGGCGATGAGCGAATACGTGCTACTAGAATCTGGAATATTTTAACATTTATTTACTATTAGCTGACCTGGCAAACGTTCTTTTTCCATACGAAGTATTTCGACTAAATTTGATTACCATAAAAGCGGTTCTCGTGCTATTTATGCCATATATATCATCGCGATGTGTCTTTAAAAATTATTTAAAGAGAAATAATTATTTTATACATATTTTTTTGACATTTTCTACTGTTTTCGTAACGAACGCAAAGGAAACCTGAAAGATGAATAATTTCCCCCTTTTATTTCCACATTTCCCGCCTGTTTCTTTGCTCTTATTGTCGAAATGTATTATGTGCCTAAAGCTTTCCTCGTAAATGGTGCTGATAACATAAAAAAATTAAATGCCAGAAGTGCCTGATATTAGAGCGTTCAAACAAAAAAACTCTTTAGCTTTATTATATTAATATAGATGTGATTTATTTATTTATTTATTTATTATAAAATATGTGATATGCTTTAGAAGGTTCTGTACGACAAACCCAGTTCTGTACGACCTCAGACTAGTCTTCGCGTTCTACTGCTGATTAGATTGTCGTGGTTAAGTACCACGACAATCTATTCAATAGTTTTTATCTGTGTAGTCTCAAACCACCATTGTTCGTGTTAAAGTTGTGACGTGATTTTGTTTAATTTTAATTTTAAACCAGTTTAATTTTTAATTTATTGTTATTAAAATTAAACTGGATGTAGGTACATCTTTTATTAGAGTTTTTTTTATCTCAGACAATTAGATACAAGTATACGTCAAAATTTAAACTTAAAACAGTAGGTATGCTTACAGTACCATATAACTTACTACTAATACGAAGACTGCGTTTTAATCACGTCATTATTATTAGCCTAGTATAAGGTAGTTGTGCAAATTTTGTTTAGTGATCCTAATACTCTATGTAAAAATCTTGTCACGTTAAAAGCTTAACATTCAAGGATAAGCACGATTCCAACAGCCACAAGATGTCGTGTCGCTTACATCGCTCATTCATGGCTTTTAAGTGGCGACTAACGTTGCGCAAATTTTTAGTGGTTTTTGTTGCAAGTCTCAAACTGTAAAACTATTTTAGTATGCGTAGTAAATAGCACTGTTTAGTTTTTTAAGTGCTTATAAATTGTACATTAAAAACTCACAACTGAATTTAAGTCTCATGTTCTACATACGAGAACTCAGACACACATTAGTGGGCTGACGGTCCTTGATGACCATTTACTAAATTAGTGATCATGACTGGGACCTATTTTAATATCTCAAATACGTAACGAGCGTTTTACACAATAGGAATAAAAAATGGACTTTGTGTCTGAGAGTTACCATTAAATTAACGAAGCAGTTTTGTTTTCTATAGTAGATTACTTATTATATGGTAAGGGTTCATGAGAGAAGAGGACAGACTAGCATGTGTAATACCCCAACCATATAACATATTAACAAGATGCCTTGTCCACTTATCCTAAAAAAATATAACTCAAAAAGACCCCTCCTACATAGGGGAAAAAGGATTTCACTTTTATCTTGATTCATATAGATGTAACAACAAAATGTAAATTTCTCATAACTAGGTATTCCGTATACATTATATGGTGGGTAATGATCGTTAATAGTGGTAATAGAAAAGTCGATTTGAATGTTAAACATTTTCATTATTTAGCTTTCGTTGTGCTGTAATTCAAAATCACACGTGTTTAAAAAGCATAACTTGTTGTGAAGTAATTACAAAATATTAATGAATTATTTATTTAATCTCCCGAGCTTTTCTGACTGATTTAATGTTTATCGATTTATGAGCGACGTAGTTTTTAAAATCAGTAAATACTTACTTTTGTTTATTACCACAAAATGAAAAAAACCGGGTTAAGGAAGAAGAAATTGTGCGAGGTACATAATTATTGTACGTTCTTATTCGTGTATTGAATTGAGTTTATAGTATTTTATGGTTCTTGACGTCTAATGACTGTCTAATGAATGATAATTAGATGATTAGGATTAAACATAGCAGGATTAATAAGTCTCGGATACCGGAGCCTTATTGTTTCAGATGGAACGCTGCGGATGCCGGTTCAAGTCTAGCCCTTGTCGTAAAATTTTGACAATCTTAAATCGATATTCAATTTAGAAGAAATGTAACTTAGATTAGAAGGAACCTTTACTTTGATTGCCGGTTGTTAAAAAATACCATCACATTCGTATATATTATATAGGTGATTAATAATATAGGTGAAAGATACCTTCGCTTGCTTATAAGCATCTTGGTCAGAGGCGACTGGGAAAGCGACATTAAGTCTGGAATTCTTGGCCAACCATTCGCCTGTACCGGTAGAGTACCCGCGCAAGTTCGGGTTGTACTCTTTGAGGATGTTTGGCAGCGTAAGGAACTCCCGCCATGTATTATCTCCACCTGAAAAGAGATGCATTGTGCAAGGTTAGCTTACGATAAAAGATACTGAACATTTACCGCTAACCAGTTGAGGTTATCTTTTTCTCCATATTTATGGTAAGATGGGTTATAAAGATTGACACTTAAGATGTTACAATCAAGTCAATAATACACTAGAATCATTTATGGGATAATATGTTATACTCTATAATATTCAAACGCATACTTCACTCAACAAGACTGTTAAGTAATTTTAAATTTGAATCCACTGCCCGTTGATTATTAGCCCTACATTCATACCATTACACCGACGAGCCGTCCAAAAAGGCCGACCCTGTCATCTCGGTAAGTTTTGGAGTAACTCACCCGCACACCAAGATACTCCTCGATACTCCACGACAGCCCCAAGAGCGAATTCTTCTAGCGCTCCACTACCAGCAACAAGGGAATCTCCTATAGCTGCAACCACCTCTATATCTCCCGGTCTCAGCTTATGTACAGAAGTAGGAATCTGCTTACTACGGCCCGATGAGAGAGATTCTTCGCATGGAAACGGGGTTGTCGCTGGAATGGCTCGCTGACGTCGCACATTTGATTTGCGCGATGGGTAGTGAAGACCCTGAAAATAGGATAGTATTAAATTAACATAGAATAGGTATGTTGCGCACAAAAATTTGTTGAAACCTCCTCTTCTTTACAAATAATAGATGTTAACCATGACGCGCGTCCGCGTCCCGTTGCATCGTTCTTGAGAGTATAAAAAGATACACATATACCATCGCTGACATTTTTTAGGTAATTTGAAGAGGAATCATAATCAAACATTGTTTTGGTATATTTTTCATTTTTTTCCCACATTTTCCAGAGTTCCTTCGCTCCTATTGGCCGTAGCCTGATGCCCAAAGCTTTCCTCCATAAATTCTCTAACCAACAACAATAACAAAGTTTTTCACTTAATTAATATTGATTAGTATAAATTACGTGGACTTACAGCGTAGACACTACAATTTTGGTACTATAACGGTTTAATTTAGTTATCTTTCAGGATTCAGTTCTACAGAAAACACCAATTCATTACTCAAACGAACGCTACACATTTACACATAGAAACAATTATTTTATAATTAAGTACTTAAATTTTAATTATTCAGCATATTCAAATGTTAAGTTAAGTTAAGATTGTTTAAATACATTCCAATGATGACATAGATATATTTTGCAAAGTAGTTTCATACTTTTGTGTACAAAAAATTCAAGTTTATTTAACTATACCGCAATTTCAAGACTTGAAGATGATTTCGTTAAAACGCGTGCACAGTTATACAACTCTCATTGATATTCGAGAGGTCTAAGGCAAACACTTATAATGGTATCAGGAAGACTATAATAGCACTTGCGATGTCTTACTTGGCCACCTGACCTACTCGTGCCAAGTGTAATGGTCTGACTATTTTGATATCATTATAGCGCTACGGATAAATTTATCAAACTGTTTACTGGAACTAATATTACCACTTTACTTGGTAGACAGTAATAGCAGGTCAACCTTTTATTTGTAACCTTTTTAAGTAGCGCTAATCTCAGGAATTTTATTTTAAGGTTTTAGACTATATAACATCACGCTGCAAACGAAATTTTAAAATGGAGAAACATAAGAAAATGAGGGAATAATGGGGGAAATTATTAATATTTGATGGCTTCTGTTGCGTGCGCTGCGATAACGGTTCAATAAACCAAACCAACCAAAAATATGCATAAAAGAATCCCTCTTTAGGTAAACCAAAAACATGTCCCGACAGTATAACTATGTAAATTTTTTAAGATTAACTTGCAAAATGACGGGGTGCAGTCGAAGTCGTGGGTACCAGCTACTGTATGATAAAAATAAAATAAATTTACACTTCCAACAGAGTGTTGAAGAGTTTTCATTTAAAAGTAAATTGCTAACCTGAATAATGTGTGCAACCAAAACATTTCCTTATGTTCCCTGGATTCGAGGCTAGAACACCATACCATACGTAGGCATAATCATTGCGCCCCTAGGGCAGCTTAGTATGTATAAGGATTTATCATATGTATATAGAACAAAGATAATGTCTTTAAAGTATTTTAATATAATACAGTCACTAGCCTCGTTCGTTAAGTCATTAAATGAATTCGGAATGACTAATTATGAATTTAGTGAGAATATTTAATCTTAGAGTATATGTATATATTTCAAGGATCTCTTTACATTCCATTAGGTACAGTCTGTCCTAAAGAAGAATATTCAGAGAACCCATTTATAAGTACTCTTTTATATGTTGTAGGATGTAATTTGGCAAACTTGGGTGAACTTAGATGTTTTAATTATTCACAATGGAGTTCGTGTTGTGCCATTGACCAACATCTATTGGATAATATCGGCACCCCGTGACACGTAGGACGTGACACGCACGCAACGCAAAGCCGAGTACGCTGCGCATACAAACCGCGCGCACGAGAAAGCGCGACCGCATCGGTCACAGTTTACTAACTTGCAATGGGTAATTTTTTTAATTTCGAAAGATGCCACCTTTTAGAAGATGGTTTTGAAGGGAAAATTAATGAGTTATGTTTACACGCACCTCTGGTTTGAGCTAGTAAAACCACTCTACCCGAAAAGAGAGTCGTAAATAAAGGTAATTTATGAGTAGCCACCGTTCCCGGCTTAGGTGCAAAAGGGTATCTTGGGAACATGTTTTGTTGTATTAAAGAGCTCCAATCACAATACACAATCTTATTCACGCGCGGATATACTCAACTCAATAGTCTAATGAGAACCAATTAACAACTTCAGTTGCATGTCATAAGATAGTGAACCTCTAAAGGTACAGCAAGTTTTAATAGTCAATGTACTAAATAATAACCAGACTATGTCTAATCGGGGAATTAATCGGCGCGGCCAATTACCAAACCGGTAAGAACCAGAAACGGGTTAATCAGTTTCTTTACCCACTGTAAGTTGTATAGGCTGTAGTAGTACAATCAAAATTGTATTCGTAACCCCGTTAGCCTTTTAGGTTAAGTTAATTATAATTTTTAATTTCATCTTCGCCTTAATGCCTTGTAATAACTGTTTTGCAATGTCCGCCTTTGTAGGCGAATGCTTAAATTAACAACAATAAAACAATTGTTATAATATTATCAATTATAATACTGATCCGGGTTGTTATCATTTAAGATATAATAAATAATATAGAATTAATAATTTTAAAATTAAAAGAATGGGTCCAGCCGTATGCAGAAATTCTTGTTGTTTTTGAAAGAAATTTCCCCGATCAGACTAGTTGATTGGAAGAAATGACTTGCTGACAAAAAGGCTGCCAATTGCACTCCTTCTATGTAACGTAGATTAGTCTTAATTATATGTATTTTGCTCAATAACGTACAGTATATAAAGTATGGGAATATACAAATTTCTTAGTAGTTTCGAAGATGACAGTGACAACACTTTTGTTTTAAAAGATAAAATAGTTCTTTACAGGTTCGTGTGTTCTACATTTAATATCCAAAATTTTCCACTCTACGCCCCAAATCAAAAGAGAAGTTAAACGACTATGTCCAATTAATGTTATAATGTCTTGCTAATGATATATCATTTGAACAATTACTCTCACGCCAAGATACATCTAAGTACAATGTACTTTTGAAGTGAGTTGTTGTAGATAATTTAGTCTTAAGAATAAATTACTACAACAACTCTTACTATCTATAGTTTACGCGAAGTAGTACACATTTAAGTAAAACACTTAAACGGTTTAAAACGCGATATATTAGTTAAACTTATTTGAAAATGATTTTTAACTTCGGCCCGACGTTTCGGATGCTTTGCAGCTGCCGTGGTCACGGGGAGACATGATTTTCAAATAAGTTTATATTGCGTTTTAAACCGTTAAAGTGTTTTATTAAAATGCTTCAATAATATAAAAAAACTTAATTAAGACTGAAAAATCAATGTAATCCAAATTATTGAGTGTATAATTTCAATAAAAATACTCCGCCTAACATCTCGTTAGCTCGATAATCTCTTTGATCAGCCGAGTCATCAATCAATGCTTTTGTCTACAAAGTAGTCGTTCCGTATACACATTTCTTTACTTTTCAATAATACAAGACAGAATAAGCTGTAATATGTGTCTTATAGATAAAAAAAATAAAGAATAGAATAATCTGTTATTTTACGCTGTTTTTTGGAACGGGTCTTTATAATATAAGTAATAAAATATTGTTAGGTTTTTTCAACAATATTACATCTTGAATATATTGATTGTACTGTTTTAATTTTGACGTAATAATTTTATATTAACATTTTTTAACCTCATGCGCAGGTCAATTTTGATTATAACGATATATCAGATAATCCACAAGCTTCAAATACTTTTCGCATAACTGTAACGGCAAGTGAATTAAAAATTAAAATTCTATATTTAACACAACGGATCTCCAAAGCTCAACAAGTGATTAAATATAACCCGGTTCCCATCGGCGAAAAAACGGAAGTTTACCAATACCTTCGTTAGATAACCTTTCTAAATTATTTATTTTCGGACATGCCATTACCAATAACATCCATGACATTGCTGATGTCTTCGTACGTGAATTAATTGGAAGTTTTATTTAACGCGTCTGTCGGTATGACGTGTTGGAGATAGCACTCATCGATTCACAATTGTTTAGAAGGCCTTTGACATTTGGGCATTGTGCGTGCTAAATGCACGGATACTATTAAATTTTTTTAAGCATAAAGCCTAGGTCTTATAACATTAAGACAGTAATTTTATATCATTATATATTTGAAATACATTTATCATTATAAGTGGAAAGATTTCTATTGTACTAAGTGCAAAAAAAAGATGGACATACTTTGTGTTGCACTCTTCTTTTTTTTAAATCTACTATAATAAAATTTAAACAAACTTTTTAGTTAAGTGAAACGACAATAATATTCTCTAACTGTATATACAATATAAAACTTAGAACTCGGGGTTGATCTTAATAATTATTATTGTTTTATTATTAAGAGATATCTAATATTAGATTAATGTTTATCTTATATGTTTTATAACATTGGTTGCTGAAACAAGTCCTAATTAACTTATGCCGTCTATTTATTTAGTGCTTAAAAATGAATTATACATTTATTTTTCCACATTTGACCGTTAAATCTTTGTTTTGCCAAAACTTTTGCGTGTTATACATATTATATCAAGTATGAATACAAATTTAACTGAACATACAGATAATATTTCATATCCGACTATCCTTTTTCAGTTGTAGTGGTAAATAATAAGTTTATATTTATATTACATTACTCTATTGTCAATTGTCAAATTTTAATTACTGAACGAAATACACAATATATTATGTATTCCTCCGTAACACGTACAGACCGCGTATGTAAGTCTGTGGCCATATCAAACGTCAATACATCTAATCCGCGTCGTCGCTATCTGGGGTCGAAGAATAAACCTGTCAAATCGGTGAAATTACGAAATAGACGAGTGTTACATAACAACCGGTTAATGGAAAAATGTACCGTATTGATCCGCATCGCACTTTTCTGTGTAAATACTTACTTACCTACATTGTACGAATTCAGGAATTACCCGATTTTATATATCACAAACGCGTGCCGTGCAATTGAGGATTTGAGAACAATAGTTAAATCATAAATTCATATAATGCCTTCGTGTGTCAACTGTGAGCTGTATTGTTTAGTATTGTGTTATGCATGAGAGACCGTAGGTTCAATCTCCGAAATAAATAAATCAAAAATCAATTCAAATAAAGCACAAGTCCCTGGGTCCTTTAAAGAGGACATGGGCCTTGACGTACTTTAGTTCAGTGATCTTTTAAAATATAAACCGAAGATAACCGTGCAGTGTAAAATTCTTTACCCTAACTTACGAGTTATGTGTGTCTTAATACTCAAACAAAAATTGAGAGAAATTTTACCAGCTTCATACTTGTTTTTGAATAGTTCTAGCCATTAACAAAAAAAAAACACTTCACTAGACACTATGACATTTGAATTTCGTAATAAACAAAAACGGAACGCATTTATTAAATTGTTCTCAAAAAGAAATATTCGCTTTGAAACACGTTATGGTAATTCTGTCTATTCATTTCATTGAATACTTGGATGCAGACTAACAGACGACCCGTCGCCGTCTTGTAAAGATAATCGAGCCTTTAAAATGAATTTTAAGATTTACACTATTACAACTTTGAAATTTGGCAGCTTAGTTACATACGTAATTTCCGGATTCAAATATGGGGGCGGAAAAAATACAAACAATTTGTTATTAGGGCACAAAAGATAGACCACCTCATAACACGTTTTGTCTATAGGCCCCATACCTTCATAATTATTTACTATAGAAAATGTAAAGAATCTCAAGCTATATAAACGCCTGCCTAAAATGCACCGATGTCCTTGAAGAAATGCTACAATTTGGAAAGCATTTAGCAAAGTGAAAGAGCGTGCATCGCATATTGGTTAATATGTAGAAACAATAATCTAAAGGTCGATTCCATTTACGCAGTGGTTCATTTGTCGGTTGCAAAAGCTCAGCAGAAGAATCAATAAAGATTAATCTAAGCAAATTCGTAGTACTACACTGTAAAAATGTGTTTCAAAAACAAGACGTACATTTTAAAGGCTAGATTGTCGTCGGGTCGTCTGTTAGTCTGCATTCAAGTATTCAATGAAATGAATAGACAGAATTACCATAATATGTTTCAAAGCGAATATTTCTTTTTGAGAACAATTTAATAAATGCGTTCCGTTTTTGTTTATTAAGAAATTCAAATGTCATAGTGTCTAGTGAAGTGTTTTTCTGGTAATGGCTAGAACTATTCAAAAACAAGTATGAAGCTGGTAAAATGTCTCTCAATTTTTGTTTGAGTATTAGGCCAGTGTGGAAATTAAAGAATTTAGAATCCATTTATATATTAACGAGTAATTAACTAGATAGTTCATAATAAATATGCAGATAACTGCATACGTATGTATTTTTCATATAATCTCTTAATTACAATGCAGTATAAATTCAGAATAGTAGAATTATAGTCTTTCATGTTCATCGTCAAATTCTAAAAGTTAAAGTTATTAAAAATATAATTTGCTAATTACATTATCAAGACTCATCCAACATTAGTAACATTATTTCTAAACTCAACCTTGCCGCATGTTAAAATTCACGTGTAAACCTTGTAATTCGATCGTCTTGGATTTCGACAGCTGTTCAGGATTTCTCATTACCCAACCTTACTTCAGGATACAGCTAAATTTATGATGCTCGCTTATTTTACCCAATGTTTATCTATAATATAGTCTGGACTACTTCGTGTAATGTAACGTTTAATACGATACTAACTATTTCTACGTTACTTTTTACATAATTAATATAATGTTATTTCTCTTTTTGCTCTTAAAATAAAATATTCGCGGTATCAAAATGCAGACCGTTACCACTACGCGAAATGTATAAAATCGCTGTTGTCATGTGAACTGCAAAATATACGTCACAGTAAAATTTAATTTAAAAACATCGCCTGTTTAACGTAATAAAACCAAGCGCCATATTTAATAACACGCTGTATCAGCGACCTCGTCCGCAAGGAATTTGGGCATCCAAATTTGTTTTTCAAACCTCCTCTTCATCATTATAAACTTAAACTGTGTCGTTCTTGCAAGTTAACCTTAAAATATTTTTTTTATCATAGATCATTAGATCATTTAAAGAGGAAACATTCTTTCATAAATATTTTTAGGTATCATGAACCGTTTTTGCAGCGAACGCAACGGATAGATACTCAGATAGATGAAAAATTTTCCCAATTTTTTTCACATTTCCCACTGTTTTTTCGCTCTTATTAGCCACAGCGCAATGTAAATATATTGTATACATCGCGCTATAGCCTGCTTCGATATATGCTCTAACAAGCACAAATATAGTTTTTCAATTCGAACCAATAGTTCTCGAGATTAACGCGTTCAATCAGTATGACTCAGGTATTGGTTAAAGAACCTATTACAAGTGAACGTGTCTCCAGCAGCAGCAGCCTAACCTCAATGGGGTCTCGCGGTTGACATAATCGCATACTAGAAACGTCGTGTTGAATACCGAGCAATAAAATTAAACGGCGCGAGATTTACGACTAACTTCCTATTTTCAACAATGGTAGGGAAATCTCAAAGACTACTTTGTAGGCATTGGGCATCCATGGAAATGTTGTTCTGAACCTACAATCCTCACAGCAGACCAAAAGTTATTATGTGCGGTAGTTGCACAATTTACAGCAATGGTTGAACCATATATAGCATTCAACCGTTGGTGGTTCAACCGATGGTCTACAAGGTCCCTACACCTCTGTAAGATATAACAGAGGTAATAAGGTTTAATTTCGATTTTTTATTATAGACATATATATGGCCCATATCATATGGCCAATTCAGATCGTTAATTTGTTCTTCTTGGATTACAAGACAGCTGACTTAATCATGAATAAATATAATAATCATTAACATAAAAAGTGATCTAAATACATAGTTGCTCGTGGTGCCCCTGTAACCACGGTTGCTATAAAGCAACAAAAACGTTTCGTAGCTAAAATTAAAGTAAATACGATATGTACGTTTTAACCCATGAAAACAAACAATCTTACTTGCGATTATGCACGTGGACATACATATTAACAAGAAATAAAAGAAACAAAGCGACGCAAAACTTCAATCCGACAGTATTCACAACAGTTTACAAATACATTATGATACTTAAACCAATAACTTGTTCCAACCTTTTGCTGGAGTAACTGGTTTCCCAAACATTTGGCAATACGAAAACGATTATCCATATAATACTATCTTGACGCTTGGTTACAGTAATTATGGGTATTAAGGTACAGGTACTTAAAAGGAATCGAGAACTACGATTAAATATCAAATTATTAATAGCCATTTAGAACTTAACATTCCATTAATTGAATGAAGAGAAATCATGATGTATTATTATTAATGAAAGGGCCATTAAAACACAATAAGAAATATATAAATTAAACACTTTAACGGTTTAAAACGCGATGTATTAGTTAAACGTATTTGAAAATAATTTTTAATTTCGGCCGGACGTTTCGGATGCTTTGCAGCAGCCGTGGTCACGGGGAGACTATTCAAATAAGTTTAACGAATTAAATCGTTTTATTTAAATGTGTACTACTCGCGTAAACTATAGACAGTATACAATAAGAAATAGTGTTAACATTAAATAACGTTAAAAAAAACTCTTTATATCACGTAGTTTGGGCATGAGGACGTAGGAAATCAGTGAAGCGGTCAGCTGCTTTAGTTTATCCGCAATAGAAAATAAATGAAATACTTAACTCTATATGTTATATAACATAAAATGGTTTATATAACAGATTTAAAGTTAAATTATCTTTAATATAAAAGAGAGCAAGGTCAGTTAATTTGGAGCCCTTAAATTGAAAATGTTAAATGTTTACCTAAACTGGTTTCAGATATTGGTCCACTTACCTCACGTAAGATGTAAGTGGAGCACCGGCTTTTGAGTTTGATAACTAATTTTAACATTTTTAAAATTGCATTTACAAGAGTAAAGTTATATCTGTGTTATGTATATAGGAAGAATAATGTATATAACCTTTATAGAATTCAATCTACGAAAATTTAGTGTTTTGTGAAAATCAAAAAGTAATTATAATACGATACGATGTCTGATTTTTTATTTAATTTGGGAAGACATGCTTGTAATGGTGGGCCTCTTGCAACAAGTGAGGATCTTCTAGATTCTTAAAACCACTGATTGCAGGTTAAATTTACACAACGGACAAAAAAATTAGATTTTTAGATACAGACAAATCTAATAGAGTGCCGAAAATCTGAGTTGGGGAAATATAAAATCACGTCATCAAGATAGATAGTTAGATCCGTTTCCTGGGTTAATTAATTGTGTAATATTAACATAGCAATTAAATACTGAACGGACATGTTATATATTGATATCGCAGAATATAAATAGAAAGCATTTGGTTTTGTAAATATTAATTACATAATAATTGTCATACAAGCATAATATTGGCATACTTTCTAAAATTAACCGATTCTGTAAGATCCACAAATATTTGCGTCAATTCGTCGTTTTTAAGGAAACGCTTGATTTGACAACTTTCCCGCTCAAAAGCTTGACATTTAATGCTCTTTGATGACATGACTATAGATGAACACAATAAGATAATGCAACTTTTAACATATTTTCGTTCTCCATAACTTCTCTGTCTTTAACGTTTTTCTATTATGAATGGACTGAAGACTGTGAATATTTCCCTCAAATTAACAACCTCAACAGGCAAAAGCAAATCGATAGGAAGTTAATAATTGGCAGAAAAGTCTTAAGTGTTGTATAGGTTCGCATAATATCTAATCTTCTTCACAACTATCGTTAATAATGATAATCGTAAACAAGTTAAAATTATGCATGATATGTATATGTCAGATATTTCCATTGGCAGCATTATTAGAATAGGTTCTACTTATATATAGAGTTTAGGAACTTTTCTATGAGTTTAACCCAGATAAGCCTACTGTCCTATATTTAGGACAGTAGAAATAAAAAAAAATATCAGAATACCCTCTTTATCTAAGATTATTTAGTCTTATGATTTGCAGTAAGAAACGTATCAGCTTTATTAGAAAAAATAAATAGACAGTTATTTTAACAGTTTTCACCTTATATTTTACCTTATAAGTGTGTAATAAAAGTGCGTTGCAGACATGGCAAATGACAGGTATGTATAAAAAGTTATATTTTACTCGTGAGTTGTTTTTTTCTGTGTTAATATCTAGTTGATAACCTTAACTTTTGTACTAAATAAATATTCTAGCAAAATAATATAAATAAATTACGTATAACTTGTTACAAATACTAGCGTACTATATATAGGACAGTAGGATAATATACATGATTTTAGTACAATAATACAACTTTTTCTTTACAGACCCTTACAGCTGCGCATGAAATTTTAGATGCTTTAGAAAATGTTTCTGATAATGAAGAAGATTATAGAGAACGACTGATATGTATTCTACCTCCTCCTGTTGATCCTGACTGTCTCACTGACGAAGATTCGGGTGAAGAAGATAATGTAACTTTGAATAATTTGCCACGAAACATTCTGCTTCAACCGGCTGAAGTAATGATTCAAGGGCAGATTATGGTGAGTGATACAGAAGAAGAATTTTCTGATTCTACAGGTCGAACTAAACGTAGGCGTACCTACGCATGGAGAAGAGAAACATTGTCATAGAAGAACCACATATGGTGTCCATCAATAACAAATATATGGGAGGAGTGGATCGGTCTGATGAAAATATTTAACATTACCGAATTGGTATACGAGGTAAGAAATGGTACATGCCGTTGCTCACACACATGATTGATCTTGCCGAACATAATGCATGGAAGTTATATAAAATAAATCATGGAAAACTGGATCATCTTGGCTTTCGCAGAAGGGTAGCAATTGCTTTGATTGAATCAAACAGAAAAAATGCCAAAAGAGGGCCTAGCCGACCCTCCCATCATGAACATGCAGATAGTCGTAAAGACCAAATGAATCATCTGGTTATTCCTCAATCGAAGCAAACACACTGTCGTCAATGTCACAAAAAATGTTTGACACGTTGCAAGAAATGTGATGTTGGTGTGTGTGTCAAGTGTTTTGAAACATAATATCATTCATAAATAGTGTTAATCTAGTAAATTACATATAACAATGTGTAATATAATCAATAGTTATCTAATAAACTACACTTTTTGATTACATTCTGTTTTGTCATAAATGGTCTTTTATTTCCTCTTATTATCCTACTGTCCTACATATAGGACGGCTGTTTTCCTGAAAGCCTTACACTTAATTTTTTTTTCATAATTTTTTTTATGTTGCATAAGATCTAATAAACTAAATAATATAACTTTTTTCAAAATTTTCAGAAAATTTTAGTTTCAGGCTTATCTGGGTTAAGTAATTTGTTAACAGTAAATAACTAACGATGTTAATATTTAATGATTACTTATTTGTACGCGAAGCATTTGTTTGAGGTCTGATGTTCAGATATCTGACTATCATATATAATTTTTTATATCCATACTTTTATTCCAAAATGAAATGAGTACAAGGCTATATGAAAAATGGTATGTGTTATGTCGTGATTCATGGTAAATTACTTTTGGAAAACAGAAAGGAGAATGATTACGCAGGAGAATAAATCTCAATATGCATTTCGTAATAAAAAAACTTTCTGTAACCTTGAACAGGTGATTACGACACATTCGCGGATGCACAGTGACATGTTGCCAAAAAAAGGATAGTACGGTAGATACTAGCTTGCTTAAGACGAAAACTAAAAAAAAACTAAGCATATAATATTTTAGAGGCCTGTGTGTGGTAGCGATTTACCACACTCCCCACGTCACACTTGCCCGACGTGGGCGTGCATTAGACATTCACACCATCAGATAAAAAAAGGCATATATAACATTAATTAGTCATACATTTGTAGTATTAAAAGGAAAGGTAGAAAATCACGCCTTTTTTTAATAACATTTTTTTCAAATTTCGAATTGTCAAAATGTGAATTGTGTTTTTTATAAACCATTAAAAAATAAATTAATTAGAATAACATAATAAGATTAAGAAAAAAATAAATTTCGACCAATGTTTAAGTGACAACGTTGGTTCAAAATAAGAAAAAGTATTAAAACAGAAAGCGGATTGAATTTTTTTTTTTATATTTAATGGCCTGGTAACGAGACCTTTAAGCCAAGCGGGAATTGAATATTTCTTTTCTTCTATTTTTTTTACTTCTTACTTTAAAGGCTTATATAAGAGTTCCTACTTTATTTTTCATTATCATAGATGGTTACAAGATTATATTATAAACCATTTAGAATAATAAAATAAAGGTTTTTAAACAAGTCGGTATTTATTTAAATTTAAATAAAAACAAATATTTTTAATTAATTTCTGACAGGTTCTGCTTTCACAAAGATTACGAAGGTTTGTAATTAAAAGATCCTATACAATTTATTTATTTATATTCTATGTTTTTAGGTTAGGTACTAATTTATTACATAGTAATTTAATGGACTGTTGCAAATGCAAGCAGCATTGTGAGGCAGAATCACTCAAATTATCGTAAATTTTATATGTAGGCAATATTTGTATAGCGCTTGATGTTTAGTGTCTAAAACGTGTGTTTAAGTAATATTCCGCACAACTAATTATATTATCTAATTATATGCAAAGATTCAACATAAGCTTCGCAATTAATAATAATTGCGTAGACTTGAGAAAGATGATTTATACGTTAAAACAAAACATTACAAAAAATAGTTTTTCCGTATCTATGGCCGTACAATTATGGAGCCAATTGATAGTTTCCCTGTAAAAAATATTAGTCAAATGATACAGCGGGATAACGATTTAACACTGGGTTACATGTAGGTACTAAGGCATTAAGGATTAAACTTGTATTAAATGAATTATAAGTAGGTACCCTAAAACATAATTGTATCTTGTCGTTTGTATCTTGTCGTTTGTATCTTCCTTCTTAGTTAGCACTAAAAAGAATCCTTGTTCGGAAACTAAATACTTAGGCTTATAAAACTATAAAAACTTAATTTTTACTCACCAATTCACCGAATCTTGAAAAAGTGCCGTTGTACGCAAGTACTTCATTTAGTAACAATAAAATACCAATAAGCCACATTTTGTCAACATCACTATTTGAACACTACCCTAAATGTTAATAATCATAATAAAACTGTTTTTCAAAATTTATTTACTGGCACGTAAGAATATAGAATGGTCATAATGTTATTTAAAGAAAAAAATTAAAACATTTTTAATCTGCATAATTTTATTTTCTTAATCCTGAGCGCGTGTGTAGTCTGTCAAGTTGGGCGGGAAAAGTCAGCGCATGCGCGCGACTGCGCCGCACGCGGCTCGTTGCTCAACAATCTCTTTATCACGATCCACGACCTCAACCTATGTGGGATGCGTATCCCCGCTGTCTAATTACTAATCACTGATATTTATCACATATGTCGTCTAAGCCTTTAATTCATATGGATAATTCTTGTATTTACTAAGTATATTGGAACCGCAATAAAGTCGATAAGCTCCATAAAAAAAAAATACTTTTTAAATTTTAAAAATTATTTAGATTCGTCAGATTTTTTTGTTTGTCTGTCTGTTTGTCGAGATTCTACAGAGTGTTCAAAAGAAACAGTAGATTAGTTTTGATTTTGTAGTAGAAAAGTATAATTTAATTTTAAGAACACTGTCATTTTAGAGAAATGGTAGTTTTGGCGTACATTTTTTAACTCTTGCTCATTATTAAACCTTATTTTACTGTGTAACTCATACAATAAAATACATATATTGTTAAACATTATATTATTTACAGTAATAGATTTGCAACCCAACCCATCTTAAATGTTAACTTCATTACTTGAGACAACAAGGAGCCATTTCTTATATTTAATTAAATATTATATTAACAACATTTTTAAAATGAAGAATGTTCAAGGATTGCCAAACCGAGTAAGATGGGTAAATATGTATATAAATAGTAAAACATACATGATAAATTTACGAGGGCCATTAATTATGACTTTGCCAATATCTTTGCAGACATTGCTAAAGTTATAATTTATAATTAAGCAAATAAATTATAATATTATGAAGCTGTTTCGTAATCGGTTATTCTCTTGTCTTTATGCTACACAACCTCTTAAACTTTGCTGAAACTGAATTTTTTTAAAAACCCTTTTCTTTTTAAACCATCGATTTTCGATCGATCGACTTTAATTAGTAGTTTAACAGTTCTTTCCCCTTCCGGGCCCCCCCCCCCCCCCGAAAATTTTTATAAAATAAATTCTGTTTATCCATCCAACAATGCCCTAATAATGGTCATAATTCTTCAATTCTTATCTGAAACGTTAAACGTTCAGTTGAAAATTTCAGTTCATTAATTATATAAACTGCGCATGCATAACACAATCATATTGTGAAGTGAAAGCGTGTATTCTTTTAATTTATTTAAATTATATATTAGTGTATGTCGTTAGACTAAACATTTGATCTCATATTCCTTAAATTCGGCTTCTTTTTATGACGTAACTTGTAATATCGTTTAGTAATATATCTACTGCGTTTCTTCATAACATAATATTAAACACGAAAAATATGTTTTAATGAGGTCAGAGCATTAAGGAAAATGTGAGATCGTATAATAAAATGTATTTCATTAAAACCACACGAATAGGTGAATTGTTTAAATAAAACACTTTAACGGTTTAAAACGCGCTATATTTGTTTAATTTTTTTTAAATTCTTTTCCGCCGCCGGGGGGCCGGGGGGACCCCCCCCCCCCCCCCCCGGCCCCCCCCCCCCCCCCCCCCCCCCTTTTTTTTTTTTTTTTTTTTTTGTTATCTTGTTCGAATGGACTGTTGAGAAACAAACGAGCGACTGGTTCTTATATTTTGTTGGCTCAATGGATTTTCATATTAAAAGCCTTCTGTGTTCGATACGGTTCCTTCAATAAGAAGCTATTTCCTAGAAGAAATTATCATAGCCCAAAGGCAAAAGGGCCTTCTCATAAACGATTTAACGCTCAATTTGTTATTAATCTTTATACACTAGCTTTTACAGCGGTTTTGTTCTTATAGTAATTTTATAATTGGTGTCGCGCAAAGTTAGCACGTCCAGCATTATTATGCTGCCTGTAGCCATTACGTGACACGTGAATATAAAAACGTGTCTACAATGTATCAACATATCTTAATCGATAGCAATGGTGGGTAATTAATACAAGTGACATAAGTGGATCCCGGCTTTCGTAACATATTACAGCATTAGAAAGTGTCTGTGATTCCTGTTGGCATGCCTGCCTTAAAAGAAGTAAAGTTCGATGTTGCCAGCTCATGCTAAGTGTCATTAAGTGATAGATTTTCTAAATATTATAAATGGCAAAAAATGATTAATATTTTTAGTTATCAAATCATTTCCAATCCTTATAATCGCTTCTCTAATACTGGGAAGGAGTCAAGAATTTTATGTTTCAAAATAGATTATAAGTAAGAAGTGCCTTCTGTTTTAAAAGTTTTAACAATATACAATAAAAATGAAATTGTATTATATCGTAATTAAATACTGATTTTACTGAAAGGGCCTAAAATACGGTAACACTACAATTGACAAGTTTTAGTATTCCTATCAAGGCCTGCCGTGCGAAGAATACAGGCGTTAATTTTGCGCAGAAATCGCTTGACAGGATTGGGTCAAACGTGGCTTGAAAGAATTTTCAGAAGAAATCTAGAATAGTCTTGTTTATAATGACATGTAATAAAACCTCAACATTTAGAATCCTCTGAAGAATACCGGTAACAGTTATTAAATTTAAAATCTTTGTTGCGTGATACGTTGTGATTGCGCGATTAGACTGCGTTAAAGTTTGTACATAAATAATTTTACATATATTGTACAACTTTTAAACAAATCATTCATGTTCATTATTGTATTCTTGTAGCTTACGAATTTCTGACTATTCTTGAAAAATCAAGTCGATTAAACAGTTGTGACACAAGTGTTCTAAGTGTAGGAAATAGGTATAGTTATAAATACTTGAATAAAATAAAGAGGTTCATTGGAAAATCATCTTTTTCGTACAGAATATGTATAAAGATGTATCTTATAATAAATAAGGTTTCATTATTTTGACAATCTATTATCTAACAACTTACAGTTGAATTCAACTTGTTAATTAGGTTCAAACGTTAGTATGCCACAGGAACACTTTATAAATAACACTGAAATGAAATTTTTTCGTTTTTATTTGGCAGTTGTGAGTGTTTTTACTAAGTTTAGTATCATGAACTATGAATGAAGGTATATAGTTATAGATACCTAATACTATTATTTTCATGAGGTATTAATGTATGTGCGTACAGTATAAGAAACTTACAAAGTGGAAAAGAAAGTCGCGTCACTTCATCAATCAATTTGGTTCCAATGTGTAATTTCTTAGAAACTACTGGTCGGTTTTAAAAATTCGTTGTGTTGGTTAGACAACTTATCGAGGGAGGCTTTAGACTATAACACTTTAGGCTGCGACCATAGGAGCATGAAACAGAGACAAATGTGGAGAAAACGGGAAAATTATTCGTCTTTGCGAGCGCTGCAAAAACATTTCAAAATCCAAAAAAAAATATTGTAGAATGATTCTTCTTTAAACTATCTAAAATAATGTCCAAGTTATGTACAGTTTAAGATTACCACGCAAGAATGACGAACCGAATTGTGAAGTGTTGTATTTTTAAAGTAGAAGTGTTTAAAAAAATAAATAATGTGATGCCCAAAATAACTATTCCACGTGCACAAAGTCGCGGAACAGCTTGTTTATACAAATGTTATAAAGCTGAAGAATTATAAAAAAAAAATACCAGATCGCCATTATAATTTTGCTAAGACCTCATCATCTCTTGATAATGATCATCCATTTATGATGACGAAGCTTAAATTTTTCAATTACACCAGCCGAACAGCTCGAAAACCCAAGAAGCGAATAAAACTTTTTCGTATTGTATCGTTATAACTTTTATTTATTTATAAATAATTTATTTACTTTTTTTCTTGTAAAGAACATAAGGGAATTAATCTATACATTTACCCTAAACATTATAATCATCTGTGACCAGCAGGGCGATTTTGTAACTCAATAGTGTTAATCACTAGAGATTAGTTGAAAACTATCGTCAAGAGCCAGTTTGGTATTTGCCATTTTTGATTGCACGAATGACGTCAAAAGGAACCGAGATTGTTGATCGTCACCGTAAATGAGTTTTTGTATCGATTTTGAAAACTTGCGATTTTGTACGCTTAGTTATCATAAACTGTTATTCACTTTGATCGTTGAAAGACACTACTCAAAGGTAGTGTTTTATTCTAATTTTGGTGATTAACAATGTGATTATTATTTTTCTTGTCGTTTAGTGATTTTTTTTGTGTTTCATAATATTGCAGATTATGGACGTCTAATTATGTTGAGTTTAGCTGAAGAACAAAATAAAAAACTCTTGTACAGAGAATGTGGGATTCGGAATATTTTTTTTATAATAAGACAAGTACTTTAGTTTTTTAATAGAAATAGTTAATAAGTTTCTTTTTATAATGTGTAATACTATAATTTTTTGTATATTATTAGATATATGATTTTATTTAAAATCTAACTTTATTTAGTTAATTTAAGTTAAATTCCAGTTATGATATAAATAGCATATATTTTAAGGTTTGTAAGTGTACCATAATGTTAGATGTTGTAAATAATTAGTTGTAATTTTTTTAATACGCTTTAACATTAAAAGTCAATAATTGTATTAATTTAGAGGAACTTATAACTATCAGAATAAAAATTTACATTTATTCTCTTCTATTTATTAACAAAATGTCTTATGTCATCTCTAATTTCCCTAATTAATTCAGCAAGTGATTGCACATTATTTGCCATTCTCTCTTCCGCTGCAACACGTCTTCTTTCGATTTGAATAGCCTAAGATAGAAGATAATATTGAGGTGGTGGCCTTTCACGTTGACGAACTGTAATTAATGAAGAAAAATTATTATGTTATCCTAAATTTAGCAAGCCGGTGTTAGGAGTAAAAAATATTTATTTCGATTGACATATTTCACCAGTCGGTTTGCAACCTTTGCAAAAGGAACTAATTTATTATGTATGTATTAATTTTAGTTGTGTAGCTTTTAATTTGCTTTTATACTTATGTCACATTAAATAATTATAAGATGAGTAATTACAAAATAAATAAAATAGGGACGGAATGTCAGTCTTACATATGGCATAATAAAAAACATTATTAGCCAAAGAAATTATTCATTAATAAATGAAGTAGAAAATTTGATACCTCACTGTACACAAACCTCCGTCCTTAGATGTTTCAGATTGTGACTGAGTTTCATTATCCTCTATATCTTCTTCTAGCCATTCTATATGCATATCTGCCGGCTCCGGAGTTGACGTCGATTATATGAATGTGCTTTGAGAAGAGATAGGTGGGACCTAAAAATCATATTTTAATGGAATGAAAAACAAATAAAAAATATATTGGGGTTCCTTTCCGCAAAGTCCACCAGCAATTCCATTTGCCTTCCACTAACTTTTCTCGGTGCAGGCATTTTAAAGCGATTGTACGTTTTAGTTTGTTAAAACACAATTGTACAGCGCGATGTTATTAATTTAACTAAACATTTACACTTCATACAACGATCCATTATAGTTAACAACTAACTCTTCACAACGTTTCAATTAACAATAACATAAACAAAAATGAAATAAGAACTTTAAAGTATTCGAAATAGCCGCCAAGCCGTAATTTTCAAGGACATAAGTAGTCAAAATAAAATGTTCTAAAGTACGTGTAATCACTGGATACAACGCTTTCACATTAGTCGAAATAGTCGATAAAAAATAGTGATGTTCTGTGTTTACGTTATAAGTGGCTATCCGCATTTAGTCACCTAATACCAAGTTACAAACCAATAGTTCCATTAGTTATCATCGAATTACGGTGGAAACTAAGTAGTTGATACTGATTGTCAAAAGTTACAAAATCGGCCTGCAGGGATAAAATGTCGTAGTAATATGTCAATGTCTTTTATTCTAATCTGTCATTTATGAGCTGGTTGCTATTCGATCGGGAGGTAATATTTTATTAATTTTTGAAGTATAAAATTGCATTGTTGTCTTACAATCTTTATAACATAAACATATGTAATATTTAGATTTTAACTTAAAATATCATTTACCAGTTTAGCGTAGAGGAAATATGACCCAGTTATAATTGTGGTCGATAACTCATACAGTGCTGTATATTGTATTGTTGTGATTCTGTTTTCAGATTTCCAATTTTATAAGCGAGGTTTTAGCACTAAACTACTGTTTGCTATAATGGCTTATTTAATCCAACCGGATTATGTTCAATATTTTTGCACTTGCGGGCAAATAAAACCTATTACAAACTTATACTTCTGTCGTCACTGCTTAAAAGTTCGCTGTGGTTTTTGCATTTGTCATGAGGTATGTACTGATGATCAAATTTTATATGATATATCATAAAATTTGAAAATAACATCTTTAATATATTAAGTCTTTAAAAAAATCAATATCATCTAGTTATACATATGGTAACTGTTAAGTTTTACATATTTACTCCTGTATTTTCAGGTTGATTCACATTACTGTGCAAATTGTTTGGAAAACATGCCATCATCAGAAGCAAGACTCAAGAAGAATCGTTGCAGTAGTTGTTTTGACTGTCCTAGCTGTTTCCATACCCTATCTACCCGTGCAACATATGCACCAGCCAGACAGGATCCCGCTGCTGGTGATGCTAAGGTTGAGAATAAACAACCAAAGAAGATGTATTATTTATCCTGTTTTAATTGTCGTTGGACATCTAGGGATGTTGGCATACCAGATCAGCCAGTTGGTAAGTATGATAACCGAATATCATGTGTTAATTAATTTTAACTACAAAGACATACAATGTCATATTCTATTTTTGTACAGCATCAGGTGGATGGCCAGAAAGAACAAATCCATTTGCTAATCGTTTTGGGCAGTTATTGGAGTATTTTAAAGCTATTGCACAACAAGAAAAACAAGATAAGCTGGACAAAGAGAGAAAGAAATATGCAATTAGGGGGAAATACATCACCCTAACTGTAAGTCTATTGATGTACATTAATTAGATGATTATTGGTCTAGATAGTCTTTGTTAAGAGTGTAGTAAATTGAGTTAGCATTTTGCCAGTTAGAAATATGTCTTATGGATCAAAATTTTATTGCAGGACAAAACAGGTCTCACTGGAGCTATGGCAAGGACTACAGCTGGACTACCATCAAGCGAGAGCTCATCTAGTGCTATTGCCAATTTTGTTCCTAGTCAAGCTAAGGAGGAAGTTGAAGAATTGCCTGAAGACTACCACACAAAAGAGGTCAACTTGAAACTAAGTGAGTTACTAAAGTTTAGCTTTTGAGCTTTCTAACATAAACAGAAAAAAACGAATGAATATAAAAAAATTCAATAAAGTTTATTAAGAGGACTCACCTAGTGAACAACCGGTTATACTGGAACAACTGGTCTTTGGGGGAGGACTATGTCTAGCAGTAGACACTGAACGGCTGAATCAAATCGAAGTGATTTGATGTTATAAAAATGTCAATCTTTATGTTACAGTCACAACAATGCCTCAACGTCTAGCTTCCCCTGAGTGGCAGGCGCAATTGGTGTCGCGTTTACAACCAATTGCTCGGCCGCTGAGTGTGAAGCGCAGTCAACGCTGTAGACGTTGTGACCACAATCTTACTAAACCAGAATACAATCCTGGTTCTATTAAGTTCAAGATTGAGTTACTAGCTTAGTAAGTTACTAAAGTATATATTCTTGTATAGGATATAATCTTTATAACAAAAAGTTTTCTACACATCTATCTGTTTCAGCTACCATGTACCAGAGGTGAAAATAATCTCATTTGAAACAATAAAGCCTGGTTGCACAACAGAGCTTTTACTCAAACTGACGAACCCAACAGCTCATGAAATGCAGATTAGTATCATTCAACCAGATGAAGTGCCTGAAGTTGAAGAGAAAGAGGAACCCAAGAGTATTGAAAAATCATTAGAAAAATCACTTAATTTGGAAAAGGTACATTATAAATTACAAACTTCTTTAAAATAACTTGCATATTAATAAATGCCGTAAAATTCTATTTCATATATATATATATGTACTATGACTGAGCACAGCCTGTTTTAATATAGAATGTATATTTTGTCCCAGGACACATCGTGGCGTCAAGTCATAGAACGCAAACCATTGTTGCCAACAACAATTAAATTGCACAAACCTGAGTTATCGTTTACATTAGCACAAAGAGATGATGCGGCTGAGTATGATGATGACTCACACCACGAAACTAATGAGTAAGGATTTTTAACAAACATGACATTGGTAAAAAATGCTCCAAGAAATAAAAATAGTGCCTGGCCACTATTATGTATCTGATGCAGTTGCACCAGGAATATTTAAAAATTTTACATTGATAACAGAATTTGTCCTCAATTCACTGGCCATGTGTGGTGAAACTATGATTGCCCTCTAAACTAATTATTTTGTTACTTGTACATTACATAATCAAACACAACTTTCAGTATTATCCTGTGGCGTAAATCGAACAAGTTGGCTCTACGACTTAAAGTAACTACGGACGAGGAAGCTAAAGTAGGGTCCCCTGCAGTGGCCATACTCGCATTGCAATACTCCTACCGGAATACTGTACCGCCCACAGCTAACTCGCCGCAGACGCGAGATCATGTTCTCTATACTACTGTTGCTATTCATCTTGGCACCGTTACTCAATGAATCTCCCGCGTTTTATCATACGCCTTTAAATATAAATTTTTTATTTTCACTGCTAAGATTATTTTCTACACTTATATTATGAGATTGAGTAAATGTGACTGGAATTTGAATTTTTAGAGACTAAGCATGTTGAAACTAAAATTACATATATTAAGTAAATTATGAATTCCAATGAATTTTTAAAATAATAATAAACAGATAAAGTATTACTCAAGTCTAGGTATAGTCTTAGGTGCTACACAAATTTTAATTTATTGTATACTCTGCTAATCTAGTCTTAAGTTTATTATTTAAGTCACAATATATTCGACCCAAGATAACCTTACCATTTTATAACTTTTATTATTTTGCTTTGCTCTGAATTACTCAGAAAATTTAATTGAAAACAAAATGAAGTTATAATTAATACCTCCTGTAAAGCATAAAAATTAAATAAATTCTTTTTGTCCTTCGTTGTTTAAATGTTTTTATTAATTATACTTCCACTATTAAATTTCTAATAATTCGTATTTTTTTAAAGACTATACCACTCTTAAAAACATGAAAGTAGGATTAAAACAATATTAATCAACGACAATATTTTAATTTGTCTATTAACTAAATAACATAAATAAACAGTATCTTGGTCTCCATGCTCAAAAATATATTCTAATGTACAATTAAAAACATAAAACAACCTCACTCAACGTAATGGCCTTGATTAATCCTGTTCTAGACTTGATAGCATTAAAATTTCAAATACATTATGAAATATGTTGAAATTTGAATTGAGCAACAGTCATGCATTATCATTAAAATAAATATTGCAAAATCCATCACAGATAATTATATTTAATATAGATAAATATATTATGGCTCCTTAAACCCTTCTATTATTCCAACTTTTCCCATAAAAGTAAAAAAACTAAAACTATGTTTGTGTAAAAATGCAGTCTCTTTTGTTTCATTAATACCTATGAATTTGTACAATCTTCTTCTACTTGCATTTTAGCAGAGAATATAACATCATTTACCCCTACACCATCATAACTACTACCGACTAGAGATATAGGCAAATTCTTTTCTTGTATATACTGTCTAATCTTTTCAACCCTTTCATAATGACCAATAACATACTGAGGAATACATTTCTTTAAAATATTTACATTATAAGCTGCTGGTGAGTCTTCAATCTTTAAAATTGTTTTAATCTCCCCCAGGGCAATATTGAGCAGTCTATCCTCTGTAACATTTTGGCCAAATTTTTCTTTAAACCACCTTCCGCCTAACATTACAGTCAGAACAGTTCCATTTTGATCAGGAATACAGCAAGAATCAAACACAACACCTAGTATAGGTGAATTCTCAATTGGCGGGATTAAAAAACCAAATGCTGGAGTTATAAGTGGTTTGGTGGTTGAAAAGTACAAGTTAACAATACCAACAGTTACAAAAGGTATCTCATTTAAACAATTGGATAAGTCAGGATGTTGGCTTTTAACTAGTTTTGATAAGATATGAGCTGGTATTGTAGAATAGACATGATTAGCAGTTACAATTTTTCCATCAGTCTGCTTAAGTTTAACCAAACTGGCATCAATAAATTCAATTTCTTCTACTGTAGTATTCAAATGTAAATCAACATTACTCTCCTCAAGGTAAGTTTTAAGAGTTGTAGGGAATGTCTCAAGTCCCCCTTTTATTGTGTACACACTCCATTTCTCCTCCTTTGCTGTGTTTGCTAAGTCAGTCAATTCTAAATCATCAGGTACTTTAGTTTTGAAAAAGGATTTCATAAGACCCTTCATTACTCCACCGTGGTTTTGTTCATACTCAAATAAAGTCTTCATAAGAAATTTTACTGATATTTCTTTAGCATCACCAGCACATATTCCACATATCATGGGTGATATAGCATAATCAGCAATCTCTCTACCAAATCTACGTTCAACGAAATTGTAAATTGAATCATCCTTTAGTTCTAAATGAGGTTGTTTCAAATCATTGAATACAGCATATATGAGTGGTTTGGAAAAAGGTCCATTTTTCTGAAAAACACCTTTCAGGCTTGAAGGAAGAAGGTGCAATTCGTTGTTTACATATATCATTCTATTCTTTGCAGCAGGGTGATCAGGTCGTATTGGGGATACATGTTCACTTAGACCCAGGTCTTGTATCATATTGAGAGTATTTAGACCAGTTATACCTTTGGGTCTAATAGTTCTAGGCCCTTGCTCGAATAAGTAATCTTTAGTACGTATCGTCTTTATCCATCCTCCACACTGATTCGTTGCTTCAAGTAGAAATATCTTTAATTTATTGGGATTATTTAAATTATTTTTCAATAAATAATAACCAGTTGACAGACCTCCAAGACCACCTCCTAATATTGCAGCCATATTCATTGAGGTCCTTTCATTGATTAAACAAAATTATCTTAAAATAAAGTATTATTTGTATCTTATGAGAAATAAAAATAAACAGCTGACTGGTAATTGTTTTAGACTCTAAAAAACTAGTGAAGTACCTGTCAGTCAAATGTTTTTGACCACAACCACTTAATTCAGTACAAGTTAAATGTCATATGTGTTCTATGGTGTAAAGGCAACGACTACACTATCTGTGGAAAAAATTAAATGTTTTATGTATATTTTTATTTTTTAATTTCATGAAAAGGTCATTTGGGGACTAAGTTTATTTTTCTAATTCATAAAATTAAAAGATATTTCTATATGATGCATCTCTGATATTGTGTGAAATATATTCTGGAAAAATAATTACAGTTAGGATTTCCCTCCTACTTGTCATTGTACATATTATATTAACAAACAGACGTCTTATTCTAATGATAGCCTAATTCGCCTCTACCCACACTCTGTATGAGTAAAAAGGCGAAGTTTAGGATCATGTTGTCCTTTACTCTCTTTCAAGCCGTATCTAACATGTCATTTTGTAAATACATATTATATTATCTAGTAATTATGCCAAAAATGCGTCTTATTGCAGATTTGAATTATTTTCCATTTATTGTATTTAATAGGTCATAAAAAATCATTTCAAGGAAAAACATATCATAACTTTATTACATTATCCTGTTATTTATATAATAAAAAATATTTGCATCTAAATAGATTTCCTTTTATGCTGGAAAGCAAATCCGTTAATGAGCTGAAAATAATTGTTATAGCTAGAAATATGTCCAATAAACTAAAAAAATTGAAACATCTGATGGACGTTAACATTTTTTTATTAATATAATAATTCAATAATTTAAATAGAGTTTTCTATACTGAATAATGGAGAGAATAGCACAGTGCATACTCTTTGAGCAGTCGGGTAACAACTACAAAGTTGTGTTAAACGAAGTGCCTAAGGATATTGATAGGATTGATGTGGTCGCAGTTGTGGTGTCGCGCGCTGATAATGAATTTCAATTTCACACCTATTGAGCATTTGTTGCGTAAATTACGCCCCCTTAAAATGGCTTCTAGATGCGTGGAGTCAAGTGACCATTTTTCAGTTTTTCAATATACCCTTAGAACTTTTAGGAGAAACAATTGCAATGTAAACTATATATGACTGTATATATCTAGCTGTTTCAGCGACTTCGTCCGCTAAGCATATTTCTTTGGGCATCCAAATTCGTTTATGGCAAACCCCTTTCTTTCTAAAAATGTACCCACAACTTTGATCCCTTCTCGTTTGCAGAGATAGACTTTTCTTTAGATCATTTAAAGAGGAATTTTTCTTTCATGCATATTTTTTGGGTATCTTGAACCAATAACAATTTTCGCATTTTTTTTTCACTTTTCTTGCTGTATCAGTAACAGGGCGCTTTCTTCGTTGAATGCTCTAACCAACACAAAATTCGATTTTTTAAATCGAACACGTAGTTCCTGAGATTAGCGCGTTCACACATACAAACAAACTCTTCAGCTTTATATATTAGTATAGATGTATGTATTTTGCAGCCTTGCCTCATAGCGTGCGTGTTAATTTCAATATTAACATTAGTTTCATTAAAAATTAGTAAATAATAAACGTACTTTAACGAAACCTCTTTTGTGATGGGTACTCCATGTATTTCATATTCACTGAAAGCTCTTTATATAAATAGGGTGACAGTGTTTAGAGACTCTTTAGACTGTTCACAACTCTTACAATGTCCGCGTTCCCGCGCCAAAAAGTGTGCAGTAAAAATCTAAAAACCGCCGAGTTAAAGTTGTTAAAGATAATAAATAAAATTAATACCTTACACCTGAATAATGCTTACATATGTAAATTAGATTTACCAGCCGGTGTTCACATGTTTTGTGATTATAAGCGTTATTCGAAGTACGGGTTTATTACTATAGTAGTTCTTTTGTCGGCCCTCGCTTTTCCGTGGATTAAGTTCTTTATAACGAACGACGTAAGCTAACTTAATTATTTAGAAAAAATACTGTTGTTAAAAATTTTTATATTTTTTTATCACAACACACTTTTTTAAGGAATGTATACTAGAGTTGCCACCATCAACAAAGTCATTGTTTCGACCTCCCGAGGATTGTTCCATGTGCATCGGCATTTCTAATGTAACGCGGCTTGCAAAGACTTCAGCTGAAGAATTTGAAGAGTTGTTTGCCTACACTACCAAGCCTGTTATCATTACTGATGCCACATATAACTGGAGGGCAATACAGGTAACAAAGACTTAAGTTGGATTGTTTTTAAAAAGTTAACTGAGTTTAGATGATATTTCTGATGATATTCGTTTTTTACCTTTAACCTTTATTTATAACCTTAGGAGTTCAGCTTTGAATTCTTCGCGGATTTCTACCTCAACGAGAAAAAGGGAAAGAAAATTAACGAATGTTTCTATTTCGCTTACAAATCTGGATTAAATTCACTTCAAGAAGTATTTGCAATGGATGAAAGGAGGGCTAATCTGTCCGGCGAACCCTGGTATGTAGGTTGGAGCACTTGCTACGATGAGGAGACAAGAAAATTGAGAAGCTATTATAATCGCCCTTATTTTTTGCCCAAAACTGCGGAGAGTGACATGGTGGATTGGATTTTTATGGGTGGACCAGGCCAAGGAGCACACATGCACGTAAGCTTTATATAATACCTATACGAGTATACTATCGTATTTTGAAAATGTAAGCGCTGCATTAGCTTAGTAGGTATCAGATACCTATCTATATATCTAAAAATATTACAAATAAGTTGTATAGCTGCATATTGGCAGAGACGTTATATACAGTTTAAATACCATATTAAAATAAAAAGCCTTTCGAGTAGATCCAAAAACACTGTTTGAAAGTAAATTTAAATACGCGTAGTAAATATTGAGTTTTGCCAGCTAATCAGAGGAATGTTGGTTGAGTCAAAAATATTTTCGTTCTTGTTTAGTAGAATAATTTTTAGGTGGATTCAGTAAGGCACATCTCGTGGCAAGCGCAGATCCGCGGAAGAAAGGAGTGGCAGTTGGCCCCACCACCAGAATGTTTGTATTGGTGCGACTGGATCACATTCACTGTGGAGCCAGGGGAAATACGTAAGATCATAGAAATTTCGTGTAAGGATTTGAATTAAACGAATAAATAAAAATAAATATTGGAACAACAACAAAAAAAAAGAAATGATTAATTAATGAACGTGTATTCGAGAGAATGATTTAGTTAAGACTTAAGTACATAGATAGGGACTACAAGCCAGTTCACCGGCTAAGAGGCATCCGGCCTTAGGAAAAATACTTTAAAATTATTTTATTTTTATGTCTATCAATAAAATATAGTGCATCTAAAATTGAGACATAATCAAAATTACAAAACATTTTCATATATTTTTTCAGTGGTTGTGGATACGAATCGCTGGTATCACAAGACGAAGATTCTTCCAGGAGATATGAGCATTACTATTGGTGCCGAGTTTGATTGAAATAACTATAAAACTCTATTTATGGTTCATCGTAAACAGTACAGATCCTCATGCAGGAGTTTCAGTTATTTAAGGCCTTATTTATTGGTTGAAAATAAAAGATCATTTAGCTACAAATAAAACATTTATTTCTGATTAAATAAGCCCTACAGCGTGAGCTGATTTGATTACAATTTCGCACTTACTGGAATGATACATCTACTTAAGAGAGCCTCGGGGTATACTCGCAATTTAAAAAATCAGATTTAAGTACATTTCAACTTATAAAAAAATTGTTATAAAAATGAATAAAAATAAACACATCGCTACATCCGGCGAATATACAAATGAATACGTTTATCGCTAATAGCTATTTATTCTTACACAAATACCGTTACACCTTTACACGTTGGTATTTCCTATGGAATGAAATATAATTTAAACATTGGGATTACTTACTATCCATGCTAATTCAACAGCTACTATTTTTCTAACAATTTCGTAACCATCTTTAATAAATATGGGATAGAATGTCAATGGAGATTTATATTTTTGATTAACTAACCTTTGTGCTACGGGGAACGGCCATAATAATTTTATCAAACCGACTAAGTAAATAGAATGTATAATAACATAGATAGGAAATAAAATAATATGAAAAAATTGAGACAGTATTTTAAAAAAGTTCAATCGACGTTACGTTTAAAAAATATCTTCTACTAATAGTAGATACAGAGTATACTGTTACGAAATATGGCCATTCGACCCGCATCAAAGTATATAATTTACTCTACGTATTATACTCGCATTGACCTATTTCGAAAGGTGAAGCACATGTAATCGCTAGAAGGCAATAAATAGCGTAATCAAACATATTCATAAGAATTACTCCTCCCCTTGTCCAGCTGAGTCTAAGATGACTTCAAACGAGAACGGCTGAAAGAGGTAACCTTCGCCGGCATAAAATTTGCTCTGGAACTCCACCCTGTTAAAAAGAATATGCATTTGAAAATATTAATATTTTTCACATGTTATGATGATGGCACCACATAAATAAATTTACGACTTGGGCGGTACTTGAACCGGCATCTCGGCAAGTGACTCGGTGGCTCAATTTATAATCGATTTTTAATTTAGAATATACATTGGTAAATCATGTTTATTCTGTAGGCTTTCTAAGTATATGATTTTGTTGACTAAACTAAAAAGGACTTGAAATCAAATACTGACCAGTGCAAACGCAGGGTATGCAGGAACGCAGATAATCCCTCCATCAGAACTAGGATGGAGATGGAGATGGCGGCCCATCCCGCGAACACCACATACAGGAACACACCACCCTCGTAGCCACCGGACATGAGTCCCTTGCGCAGGAGCATGTTCCACGCGACTTCAGCCAGTTGGGCGTGAGCGAGTGACAAGGCCCACAGACGGAGGTATGACGCCGTGTGCGATATGCTGCCCAGCACGTACTCGATAGTGTGAATGGCCTAGAAATGGAGTGGATGGATTCGACTCAATGACGTTTCTTCTTTTAAAGTATTGATTAACATGCTACATAACGACATACATCTCTTTTAGGATTAAAATTAGGTAAAAAAGCACGGGGATCACTTAATGATAGGTAAATATCCCTGATATATAAGATTCAAGTAAGTTGCGCTGTCGACCTTTTTCTTTGGACATTCGGAAGATACAAAATAGCTTTTCCAGGTCGTAATGGTTATTTAATTAACTAATGTACTGTTATAGAATCTGCATTCAAAGTGGATGTTACCTGGTGAATGAAAACTTCCGAGATGTCCTCATCGTGGTGATGAGAGGCTGGTACGGGGGCTCCGCCCGCTGTACCATTCTCAGCAGTCTCAGCAAGAGGTTGTTGACCTTGAAGCTGCAATAAAATTTTTGTTATATAATGTCATTTGCCACTAGATTTGAACTGTAATCTTTGCATAAATCATTACACTTTGATGTAATACTGTTTGTATCGGAAAAATAGATTATAGCTACATTTTTTTGCTAAACTTCTTTGAAACCATTTGATTTCATACCACATATTTTACCACTAAAGGAACTTGGAAATAATTACACTGCCGCTGGTCTGAAGTTAACCGTTACTTTAACATCACCCGCAAGACTACCCGCATTGTACCAGTCTAAGTCTACTAAAAAAAAATGTATTTAAATAAAAATCGAATTTAAATTGAAAAAGAAATGTATATAATGACATCATGTAAATGTGAAAAATATTAAGGTTTTGTAAGCCTTTTATATAAAATGTCCCGATATTAATTACGAAATTAATTAAGACTAAAGCAATTGTCCATTAAATACTGACCGCGCGTTTCTTCCTCTCCTGCATGATGAAATAGGGTTTTCCGAAAAGCATCACCGGTACACAAAGAAGAGCAACGATGACGAAGAACTGTAACAAGGAATGTGTATTACTTCTCTGGACATTTTGTTTATAGTGATTCAAAAATTAATATTAAAAGAATCTCTTTTAAGCAACTATAGGTTTAGTTTATAATATATACCACATATGACGCAGTCTCAAATGTTTGTAGGTAAAAGAAGGAATCAAGGAAACGTAATATAGACTAGTTGAAGCTAGAAGTACAAGCTATAATCTAAAACAATTCACATATACATCTTTAAGGCACATTTTGTATACTTAAAACCTATTGTGCATTCATTAAAATATCATAATATAACGATTAAAGTAAGCTTGGTTGCAACTTTTACTATCAACAACTATCAGATTTTGATAGACTGAGCTATGAACATGGTCACAATTCATTTATACCTTCTGCAGTCCAATCTGCCCGGCGAACATGGTGGGGTCACACTTGGGACGTGTGTTTTCGTCCGTCTTAAACAGCATCATGTTGATGAACGTGATCAAAATGGACGGTGCACAGAAGCTGCTCGTTTTTACGTAATCTGTAAACATAAAAAAGGTTAAAAAGAAGTCAGTTATATTACGTATTGTAGGCAAAATAAACCATGTGCGTGGCGAAGCAATGTATATTTACTTCTACTTATCGATAATAATATGATAATGCCGAAATGTTGTTTGTTTGTTTGAACGTGCTAATCACGGGAACTATACGTTTGAATTGAACATTTTTGTTGATTAGAGCATTTATCGAAGAAGGCTTAGGCTATAAATCATAAATTGATCATCTTTAGCTTTATTTCAGCGTTTCCCTCGCGTGCTCTACGAAAACGATCGGAGATGAAATATTCTTCTTCAAACGTTAAATTACAAATGGCCGCGACAGTATATGTCTATAAGCGCGAACGACGTTTTGCGCAACACGTATAAGTTATAAAGATGAAGAGAAAGTTTGAAAAAAAACAAATTGCTATGACCAAAAATTACAATAATAGGTGGATGAAGTTATAATCACAACTAGTGTAATATAAAACTCGAACCTAAGCCTAACCCTTAGTGGTCGAGTCTAAAATCACAGTATCACACATCAAAGCATCAGTGCACACTTACCTTCTTCACCAAAGTGTCCTGGGGTGGCACCGTACGAGACCCATTTAATGAACATCAGAAGCACCATGTAGAAGAAAAGGAGGGTGAGGAATATAATCTGGGGGATGAACTCCACGTAGATACTGATGCGGCGCTTGAAGTAGCTGCAATGATTTTAATAAATTAAAAAAAATAATTCAACGGCAAATAACTTTTTGCTGGTAAAAAGCTGTTGGGTAACTCATAAAACAAGTAATATTTCGTCTTTGTTTGAATAAGAATAGTTTTTCAATGTTACCTATTACATTTATTAATATCACCCATACATAACAATCTTGAGAATAATTCACTTTTTTAAAGGTTAAGCCAGTCTTTATTATAAACATAATTTATATTGTATGCTCTATTATATATATATAATTGTGTTCTGATCAATTGTTGTATCTCTAAAGAAAATAATGATTCAAATTAGAAGAACAAAAATATCATTACATATGGTTCCATAGCGAGAGACAGACACCGAACAACATGTGGAACACTCCGATGATGATGGAGATCTTCATTTTGTACGCGTTCATGAAAATAATCTTGTTCGCTTCAGCCAACTGCAACAATGTTAAATTTTCATTTATCACTTTTACCCAATATGCTGAATGCAATATCACAGGCAAATTAAATTTTTACGGCAAAATGTTTTGTTTTCAGTAAGTGAATTAGGAAATTTATTGATTGACAGTTCGTCTCCCCATGACCAAGGCTGCTGCAAAGCATCCGAAACGTCGGGCCGGAGTTCAAAATCATTTTCAAATCAGTTTAACTAATATATCGCGTTTTAAACCGTTAAAGTGTTTTATTTAAATAATAGTCCTTTTTCTTAGCGTCATTGAATTCATGTGTGGTTTACTAACTGGTTAACTGGTTATTGTTTGTCATATAAAAATAAGAACCACTGTTTTGTATTAAATATCTTATTTTCTTAAATAAATGCGTACCTGCCAGACAGGATCGATACCGAACGGATAAGGCACTTGTAAATAGTCCTCCGAATCCGGATTGAGCTGTAACAACTTGTTCTCGGCCAAAAAAGTCTTGTTGTAGTTGTTCTGCCACGACGAGCCGAATATGTTAAGACTCTTGGAGAAGATGTCGTTATAGATGAGGCCCGTGTACATAGAGAACAGTCCCATCAGCAGGATGATGTAACGGCCGCCAAAGAAAATGTTCCAGATCTGGGTGATTCAAAGACAATATATGGAATACGGTGTTACGGTCAAAATATTTTTTTGTAATAATTATTACTATTAAAATAGTATAATAATAATAATAAAACCCTTTATTGAACAAACATAGACACTTAAAATAAAAAGTTTGTGCAAAGGCGGCCTTATCGCCTATGGGGTTTCTTCAGGCAACCTTGGTTTCGTATAGTTTTTACGGAAATGTAATGCCTTATCGTTGAAAATATCCAACTAGCAACAACTGCGTGAAGAGTACCCGTTATAGTCTACAAATGCGAACAATAGTAGTGTAATACATATTAGGTGGTAGGTCCGTACCAACTAATCTGTATTTCTCTTACGAAAAGTAGGTGATTTGAAACAATTGATCAAGTTTTCAAGGGATTTGAACCCCCAATGTAACCAAATTCTTCCCATTAGGTAGAACAAAGAAAACAGTAGGAACAGTTTTGATTCAATTTAGAAACAGACATTTCTGGTGCTCCTTTGCTTGTGTTCAATTCACGAACATTATACATACATTAATATTTATTTCAAATGGTGTCAATAAACGAGGATGTTTACCAACCTCACTGTCAATTTTTTTCGCTTGCAAAGGCTTTTCCTTATAACACATCCAGAATCCGAAGGCGGCCATCAACGCACCGTGGCCGAGGTCCCCAAACATCACAGCGAAGAGGAACGGGAAGGTAATTATTGTGTATGGTGCTGTGGACGATACAAAACTATTGTAAACATCTTACATACAGCTGTAACGTTTATCCGATCTAAATTATAAATATATTCAGGGTTAAACTACTACTACTATAGTTTACGCGAGTAGTACACATTTAAATAAAACACTTTAACGGTTTAAAATGCGATATATTAGTTAAACTTATTTGAAAATGATTTTAACTTTGGCACGACGTTTCGGATGCTTTGCAGCAGCCGTAGGTCTCCCCGTGACGTTAAAGTGTTTTATTTAAATATTCAGGGTCGTTAAAATGACTACAGGCGACCGGTTACCGCGTCAAATAATTTGTTGTCTACGTTATATAATTTGGGGCTTATTTAATTATTTATTCCTTGGTCTTCGAAGCAACTGAAATTGGTCTGAGAATAAACCACGCGGAAACGGAAGACCCAACATTTCTGCTGGGCTAGCCATTTGGAGAGAATGGGTGATTACCGTTCAAGAAAAAAGAAAAACAGTGTTGGAGTTAGAGCAAAGATGCGATTTGATCACATTATTTATTATGAACATTTCATTGTTATAAATAAATTTTCGCTCACCAGGGTTAACTTCTCTGTACGTGGCAACACCGTACGCGTAGATGAGGTTTTGGAAAGCAATAGTAAATTTGTTGTTACGGTTGTAAGTGGGCGGGTCTTCTAGCGTCTCCATACGATTCAGGATGGGCGGCACAGAGCTTCCGCTGCGTTCCTGCAAATGATACATAATATATCTGTGTATTTGATAGTTTGTAACGACAACTTTACATTTTAACAAAAATAAAAAAACATTTTTCTGTTAAAATACTTTCAGGTACAGCCAGTTATAGATAATAAAAATTGCATTAGATCAAAAAACGGGGCTTTGAATAAAACAAATTTAACAGCTTTAAACGCAATATGTTTTAATTAAAAAAAAAAATATTTAAAACTGATGTTAAAAACCAGATCGACGTTTCGGATTCTTGGCAGCAGCCGTGTTCACGAGGAGACCACGACGACCACGGCTGCTGCCGAAAATAACTTGTAAATAAGTTGAACAGATACATTTCACGTTTTATAGCGTTAGAACGGTTTTTTAATGTGTACGACTGGCGTAACAACAGACAGTATTTAAGTTTGCTTAGATAATGGTGTATGTGTCCAAACGCCAAGTCATATGTATAAAATCGCTAGGAAACCTTTAAGGGGTATCGTAACGTGTTCGGTAAAGTGAGACGTGAGTAATAAACAAAACGACAGCGAAGAAAAAAAACTTTTTTACGATTAGAAAGTAACCAACGATAGTTACTTAGTATACTTCCCTTCTCTGATTACGCAAAATACACGCGCCTGTTATACTATCTTGATTTAATTGTTAATACAGTGTGTAAAGGGGTTAGAATTGGTGTATCCATTCTAATTTTGGATTTAAATTTCATTTATGCTTTAATAGACGTCATTATGTAGCCAATTAACCCGCAGGTACACACCGTGCCTCTCCTTAGCGCCAGTTGTATAGTCTCCATGTCTAGAGCAGGCACCCAACATTCAGCGATAAGACATTTCTGCGTCACATCCAGGTTGAAGAGATTGAGTGTATGGTAGATGGCCTTAATCTTGCGCACTTTCACGAACCAGTTCTTGATATTCTTGGCAGCTGCTACCAGGACTCGGTGACGGTGGTCTTGAGTTTGACCGAGAACCTGGCGAAATTGGAAATTAGATTAAATGGCTAAACTACTAAACTACACTGTTTAATCTATACTAATATATAAAGTTGAGTGAAGTGTTTGTTTGAACGTGCTTATCTCGGGAACTACTAGTTCGAATCGAAAAATATTTCTTATGTTGCTTGGACCATTTATTGAGAAAGGCTTACAAACATCAGGCTGCGAAGAAACAAAGGAAAATGTGGAAAAATTATTCATCTGCGAGGGATTCCGTTGCGCGCGCTGCAAAAACGATTCAAGAAACCAAAAAATACGACGGGCAAATACAAAAGGCGAAAACTGTTCCACGCGGACGAAGTCGCAAGCACGGCTAGTAGTTATATATAAAAAGAAATCCATGGATCAATTATTATGGAAAACATTTATATCTATATGATTAATTAAATCCGTGTTAAATTTACTATCGTTTTCGTAAACAGCTCTAGAATGACCATCATAATACCACCATAACTCATTAAACCGCAGACGTAACATGCATGAACGATGTCCCTTGTAAAATCCGTAAACAAAATTATGTTATTAAAGTATGTTGTCATGTTGCCTAATTGCTAAGCGCTAGACCAACATAGTAAAATCCACGTTACACGATAATCTAATGACGCTTTCTGTGTCAAAGACGCCTCGAGACCTTCAACTGATAAACAATGCGAGATCGGTTTTTCAAATTAATGGCTTTTGTCGTATGAAAAAAGACCTATTGTTTGTGGTTGACGGCAATTTTTTCATTTTTTTGAAATAATATATTTAGTTTCTATTATTAGAAATACGTGTCTATGTTATGATTCGTGTACTAAATACAATTCGATATATTTCTCCGAGTTTAGTAACAGCAAGAATGAAACTTAAAGTAGATATGAGGCCGCTAGAGCCAGAGTAGCCTAACAGTAATTTATATGACTTGACTTATTTATGTTTTTATACTACTACTCTTATTTATATTTTTATCCTTACTCTACGTAACGTCTAAAACTACAAGAGCACAGTGACCGAAAATTGTTAACATTATTCTTACACAAATAATAGTACAAACTCATTTTCGCCCAAGTTATTTGCGCTTTTTTATTTTCCTCCTTATTGAAAATCATGTTATCATCTTTTTTATGATTTGGCCACTCTGCTTCTAGCAGCCTCATATAGAAAAAAAACTTACGGTATTCAAGTCTTCAATCCTTGTCATAACCCCCATCGCCATCTCTCGCCTATCAGCGGGTGCTTCAGGGCACGGGTACAGAGTAGCACGGAAACCCTCGCATATCTTTTTCACGCGAGTCTTCAGCTGGTCTCCTTGGAAGAAGATGATGAATACGGACTTGTAAACTTGATCCGACTGAAAAAGTATTTACATTGTGTAACATTTCAATATGAAATAACTTAAGTAGAATTTATATAAAAAATACACTATACCTAGTTTACGTATAGTGTATTTTTTCATAGTTGGCACTTTTGTAAACAAAAACATGCAATTTCTGAACACTGGATTATATATTAAACTAATGAATTCCTAAATTCACAAATCCTAAAAATTAATTTACGTAAAATACAGATTATGTACAAATATTAGTGATGAGATAAAGTCAACGGCAATAGAAGGAAAAAGTCCCACTACGCTACGTTCGCTTAAAAGCGTTACAAACGTCGAAGTAAATAATAATGACTTAACAATTAAAAAAAAGGTCATAAAAGCAGTTTTGAACATTGAGGTCGTTTGGCACAAATATAATGGATATTTCTTTAACCCTGTGACATCTGTGGCGACGACTACTCTATATAAAAGGACATCATTAGTTCTCTATGGTTTGAAATCGTCCATATTAGTTGTGGTCTTTTGACAAGTTAGAAAGAATACACTATAAACTAATCTCCCAAATATAACGTACCGAAGATGGATCCTCCAGTGGCGTATCGATTTCAGCCTGTCTCAAAAACACGTTTCCTCTGCAGGCTCGCCATAACATTCTCTCGAATGCTGGGATGCGTTCCCGAAGAATCACGCCGGCGACGAAACTGTACATAAATTTGTCTAAACACATGGCATAGCGCGTAAAAAAAGCTTTTCCTGGAGAAAGAATAATACTAGTATTTATCAAAGATTTATGAAAAATACTAGAAAATAACACAATTGTAAAAATGTATTCTTTCAACAGGATAGCTAAGTATTATTTTCCCATTTTTCAGGAATTTAAAATTGGAATACGTGCATGTTCGCCGCCGTGCAAAGGGATGCACATTCAGATAGCCGTGTAAACAATTTTTTTTTTAATTCAGTTTCTTTTTATTTGGACAGTGAATTTTGACAATCTATATCTGTAAATGTACATTCCGATCCTAGCAGCGCTAATATAAAAACGTTAAAAGCCTCCATTGAAAGTCAAAGTTTTCTTTCATTTCGTAAAATATCAGTTTTATTGCTTTTTCATGAAGAACTGGAAATTAGTTTACCTTGTATAAAATAGACTTAACTTGTCGAAAGATGTGTATGGTAGTGCATATAGACTTAAATGCGTTTGACTTTCTCTAGAGGAACGCTCGTAGAATATATTATACCACCATCCTTGTACTTATTCCACACTAACTCGAGAAAGATGTTGAACATTTGAATGTGAGCGTGTAAAAACCAGGACCTATATTTATTCTTCATATATGTTCGCTGAGTTTATCGTTCTCTTAAGAAGAAAGGTTATACGAGTTACCTATCTTCACTATTTTCCTTATTTTTTACATATACATATTTACTGAATTTGTAATATGTAAAGAAGGATTGGCAAAAGATTTTTGTCTCAATGTCAAAAATGATGAAATGTGTACTTTGTCATCGTGATTTAGTTATCCTATCAATTCTAGTTATTATTTTTACAATTTCTGTGTTGTTCTTTCTAGCAATCATTGTAGTTAAGTAATACTTCCATCTGATATTTTTAATAATCAGAGAAAAACCAACAATAAACACGTAAAAAATCGTAGTATTGTGACGAAAGTACTTGTATCTTCAATTTAAAGTGATCGTATCTAGACAAGTTAAGTGCGAAATCATGGCCGATTTTTTTCCATTACTAATCTAAATGATAAGGAAATCATTCGTAACTACAACTCTATCAGCGATAACGTATAATTATAGTGTAATCGTTTAGTTATATAATTCATGACAACAAAAACTACTATTATATTACTTACAAATGTATTGTTCCCATTAGGGGTCATCCATAAAGTACGTCACACAAATTTCTGAGACCCCCTACCTACGTACCTCTAGATACATTAGATTTTAAAATGTGATGTCGCGAAACTTAGGGAGCCTGGGAGCCCTCCCAGGGGGATGTTGACAAAGTGTCCCCACCCCTTGTCACACTCCCTCAACCCCCCCCCCCCTTCACGTGTGACGTACTTTATGGATGACCCCTTATTTAAAGGAATGGAAATATAAGCTCTTAAGCGTGAGGTCGTCTAGGTCGGGCAGACTATAGTAGTCTATCAGCTATGCCCCTGTTAATAAAATCGATCGGTGCAACTTACATAGGAACAGACTGCCTGCCTCTTGCCTAACATAGATTTGACGGGCTAGTTTAACGGTAGTAACGTGAGGCCGATAATCAACCGGTGGTGGATTCGACCCCACCGGGTTCAACATATTGCTAATCATATCGTATCATAATTTTTCTGACTTAACATGGAAGTGTGGATATTGAATGGGTGGTAGGAATAATGTAATTCTGTCGTGATCACGTACCACCGTCCACAGATGAAAAAGCTATGAAGCTTAATCGAGTTTCGGTTTTCATCTGTGTATTTCCGAATATCCAAAGCCAAAATAGCGCGTCGTATTGTGTTATATTGCTGGGATATTTAACCTTCTATCGAGTGAACTCCATTCTTTGTCTGTCCTCACCTATCATATACATATGTCGATAACATACATATTTAAAACATTTGATACTGCACTGCTTGGTATATGAGCAGAAAGAATTTGTAACAAATCAAATAAATAAATAAAGAAATAAATAAATAGGTATTCATTTGAGTTGATTTTATACAAAAGTGATAAATAATATTTTAGTTTACCAAGGTGACAAATCAAAACTATAGTTGGTGGTGTTAAATTCAGTTATTGAAGGTAGAAATACCTTGAAAATTTTAACAACTCCTTTTCAGTATAGCTATGTAATACATCGATGTGTATGAGGAAAAATATTATCTTCGTCATTTCATGGGTTTTATTAAATTTCCGTCATCATGCAGTGTAGACGTGATAGAATTATGCCTATACAATGATACATTCATGTTCTTTTGCGATAAATTAAATCGTATTTTGAAATTAGTATTGGGTTCGCATATTGGTCGCGGTTGACTTTGGTGGCGTTAAGTTTAATAGTAATTTTTTTGTTCTTATAGCATAAAATATCCAAAATTCAACTATTTCTGCGAATCAAAGACTTGTTTATACATCACAATTACATATATATATATATATTTTTTTACATTTTAATTTTGGACTATATGTTATCACAAGCGATGGATATATTTTTAATGACTAAAACTTTTGACTACAGGCTGATTTCAAGCATAGCCTAATCTATAGTTGAGTAGGTCAAACCCCCAAAGATCCGTGAAGTGCTTTGGGATATTAGGGTATACATACAGACAGATAAGATTAATTTAAAATATTTCTTCTTATCTGTCACTTGATAAAGAGGGATCAAGTTTTGACAATTTTATTTAATATGCAGATACAAACAAACTATCTATATTACTTTATTATACAAGGTGGATATTGGATATTAATTTAAAACGTTAACGTAACTATGAAGGTAAACGATTTGAATTTGAAAGCAATACCTATTGAGTGATAACTTAATGCTATATAACTATATATTGAGGTGGATGTTGATAATAAATTGACACATTCGTTTAAAAAGAACCTACCTACGTACTGAATATTTCATATTTATATCTGTGACGTTTGAATGATGTAACAGCGCTTTGGCAGCAAGCCAAGCCATCAAAGCGGTAGACATACATTTTTAAAACACTAACTGTAAGATTCTGGAATTTACAAAGACCCATAGGAGGGCAAATTTTTTAATTGCAATAATTCATTAAAATGATCAATATCTTTCTCGTCTTTAAATAACGTTTATCCATCACCAAACTCGCGTATTCTCATGACCACTGTACCCAATGCTATTCCTTCTCTTACAACAAATATGTACTTATGTCTTGTTATATCTTAAGAATTTTAAAACGACCAATTAACACAAGCGATGGAATTCTTACTTGCTTAGATTCTTGGAACAAGATATAATTAGAAGTGAAGTTTAGTTTACGATCAAGTTCATAGCAGTATAGAAAATTACATTTCCCACCATAACCCCCATTTTATGTTCCTCATATATGTTTCGCAGACCAATACGACCTCGTGATACGAATCATTCAATGGGATTGTATGAAAAGCAAAACCGAAGAATACTAAACCTTGTTAAAGAGATTCCCACGACCGTAATTATTATTAGGTGAAATAAACGTGAGAGACAGACATTTAAGTTGTCACGACTACCATAAACACCACTTACAATTTGTAATTGCACTTATTTCCTGCTTTGTGTTAATAATTTTAATCATATTGGTGTAGTGAGATGCTTATGTTTCAGGGTTCGCTTTATGTGCATAATATGAACTAGTGTTTTGAGTAGAAATTTGCAAAAACCATCATTGCATAATTTCATTGCGGCTACAAACACCTAGTACTGAAAATAAATGTTATTCTGCGCTATCAATATAAGGTGATATTTGACTGGAATATTCTACTATGACGCTGCTCGCTACAAATCAAAACTCACATAGATATAAGCATACACCTGTCTGATAAAGAAATTTCGCAACGCCGCATGAAAATTGGGGTTAAATTTGCTCTCAGTCAGTTGTCTGTTTATCTCAAATAAACAGTGTTAGATCGAAGCTCTGTTTAAATAGAACACAGTCTCTAAATATCAGACTAGTGCTTCCAGGTATTTCTCTGGAGAATTACCAACAAGTAAAATACTAGTAATGAAACTTTGGGGATGTTTAGAATCCGACTCATGCTTTTGTTTTTAAATTACAAGTCTAAATATATAATTGGGGTAGTGCTTATTTAATATTTAGATGTATATAACAAGGATAAGGGGAGGGGAATAACGTTTGTATCGGTCAGCTACAGAATACGGCATACAGGAACACCCGAAGATACAATAGACCAGTGAAACAGGCACAGTTGCGTGTTTATCCTATATATATAAGCTGATAGCTGATGACGAATCCTGAGGATCGCGTATTTCGCATATTAGCGCTATGAAAACATACGAATCACGACTTACTTAAGGTAAACGTCCGTTTCTAACGGTTCGAGTTTATAAACAAACGACGCTCTAGTATTTTACATTCTTCTGAACTGGGTGTATCTCGTGTGTAATATGGAGTAACGTAAATCTAATAGGTTATAATTACCGTACTAAGTGTAACTGTGGTCGCATTCAATGAAGTTAACTATTTGTTTTTAAAAGGTGTATTGTGTGTCATTAAATGTTCATAGTTGTAAACAACAGCTGTTGCTTACGTATCTTCTCTTCAACCATACACATTGAATCATTACAAAAACAAAAAACTCAAAACAACACGAGTTATCAGTAAAATAGAGATTTTTACATTTACTCATAACAAGTACATCACTTATATCTCTTTCCGTCTTTCAGACGGAGAATTCCATCGATGGAATAATTAATGATGTTGTGGGGCTTTGGTGAACTCTCGTCAAAATTGAGCCAAAAATGTATGGTACTTGCATGAGGAACAAATTGGGTATAAACTAAAAAATGCAATAAACAAGTATCTACAAGTTCATACATATGAGTCACGAGTGGTAATCCCCCAAATCAGAGTGTGATCTTGAATCATGACTATTCCGTTTACACATAGACTAGATTACAACCAAAAATTATTGCCGATCCTTAAAGAAGCGTACGATATAAATCTTGTTAAAATAAGTTTTATTTTTACAAGGGAAAATTCAGAAGAATGTAATATTGATGAAATTGTTTTATACTCGATTCAAAGTTCTTAAGTTGATAGTGAAAAAAGTCAAGGCTAAGCAAGAAACGGTACGGACATTTGAATTTCAATGCACATCTGTTCTGGTGCTCGTCACGGTTACGTAATGAATGAATAGCATCGGGTAAAAATACTACTAAATGAAATGGACTCGACACCAAAATTAATTCATATCGCATATAGAATGTTCAATTTTGAGGTCGACTAAATAAAGCTAAAATCTAAATCACTCGTACCAAGACGCTGTTGGGCCGCAGGAGAAAATACGGAATCTTAATCGAGACGCTTTTTATAAACGCACTATGATAAACGAGTAAAGATTGGGCTGTCGTTATAATATTGACTGACACTAAAAGTTTGTTTACTAACATATCATTATAATTCCAAATGATACGCCTCATTTTATTAGGACAAATACTGCTTCTCCAAAACTAAAACACGCCTCATAAGTAATAAACATTTAACTATGAGCGTTTATATAAAACGTTTGATATAGATTGACTCAATTTTTAGCATTTACATTTTGCACCGAGATATCTCATCTATTCTTGAAGTCCAAACCTTTAAAGTATAAAGTAAATGTGAAAGTGAGTTAGTAAGCCAAACGCCTTAGAAGCTAAGATCAAGAAGCTAAAAGATGTGAACAGGAGGACCATTACAACTAATCCGAAAAATCCCATCTACAATAAATACTATGTACACTACTAACCAGGGCAGGAATTCCAAGGACTCTTGCTTGTCCCGATAACTAGGGAATAAACCAAGCACATTTAGATATTTACGTACAGTGTATTCCTAATATTAGTTTATCATTTTCTTATTGGGGCATGCACAGTTTAGCTTTTCTTAACAAAATTATGCTTCGTTTTAGAAGAATCAGCCAGACATCGATTCGCCTTGACGCACGATAGCGGACGTTCACAAAGTAAAATTTCGTTACTGTTAGCAGTGTCAATATTTGCACTCCAAGCGTTAGTTTGACAAATAAGAAAAATGTCTCGGTAGGAATTATATGATAGATCGCCTTCGTCATACGGTAAAACGAATCTTATGTCGATATATATTGCTTTCATAATTTCTGAATGGAAGTCAACAGTGTATGTATAGAGTGACCACTGAAACGAACAAATTAGGTATATTGGATATTTGGGCAAAGATCGATTTCAAATAATTTATTTCAGTGATCATTCGTGGCATTTAAAGTCATCGTCACACTAGTCATGTATGTACACATACATACCCTAGTTGGACTTGTCCCATATGTCTGTTGGGGTCGTCAGAAATGAGCGCCCGTGTCATGGATTCTGTAGTGGTATTCGCACCGCCCTCGTGCTGACAGACAAACAAACAAGTACAGACATTGTCCGACGGCACAACACGAAAGCTTAGCATCGATACAGACGGCTCGATTCATTGCTTGTTGTATTAAAAAGTAGCACCAATACGCCTGTGCTCTCTAACTGTACCAAGCAAATTTCTGGGTTTGTTAGTTCTATGTGTTTCGTGTCTCTAACTAAACCTTAATAACGCTACCAAATAAAGAAACAAATAAAGCATGCAACAAATACAGAAAGCATGATGGATGAAAGAAACCCTAAGACGAATCGTTCCTCACGCCGGAATCAGGGTGAAGTGGACTTCAAAAATAAATAGTTCGTTTGTTAGTGGCAACTCACTCAGGCAGCAGTCGATTAGCATCGGATATCGTCTAGATTTCTAGGCACCGTATTAGATGTCTACCGGATCCGCTCTCTACGTTAAGCTATCAATCCATCACACATTAAGTTAAGAAGTGTTATTCTATCAGTATACTATAAACCGGCCGTCTCCAATGCTTGCCTGAGTGGTGAGCGGTAGACTCCCGTATCAGCGTCACAGTACAAGCGCTGCAAAAATAACATTACTCGAGAACTTGCTTTGACCGGCGAGTCAACGCACGTCCGAGCTCTCATAATTAATCATACCCCAACTTGAGCGCTTGCCCTCCCGCCATCAGGCCCTCTTCCCCAAGCAGTGTGACTTGTTCCTCCTCGCGCGACGGGTCCGCCATCTTGTGCACATAGGCGCCGAAATGGCGCGAAAGTCAGCAAATGGTTCAAAGTCAATGTCACATTTTTTATTAATATAATTACAATCAATGGACTACGAGAATACGCACCTTGGGTCGTATTTTAAATATTGACTGAAAGTTAGCACTTACTAACTGAAGGTCAATCAATGTAAATGTGACATTGATGTTGAACAAAAACACAATAGAACCTACGCGTTATTCAGAAAATTGTCAAAGTTTAGAAGAAATAATACCCATGACCATCGAAGTTATAAGGGTGTTATATTAATCGCAGTTGTGCAGCCTTTTAGTACGATGACAGGATTTATAGACATAATGTCACGTGTCTTACACATAAACTCGAAAAATTATAAAAAAAATTGATGCTGTAAGCATGAAACATCGACCAGAACGAAAGGAAATACATAACAATAAATATTATAATTATAATATTTTCGCAACATTTCGTTTTGGAGCTACTTTTTTCTACAACAGCTTAAATCCGGCGAAATAGATGATAAATCAGATTAGGTAAATTGACTTAAACGATCAGTAAAAAGTTTTAAGTTAAATTGACGAAAAACAAACAGCTGAATACTTAGCATACGTGCATAATTAATCGGTTGACAACTTTACACGGGCGATCACAAGGGCTCCGTCGGCAGATAATAGTGATCTTGTCACGCGATTTATAACAATTATTAATTATATACGTCATTCGGTTACGTGGATAGTGTGACATTAATAATGACGCTTAAAATGATGTCTGATATATCAGTAAATATAACATAATGGGAAAATTCATTGGACTAACCTCGTCGAAGAATACTTGAGTCTTTCGCAGAATATGCTTCAACTCCGTGAGTTCGAGGTAGTTTCTTTTCAGGGCCTCCGCATTTTGGTTCACTTCGCGAAGTTCATTTTCGAGTTTCTCGAAAGTCGCCTACAGGTTAAAGAGGCACAATTCATCTTGACAGTACTCTCAAAGATAAATAAAAAATATGATTTAAAAGTTATAGGATAAATGTAAGTAGTATATCAATACGACCACTGAAAACTGATTGATTTTGAGACTGATAGTTAGGAATAAAACGGACAAGTTCTAACCGCATTCAAACGGACGGGTTCCATATATCTAATAAAACTTGTATGAACTATGGAAGCCAAAATGAGGAACATGAGCCACCAAACAGATAGATCTTAGATATAGGGTCTTTTTTTACTATTTTTGTAAGCAACTCTAAACGTGAACAGTACAATTTACTTTTTTTCCTAAAAACCTTTAAGCCTACAAACCTCCAGGTCGATCATTTCCCTAGGCTGTGGTGCTTCAGGACACTCTCCTGGGATTTCCAGCATAGGGATGCCATCCCGTCTGATTTCCTTCTCCAAGTAACGGAGCTTGCGCTCCATTTCATCACACCGCCGGACTTCGTTAACGAATTTCCGTTGAAAGGCATTTACGTCAGGATTTAACTGCAGAAAAAGAAAATTTACTATTTATGTATAATAAAGCATTACTTATGTTAAGGAAACAATAGAGTATGTTTCATTTACCTGTATTGTTGTATAGATTAAGTTTTCCCTGTTATTTTATTATGCATTAAGTTTCACCAATCATAAATGTTAAAATCAACAGGCAAAAATGTTTAGTTTGTAATAATAATTTTTAAGTACCATAGCAAGATAAAATATAGAGAACATTCTTAGAAATATCAATAGTTTTAAGTAATAACAATTTGTCCTGAGTCCTTAAAACTCAAAACATTTAAAAACAAAAATCATAAAAACTTGAAGATGACCATTACTGTATACAAGTTGACAGTTTACGATGTGATAAAGAGTAAAATAAAGGAAATAATAAAGCATTTTCTGTTTAACAAAGCAAAATAATGATATAGCATAGACATATTTTAACATAATATTCTTTGGAGTATGGCCACATAATATTTTTGACATTTGTTTGATTTAAGGTTTTATATAGTATAAGTGTGCTGTTAGGCAGAAATACAATGTAATATCAGTAGGACAGATCTGGAAAGACTGACCAGTATGTCTTCCCAGTCATATTAATGACTGATAAACAAAGTTGGTTGCCATGAAAAGTGGTAACAGGACTTTATTCAATAATAAATAGTATACTTAAATGATCATGACTATGTACAAAGGAAATGCCATTCTGTATGCCTGTTATATAATGACACAGATTAAAGACCTCTTCTTACAAAACTGTTCTGCAACTATTTTTTTTTACTTTTAAACCCATACACATAAACCCATCCTCTTCAAGCTGAAAACCTGGCGTCCTATCAGAATACCAAAGAATGCTTACAATTAATCATAAAATATTAACTGAGGTATTAATTTGATAATAAATGAAAATAATATTGATATCAAAAGGATTAATTACTGATAAAAACAATTAAATCATGTGATTTTTATATTAGACTAAATAATAATTGTAAAATTGTGATTTGATAAAGAGTGGCGTTGACACATCTCTGTATCTACACCATGCTTAATCTTAATGTGGTTCTGTCTAACACCTAACTAACCTTCTACCTAGCCTGCATAAAAAATAATTAGTTTAAAAGAAAATACTGCTAATTAATATCAGTACTAAAACAAATTCCAATAAGAGGCATACCCATAAAATTCCTATTTAAAGATATATGTAAGTATACACTAATACTGTGTATATACTTTCACTACAAAATCTTTATTTATTTATTATATAAACGATTAACTATTCTTCACTTAAACCCAAAAACGTAAATTGTAATAACATCCAAGAGAATTATAATTATATGGTGACTAATAATAAATTATAGAAATAATGAATTGTTAAGATATCACACATGTAACAAATTTAGGTCATCAATTATAAAATTAAATCAAATGTATATCTAGAATCTAGATGCAAAAGGGGCGTTGTTACTTACATCACGGAACTGTACTAGACCAAGTTCTCCGAGTTCAGACACGCATGCATAAGCCGCCTCACTTTGCAGAAATAGCTGACAGAGAGTCATTTCCTCACTTCGGAATAAAGAACCCATCTTTATGGATTTAATATGACACTGCACGTAATACTTTAAAATTTAATAGAGAGGTTTCGCCGCATCCGTGTGCGAACGGATTTCAGCAGCGACGAAACCAATATGAAGGAGAAATCAAATCAATACAAATTACAAAATTTGAAATGACAAAACCTCGTCGTACGTGCGCATGAAAAGGCGCAGTCGCGGCAAGTGTTGCCACTAGCCAGAACAGAATGACATCTGCTATATGCCACTTGCTTTCAAAAACACACCCAACCAATGAATTCAACTATTACACAATGAAAGAAAAGAAAGAAATCGTGACAGATTTACGATTATGGTAAATTATTTTTTATTGCAAGATAATGCCTATACTACTATAATATGTCGGTTTTGTTCTACAAAAAGCCGGTGGGTAGTGGGTTGTTCTGGGTTGACAGTAAACACTTGACACAGTTTTGTTATATATATTTATAACTTATTATTTTTAGGTTAAGTTAGAGCTCTAAATTGTTTAATTAACCTATGGTAAAAAGTAACAAACAATAATTAAAATGTATGAATAATTACAAGATTTTCTGAAATAAATCTACAATGGTACGTTATAACAGGTTATTTTGTAATTCGTTAACTTTTAAGAAAATCGTTTTGATTTTCTTAAAAGTTAATAATATATTTATAGGCGCTGTTAGGAGCTCAGCTAGTCATAACCCTTATTATGGTATCTGTTATACAAAAACTCGGAAGCTATTCATTTGCAAGATGGTTGCTATGTTCGCAAGGGTTATTTCGATATCTTTATCCAGACAATACAGAATTAAAGAATTTGGCGGGAGTCCCAAAGGACAAACTTAAGGGAAAAAGAGTTAGTAAAAATGATGCGAATGGCAAGCCGGAGACGTTTCATGTGCCTAGAAATTTGGATATACAGCTAGAGACAACACCTGTTGTAGCATCCGATGTGGTATACCTAAGGTTCTATACAGAATATATTTGGATAGTTGATTTCTCTCTTTATTCTACTATAGTTTATATTATATCCGAGGTATGTACAAATGATATTCCCGTAAAATACATTATAATTTTACATTGAAATTAAAAACACATGAGATTTTATTGTATTTCAGGTGTACACATGGATATTTCCACTAAAAGATGAATTTAATTTGAGTATGGTGTGGTGTCTCTTGGTGGTTTTATTTTCATTGTATCCTTTTAAATGAAAAAAGTAAAAAGTATTTTTATTATTAAATGAAAAATACTGGTATGTTGATAAAAGGGCATTGTATTTATTTCGTTAGGGGTATACTATTATTCTTATGATTACAAGATAATCCTTAATAATTACCCAGTAAAATTCTCCTATCTCTAACAAAACAATACTTTACAAGCGATGAATCAATTGGAGAACGGTCAACATGCATAGTGGCATTTTGTGTTTTCCTTTTAATTGCTATGTTAGTACTGATTGTCGATGAAAGTAACTTGGAAGTTGGAGTTGACCCAGCCTATGATAGCTTCTATGAAAATGCATCAAAATTTCTGGAAAACCAAGGGTTGAACTCAGTGTAAGATAACTGTTGAATTCTTAAGTAAAATTTTTCCTGAATTATTATTTACCTTTATAGGCATTGAGTTCATACAAGTGTAAACTACCTAACAATGTAGTTTACACTATTCATAGGCTGACAAATAAAACATTATTGTTACTGCAGGGGTCCAGCTTCGAAGTTGATTCTAAAATTATCTCTCGCTGTGTGGGCAGCTCTTATTGGCACATTGTTTACTTTTCCTGGCTTAAGGGTTGCTCGAATGCACTGGGATTCCCTAAGGTGAGCACAGAGCTGACATTTTGACCAGATAGATAGATAATAATTAGTAAAGGACACAAATTTAAAAAAAAATACTGAATAATGTATATTTTTAGATACTACGGTGACAACAAGATTAAAGGTCTCCTTTTGAATTTAAACTTTGCACTGCCCTTTATACTGACTCTGTTGTGGGTAAGGCCTATAACTCGCCATTATCTGACTGTCAGATTGTTCAGTGGAATGGATCAGCCTATGTAAGAGGGTTATAACCATACAATTATAAAACAACCTATATATAACTACTAATTCTCATAAAGTACTAGTAAAAAACAGGATTGTTTATCATTAAATTGAAGTGTTAACTGTAAAGAAAACTTTTAAATTTTTTCATTGACAATTTAATATTTCAGCATGACCTCTGCACAATTTGACTCAATGCGCCTTATTCTTTTAATTGTGATGGTTGTGTTGCGAATAGTATTAATGCCCCAGCAACTTCAAGCATATCTAGATATGGCACAAAGAAGACTAGATGCTCAAAAAAAAGAGGCAGGCCGAATAAAGAATATTGATCTCCAGAAAAAGGTATATAATTAATTTTAGGACAGCATCTAAGAATTGAAAATTTATATAGAATTTAAACTATTCAATCACTTTACATATATACATTATATCTTAACTTCTTATTTCCTTATAGGGTTTATTATGTGTAATTTCTTTTTGTGCATTCCAGGTAGCGTCAGTATTTTACTACCTATGTGTGGTAGCATTACAGTATTTATGCCCGGTTTTAATGTGTGGTCATCTGGCACTAATGTACAAAACTCTTGGTGGGATGACCTGGTCTGGTACTGCAAATAATTTAGATGAAGTGCGTGATATACCTACAGAGAATATGGAACAGTTTCAGATGGCTTGGGAAAATTTGAAAATGGTAAATGGACTGTTTTGAATTCTATTGTTTTAATGACATTTATTGTTATCAATATGTATATTGAAAAATACAGTAACAATTTTTTTTATGTTTTAGATATTCACAACTGAAGTGTATAGTGGTGTACTTGGTTTCAATACATGGTGGTGTTGTTTTGCATGGTTTCTCACCACATCTTTGGGAACCATGTACCAAACTTATTTTAGAATTTCATGATTATATGTCAACCAAAGAGCGTCAGTTACAATAGGGTACTTTTTTATTGGCAAAGGGCGTAGTAATTTTAAATATGTACAGGTTATGTCAATGATTGGAATATACAAATTTTGCAGTTACAACTTAGCATTATCTAGTCCTCTAGTAGTCACTGTCAGATTTTGGATATGACATAAATTTAAGTGCAACTTTGTATCTTTTTAATATTTGCATGATTCATGGTGAATTAGCGCAGTAAATATTCCTTTATACTTACTACATATATAGCAAACAGGATTATGTCTGTTTTAGTGCAATGCCTCGCAAACTTAGATTCTAGCCACCTGTTTGCAAGATATTGTATATACTTTTAATATATTCCTTTTGAAATATACTCCCCCTCTCCTTTATATTTATTGTTGTATAATATATGAACAAAATGTATTTCAAATGCTTTAAAGACTGATATACCATTATAATACATTTACATCTCTGTTATATAAACTTGACATATTATGTAATTTCTAACATTACAACAAGCATTTTAACTAATTTCTATGTGTGTGTGATAAAAGTTTTAAGATATTATTTTATACTATTTTATATATAAGATTTATGTTTTTCATTGTTTGCTTCAACGTTGTTATTTGTATTAGAATCTCGCTTGCAATTAACGTAATATAAAAAATAATAGAGTTTATAGATTTTGCTTAACTTGTACAATCCTTCTCACTACAGTAATAACACTTATGTTAGTGTTTGGGTTAAGTTTTGTCTTGTCTAACTAAAAACTAAATAACAATATTTAGCAACTTTATCATTCATCATTTTAAATATGTATGACATAGATTTAAGTGGTTATATTTATTTCTACTGGATTGTTATTAATAAAATTTTGTTTTTACATTGATGTTTTGTATTATTACTTTCTCACTATTAAGGTCCTAGAATAGGAATGTATTATATAAGCCATTGTCTTATAGCACTAGAAAATGCTCAGAAATAGATACTACTGTCTACTAGTCATATTAGTAAATTCGTTTTATGGATATATTTTTTTAATATTTGAACTAAGTCCGGATTAATCATTTAAACTCAAAATATAGTATTTAAAAATAAAGAAAATAAACATTAATATTCATCTGTGGCTGATTTTACATTCTATAATACACCTCTTCAATAGTGATGCTCTTAAAACGAAAATACTTTTATCGATGGGACTTAATATCTTAACTTACATGATTTAATAAAATTAGTATGTTTCATGACTTAGCATTATCCTGGAAAGTATACTGAAACCATTGACTTATTATGTTTAACTATATTTAATAAATATGGTAATATTAAATGTACGAAGGAACAAGTATATCAGTTACTTTTATAAATAATTAATTATTATTATATTTCTATTGCTACATAACGTTAACTATGGGAAAAAGTTCAAAACAGTATGTTAGACGATGTTGCGGTAGCAATGCGGATGATATTAATATTATCGATATTAATATCTATTAATAACGCGTCACTATACTTTAACAATTTTTTTGCCGGAATGTTGGCTGCCTTGGTAATGCATCTGCTGTGACCAATGAAATTATTTCGCGGGGCTCAATCCCTTCTCTGATTCGTTGTTTGCAGGGAATATTCCAGAAAATCCTCGTGACGTCTAGCGATTACGCGCTTGCATATAAAAATTTGTTCAATGCTCGTCGCCATCTTATTTCGTGAAAAGAGGCCGACAATCGCGCACCTTTGCTAAGTGTTCTACTATAAGTCTATTGAAGTGAAACTACTAAATTATACGCAGTAAGTACACGCTTTTTTATTGATCTTCATTTATAATTTTGTGTTGTAAGTTAATGTTCGCATTGATTCGAAATCCAACAATCATTAGTAAATTTCCAGCGGGCGGAAGTACTTTTACCCACCATGAATGATGAGTCATTTTCCTCACTGCAATAAGTTTATCTTGTTACACGGCTTTTACTGTTTATTTCAATAGAATTTAACTACATCCTGGAATTGCATTAACATCTAGAATAAACTGCCATATTTGAAAGCGTGGGGATTTCTTGCCCCACCCACGTGTTTTAAGGCTAGTACCGCTGACCCTTTGTTCGATGACTAGTTCGCTAATCATAATTTAATTTGAATCTATTATTGATTATTTTCCATCGTCTAGAAAATTCCTAGTTATCGATTTTTATTGGCGTTTTGTGACTTCTGTGTAATAGCTGCGTCGTTAATGTGGATAATTTATTTTGTTTCAGAAAATGGCAGCAAAAGCACCAGCGATAGGTATTGACTTGGGTACCACATACTCTTGTGTGGGCGTGTTCCAGCGTGGTAAGGCGGAAATCATCGCTAATGATCAGGGCAACAGGACCACACCTTCCTATGTTGCTTTTACCGACACCGAACGTCTCATCGGAGACGCCGCCAAGAACCAGGTGGCCATGAACCCTAACAACACCATTTTCGGTAAGTAAAGCAAGCATGTTGTTTAAGTTCTAACTTAATTCAACGTTGCGATGAGGCGTTTCATAATTAAGGCTGATGAGGACTAATAAAAAAACATACAACTTATTGTATTTGTCTTCAATAAATAACTTTTTATAGTTGTCTTCTATGATGATACCTAATATACTAGACTAGAGTCTCTGAAAATATTGAATGATACAAGTATTCTGAAAAAAATCTATTTGTTATAAATAGCACTTCTTTACCTTGATCATACTAAAGCTTTTCTTTTCTATTGTTATAGATGCCAAACGTCTCATTGGGCGCAAATTCGATGATCCCACGGTTCAAGCTGACATGAAACATTGGCCATTTGAAGTTATCAGTGATGGTGGTAAACCCAAAATTAAGGTTTCATACAAAGGTGAAGATAAGACCTTCTTCCCTGAAGAAGTCAGTTCAATGGTACTTACAAAGATGAAAGAAACAGCTGAAGCTTACCTTGGCACAACAGTGCAAAATGCAGTAATCACGGTTCCAGCGTACTTCAACGACTCGCAAAGACAGGCCACTAAAGATGCAGGTACAATCTCTGGTCTTAACGTTCTTCGAATCATCAATGAACCGACTGCTGCTGCGATTGCTTACGGTTTAGACAAAAAGAAAGGTGAAGAACGTAACGTTTTAATTTTCGACCTCGGCGGTGGTACTTTTGATGTATCCGTCCTGACCATGGAGGATGGTATTTTCGAAGTTAAGTCTACCGCCGGAGACACGCACTTGGGAGGAGAGGACTTTGACAACCGCATGGTTAACCACTTTGTTCAGGAGTTCAAGCGTAAATACAAAAAAGATCTAACCTCTAACAATAGAGCACTGCGTAGGTTGAGAACTGCCTGTGAAAGAGCAAAGAGAACTCTTTCGTCATCTACTCAGGCCAGTATTGAGATTGACTCTCTCTTTGAGGGAATCGACTTCTACACTTCTATCACAAGGGCTCGTTTTGAGGAGTTAAATGCTGACCTGTTCAGATGTACAATGGAGCCCGTTGAGAAGTCCCTACGTGATGCTAGAATGGACAAGTCACTAATTCACGATATAGTACTTGTAGGAGGATCTACTCGTATCCCTAAAGTGCAAAAACTCCTTCAGGACTTTTTCAATGGTAAGGAGTTAAACAAGTCCATTAACCCTGATGAGGCTGTTGCAAATGGAGCCGCAGTACAGGCTGCAATCTTGCATGGTGATAAGTCGGAAGAAGTGCAAGACCTGCTTCTATTAGATGTCACCCCTCTTTCGCTTGGTATTGAGACTGCTGGTGGTGTCATGACCACTTTGATCAAACGTAACACTACTATTCCTACAAAGCAAACTCAAACTTTTACGACCTACTCCGACAACCAACCCGGTGTACTCATCCAAGTATTTGAGGGTGAACGTGCAATGACAAGAGACAACAACCTCCTAGGTAAATTCGAACTTACTGGCATTCCTCCAGCTCCACGTGGGGTTCCACAAATTGAGGTTACCTTCGATATTGACGCCAACGGTATTCTCAATGTATCTGCTGTAGAGAAAACCACTAACAAAGAGAACAAAATCACAATTACCAATGACAAGGGTCGTTTGTCTAAGGAAGAAATTGAGCGTATGGTCAATGAGGCTGAGAAATACAGGAATGAAGATGAGAAACAAAAGGAAACTATTCAAGCGAAGAACGCTCTTGAATCTTACTGCTTCAACATGAAGTCCACCATGGAAGATGAGAAGTTAAAGGACAAAATCTCTGACTCTGACAAGCAAACAATTTTGGACAAGTGCAACGACACAATCAAATGGCTAGATTCCAACCAGTTGGCTGACAAGGAAGAATATGAACACAAGCAGAAGGAATTAGAGGGTGTATGCAACCCTATTATTACAAAGATGTACCAAGGCGCTGGAGGTGCTCCTGGTGGCATGCCTGGCGGTATGCCCGGTTTCCCAGGTGGTGCTCCAGGTGCCGGTGGCGCAGCCCCTGGTGGTGCCAGTGGACCAACCATCGAAGAAGTTGATTAAATATTTAAACAATACATTCCAATTTCACTATGTAAGATCGTCATAGTGTTAATCCTTCTAATCGAAATAAATGATTGAACGTAATATTCCATTCTTATTATTTTTTTCTATCTAGATTTAAGGAGTTAAATCAAATTAAACAAAATTGCTTGACTAATAATCAATAGACAAAACAAGATTGTACTTTTTGTTGAGTTAAAATTTAAAATCCCAAAATACCCAAAAGAATTAATAATGACTTTTGTTATTTGTGTAGCTGGATTGAATTCTCATCAGGCAGGAACATTTATTTTTTATGAATATTCTGCCATCACAGAATATATGTACCTATTGCGAGAGAATGATTATATTAGTGCTTAACTATTTACAACATCTCAGAGCAATGTTTTATCAATAACCTCAATATATTCAGTAGGGTGTGGATAAGAGCGGAGGAGGTAAGCATCCAGCGGGGAATAAAACTTCTAAGTGATTACATTTTTATATCCATCTTTAAAACAGCAATTGTATTATCCGCCATTTAACAATATCGCTCGACACTTAAACTGGCATACTATACATATAAAACGTACCTACTTTCAAAACTTACAAATAATGCGGTTCCTACACCTAGAGTCTGTACTTTTTTGACAAGGCTGAGGCATACCTGTTGTAAAATATGAAGGTGTGTATATTATCTGGTCATCTATTTACTAGGTTTGACATTCGATCATCTGGGTCAGGCTGGGCCAGTTTTTTAATTTGACGTTGATGTAGCCGCCAGTCAGAAAAGACATTTTAAAAATGGCTGTAAAAATTAGGCACTAAAATGCGTTTTTAATAATATACTACTTGTATTGCTTAATAAAATCTGTTAACTAAATTAAATATCGCTTTTTTATCTCTGAAAAGCTATTTGTTTCGCCTCTTTCTAGTTGCAACGGTTTGGTTAGAAGTTTTTTTTTTAAGAAAAGTTTTCTAAAACATGATTTGAATCCCAATAACCCAAATAAATAAAGCTTGGAGTTTGGCGACTGTTAAAAAAGACTTGTACTTTTCAGTTATTGTTATATCATGAAATCCAAACCAGGTTGACGTAAAAAAATGCAGATTATTCAAAATTAGTTTAACCCACCATCATATTTTACATTCGCAATAAATATTTCAAATTTCAATTTATGTTTGTCTACCTAAATGTATTCTAGCTTACAACATAACTATCTATTCGATATCTGCTTTAATCTACCTATTTTATTTTCAATCATTTTCATCGTTCGAGGGCTACCAATGCAAGGATTTCGAAATTTATTATGCTAATTAAATAGTTCATTTAAATAGAAAATAAATGTATAAATCGTAAGGACACATCTTTATAATTAAATATCTCATTGATGAATGTCACGTAACTAAGCTCGAGGTCGAAAAATAACTTTAAAGTATAGGGTTTCTTTACAATTTATTTGAACGAAATGCAATGATTATGTTAGCCAGATAAAAATCCTCAAGTGGGTGCTATTAGTGTAAAACTGTCGCTGGAATTTGGTGCTCGACTCACTTGTCTGTCAGGGTCGTGACACCGAGTTTCTTTATATTATGTGATCGAGGTTTTGTAGAATACCGTGAATTCTAAACTTGATGTACCTGTCGCATGTTACTCGTTCGTGAATTTGTATCTAGCATTACAATAGTCCTGCCTATATACCTAGTGTAAACATATTCAATTACTTACCTAGACTAGACAAACTCGTACATAATATCACGTTTGTGTAATTAGGTCGTATCTAATTACAGATGCATATAATATTATGTACTTAAACTGCGATAAAACAATTCCATAAATTTGATACAAATATTTGGCATTAAATTATAACCGTTTTATAATCTATAATAAAAACGACATTCTTAACGTTAACCGCAATATTAAGAAGCTCATTTACATTAATTCATGTATTTACACAAATTTCGTTAACTAGATGTATTTATCGCAGAAAATAGAATAAACTTTTTTCTGCATGCAAATATATCTAATTTATACCTACCGACATAGTTATAATCCCAAAATACTTTAAACAAAAATTGATAACATCAAAAATATGCTTAAATTATTATATAACATTAACATTTAATAATTTTAATGTAACCACGTCGAAACTATCATTAAAATGTTATAAATAAAGTTTTGATGACAAATCTAACATTCCTATATTTAGTATAATTAAAATAGACGAAGGTTGGATAAACGATTTAACGTGAATAGAACAACATTTATCTTGTAAGCGCGTGGTAATTCTCGTTACTCAAAAATAATTTTAACCTGTATAATTTAAAGATTATGTTCCTTGTTCTTGGAACAATGGAACTTGTTCTATCCATAACTTGTTCCATATCCATATAATAAAATAGTTTCCACTAAGAACAACGCAAAATAATTTGATTTATAGGACTTTTTTGAAATTAACGATTTTTAAAACTTTACGCCTGCAAATTTCATACTTTAATTTTAATGTAGGTTCAATACAGTTACACTATGAAGGAAATTTCTGGTGAGTAGGAGTTTGGTAAATGAGTGACAGAGGCAAGGAGACGAGGACTTAAATAAAAATAACATAACATTGATGGTTTTCAATTAGAGATTATTAAAATATGAGAGGTGTATATTATTTAGGGGTATGGTTATTAAATAGTAACCGATTTTCAGACCTACTGAATATGCACATCAGAAATATCGGTTTCGGAAGAGTGTGCTAACTAAAACTCTGACACGAGAGTTTTATACAATAGATATTGAACAGACATAGATATAACAAAATAATGCTAATTTTAAAGCCTAGCTATCTTGTCAAATGACAGTCTTGAAAACAATTGGTATGTTTTATCTACAACTTATATGTATTAGAGTTAATTGTGGCTTGTGATTCTCTTTAACAGACAAGCTAGTATGATTTTAAGTAGTACTTATAAACAGCGCCGGCGCCAGGATAGTCTTCGGAGGAATATTGCGGCCCCACATTCTTATGGGCACAGGGGGTTTATTTATTGCTGATTTACTGATCCCGAAAACTTCATTCTGCAGACACAGTTTGAGGATGTAGGACCGGGGGCGAGTCTCCCAACGTCAGCTCTAGTCACAAGTCTACTTAGATATCGAAGACATGTTTTATGACATTGATTAATTATTCTGTCAAATTAAAAAGCACATGCCACAGCTAAAATATCTACAAATCTATCTAAACTAAACTAGTATCTGGTGTTTCTGGCAGGGGTTTAATGATATTGTGCATCACCTAACAACACTGACTAGCATCACAATTAAATCCATGTAAAAATTAGTCTTCACTCTTTTACTTGTCTAAACATCGCGATCGTGATTAAGTTCGTAAATTAGTTCCACTTCAACACTTCAATGGGTAATTATTCTAAAGCACGTTGGCCACTATAGTTTCTCGTGTTAGCAGACATTCGATGTAGTCCACTGTTAAAGAGTTAATACTACATCCACGCTACAGCAGGTGTCCCATCGGATGATAAAGAGTCCATCGACCTAATGGCCGCCGAGGTGACCTGCTGTCAGTAAAGCGAGGAACTGGAGCAAGGCCCATCTACACCCTGAAGTTGGTCAGCATTCTGTAACTGCGAAATCCTGACTTAAACTTATCATAGATGAGCTTCGGACGTGTTTGTTAATTCAATATCTGACTTCTTAGATTGATAAAAAGATGTACATAGTAGAAATATGAAAATTCCATCAGGTTCACTTCACAAACCACTTGTAGAATCGCTGTAATCATTCGATGTTATGTGCAAATTCGCTGCGTTGGGGATTTTTGTGGCAGAAATTGAAGCTTCGATAAGACTAATTTAAACTTACTTCACGTATTTCACAAACGGACGGCAAGAGCCCATCAGTTGAGTTATTAGGAGACCTCGGTGAAGGAGTCGGCGCGTGTTTTGGCAGCTCTCTGCCAGCAGCCATTTTGTCGTGTAGCTGCGCGAGACGCATGCTCATCTGCCTCCTCTCTTTCTGCTCTCTCTCTCGTTCCCATTTCTTCGCGCTGTAACTCCTTATAGACGATGAGCTGCTCTGTACTGAACTTAAACTTGGACGTCGCGAACCTATAAAAAATTGTTGAATATAATTAATGTTTATGTAATTTATTAATGCTGCTTTCTTATATTAGATTTATTTTGCCATGGTTTTGTTAAAAATTCTGCGACCACCCTATAAGTTTTAGCTTGTTGTTCTAGCGACTAATTTTTTTGCCACAATTTATTTCAAGGCCCAAAGCAGATACCTGACTTCATTTTTATTATAGTTCATTAAAAATATGGGACGTAAACTCGGGTAAATAAATTTGTTAAATCAAATCAACTTATTATCTGCATTCGGCCTCACACAAAGCAGAAGCATTATAACAACAGCTCTAATGCTGCAACAGGAACATGCGACATATATAGATTTTTTTTATTTTAATACAACTTTTAAAGCTCAAGCGAACCTGTTTCCCGAATAGTTTACACAATTAATCACAATAGTTTAAAGAGAAATAATGTTAAATTCAATAAACTAATATGATACAAAGAGAAATAATGAATACCACAACTATTATTTGTGCTGAGCACGGTAGATACAATTCATCTACTACTAAAGTTACACAATTAATTCTACGAACTCGTCATAGCTCTATTTTCATTTTTTGTTGAAGATATCGATACAAAGCCAGTCCACAAAATCCACTGACTACTTAACCAAAACCCCTTTTGTGGAGGTTATCCAACTTTGACTGTATTCTCACAAGACTTTATATTATTCAATGACCTTTTATTATCGGTTTTAACCGGTATGGTCACTGTAGACGTTACACATTATATTTTTCCTTTAGTAAATAGTATTTTTAATACTGTGACGAGAAAAATCTGCCTTAAATAATAACCTTCAGTGTCCTGGCTAAAGACATAAGCTGGAAGTAAGAGCGAAAAGAGACAATACATATATTTGGCCACCTTGCTCGCGCCACACAACGAAGGGTCATGCGACTATCATTAAAAGATACAAAGTGAAAGAGACATCCACTAGTACTTGTACTGTAGTACATTTCACTCAATTCGATTACCTCAATTCATTCATTTTGGGAATCGTGAATGTGTAACATATTATAGGCGTGTAATAATATATAACAAGATGTAGACATAGTCAAATAGGTATATGCTATGATAAGACGACATTGAGATTTTTCCTTAAATATAAAATTATTTTTTCATTGTACTCAATTAAGCTGAAAAAGGCGTATCATAAAATTAAGAAATGTCTTCGTTTCGTGTCCTAATTGTCTGATATACTTGAAGTAAAATGAATAAAATTGGCGTACTTGAATTGAGCGTCTTTAAGGATAACATGATAAGTCGCAGACTGGAGGCTGCTAACATGGAACATCAAAACGCGACATCTAATGAGCGACCTGGGACATGCGACAAAACGCTACGCTCCCCGAATACCCGCTTCGTGTCTACATCTGATAAAATTGGCGAGTTTATATACAAAGACATAAATACAAAGGCGAAGAATGTAGGTATAATTCCAAATCATTATAATATAGGAATATTATAGCTTAAGTCAATTTGTGTGAAATAAAAGAAAATCCCTTTTACCCGTTTTAGCCCAAGACTCTAAATCTTAATATAATATAATATTGTTTATATTTGTATGTTTATTTGAATTGTTATTGAAGTGACTCTTAAGAAAGAGTTATCGGATTCGTTTAAGGGCGGATCCACGTGCCCCTTCTCCTGGATCCGCCATTGGGTCTTCGCCCCGTAACGACCGTTTGATGACGCGCATGTATAATATTCCAACTTTTGCTTCTCCCATGGAATTCCAATTGTTATATCTGGTGAAGACTCTAAGCAAGGTATGCAGGGGCGGTTGGCACCCACAGTATCGTGCAATAAGGGGCCGCGTTGCATACATCATCCGGATCACCTTTGGCGGCGCACTTAGGCGGGTGCGCGCCGCCGTCCCTTACGGCCTTGAGGTGGCGCGAGATTAACAAGATGGCCGCGGTGCGCGCCGCACCTGCGCGCGACGATGCAGCCCGACGGGATTCACGGCGCGAGCTGCCTTCCAGCTCCAGCGTTCCGCTGGTACAGCCGCTTCGGGATGACGCGCGGGACGATGCTCGGGTTGCACTAAGAGTTCCACCTGAGGATTAATATTTAAATTTATCCATGTTTTATTCCCATACAAATTTACACAGTAACTATAAATATTGTTACGTTTATTCGAAACCCCGCAGAAAAAGGGAGCTCAAAGTTCAGTTCAATCTTAAATATAGACGATGAAAAAAAAATGTGAATAAATAATTTATTTTGACGACCGAAAATAAGAGTTAAGTTGCGTGACGTCGATTTGTCTTTCCTTCTTTGGATAAAATAAATAAGTATATACCTGTATCATTAAGAGAGTAAAGACACGGCGGTGTCAGTCTTGCATCAGCCAAGTGAGCGGGATGGTAGCGAGCTTTGGTATAAAGATGTAGCACAAAGCACAGCAGGCCAGCTAGTACAAAGATGCCAGACGCTACACCAAGCAGCGTCGGCATATCCGCTGTCAGCAGCACAAGATCTGGAATTGTAATAGACATTATACTTAGTTACTTTGACCAAAGTCTTAAAGATAGAGGAAACGGCCAAATGTAACGAAGGTAACGAGTAAAGCCACACAATGAAACCTGGCTAATTGGGATCTCAAGTCAGAGGTTGCCGCGTTAGTTTGCAAACAATTTTTAAAACCTGATTAATTTGCCTACCTTGTACAGGTAGTTGAACTACGGAGTTTCATTTAATACATTAGGTACTGGTACTAATTTTTCAGTAACCCAAACAGAATTAAGAAACTAACCTTCCGTGCAGAAGACTCTTTGCGTAGGCCTGGAATGGGTGGTTGTGTGGAAGCCGGAGTCACACTGGCAATACGCATTGTGGTTGACTTGGACGCAAGAGGAGTGTGGATCAAACGCCCTACACGTTTCGCGGTAAAAGCATTGCTCACCAAGCTTCTTGGCTATAATATTTGGGTATTTTAATTTATATAATTGTGCAAGGAAATATTAAATTAAGTGTTCTCTATTAAATTAAGAGCGTGCGGAGATACTGTAGCATATTGGATGTTTACGTACTACAATATCTTCGGATGTTTCGATTGAACTTTCAGGCCATATAAAACTGCATATCGTTCCTATATATATATATATATATATACGAATAGCATTTTATACCTGTTGATGTGTAAACGAGTATTTGAATTTAGATTTGTAATTTAAAAAAATTAAATTCTTTACAGCTTAAAGGAATACATAATTAAGAAATTTATCATGACTTACGTTTGGCACATCCTCTGGCCACACCAAGTTCCACTGAGTGCTTGGGTGCGCATTGACAAGTGCTTGTTCGAGGCTCACAATAGACATGGACCAGCTTTGGGTTGCAGGTGAACTCGCACGGTGAGCCAATATACCTGCCTTTTTCTAATAGAAAAGGAAAAATACGAGTAGTTTCTAAAGTTCAGTACATTTTATGGGTTGCCGTAGAAGTTATGTAGATGAACTTGAGCATTGTTTTGACAACCTTCTTCGAGATAAATTGAACTTGCTGTACTTGTCACACAGTGGCCGGCAATAGTTGTATGAAAATATATATATCTCGTGTTTAGCGGCCAAAAAAAATTACTATGTTAAATCATATTTGTCGTGTAATTTAAAAATGGAACGATCCTCTACACCGCAACATGGCACGATCAAAGAAGTAACGTATCAAAGGTTTAATTTAAATTTCGAATTCGCTAGCACACAGAGAGCTGTTTAGTGAAAAAATACTTTGGCGCGTAAAACACTATAACGAATACTTGTCATTGATTTTAAATTGGTAAATATTTGAGAAAATCTAAACCTTGGTCGTCACTAGGCATTAATGAATTTACTTCACACGTTCGACCATCAATGCCTGATTGTACGGCCGCTGCAATAATTTACTAATTATAAAATTCCCAGGAAAAAACAACCGATGATGTGACATTCTCACAACAATATTATTGTAGTACCTCCACGTTTGCAATCGCTGTGAAATGTCAATATAACAATTACCTATAATCCTTATTCCAAAGATTTGCTCTCTGAAATATGTACTTAACATTCTCATACGCAGCTTAATAAAATAACCTCAAAACCTCAAAACGTTTTGTGCTAAAAATATATATAATTATATTAAAAGCATTGTGGACCAACATTTTTTTATTTTTAAAATATGTTATTGTCTTACTTCGATACTAAAGTCAGAGACGCAGCTCCTAATATAATGTAACACTTCCGAGTTTGCTTTTTTAAGGAAGTAGACCTAAAGGATATTAATAAAATTTGCTAAAAAAGGATATTTCAATTACAAAACCATATAAAGTTGCAGTAACAGGTTGGCCTAATGTTCCATAAAAGGGTACGTTTTACGTATTTATACCTAGATATATATTCAGATGCAAGGTAAAACTGTATACGTACTGTTAATAGAACAGAAGCATATTTTATTGAATGTTAACTATAAGTCTAGCAAACAGTGACCTAAGGTTAACGTTAAGTAAATAAAACTTATATAGACGTTTAATTAAGAAAAATATTTTACGATCTTAAGTCTAACCAAGCAAAATAGTTCTTTAAAAAAACCAAAGGGTTAAATTGTATAAGGGTTTAGAAAACTATTTGGTAGGAGTAGAAGTTAGAGAAGTATTTTTAATATTAAACGTGTGAATAACAAATTAGATAATCATGACATTGTACGTAACGTAAGGAAACTTACATTGTAGTCGATACATTTATAGCGATTCAAGTAAGAAATGATCGTACGTGATTTCTCAAAGTCCGGAAATCGTAAGGTCACGTGACGGAAGAAGGCTTCGGAAGGCGCCCCCTTACCTCGCCCGCCCGCCCTTGAGAGTTTGTATTGAAATACGTTGAATAGAGACTGTTTCAAACTCGATTCCGCCTTTACTAATTTCATTGATATATTTATCAACTTTGACATAATTAAAACACCATAGTTGAGAATTTATCTTTAACAAACTTATAGATAACATAGCTTGTTAGGGTTTTGTTCTTATTATGGGATTTTAAGACGGAAAGTATATATTCAAGACGATATATATAAAGTCATGTGCAATAACATGTGAAAAATATTAAAGTTGAATAGAATATATATATCGTTTATTTTAGCATAAGCTAGTAGAATTTAAATAGAACAACGCTTTTAACATTATTAAAAATATATTTCATACACGCTAACATATACGCTACAATCCCCTTTATAATTGCTTTTTTAGTTTAAAACTTAGAAGTAACAATAAACTAATCACTGGGTAAAGCGTGTGTATGTTGACTAGTCGGTCCCAGCAGACTAGAATTTCAAACAAGAAAACGGCAACCTGACCGACCATTACATCACATCAACGAAAGATTTCGTCCAATTAAAATGTGCACTCAATTACCACGGTCGACAAATTGCAGGTAATTAATTCGCTGGTCGCAACATCTAGGTTAACGGAACTCAATGCGATGCGAAATTATAATCACCTTTTCAAGGACGTGCTAGCGCACATTTTAGTCTAGGAACCCAGACAAACCAAACATCTGCATTGAAATACCCGTGCTGAATTTAAACGTGGATCAAATTTTTTGACATTATTGTCTCGACGATTTGACAGCTTTAGATTTACCGTCCTAGACGGGTATATTGAAAACCGTGTAGATACAGCAGAATAAGTTTCACTCTATAGGACATTAATTTGGCGTTAGTTGCTGTCATATATCTATATAATTCTCGTGTATAACCTTCTTCAATAGACCTTGCTTTTTGTAATTTTGAATACTGGAAGGCCGTAGACTTTTTCTAGCATATAGCTAATAAATTATCTACTTATTTACCTTTCAGTATTAATCTTACTATTTCCGCAATATAAAGGGTTTACTATTTTAATAATACATTTGTCATTGAACGAAATAAACCTTGGTAACACGGAAAAGTGATTATTCTATCGTGTAGCCCATCTGCTATACTCGTTTGGCCTTTCTCCAACAAAAATCTATTAAAAGGCCTTTTCGTTTCACTATAAAATTGCACAAATTGGTGTAATAAATTGGATCTGTGCGCTGACAAAGCCTGAAAAATAAGGTGTCATCGCGGTGGAGCGAACGGGTCGATCTGCTATTCGTCTTTTTTAATTGGGGCGAACTTATAGTTGCAACACTACCTATATCGTTATTGGAAGTACGGGTTGAGTTTCTTTTCTTTGATATCGAAGCGTACCATACCAAATAAGTGTCTCGCATTTGAAATGTGTTCGAGTAACAGCTGCAGATTGTTAAGGCGACCAGAGCCTTGGAAGCGAGGCCGGCACGACCTCAATGCGATTATCTGCTGCATCAGTTTATTTCACTGCAGCGCCCGTGCTAACTACTGGATCGGGCTTTTACGAGCAATATTTTTGCGCAGAACTAGACCTTTAATCGAATGGTGACAAGACAATCGCTAGATTTTGGTAGATGGCTATTTTATTTTCAAAGAGACAAGTCGCTTTGAAATTAACTTTTAAGAAATTTAACATGTTATGCATTATTTGTGTCCATCAAGACAATATAAGCATAAGCATGTTCAGAAATACCTTAAAGGCTAAGGCGGTATTTTTGGTAGCTAGTGAAATTGTAGTGTGTAATCAAGTAAGGTAAAATGTGTTTAGAGGGCTTTTATTAATTATTTATTCAATTCAATCGAAACGAAACACAACTCATTACAAACACGATGATATTATAAGAAAGATAACAATGCAGAAATGTATTTTTTAATATTCTCCTAGATATTGTAAAAGCTATATAGTACTTAGGCTTCTAGTAAACTTAAGAAGTGAAAGCAGAAAAAAAATTTCAACCAAAGTTGTAAAAAAATATACTCCATTGAAAGAAAAAGTTGTAAGCGAGTGAACTAATCCGCTGTTCAAAGTTACAAACGGGTGTTTTCATGCACAACTGTCGGACAACTTTTGTGTTTTTCGTTTTGGAATTTTACGACAACGCTTTAGAGATATAAAATAAAATACTTTCATTAGATATATTTTTTAGCTTTTAAATCGACACATATTTTATATTTTGTCTTTGCTGTACTTTATAAAGGGCTGATTAGGATTTTGTATTTAAGACAGACGTCCTGATTTTTGCGGGATCTCCATTTTAAACATAATGACTAAATGATAATATATAGTATATAATATTACAAAATTTATTGTCAGGCTTTTCAGGGATAAATTAAAATGAATAAAATTTTCTTGATTTTGATCAGAACCCGAATGCAGATATTAGTCGTTAGGATAAATAATTATTATTAAATATTATTGTCTATAACTATTTTGTTATCTTCGAAAACTTCTGATTATAATATAAACTTTGTCATCACTCAAAAGGTTTTCAAAATTCGAACTTGGCAAAATTGTCTAGCAACGTTGCATTGCTATCATGGAAGTAAGAAAAAAATGTCCACTTTTTTCATATTCATATCCATAATGAGGCCTTGAAATGTCCTTAAATGATGATGATGATAGCGTACAGATATAACCAAGTATAGAAAGCATTATTTCTACAACAATGTTTTTGTCATTAACCTAATCATTTTATTTAATCATATCTAATCTATATAATGTTACAAACTTATTCCGTTCTGCTTAATTGCTGTTTCGAAGATTTTCAATAAGAGTAAAAGTCAAGTAATAATGTAGGGTCGTGGGTGTGACAGATTATTATTAAACAAAGGTCGTATGTCAATTGCTGTTAACGAGAGAAAATATATTAGGCCCAAACAAGGACTTAAGCGTCTTGTATAATGTCTTAATTGCTTTTTAACCATAGACAAGAAGAAGACAGAATATGTTAAAAAAGAGTTGCCAGAGATAAATAATCATGTAAATTGTTTAAATCATATTATTTAGAAAAATAACAAGAGAAGATAAATAATAAGTAACTACTGCTTCCTAATTTATATGTTCAAATTTATCCCATTTAATTTATTGTTTATATTAAGTACAATATCAAAACTACTTTGGCTTAAAGGCCTCGTTTCCAGGCCATTAAAATTTAAAAAAATATATATATATATCCAAACTGCAGACATATTGAACAAAAATTTCCCTTTTTCATTTTAAAAGATGTTTATTGTAAATCATGAAAATTCTATCACCTGCTAAAGCGTAATATAAAATAAAAAGTCAAATACAAAAATGGTAATATTTCCTATTACGATTTCCTGGGGTTCTTTTGTAACACTATACTTTTGTAGATTAAGTTACTAACGAGATAAATCCAATACGAGTTCGAATTTTCGAAAGGATAGTGTGAAAAGTAATGCTGTCAGCTACCCTCCTACATTCTTTGAATGCGATCAATGACATTGCTGAAATCTTTGCCTCAATAAATTCTGCAGGAGATTGCTACACGCTTTATTCTGACTCCTAACTTCAGTTTCAAAGGAAGAATTGAGAGAATATTTTCTAAAATTTATATTCAAAATATATTACTTTTAACATAATTTTCTTTTTAACAAACACGCTTTCACTTTTTCCACAATCAGTTTTTGCTATCAAATAAATATAAAATGTATACACAACGTTATCTTGCTATAACTATATTATGTAAATATAAATAAAAAATCAAAAATAAATAAAATACAATACAAATCAATGTACTATATTTGGTATATTATAAAGGTAACATATTGTGTTAAGTTCTACTAGATGTCTTTGTTTTTCATCAGTACGGCAATAAAATATCTTTCAATTGACATAGAACAGATACATTTCTGTTTTCGAATGGGAGTAAATGATTTGGCAAACATATTATATTTCTGCAGGTAAAACAATTGTTTAAATTGTGACCATTGACTATAGTAGGTGTGGGGGATCTGACACGTAACGTTTCTTGCTTAATTACTTCGAATCGCAACTAATCCATTTTAGGGGCAAACGAAATCCAAGTGACAAATAGGCCTGCGTAACGCGAGGAAGCTTCAACCGACAGTGGCACAGATAAGATACTGTGTTGGCCCCGATTCCCGTGTCCCAAATAAAAATATCATGAAAATAGTTAAATGTGCATGGGAACTAACGGAATAACAAATATGAAAAAAAAAATACACTCTACACTACACTACTAAAACATTTAGTTCAGAGAGGGAGTAAGTTCAGCCGTACTTAATGGCTATTCAAAAGAACCGTATTTTGCTAATTATTTTCGATTAAGTTTGACTTTTTAATTTTGATTAATAATATTATGTATAATATGTTTTATTTATTTATGATGGAGTTATATAAGCTACGTGGTTCTTGTTTGTAATTTAAATGAAGTAATATACGAAGAAGAAAAACAACGCCAATAAGACAGTAGTTTCTTTAACTTACTGTATCCAATGCTATACTTTTCCAAATCAACAAATAAAGGTTTATATGTCCTTTATAAGAAAGATGATATATTTAGCCCCAGTGAAGAGTAATTCTTGATACATACGGACTCTACTACAAAACGCATTAATTGATACCTCTTTCCAGTGTAATTGTTTAAAAGGGTGCTTAGGAGAACGTAAGACGTATTAGCTAGAATTGATACCTAGCAATAAAGACGTGAGTTATGCAATCAAAGCGTTGGCAAAGCTCCAGTGAAACAAACAACTCTTCAATAATATCTAATGAAGTTCCTATTGAAAACAATCTCCAAGATTGAGGTTTTTATTTAAAACTTAACTCAATTACGATTGATTAAAGCGTACTTCTGTTATAACTAATTAAACAATTTTGCTTATTACACAATTCGATGATTTTATTCTCGTTTAAGCTCTTCTTTATATTTTTAAACAATTCAACAAATTGAAGCTGTCTGAAAGAACTTAAGTTTGTGGTATTTTATATTTGTAATTGTTTAATGTTATATTATAATTATGTACTAGTTAATAGCAATAAACCGTTTTCCTTACATGGAGGATTGCAGATATATTTTTGTTTCAATAAAATACTTTAACGGTTTAAAACGCGATATACATATATTAGTTAAACTTAGTCGTAGATTATTTTAACTAAGGTCCGAAACTTAGGAAGTTTTTATGGGGAGACATCGCGTTTGAAACAGTTAAAGTGTTTTATTTAAAAGTTTACTATTCCCGTAAACTACACGAACAGTATTTACATTTTTGTTGTAGTGTTACTGTGATCTAGCGTCTCTCTTCTGTTTGATGTATACTGTTTCCGTTGCTTTCCAATTTGGGATTTCTAGCGCCATTATTATATATTTGGGATTTTTAGGGATTTTTATTTATATATTTGGGATTTTTAGGCAACGCTAGGACCACCTCACACGTATTCGATCACTCAAGTATTTAATAGTGCATTATAGAATCAAATATCCATCGGAAGATCTAGCTTTCCTTCAAGGTTCTCTTGGAAGTGCACTTGACATGCTTCGCTAAGGGGTCAAACCACGACTACTCTATACTTTATAGCACAATAGCTAGGTTAAAGTGCCACTCAAATCTTTTTATTAATAGACAAAGGTTTTAAACTTTACAGAAATGGCTAAGGACTGTCCAGGTAATCTGGAGTTAGTAATAGCTCTAGAGACTATATTAAGTAATTAATGGTAATAAAACACTTTAACGGTTTAAAACGCGATATATATTAGTTAAACGTATTTGAAGATTTTTTTACGTTTAAGCGGTCGTGGTCACGGGGAGACAAATAAGTTTAAGCAATATGTATCGCGTTTGAAACCGTTAAAGTGTTTTATTCAAATGTGTACTACTAGCGTAAACTACAGACAGTATTCAATCGTTATGTTACATAATATTCGGTCGTAATTGCAGCTTTCTATAGTGTTTATGCAAAGAATTTTTACCTTGTTCGTATGAACTTTTCCTCAACGAAAAATTATTCCAGCTCTATGTTAAAAAGAATTTTCATATTCACATGAGTTGAGCTGAAAAATTGCTCAACTTCGTAACGTGTTCACGTCTGGCGGTTTTATGAGGGCCGTAGTTCGTTGTCATGTTGCTTAAAATTATTAATTAATTTCACTTATAATCGATTGATAAAAGCAGCAACAAGCGGGAAATATTTAATTACTGTGTGCAGTCGAGTCATCGTATTTCGGAATATAATCTACTCATAATGTCTATTATTATAAAAGTCCAACAAGCGCTATGTTAACAATTATAGTAACGACGAACGGTGTACTATTGTGTATTTCTTTTAAAATTTGGTCTGAAACTTTAGGTATCAAGACAGTCCCTTTAGAAGAATTTATTTTGTATGTAAGATTATGTCATACAAAATTATTTAATACTGTCTGTACTTTACGCGACTAGTACACATTTAAATAAAACACTAACGGTTTATAACGCGTAATATATTTCAGATTACGGGGAGACTATCACTGTAAAAATAGACTATACTGAAATGTATTAGTCCCGTAACCGGCTGCAAAGCGTCTGAAACGTCGAGTCATTGTTAAAAATAATATGTAAACACGTTTAACTAATATTATATCACCCTTTCCTATCCCTTACAAAGAACTAGCACACAATAGGTCATATACAACATTTTGGTTCTCACCCGATATGTTGATTCTGGCTTCATCATAGTAGTCAAGAACGAGGTCGTCTTCCTCTTCAGGCAGTAGAGGTTCCCGAGGGTCTGCGCGGCGGTGCGTCGCGTTAGGTGCGCCTGCGCCGCTCACCACCAGCGCGCACAGCACCACTGCGACCACCGACATGACGACATCACCGCGACGGTGACCCACTGCATGTAGGAGATAATACATATTGTTATTACGAAATAAGTAAATCCATGACTCCAATAAACAAGAAAGGAACATAATGGTCCAGTTAATTTCGTTCCATAACATAAAAAAAAGGAATAAATGTATACTGTTGTGGACATTTCTTCAGATCATTTAAAGAAGAATCGATCTTTAATACATATTGCCTGGGTATCTTGAATCGTTTTGAAACAAAAAACGAATTGTTGGTTGGTTGATAATATTGGTATAGATTTATTCCTTCTTTTAACATATTTCGGCACACAATAATTTTAGATAAATAAATGAAGCTTTACAACTAAAGTGCGCTAGGCGGTATCATCGATAAGAGCCATCTCACACGTAGTATTTCTCATCTTGAAGAATATTCATTAAATATGCCATAAGTAACATACAGTTATATATTTTTTATGCATTCATTGATTGGTAGTGGTATGGCATTTTTAATTACGATAAAAATTACTTTTATAATTTTGCTTGGGTCTAAGCCGACTTGATTCTTTTAAACAATCAATGTATTTTAATTCCATTGTAATATATTGCGAAAAACGAGAGGTTTTTATAATGCGTAGTGTTACGGCGTAAAGAACAATACAGAGCTAAAGTTTTTACTTTTCAAATACTTACCTGAAGTCTGTGATGGTAATACCTTGTATCGTGTTATTGACCACGGTCGAGGCAAATGGAAATGAATGTGTCTTTTTGGACGTAGAAATCCAACCCTAAATAAGATAAGATCGGTTCTTCACTTACAAAATGTTTAAAAGTGCTGAAAGCATATATTTGAAGATGACCATTACAGTTGATACCTGCAAAGGGTACCTTAGAAATTAAAAAATAACCGTAACCTTTGTTTTTTTTTTATGAAAAAGGTTTTGGTTTGTCTATGGTTATTTGTTAACTTCCAATTAAGATTTGCTGGTTGCGACAGCAGAATGTTTTGGCCTCAGAACTTTCCAATCTGAGAGTGGAGGGTCGCAACCTGAAGGGAATTGTGAAATTCCAAAATCTGTCTAACGTATTTTACAAAAAATATAAATGGATTTAGAAACTCGTTGAATCCAATGGGAATCAAACCCACGAACTTTCTGTTATCCGTTGATCAATGAGACCGTCGAAATAACAATCAATTTTTATAAGTCTTTGTTTGGTAGAAATTTTTTACGGTTACTTAGCAATTAATAATATTGTTTCAGACCGTATAATTTAATTACATAACATAATTGTGTTGTGATTGCTCGATGTTTGTTAATTAATGTAGCTACTTGTTCACGCTAATTTTATTTTGGTCACGCGAGGGCTCATGTTACGACTCTGTGTGACATCCGATTTAGTTAATAGCTACAAAGTGGTTATTTAAATGTGTTAAATATTCTCTAATTAGAATAAAAATTTAAAAAATATTAGGTATTTATAGCGCACAGGCAGGCATCAAGTATATACTGATAGCATAGCGAAAGAAGATCTTTACTGATACATATTACAAAGCTGAAGAGTTTGTTTATTATTCATCTTTTACTTATGTAAAATACATTTTCGTGATAGTATATGTCCATCCTTTAAGATTAACTCACAAGAACCTTTTTTGTGGTAATCAAATTTTGGTTTGGTATGGAGATACTTCATAGGTATGGCCAAAACCTTGTCGTAATAAAAAATAAAAATAATAGCACACCACCAGGATTCAAATATATACTGATAGCATAGCGAAGTACTAGATTGTGTTATAATAATTTTCGATCAGTTAGAAGACTACAATCAAACGTAGCCTTATATACTAATAGTTATACATTATTTCTAGTACTTTCCTTTTTTAATATCACATTAAGTATGTACAACAATGTTAGTCACCTAATGGGATCGACTAATGAAATTACCGTAAGTTCTTAGAAATTTCTTATACGTTTTACTCTTGGTAAAATTATAGTTTAAAAAGATTACTGAGAGAACAAGTAAAATGTTAGACATTACATAAAATATTATACCTCTTTGATTTTTTGTTATTTTTTATTTTAAAAAGGGGACATACAAGCGTATGGCTCATCTAACAGCGCACATCAAACCCTTTGATTATAAACCAATGATCCCGTCGAGAAATGTAAAATATAGTATATAAAAGCGATCTTAAACAAAGTGTAGAACATAAAATATGACTACTTACAAACACAGCAATATTCTTATATCTCATAGACTTCGTCTGCATAGAATAGTTATTTTGGGCGTCCAAATTCGTTTTTGCAAACGTCATCTTTATAAACTTACCCACGAAGTTAATCTTAAAATATCTTTTAAGATTAAGCCTATCGGCATACAGCGTCGCGGACTTTTTTATGTCTTTAAAGAGAAATCATTCTTTCATACATATTTTTTGAGTATCTTGAACCGTTTTTGCAGCGTACACTCGGAAACCCATAAGAATGAATGATTTAACCAATTTTTTTTTCAGATTCCTCGCTGTATATTGTATTAGTCACAGTGCAATGTTGTATAGCCTATAGCCTTCTTAGATAAATGCTTTGACCGAGATGAAAGATTTCTTCAATTAGAACTCGTAGTTCCTGAGATTAGCGCGTTCAAACAAACAAACTCTTCAGCTTTATATATTAAGTATATATTAATTAGTGTAAGACAAAAAAATATAAAATTGTTTTATATCTTTTAGTATTTTTACGATAGTATTCTGAAAAACTGGTTTTCAAAAGTTTGCATTTCTAGTTAGTTTTAACATAAATGAGTGGAGCTCAGTGGTCTTAAGAAGTGCATAAAACTTAATTGCGTTATGACACGACGATTTAAAATAGTGTCTATAAGATATTCTTTTCTTGTTTCAGAAAGATTTGTGATTTGGTGAAGAGATATGAAATTTGTGCACTAGATTACAATTATCCAGCTGAGCAGGTAATAGTAAAGGATGTCCTCTTTCCTTGAGTAAAATTCAAAAGAAATCTCATACCTTTCTGCACAAAGCGATAGTTGTATGTAAGAAGTAGCTTCATGTCGAGTTCATTCTTCATTTTGTTTCTTCATTAGCGTATATATATATATATATTACTTGGTGTCAATATGTTTTTCCCAAAACGTAACCTAATTTCAATGTTATTCTTATTCACCGGCATCTAATATAAACATGTAATTTCCCCAGAAAATTTTTCTCGGAAATTGACGGAGCGATGAAGAGAAGCGGAAAACATATATTGGACTACTTTGATTTATTGGTACTGAAATATGAAACTGGTAGGTACGATAATTATTGCTACTATAACGATATAACAGAAGTTCAAATAAGGTAATTAGAGGAATGTATTTTATTATCATTACTTTTTTGTAATGTATTTAAAACTTAACAAGATTTATCTTAGCTTAAAAATAGGAACTTGACAAAACCAGAAGTAACTATATTATATATTAATTTGTAATTTTAGTTTAAATAAAACACTTTAACGGTTTAAAACGCGATATATTAGTTAAACTTATTTGGAAATGATTTTTAACTTCGGCCCGACGTTTCGGATGATTTGCAGCAGCTGTGACCACGGCTGCTGCACGGTTTTAAACCGTTAAAGTGTTTTATTTAAATGTGTACTACTCGCGTAAACTATAGACAGTATGTATATTTAGTTGTTAAATATATATATGTTACATTGTAATTTTTACCTGTAAAAACGGCTTGAATTATGAAGGTTCTTAAAGTTTTTTGAAACTGAAACTATTCATTTTATATTAACTACGGGAGTGAACTTTTAAATGATTAATTCAACACAGATAAGTAATTCCCGCTAAAATTTTATATGGCAATTGAATTTAAAAGACACAGACTATACATACGTATATGACATTTCCATGTGTCAAATAATTCCTACGGCTCTTTATGTTCGAATTTCAATTGTATCATAACTTACAGTTACAAAATAACTCATCCAAGTAATGTACAATTTTTATATATCCAAGTGCAGTCAGTTAACGAGAAATTCTCATAAAACCAAGTAAGTTTCTTAACGAAGGTGCTAAACAACTTGACTCAAAGCAAATGTTAAATAAACGAGTTTTAAAAGCTTTTACTGTGAAGTGTTGTTCGTGGTTGTGCATGGCGCACTGCAGTAGTGTGACCTTAAATATAGGCTTTCATAAATTTCGAATTGGTTGAATTATGGAGACGATAAATTGGGGAGCTCTCATTTGTGTTAAATTACATTATTTGGAACAATAAGCGGTTTTTAATATGTTAAGAGCAGGTGGCCCCGGTTTGGGTTATGGAATATTGCCAATTTTGTTACTGACTTCATAAAGACTACCTATAATCTATTACAATATTGTTATGCATGTAAATGACGGATTTTTACTTCTTAAGCAATATTGCTAGTTAAATTCAGTTCCGTCGTGTTGGTCTAGTGTCGAGTACAGTTTACTGCAGGTCGCACGGTCAAAGGTTTGATTCCCGGGGAGCGATCTCGTTATTATTAATTTTTCTTTTAAAACCTCCTCCTCTTCTATTCTTCTTTATTCCGACAACTCATGCTAGAGGAGAATAATAGGTCTCAAGTCTAAAGCCTTAAGGGAGCAAAGACCTGTACCCAGGTGTGGGACATACAATTTGTTGAAACTTTATTTAACTTTGACACGTTCACTTTAGCACAACAATGAAATACTGAAATTACATAAGAACAAGAAAGACAGAAAGAAAACAAAATAAAAACTTTTGAGACTATAGTAACTATGTCTGAAAGATTCTCGACTAATAAACCTTTTAAACGGTCGTGTTCTAGTTTTCCGATCTATTTAATTTCTTCAATCAAATGAATCACGTTTAATTGCTCTATGTTGGATAAGCAAATGGTTTGCATAAACTCGGAAGCAACTCGTCGTCTACGGTCCAATTAAATTCTATTTATTTTCTAACCCTTTGTAGGTTTTAAACTTCTTACTTATATTATAAACTAAGCTATGAGAAGGAATCAGTGACTTCGTCCGCGAGAATCGTTATTTAGGACATCCAAATCCGTTTTTGCAAATCTTTATGAACTTAAGCTATTTCCTACGACGTCGGTTGTGTCCCATTCCGTCGCGGACTTTTTTTTACATAATTCAAGGAGAAATCATTCTTTCATACATATTTTTTCGGAATCTTGAACCTTTTTGCGGCGCATGCCACGAAAACTCATAATGATGAATAATTGTCCGTTGTAGGCGTCGTTTTAAGGCCTTCCTCGATAAATGCTCTAACAAAATTATTTTATCATTTCGAACCCGTTGTTCCTGAGATAAGCACGTTCAAACATGAAAACAAACAAACTCTTCAGCTTTATATATGAGTATAGATAAATGTAAAGAAGTTATGATTTTTCACTTAAGTCGCACAATTTTGAGAAATGTCATAGATTTGATTTTTGAGAATTTAAAAATTCCTCCAGCCATAATAACCTTTGAATTAAATATAGCATTTCAGAAATCAGGTCGTACAAATAAAATATATTCAACTATTTTAGAATTATACATTCCCCTGAACTCGGAATGAAAACACGAGTATTCACGAGTTAACAAAATATTCCACAAGCTTTGTGTTGTAAAAATTACGACTCTTCTAAAAATGTAATGAAATTTTCAGTTATTCGTTTAACTACTTTTGTATTCATACATTATATTACCGGAGGTAAGCTATTGTTTTTACTTTGTTTAATCTTTCATTCATTTAATTGATATGTGAAATGCGAAGAATTGGAGTAAGCCAGCGAAATATGTATTGTTGATATGGTCTTACACAATTTTAATAGTAGTTGATCCACAGTTTGATCGAATGACGCCAAGATTTTTTAAACTTTATATGTTTTACAACAGAGTGTGTAAAGCCCTATTTTCCCAACATGGGCCAAAAAGATCTTGTGACCACTTCACTTTTAATAATATAACATAAGTACAGTACTTATCTTATATCGTAAACTGTTCTATGTAATATTATACGTGTGTCTTTTGACTATAAGACCAGCTGGAATCTGGTGAAGGTTTCTGATTTAACACATCCAAGACACTATAGCACAGCTTATGTTTTTGAAAGGCGATAGGATAGTATGAACATGGCTGATATATAAGGAAGATGTTTATTTCAGCCAAGGAGAATAATACAGTAACTAAATATATTTACACATTTATGTACCTTTACTATGATTAGCACTATTAAAAAGAGTGTGTCTTACTTTTTAGGTTATAATTTAGAATGGTTCAAAAGAATTACTAAACATGATCGTTTCTCATAATTTATCAATATTATGGCTGTATTAATCGCATTTTATCACATCTTCTCTTTGCCATTTTAGGGTGGGATCATCTTTTATCCTTATAACTGGGTGACCTATTAAAGGACCAGCGACGATATAAAGAACAATCTCAGATCCTTAGACAAAATATACTGGACTCACCTCTAAAGCAAGTTAAGAGTCCCACTTATTCACATAACACATGACAACGGCAATATTAATATTAATTTAAACTTAACATTTACATAACAATCAAGCACCAATTTTAAAATCCGTAACCGGTTTAAGCATATTTATTACACTATTATCACTACGGTTACGATTATCGACCACTTCGTAACAAAAAAGTGTCGGCTAGTAACGTTTTAATTGAAAACTAAATGTACCAAAATTGAACGTGTTTAATAAAGGGTGGTATAGCGCGTGCAGTGTCCCGCGCGGTCGCGGGCGGTGGCGGGTAAGCGCGCATGCGCGAACGTTGCACCCCTAAACACAGGGTGGGATTTTGACTGTCATTAATTCCGCGTAGTAACTGAAATGATAAAAATACGGATACGACGAAGGCTTCTTTCAAATGCCTCCATTCTTTTGTTTATCTAGCACATTACTGTTCATCTTGAATGTAAAAAATCCACTTTACCTGCACCATGTATGTCATCCTTTACTTCTTTGACAATATTAGGTAATATTTCTTATGGCATGTTATCAGACGGCTAGTTTACCTATGTCTTGTAATGTTACTTTAGAATTTCGGAAGAAAAAATACTTACAACCGTAGTCGGAAGTTACTAGGAGTTGAACGTCACCAATTCGACTACTGGGTGTTTTTTTTTTAACTTATAGTTAAAAAACTATTGATAGCGAGGTTATATAAATGTATTCTTTCTATAACAACAATAGAACTCTTTCTTATCATTCAAGTACGTCCCTTAGCGTACAGATACGAAGGCTCTATTTACCGAATAACGACGACAAACAGCGACACCTGCCGAAGTGACCCGTCTGAAGTTGACACTTAACAATTTGAAACGTAACAATGAGGCAAATCAAATTTTGGGCTGAATACCACCCGAGATTGCAAGTAAAACTTAAAAATTATAGATTCTAATAATAACCTATGCATCATTGACGAAAATGCAAAATTAATAGAAGTTATACCTAGATACTATGTTGAAAAATGTGTGTTAAAACTTTTTACTACATCTATCTTTGCATCTTTATATTGACATAAATATAATTATTTAATCTTTGAAATAGATACCCTTACAATGATGGTGAGAAGATTTTGTGAAATTACCTGGAAAGTAATTTTGTTTTCAGGTGTTATTTAATAATGGTGGTGTGACATGCGCAGTCTCTCTATTGACGGTGAATTCGAACAAAACACTAGGTTGTATATATATATATTGTATGTATCTTCTTAACGATAGAAAGCATAGTAAATACACTGATTATGATTGTGTTACTAATAACTTAATTGTTACGGTTTTAAATCTACAGGAATTTATGAATAGTTAACTAAAATTTCTCTTATATTTTTTGTATTTTTTTATGTAAATACTTTATTTGTTCATCTCTACAAACATTTGAATTGGAGGGCTTCTGCGGGCGAAGGGGGGAGGCCTGAAAGAAACAAGTTAGGTCAATTGACTTAGAGATAAAATTAAGCTTAGCGTATTAGTCGTTAAATAAGCTACTTGCGACTTAGCGAAGACTATCCAAAGTTGAGGAACGCTTTTGTTGACGATGCCGCCATCTCGTGATTGTAACTCAAAATGTCAAGAAGCCAATAACGACAGCCAATTTTCATTGGTCTAATGGTAGCAATAGCTAATGATCAACGGATCGTGTTCGTGTCGAACATGTTTCTAATTTTTCAATTTCTTTTTTAAACTTGTTGAACTTCGTCAGCATGCCTGTTTATTTAAAATTTAAATGGGTTGTAAGAATATAGAAATTTCGTCCAGGGCACGAACCACCGTCCACAGATGAAAAAGTCGTGAAACTTAATCCGCGTTTCGATTTCAGTCTGTAAATTACTGAATATCCAAAGCGAAAATAGATCGACAGCGCATTTTGTTTAGATGCAGGGTTATATCACCTACCATCGAGTGAATCCCATACCATGTTTGTCCTCCTCTATTATAAAAAAAACCCGAGTCAATTACGACAATTACAACAACATGCCAAATTTTAAAATGATCTTAAAAACAACTCATTAAAACTTACGATAGACATTGGATTGCATTAAATTATTTATAGCTGTATATGCATAAAATCCTACTATAGCTGCACATGCAGCGCCTAGAACAGCCCCTGCTATCACCCCTGGATCAACCGCAGTTTGGGGCAACATTTCTGGTGCATCCTTGAAACCCAGAGTAAAATTAGCCTTTACGTATCTTCTTCCACACCCTGGCTTGTCTAGATCGAGGTACACTCGAATGTATTTGCAAGTATTCATTTGATCAGCCGATGCGTTTATGTAGGTTACAATTGAATTATTCCTGGAAGTAAAGAACTAAAACTTAGGATCTAAGCTTCAATGGGCGAGCCAAAAGATATTCACTACGACTACACTAAAGAACGACTGAATAATCTATATAAGTGGTTGAAATATCAATAGAAACGTGGAACCCAAAGAACGACTATTTATCTATACTAATATCATAAATGCGAAAGTAACTGCTGTTTGTCTGTCTATCCGGCTTTAACTCCGAAACTACTAAACCGATTTAAAGGAAGATATTTTAGAGCCACGGAGAGGACATAGGCTACTTTTTATTGCCAAAAAAGGATTGATAGGGATTGAAAAAGGGGATGAAAGTTAGTATGGAAATTCGTGGTTCTTGAAGCTAGAACAATGAAACTTTCTTCTTTGGATTTTTGGGAGTGGGAGTGAGAGTTAGAGTGATGTGAGGTGAGAGTGTTGCGGCAAAGTAGCACTTACAACATAGATTGGCTGCCTTAAATGCGCCCTTACATAAATTAATAAACAGCCTCAATAATTAATAATTCTACGTGACGATGACGTCGCAGGCACAGCTGGTATGAAAGAACTAAACCACCGACATAACAGTGGTTAAAGCTATTTGGCTGTTTACTACTTACTACAAAACTGAATGCTAAACGCATTGATTGTAAGATGGTCAGAGAGTGGTAGATTGTTATTTAATTTGCTTGTCTCAAGCCTCGATAAAAGAAGCTGATGATTTACCTTATATATAATATAAAAATCGATTTTAGATTGAAAAATTACGACACTGGCAGGAATTGAACCAGCATCGACAGCGTTTACTGTTGCTATAAGTAATTGAGCTACCGTGTCCTACACGTCATCGCCGAATATTTTCAACGTATTGATATATGCATCTCCTGCATCGCCGATTTTGAATGTATACAGTGCCACGTTAAAAATAAGTTACTTATGATAATAAAATGTTCAATTACATTGGAAGAAGTTTATCAACATTTGCTAAATCTTCAATCTGGACCGTAAATCCATCGCAGCTACCCCCAGCTGTGTTTACGTGAATGAGTACATTGATCTAAAAATAAAAGTCTTATTTAATTTAACGGACATAATATAGCAAAATTACATCTTCGCGTTGTCCGTAACCAACATCTAGTCAGACTAGGTTTGCCCATATAAAGATACTAGTTTTGTTAATTTTAAGATTATAAGTTATATACAACAATGTATCTAATGTACAATGTATGTAAGTATTTAAAAGACGACCTTAAATAAATAAAAAAATTCCAAATAAATTTACATTTTGTAACCTTTTGTATGTTTGTTTATGGTGGCTGTATAGGTATTCCGTGTTTGACAACCTAGTTGTAGTCGTAAGTAAGTAGCTTTAACCATTTTATGAACTAACATGGTGCCTCGAGTACTAGTTAGGAGATAAATTATACTTACAACATAACACATTACGAATCTCCTTTGTTCAAACATAATTCACAAACACTGCTTACTCCACTTACGAAATAATACAACTAAATATTATCCTCAATAATGACCCTGGACGCGTTATATTTTATAATTAACACCATGACACATAACTTTGGTGACATTATTGAAATCAACGGAAATATTGATATTAAATACTTCGATTGTGAAAAATTGAAACAGTTTCCGAACGCGAAAATCAAATATATAATTATACAAATATAATTTTTCTATTTGGATAAATTGTCAATTTCATTTAAATTTTGAATTTGGTTGCCATGACAACAGTTCTTGTGAGTTTGACCTTAGAACAAATACATTTATTTACAGAAAAATAATACTTTTATACATATTTAACGGGTTTGGCAGCGCATTACGGTACCTGAAAGATATGAGAGAAGCATAATATAAGAACATAAAATCTCGAATTCCCTTTGATTTCTTCGCTTACATTGGTTACAGCCAGATGTTTAATAGCCTAAAGCTGTCCTCAATAAATTGTCAAAACAACACAAAAACAATTTTTCGATTCGAACCAATAGTTCCTATAATTAGCGCGTTCAAACAAACGAACTCTTCAGTTTTATAATAGTAGGATTGATTGTCCATAGTAACATTTTCCATCAGCTGAAAGTCGATATTCGTACCATCCCTCAACAGTCAAGATTAACAAAACATTACAATGATTCCATTGTAATACAATGTATTTGATTAAGCAAACAATTTTTTGTACAATCGCTAAAGAATTCAAAGAACTCGACTTCCTATCCCTATCTATTTATAACGAAAAAGGAAACTATTGTCGCGATAGTGCCACACAATAAACAGCCTTATTCATAGTCAATATAGAAACTTCATTGTTTTACATCTTATCGTGGACATAAGATGTTCTTAAAGCGTGTCATCACATCCGTACTATTTTACGCACATTGTATCATGTCATTGATCTTTAAATATTGATTTAAACTCTGTTAACATAACACGGCTTTGTTTGTCTGTCTTACACTTGATTATGCTTTTTTATAAATTTTGACAAGGGATTTCCGGTTGCTGTTCATAACTGACATTTGAAATAATTACGAGTGTTTCTAAGAATTTCGGGCTTTTTGTGAGAGCTTTCTTGTTTTTATATTTCCGCGTTAAGATTCGATTCGGTAAATTTGTTGAAGCTTCATTCGGCTATTAATATTGTACTAAGAATGTAATTAACGTGCTCATTTAATAGCAATACTTTACACACATTCTAGGTTCGATTCCTGGGGGAGCCCTTGTTCGGGCAGTGTAAATAAAATTGAGCAGATTATAAATGTGTCTATTTAATGCCTCTAAGTCATAACATAGACTTGTCTGAAATGGGTGTCACTTTTTTAGTTTTGAGTTTTTTATATGCAGCTGTACACGCAATGTAGGTATTTAATTTACATGTTTTCATGAGATTCATGGTAAATACGGTATACATTTACTATATGTATAGTAATAATATGATGTCGTGACACGCGAGGAACATCCTTCATTACGATTCCCCCGCTGCTTAGGTATTCTAATCACGAGATGTAGCCATCCTTTTGGTTGGAAACAGCCCTTTTGATCTTATTTAATGTTAAATTTATTTATAAAGCCTACAAAAAAGGTTGACCTTTAATTAGTTCATGTTTATCAATGTCTAGATTAGCAATTTTTGTAGTTCAATTAACGATAGAAGTAGAGTAGAGTCTTAAAACAGATATCTATTAATAAATTGTGTAAGGCTTTCACGGCCATCGTCCAGCATATCATTGTTTTTCGGGTAGTTCCTGATGATGCCGTTCGGACGTGATGGTGAAACGTCGAGAACCTCTTCTCGCTCACGTCGGCCGAACAGCCCGAAAAACAATGATATAGATATCTATTAAAGGCTTGTTGTAATTAAATGATTAGATATGCATAAATGTCTTTATTAAATACTTTGTTTAAAACGTTTAGTTAAATCATGTAAGAAGCAGTCTCACAACGTTTATTAAAACGCGTGACTATGTCTGGTGTTCAAGTTGTAGTTGAAATAATTTATTATTATTTTTACGTTTTAAATCGTTAACTATTTTTTTCAATAATTTTTAGTCGTTGGAACTGCAAAAAAATAAATAGTTGATATTTCATATTAAAAAATCAGTGTGTAAATAAATTATATGAGTAATTCTCGAACGGACCTCGGTCATTGGCTAATTACCATCTGCAATAAGTCCAAACCAGATTTAAAGTTAAAGCAATAAGGGTGACAATGCTGTGCTATTAATAATGGCTGTGATTTACAACTGTCTCCCGTGGATCACATTGTTTTCGTACCCCCTGCTATTTGGTAGTGCTGCAGGGAAAGTTTAGGCTGATTTTATATAAAAAAATATACATACGTCATTTTTATTAAGATTCGTGTAAAATTACCAATTGTTTTTTTTACCATATGAAAGGATAAATAAGTGAAAATGATGTGGAAGTTAGTGATTGTTGTGTGCATATTATATTTAGAGTTTGTTTCTGTTGAATGTTTGAAAGCCGGTGCGCGCGGTGTTTGCGTAGTTAAGTCAAGGTGGGTGTTAAAAAATTCTCTTATTTTATGCAAAAAATATGAATTTAGTAATACACACAGATAATCATATTAAATTTGAAGCTATTGGTTAATAAGCAGAATTTAATCATTGTATAAGTATAAAGCATCGCGTCCGTAGTTATCGTGTCTTGTACAAAGTAAATTCACTGCACTTTTAACGGCTTGAATCACGATTATCTAATTTATTACTTTGGAATAAGACCCGACGCAATGTTTTGATGCTTCATATATACAAGCTTCAAGAAATATATGTATGTAATTGTAGTTTTAAAACGTTAAGTTACTTCTTTATTATTATTATATTGCAAGAAAACATATGTATATCTACTTCTGCGTGGTAATATAAATAAAGTTTCTCTAAATTTATATAATATAAATTTTATAATATGTGTGTGAAATCCCGTTTTCCCCTCGTGGGGCATGGGGTGAACACATTTCTGTACTCGTTTCACCGATCCGTTCTTTAAGAGGCAAGTAGTTGATCAGACTTCTGTGCCCTGCCGGACCGAAACAACTTTTTGTTTCCCCGGGATTCGAACCCGGGGCCTGTCGCGCTTAACGCAATGCCAGGCAATACGTTTAAGCATTTGGCTACAGAGGCGGTCCATGTTTGTAGTATGATTAGGTAATTATAGTACAAAAATATAATATTTTACTTAAAAAGAAATAATAAAAATGATCAAAAACGTATTCTTTTATGAAGTTGAAGCACACAGTCCTGAAATTTTTAATACGTCTACGAGCTATTGAAATGGAGGGTGAGAAGCCGGTAAAAACCCAAATAAGTGATATCGACCCGTCATTTTTAAAACACCTCCTACATCTTCCGGTAACAGATATCCCTCAAATAAAAAAAAACTTAATCATTTAAACCATATTATTATTAGTTCTTCTAATGCTCATTGGCTATGCGTATGAAGTACGAGAGACACTTGGTTCAAAAGAAATCAGAAATGTTATTGCCCAACTGCACGAGTGGAAACGTCTTATTTTGTTATAGGCTCTCAAAATGTCTTTTTTCTTTCAGTACACGCAAAACAAGAGCGAAACCAGTTCAAGTTGCAATAAATAAATGGTGTGGAAAAAAGAAATGCACTGTTAGAAGAACAAAATTAGAAGTGAGCATTTTGATGTTATTAATGATTGAAGTTTTATTTACTTCGTAAGATGCTAAGATAAATAAATCCTAGTTATAAATACAGTGTAAACTCTATATAACAATATTGAAGGGTCGGGTCAGAATATTACAACGTTATAAAAAGATGTCGTTAAATGAAACAAACTTAAATTCAGACTAGTGATATTTTTTATGTACAGAAAAATAACTATTTAAATAAAAACACTTTACGTCGTAGGATCTCCCCGTACCTGTGCAATGCATCCAAAACATCGGGCCATAGTTAAGTACACTTCAAACAAGTTTAACTAATATATACACCCGTCGTGTTTTAAACCGCGAATATTACTCCCAATCTGCTTCCTTCCTGCATCACTAACATATGAGACAATTTTCTCGATGTATTTCATTATTGACATTTAATCTGTTCCAGACATTCATAGCCTGGAGAACACAGACAGTCTGCTGCGCTGGTTGGCAATACAGAAGCGAGGATGACACCTGCATTCCACAATGCAGTACCGGTTGCAACGGTGGCATATGCACAGCACCTGACACATGCGTTTGTGAATCCCCAGCTGTAGTTCACCCAAACAATAACACCTGCATCATTCCGGAATGCAACCCCCCCTGTATCAACAGCCATTGTGTAAACAATAGTTGCATATGCAATCCAAACTACGAGCAATTTAACACCACCCACTGCTACCAATGTAATCCAGGATATATCATAGACGCCAATTTCACCTGTATCAAATGCCAATGCATGCATGGTACATGCATAAATAATACCTGTGTTTGTAACGAAGGTTATGCCTTGAAGGGTAATATTTGCGAAGCTGTGTGTTCCAACTGTAACGGCGAGTGTATTGGACCGGATATATGCCAATGTTTGAATGGTTACGCCAATATTGGTGGCAGGTGTGTCCCTATCTGCGGTTGCGAGAAATGCATAGCTCCGAATGTTTGTGATTGTCCAGGTGGATATAGAGATAGTAATGGAACTTGCGCTCCGATATGTGACCGTGGATGTGTCAATGGGTATTGCTCGGCGCCAAATCTGTGTTCGTGTAATGAAGGATTCCTCAAAGACGGTCAAGGCGTGTGCCGGGAGTGTTCAGAAACTTGTTCGTGCGGTGCTGATGGAGAATGTCTAGACGCGACGTGTAAAGGGTGAGTATCTTCAGTCTTATTTTGAGTAGTCAAATTGGCATGAGGCGTAATTGAGTACGTTTCACTAGTAAGTAGTTGGTCATACAGACCCGGAAAAACCAATTGTTGTTTCCCCCGCATTTGGATCCCCGCACCCCCCCCCCCCCCGGACCGGCTTAACGGAATGTTAGGCGACACTTTTAACCATTTAGCTACATAAGAAAATATAAAATGCGATATTATTTTCATTAATTGAGACTATCGTATTGGCGATTGTGCAATGTTAAAATTGTCAAATCATCAAATCAAGTATTAACTTAACCTTAGTATAATGTTGTAACCTACGATAAACCACAATTGGTTCATCTTCTTATTTACTAAGTACCTGAAAGCTAATTATGATGACGAAGCATTTGCTATGAAATCCCCTAATCACTAATTAATTTAAAATGGAAACAATAAAATTGTTCTTGTTTAAGCCGTGAGCGGCTAATACGTTTCACAGATTATTAAACCACCGAGTTAGCTAACGTCTGTACTTTACGCGAGTAGTACTCATTTAAATAAAACACTTTTAACGCAAAATGTATTAAAGTTACTTGTGACCACGGCCACTGCAATACATCCGAAACGTTCGTAGTGAAAGTTTGTAAATAAAATTAACTAATACATTTCGCGTTTTAAACCATTACAAGAGTATTTCAATAATAAAGACTTCTTATTTAAGTAAGTAGTATAATAATTTAAAAATCGAAAATAAATTGAAAAAATTTTCGACTCGGGCAGGACTTGAACCGGCATCGTCAGCGTTCCGTGCTGTTGCTGTTTTCAATTTATTTTCGATTTTTAAATTATATAGTGCCTTCATGTGCGATAACATGTGAAAAATATTAATGTTTTTAAAAAAGTAGTATAATTTTAATGATAGAGAAGCACAGACAAGCGTGGAGTCCACTTGATGGTACTCGTAATACCCCAGCCTATAACATCTCAACAAGATACTCTGTCGACTTATTTTGTTTGTATTCGATTTATCGTTAAGATCGTTAAGTTGTCGGACTCAAACAAATCAATACGCTTTCTCAAGATCGCGGGATGAATCAGAGTCCTAGGACAATAAGCTAATGAACTGATAAATATGATGAAGTGCGATCGTTCACATGTATTGTGTCAATGCAAATATCATATCCTGTGACGGTATCGCATGACCCGAATGTATACTTGCATAATGAGTACCAAAACTGCTTAAAACAGTCATAGTCAAGTGTAGATACAGTAATTAATACCTAATGGTATTTAAATAAAACACTTTAACGGTTTAAAACGCGAAACATATTAGTTAAACTTATTTATTAATTATTTTCACTACAAACGTTTCCCATGCTTTGTAGCCACTTACATACATACATTTCACATTATAAACCGTTAAAAGTGATTTTTTTATGTGTACTACTCGCGTAATGTTAAACTTATTTGAAAATGATTTTAACTATTTGGGCTGCTTTGCAGCACCCGTGGTCACGTCAGCAGTCATATAAGTCTATTTAAAATATAATATACATAATTCTTTAAAAATTTTTTAAAAATTATTTAGATTCGTCAAAATTTTTTTGTTTGTCTGTCCTTTGTTTATCGTGATTCCAAAAGAGCAACATAACTGAGAAGAACACCCAAGAAACTCGGTCCGAGCTTTTTTTAACATGTCTTATAAACTAATACATTGTGAATTTATTAACCTAAGGAGCAATTTATCACTGCCAGGCGGTCTTTTAACTTTTATAGTTATAATTCGTAAATCCTTATCATCACATATTTAAGAATAACATAATATTATCTATCATAGTAATTACTAGATATAGAATTCGAAATACTAATTATCAATGCTATTTATGATAGAGAAGGACAGACAAGCATGTTCACTTAATGGTCGGTGAAATATCCCAGATATGTACGTCTAAACAAGATATGCTGTCGACCTTTTTTTGCTTCGGATATTCGGAAATCCACGGACTGTTTTCCAAACGCGATCAAACTTCACGACTTGTTCATCTGTGGGCTGTGGATTGTGACTAGCCGTTTAATATATAGATTTTCAGACGAAGTCCAACCTATGACAGAAAAATTACAACTTGTTTAGCAAAATGATGGACCTGGTGGGGATCAAACCCACGACCCGTTGATTATTAGATATAATTGCTACCATCACAATAAAGAGCCCATTTAAATATATTATTGAAATTTTATTTATAAGTATCATATACTTTAATAAAAAATACTTATTTTTTTATTATTAATGGATTATGATAGATTTAAACCTAATTTAATTTTAAAATAACGATTAAAACAGCTTTTTGTCTTTCAATATTGTAATCTGAAATAAAATTCCAAAATTTTATGAGACCTCTTGAGCATTAACGCCACGTTGAAATTGTAATACTTCTAGTAAACATACTAAATAATAAATTAAGAGGCATAACACAAGACACGATATTATCATAATTCAATAAATAAACAGTACTCTCTAGTACGACATCTTTAATTAGACGGGTATAATATAATGTCGTTACGGCTTTCATACGGTTTATATTAGTTCTTCGAAGTCGCAAGAGATGGCAGCACTTCGTTCGTATAAGAATTTTTTGTCGTTAAGTGTTATATAAACATTGTCAAATAATACTTATTGATGAATGTACAAACATGTTTACTGCGGCATAAAGTAACTTAAAGTATCAAATAAAAGCTGTAAGCTTTTTGATTATCTGTCATAATGTACAATAACGATATTGTTCTTGTAGTTTCAGAATCATTACACAAAGTAGGATAACATACACAATGCAGTCATTCTGTTGTTATCAATAGGAAAATTCCAGAACTGCGGTAGATAACTTAAAAAAAACTTTGAACTATAATAATCATTATTTCTAGACACTAAAAGGCTATTTTAATATAATAATAGTTTTTAATATTGTTTCAGTAAGTTGTTTACTTCGTATGTTTATTTTTCTATATACTACATTCACAAACAATTACAGTAGCTAAATTTGTACTAATTGAAAAAATATTAGTTTCCAGTATTTAGCTTTTTAACCGACTTCAAAAGAAAGGAGATACCTAATTGGATTAAAATGTGTTATGTTATTACATTATTTTTTATAACTAAATCATGCGAAGTTCTTTTTCGCTAGGTTTTCTTATCACTCAGTAATTTAAAAAGATTATTTTGTAGCTTAAAGGGTATTTAACAATGCAGCATTCCAATAAATAATTATGCAATATTCTAATTACGTAAGAATTAACCAACGCTATGATAATCATCATTATTACTAACACGTTAATTAAGTGTTCGTTAATGTCTGTACGTTATTAGTTACGTATGTAAAGGGTGGTAATGCATTAATTACAAATATGACTGACTATTAATACTGAAAAAATTAACAATTACGATCGTCGCAATAAGACATCTAATTTACGATTTTGATTGACAAAGATTGACTTAAATGCCTTGAAAATATAATAATACCATGTTCACATAGGTATTATAAGATTCATCCTTTTGTATCTAGGTAGGTTACAATCATTTTACCCCCTCCCCCACTATCGTCACACTACAACACCAAAAGTGAATATTTCAAAGCTAACATTAAATTAAAATTGTATTTTTGAGATCTATTTATCCAAGCAAGCGACTAATTGGATTATTAATTTTAGAATTAATTCAGGAGATTTATTCAACCGTTGAATAAACGCTTGAAGGTTGCGGCGCAATATTTTTGTATTGTTAAGAATTGTTGTTTTTGCCTGAAATGATTGTTGGTGTCTATAAACCAAGCCGTAAATAGAGCGTTAAATATACAGCTTACCGATTAACTCGCTGCGTTACTTGAATCTCAATCACCTATAAGCCCCAATAAAATATCCGATGTCCATATAAATGGACTTTGCGAAAATTTGAGGATCCCCATTGTAGAACCGTTGAGATTTATGGCACGTGTCGTCGTCGTGAACTTGTGTGCTTAGTTTATGAATTAAAATGGTATGATATAAGAAAATCCTCCCCAGATGTAATTTAGTCATCAAAGAAATAATAATACATAATAAGAAAAACGCCAGTGTGAGAAATTTCGTCTTTCCTATGTGTTTTCCCATGGCTTAGACACATATCGTTTTCTTGTTTTGTCCCCGAGAACTCAGTACTTTTCGGTTTTGACAATGCGCAACCAAAGTGTTTTTTTTTTTACATATATGCACTGTCATAACAGATGTGTCATTTTAAAGAGCCTATTTCCCATTATAATGAAATAAAATATATTAAGTAGTGAAATAATAGCTGTTTTGTTTAAATTTTTAAATTTAACTACAGAACCCCACTGATACTCTTCGTTCCCACTCGAAATATATTTCAAAATATATATGGATCGTCTACTTTCATTTGGCACGTGCGATTTTTATGAGATTCTCATACAATTTGCATAACATTTTTGCTTATTCATATGCTGTTTGGCTTTAGTATATTTATCGCCGGAAGTAGCCAATTCTAAAACGTCATTGTAATAAACACAGTTTGTATTATTTTATATCTGAATTTAATTAACAACAAAGCTATTGTATAAATTTCGTAGTATCTTTGATAAGCAATATAATTCAAGAATTTCTTACAATTCTTCATAGTTTACACTATTTGAAGACATTTGACGGTTTAAAACGGAGTACGTCTAAAAAGCTCTTATCGTTTTCATATGTTGATATTTAAATAAAACACTTTAACGATTTAAAACGCGACATATATTAATTAGTTTAATTTATTTGAAAAACGTCGGGCCGAAGTTAAAAATAATTTTCCTTTGTACTACTCGCGTAAACGTCAGATAGTACGTTGATATTTCTAATAAAAAAAGAAAATTGACTTGAGCGGGCCTTGAACCGCCAACGTAGCGATACGTATTGCATTTCTAACCAATTGAGATGCCGTGCCCCTTATTCTCATAAAAACCTTATCTCTACAACTTTGACACAGAACTAACGACTCCTAAATTTGTATTGGTGTCTTTGTAAAGAGTCATTGTTCGAGCTTATTACTTAATTATTCAAAACACAACCATCCTGTATTTATGTTTAGGGTAAGTCAGTTGTAAACGGGCTGTGTTCAGTAGCGATCGTGCCGCGGATGTGATACCTTATCAGAATGAAGGTGTATTGGTTGCTAGTGGCTTTATTCTTTGAATTTCCGCTTAGCGAGAGTTTAAAAGCTGGAGATCCGAATGTTTGCGAGTGAGTGCACTGAAGAAAACACGATAACTTAACAGTGATTAAGAAATATATAGTATTACTAATTCTATTCTATTGTGTATATGAAATAGTTTAAATTCAAAATCAATTAAGTCTGCATGCATAGGCCTTGTTTTAATTAAAGATCTTCATTTGTTTCATGATACAAATCAATCAGCCATTTACAACGTATGGGTTTAAATTTTTCGTTAACGTAATAATTTAACTTTAATTAAATCTTGTTTCTTTTTGTTTCAGATCCGATGTGGTGGGTATTCAATTTACAAACATTCTCAATAAGTGTATAGTTTATAATTTTATGTGTTTTATACATAGTAAACAAGAAGTTCGAGTTCAAGAAGTGTTGATTGTTAATGAATATTTCATATTTTCAGGACGGCTTAATATGCTGCGAGGGTTTTGGATACGACAGACGCAGTAGATCATGCCGCGCAAAATGCCAACGTGGGTGCAAAAACGGTGTGTGTGTTACCAGAAATAACTGTGTGTGCACACCACCCCTTGTTCTCATAAATGGTAATGAATGTGTGCTACCTATATGCGAAAGACCTTGCAAGAACGGAATATGCACGGGAAGGAACAGCTGCACCTGTCACGAAGGATACGGTCCTATCGACAAATTTACTTGTGAACCAGAGTGTGACCCTCCATGCCTTCACGGTACATGCATGTCGCCTGGAAGATGCTCCTGCTCTTCAGGATACACCTTGACTAATGGAACCTGTGAACCCGTCTGCAACGCCTGCAATAACGGTGTATGTATCGCACCAGGAACTTGCAAATGTAATAAAGGATATACGAAAGAAAACGGCTCGTGTGTTCCTGAATGTGAACGACCATGTGTCAACGGGGTTTGCTCCGAGCCAGATAAGTGTTCGTGCAATTATGGCTATGAGAATGATCCAGCAGATCGCTATAAATGCCGTCCTGTTTGCGCAATACCATGCGTCAATGCTTCCTGTACAGGCCCCGATACGTGTTCATGTCTGCCTGATTACGTTAAGCTGAACAAAACTATATGCGTGCCAAAATGTGACAATTGCATTGGCGGCTATTGCGTTGAACCAAACAAATGTAAATGTAGGAACGGTTTTGCTTTAGATAATGGGAAATGTGTACCAAAATGCGAAGACTGTACACACGGTGTATGCACAGAGCCAGGAATCTGCAAGTGTAATAAAGGATATACGAAGGAAAACGGTGTATGCATCCCAGAATGTAAGCGAAGTTGTGTCAACGGAAATTGCTCTGAGCCAGATAAGTGTTCTTGCAATTTTGGTTATGAGCGCGATCCTACAGTTCGTTATATCTGCCATCCAAAGTGTGGAGACTGTACGCATGGTATATGCGTTGAACCGGAAAATTGTGTTTGCGAAAAAGGGTATGAACGAAAAAATGGTTCGTGTATACCAATATGTTCGACTGCCTGTGTCAACGGATATTGTGATGCTCCCGATAGATGCAAATGCAATCCAGGTTTTCGCCCAAAAGATTCCGTATATTGCGAAGAAGATTGTGGCAACTGTGAAAACGGAAGATGCGTGGAGGGTGGCATTTGTTTTTGCAACGACAATTACACTATGGTCGATGGTATTTGTACACCAAAATGTTCGGTCCCCTGTGTCAACGCTGAATGCATTGCCCCCAATACGTGTAAGTGCTATGATGGATATACAAGAAATCAAACGATGCCAACCAGCTGCTTTAAGAAGTGCGCTTGCGATAATGGAAATTGTATCAACAATGTCTGCATTTGTCACGCAGGATTCGAGATGTTAGATGACATCTGTACTGAGATTAAACCGTAAGTATTATACATGTTTCTGAGTATACAATATATTTGTTTGGGGTAAAAATTCATTAACACATTTAGAGCCGTAGTTCAAAAAGTAAAATGGAAGGAATACAAAAATGGTAAACATTCTAACATCACAAGCAACGATGTAAATCAATCCCATTTATTTGGTTTTAATTGAGTTTAGATGTCGTTTTGTTATTGGTGCTGGCTGGAATTACTTGTACTTAAAATCATAATTACAATTCTATAATTTTCTTATTCTATTAAAAACATAAGTCTTATTTTCCGTTTTTTAACAGCGTAAGAGCATATAGCGTAGCTTTTTTATTAACACCACAAAGAATGTTTTTTTACTATTCATAAGTACCACTGTATACTAAATTAATATTATTCATTACTACTGCTGCATTGAATATTGAGCTGGTCTAATGCGCGCCTTCAGTAAATGTATACCATTCTGTCATCTTGTCTTTTTAACTTTGGTTTCGTAAAATATAGTTGTCTGAATTTATTGAATTATGACTCAGCTCGAGTGAAATTTGTCTACACTCACAAGATACTTAACCCATCTTCTGTTCATTCAACTTGCCCGTTTTTGCCGAGCCATTTGTTCTCTAATGTAAATATTTTAAAGATGAACAATCGCGTTTGTTTAATATCGTCTGAAGAATCTGTACAGTGTACGCTTACACTAAAATAATCAGGTTATTAATATTAGCAATATAGATCTATATTAACCTCAAATTTGCATAAGGTTCTGATACTTAAGACACAAAGCATATATTATATTTGTAATTAAGAGAATAGTCCCCCCTGAACACACGAATACAAAATAAAATGAATAAATAATTTTAAATACAGATAAAAAATAATTGTTGTGTTTGAAACCGTTCTAAACATTCAATTTACGCAAAAAAATAAATTTTTTTGTAGCTATTACTGTGATTATACAATATAGATTACATCGATTTGTGGTTTCCGAAACATTATTATCAATCTAATTATTTAAGTCTACTCTGATATTGAGAGTCGCGCATTTATAGTGCTTTAAGAACCGTTTGCAAAGTCGGGAGTTCGATCTCCAGCTGTGAAACATACTTCTCTGTATATTCACGATATGTACATCTGCAAATACGGATGGATTTCGTAATATTTTATTAGTTGGCATAAAATGACTTTAATTTAACGGCTATTTATTTATCATTTCAGCACTGATTGCAGTACGTGTGAAGGCAACTGCAGCAGTGGACTCTGCTGGTGCAAGAGTGGCCAGCCTTGTTATATGGTGGAGGAACCTGGTGAAGTTGGATCCGCTGAACCGAAGTATGTTAACTGGTCCTAGAATTCACTATTATTAAAACCAGTGGCGATGTGTGGACGTCGGAGAAATAGTACGGGTACCCCCTACCCTCCTTTAGCTCATTCTAGAAAACGTTAAATTATAAGCCGTTACAGTAGTATATATATAAGTCAACATAAGCGGAATTATAGTTGTACTTGAACGACTTGGACAGTAATACGTACGACATGCTGTTTGATAGGCCGGATAGATGCAGGGGGATTTTAAAGAGTTTTAAGGTACCGAAGCCGGTTCGCATAAACCGCTAAAGAAGCGGCTTCTTTACCGGCTTTATTTAAAAAAAAGTTAATAAAATTATTAAATTATGTAAGTGATTAAAATAAACCTAGTAGCGTCATTGTTCATAAAAAAGCGATAAGATATTTGCCGATTTAATTCAGTTCCATTTTTTGTAGCATAGTAATGAGTAATGAAAAATATCTCTATATATACGTCGATGCTTTTGAGGAAAGTTCAATAAGATCACCATAAAAAGCATTGTCATATGTAGTCACAAAAAAAACTGATTGAAAATAATGTTACTAACGTGCACTTGTGTGAAGTTATTCTTTTTCGAGTTTTGTTTTACATTTTAGTGTAGCTGTGTCAGCGACTTCGTCCGCGAGAATCGTTATTTTGGGTATCCAAAGTCGTTTTTGCAAAAGTAGGGTCTTTATAAACTGAAGCTGTCACCCACGACGTCGGTTACGGCCCGTGCCGCCGTCTTGCAAGTTAATCTTAAACAATAGACATATGGCAGTGCGGATTTTTTTTAGATCATTTAAAAAGGAATCATTCCTGCATACATATCTTTTTGGGTATCTTGAACCGTTTTTACAGCGTACGCGTCGGAAAGCCATTAATGATGAATAATTTTTCTACTTTTTTCACATATCTCACTGTCATAGGGGAATGTTTTAATTTTTTTTTAAATTCAAACCGAATTTTTAATTAGTGCTTTCAAAGACACAAACAAACAAAATCTTCAGCTTTTTATATTAGTATAGATTACTATTAGACAGTCTCATATAAATAGTAAGGTAATTAATTACTATATAATTATTAGCTGTCTTAATATAGATAAATAACATACAGATTATATTTATTTCAGATTAGCAGGTTTGGATTTTAGCTGGGTGCTGGGTGGCGTAGGTCTGGCACTTCTCACCTTAGTGATTATCGTGATGGGCCACTTATATCGAAAACGAGATTATGTCGTTAAAAATACGGAGTCAGGTAATATTTCATATAATGAAAATATAACAAAAGCAAATGAACGTAGTATACATTTTTATAAATAGTCAGTCTTTGCTTAGACGAGCAAATTTCAACATCTCCTATTGATACCATCTCTTAATTACCATGGCGGTATACCTCGATTGTCTAAATAGCTTTTAAATAATATATTAAAGCATTAGTCGATGATGCAGCCCTTACGTGAAGTTTGAATCACGGCGAAATAAAACTTATTTCAGTGGACCCATAGATAGAGAACCTTAGAAGAACGATATTCCATTATATCATAATCACATTATTAATGATATTATTTAAAATGTTCCAGGAGGTAATGAAATTGGCAGCGTGGTATATACAGTCCCGGACACATTATTGCAGAAAAGACCCGGAAGCATTGTCAACGTTTACGGCGATTTTGACGAAAATTACGAAGACGAACAAGAATCGAATGCGAACGATCCACTCCGCCCCTCTCTTGCTGATGATAAATTATAGTAGCTAGTGGAAAATATAGTAAACGAAGAACGAGATAAAGCGTGTATCTTGAGGATAGTCAATTCTAATTGGCTACTCCTTTTGTTATTTTTCAAAATGGCGGGCCAAATTTTGACAACTTTGACATTTAATGCTTTACTACGATAATGTTTTAAACAATGACAAGCCAAGACGGTCACCAATATTTTAAAAATTTAATATTACGGATTTTTAATTAATCTCTTTTTACAATTGCACATATTTTGACTAAACCTTAAAAAAAATTGTACCACCCCTAATAAGTTCGTAGTTTTGATAGATATATGGCCAATTTCATAAGAGTATTGTGCTATCATCTATTCTTTATAAGATATATCGTTATAGTTTTTCTGGACGAAAATTTGCAAAGCAAATTCACTATTTAGTTACTTCAACAAACATGGTTATACATCGATGAAATAGTTGTGTAACTATGGAACACAACTATTTCATCGTTGGAGCAATAAATAAATTTAGATTATAATAAAATAGAAATTAACACTAATTTACAAATACTTAAATGTTAGGCTCACTAAGAAAGGCTTTCGAAGAAGTCAATCAAAATTTTAATATACAGAATATTCTGATCTTCAGGCTTTAGTACGACTTGTAATTAGTGCTTGATTTAAGAATGAAGATATCGTTGCTAGGCACAACAATTGGTAAAAGTCGGAGCCTTGTCGTATTTAGCATATTTTCAAAGCTATGGAATACTACAAATTATTGGGAGGATTGCTATTAAATAGCTAATAAAAAGCTTTAAAGGTAACAATAGAATAAGTGGTGAAATGTATTTAAGATTGAAATTTCGACAACACAGGCAAAACGTCCTCAGCATCCGTTGGATAATATTGGCTAATTTTGTGACTACAGGCGTTTAATCTCAATTAGTTGAGAAACAGGAGTCTTTTGGTCGTAGGTTCGAATCCCCCTGTGTTAACGATTTTTAACGTCCATAATACTGTTCCATTTATAATAGTTCTCATGTGCCTTACCATATCAAAATTGTATAGCTTAAGTAAGAGTACATTGAATTAATATTTTTTATAGATTCTTCTTAATAACATATTGTCAAATATGTTTTAATTACTTGGTAATTATGAGATTGAAATCATGCCAAAATTGTACTTATAGTTAGTGTGTAAGAAATTAAAAAATGGAAACCGAGTGAAACCTAGTGCCTGCTAAGTTAAGAATCTAGGGTAGTATCTTTTTAGATTATAAACAATTAACATGAGATGTGCTTTTTTACTACCTGTGACGAATTTTTATAAGTATAAAATGAACACACAAGTGTAAAACATATATATGGAAAATGTAATACAATTAAATATTACAATAATTGTCTCATTATAAATTGTGAAAATTTTCCATAAATGTAAAAATATCACAAGATTATTTAAAATATATTTTCACTAAATAGATTATTGAGTTATTTACAAGTCATTCTTGTTTTTATTCTCTTTTATTCTACGATAGGCGGCGTATGCATTTTATATACTTATATTTTTTATTTTAGTAGTTTTAACTTTTAACATAAAATACTGTCTGTAGTATACGCGAGTAGTGCACATTTAAATGAAACACTTTAACGGTTTAAAAGCGATATATTTTTAACGCTATATTTTCTATAAACATGTTAATTAATTATTTTTAACTACGGCCCGACGTTTCGGATGCTTTGCAGCAGCCGTGGTCACGGGGATAAACTGTTTAACCTCATTTAATGAATTTATATATTTATCTGGAGTACAAAATAATTATTCTCAAATCTATATATTTATACTATACTACCACTACCATAACTTTCATAAAAACTCTTTAAATATGTCAGGCTCGTTGATGTAATGATAGCAATAATCAAGTGGTCGGAGGTTCTAATTTATTTATAATTCTAAAACATCTGGAAATCTGGATAATGGGTGTTAGGAACAACGTAATACCGTCATCGTTAATCGCTTTTCGGTTTAGTCTGAGGATTTCCGAATATCTATAACCAGACCATATAATTTATTATAACTACGATATAATCTAAATCCCTTCCCGTTAATTAACAACGTAGTCTGTGATAGGTAAAGAAGGGACTTACTGTCTATAAAATGATTTCTCAACTTGTTAACTCTGTTAAAGTTACGTTGTTCGAACATTGTTTAGTGCATGCATAAAATATACCTGTATGACCATATAGTCCGCTCGTGGCCTGAAATTATTATTTCCTTTTTATTATTTATTCGTTTTAATTTTGTGCAATGGTTTTTGCAATATTCGTTTTTTAATAATTTAATAATGAAATTCAACTTTGTGTACAACGAAAGCCATTTAGAAAAAAAGTGTTTATATAACACTTTTTTTGCGTTCCCTTTTTTTAAATTAATTGTATAAAACTTTATAGACAATCAATCAGTAATCAACATTTGAAACCCCTTTTCTCAGGATTTAATTTCAAACGCCTACAACATATCTTATTAAATTAATTTAGGAAAAATGTTGCGGGCAAATTTTTATAGAATGTACACCAAATTATGTGTACCCGAACTTTAGATAAATTTTAATGACCAAGTCTTATCTGTGGTTAACAATAGACATAATTGCAGTATATATAAAACATTAACTTAATCATTATATAAACGCAAAAAGGCCCAAGTCGGTCTACTGTACGATTTCCAAATACGCTTAAGAAGAGTTTGTTTGTTTGAATGCGCTAATTTCAGGAACTACAACTGTTGGAAATTTAAAATTCTCTTTTGTGTTGGTTAGAGCATTTATCGTACAAAGCTTTTTATACGACCAATAGGAGGTAAAAAAAGGACACGGACGACGACGTGGGTAATGTAGCTATGTTTTGAAAAGCTGAGGAGGTTGTATACAAAAATAAATATGATGCTCAGAATAAGTATTCCACGTGGGCGAAGTCAGGCGCAGTTTGGGGCTTAAGCGTTGTGTTCCATTTGAAACGACATTCTAAGTTGTTTTTTCTTTAAAAAGTTTTACCAAATAACGAGGTCTTAAATATAGTAATATTACACACTGTTTGTTTTTATATATACCTATCCATGAATATTTTAATTTTTATAACTCTTACGCACCCAATAACTAATTTTGAAGATATTCTAAAAATCGAAGATTTAGTCGATTTAAGTTTCAGGTTTTCATGATTGGCGCAACTATTCCGCAGCCTTGGTCTATTTTTGAGTCTGATGCAATGTTGTCAGTCTACTTGCAGGATTATTATAGGACTTGTTATCAATAAATACCTAGGGTGCTGGTAATTCCATCGTGACAAAAACAGAAAACGTTCTAAGGAGGAAAATCCACTTCAAACCTATCGGTTTCAGAGGCTTATAAGATGGTCAATTTAAGAATAGAAGAAGGAATTTTGATATATAAGGTCCCTAACATTTTGGTTTAAGGTTTCGACTTTCGGTTTCGGCCATTGGTGTGGATCGCAAATATATTATTTGTGTATTTTATCTATTATAATGTAATTTAACATAAGAATACTCTAAAATACATATGTATGTCTAGTAGGTCAGTTTGTGTAAATATCATAATCCAATAGAATAATCCAAAAATATTGCTTTTTCATGTTTAACTTATAAGCTGGATTGTACTTTACATGAGGTGTCCTGTTCTAGGATGTAAATGGAAATATGTTTCTGCCGAAGTAGATATACAAGTAATCAATTGTGTAAGGCTTTCACGGCCATTGTTCAGCATATTGTCTTTCGGGCTGCTCGGCCGTATGTCAAGCGCGTGCTTATAAATAAATTTATTATTATAAATTATAGGAAATTATTATAGATTTGTATTATGATAGAGTAGGGAAGACACGACAGACATAGGGTAGATGGAAATTGAAATACCTTAATTATATAACAATTAACAAGATGTTTTGAATATTGGAAAATCCACAGGCTGAAACCGAATCGCCCGCGCCCCTAGACTTCACGGCTTATCAATCTGTAGGCGATGCAATATTCCTACCACCTATTTAATATCTAGATTACCAGACAAAGTCATAACATGTTTCAGAATTATACATTGTTGAGACCCGGTGGGTATCGAAGACACGCACCATTGTTTATTATTAGCAATACATGTACCATTAAACCAATGAACCCGTCGAAATACAATATAATACATATAACTGTAAATGCACTGCACATATATAATACCTATCACTATTAATATTATAAATGCGAAAGTAACTAACTCTGTCTGTCTGTCTGTCCGACTTTCACGCCGAAAGTACTGAACCGATTTAAATGAAATTTGGTACACAGATATTCTAGCGCCTGAGAAAGGACATGGGCTTTTAATGCCAAAAAAGGAATGTTAAGGGTCGAAAAGAAGGATGAAAGTTTGTATGGAAATTCGTGATTTTTGAAGCAAGAACAATAAAAGTTTCTTCTTTGACTTTTTGGGTCCCAAAAATTGAGAGTGGAAATGAGTGTATTAGTGAGAATGGGAGTGGGAGTGATGTGAGGTGGGAGTGGGATTGTTGCTGCAAAGTAGCACTTACAACACAGATTGGCTGCCTTGAATGCGCCTTTTTCGATGACATGCATTGTAAAACCTTTGGCTGTAAGAAAAAAAGGTAGTAAGGGGTTGAATGAGGTATGAAAAGTTGGGTGGATGTATCGTATTTAATTTTTATAGAACTTACTAATATTATAAATGCAAAAGTAACTATAAAAATAAGCATATAAAAAACACCATGGATATAGCTACTAATTATGAATACCTGAATAAGCTCTTCGCAGTGGAACACTGTATTTACACATGTGTCTTATTAAATTTATAAAATAAATAAATAAATAGCCTAAATAATTGATAAATTCTACCCAAAGTTACTATTGAACGTGGACGAAGTCGCGGGCACAGCTAGTTTTAAGATAATTTAGTCGGGACAATAACTAAAGTGCCAGTTTCAACATAAAAAAACATTACAAGTAGAGGTAATCTAAAAAGATCGTAAAATCGAGGCGAAGCATGCCTTTTAGTTAGTCGATTTTAAAGCAAATTTTATTGTACTGGAAAAATATATTAGAAGTGTTAAATTGTTTTATCATTTCATATGTATGTTGTATTTGCATATATGGATATATTAAATATTGGGATTCCTAATTAAGCACAGGGAAAACGTATGTTCTGATAAAAATAATTGTTGCTGGATTATGCTGAAAACGTAGGTACGAATTTTTGGGTTCCGTAAAGATAGGACATCGACGGATTAATTAAAACATGATAAATAAATCCAATCGTAGTCAAATTCTATGTTTTCTTAACTTTTATAAGCTAAGGCCACAAACATTTTTCTGTGCTTCTAGAACCTATTTTCATTTTTCTTCGAGACTTGAACCCATTCCCCAAGATTTCAGGTGTTTTAATCCAAAGCTCCAAAGTAAAGTATCTATAATATGTATTTTTTTAAATATTTTATTTCTAATTTAAGTGTAGAAATAGTTTAATTGGGTCTAATTAAATATACTGTACTTAAATATTATAGTAAAAGTCAATACGTGTTATTGCGATATTATAGAAAGTACTTCAAATTATATAATATCACGTTGCGACTAAGAGGAGCGAAGAATCGGTGGAAAATATGGAAATAATTGGGAAAAATAATCTTCTATGAGCGTTTCCGTTGCTTGTTTGCCGCAACACTCTAAATGTCACCTCACATCACTCCTACTTTAACTTCAACTCCACTCAACACTCACTCCTACTCTCACTTCCATTCTTAAAAAACCAAAGAAGAAAGTTTCATTGTTCTAGCTTCAAAAATCACGAATTTTCATACAAACTTTGATCACCCTTTTCATCCACTTTTTGGCATAAAAAGTCATAGGCTCCTTTCTCCGGCTCTAGAATATCTGTGCATCAAATTTCATTTAAATCAGTTTAGTACTTTCGGCTTTATGCCCGGACAGATAGACAGAGTTACTTTCGCATTTATAATATTAGTTTAGAATATACAGGTTTTGTTAAATCAAGAGATTTATATATGTACAGAACCCTACACAGTTATTTTATATAGATTACATGCATATACAGGGATTATAATATAAAGATGCAGAGTAGTTACAAATTTGGTCATTTATTGTTCGTTAGTACTAAGGAGACGATAGGATAACAATTTCAAATAGAAAATGAAAACTTTTGTATTTTGGATTGTTGCAGCCTTTGTAAGTACATAATTGAAATCTTGAATTTAGTGATATTTCACAGACATTTTTTATTTTATTTTTTTATATATAATTTTGAAGAAATATCTTATGTTACTTTGTCATGGTTTAATAATTAATTTTATTTCAGGCCACAGAACTGATCATTGCCAAACCTGTGGAAGAAGGTAAGTGTACTTTTTTTAGTCTTTTAAAATCTATAGAAAAACATTTTTGTACATTTTCAAATAGGTATAATAATTAGGTAGTATTTTTTTTCGAGCAACTTGCTTTGTCCTTAATTTCACTGTCTTCTCAACACGATTTAATATTTCCTTTGCATCTTCTAAAAAACTTTTTTTTTATTTGGCTCGGCCAAATACAGTAACAAATGCTTTTGGTTTTGGGGTATTAAATACTGTCTGTAATTTACGCAATAGTACATATCTAAATAAAACACTTTAACGGTTTAAAACGGGTATAATTATAAACTATAATAACTATTGGCTTTAGATTTTGTGGAAGAGCATAAAATGTGTTTTACATGTGTGTGTATAGTCAACACAATGTCCATGCAAGTGCATTTTTATTTAAAATTAATGTTAACATTGCGTTCGTAATAATTCTCTGAGACTTGAATGTGAACACGGCATGTATAATGGGAAATATTATTATCTATAAAATATTTTCAGTTATAAATTATTATAAGCAGTTTACTCGACTATAAAGCGATTTTTTTTTAAAGTTTACTCGCTTTTAAATGCGACCCGATGCTTTTCAGTTCCTCCGTAACCACGGCTGCTTACATCGCATTTGAAACAGTTAAAAGTTTTTTATTTGAATATTATATGTATTAGCACTATTTTCAGCATTCAGTTTGACCTGTTGCGGGGACATTTCGCCATCTTATACCCATTGTAATGATATCTAATGTCTTTAAGTTGTTGCATTAAATTCTATCATCTAAATAATGGTTGCAATAATTTAATTAATATTTATATAATAAAGTTGACACAATTATATTCATTAATAAGCGTTATTGTTATTTCAGTTCAGAAGTTCTTGATCCAAGTCCGTCGTCAGAAGAAGTTGTAGATCAAATCAATGGAATAGGGTATGTAAATATTTGTATTGCAATGTTCACAGTCTGTGACAAACTATTATTATCCGTCTTTTATTCCTTATATATAACGTTATACTTATCTGTTGCACTTTTCTTAAACGTGAAAACAGTAGATTGACCATATTTAAGGAGAAGAAAATGTAACTTTTTTCATTTCAGAAATAAGCACGAGAATCCTTTCTCATGCTCATTTTTCTGCCCGTTTCCTAAAGATTAATTCTGAAGAAATTGTAGAAGAAAGCCATGAAATAGGGTTCGCATTTTAACTAAAAATCTATTAATTATAAAATAAGAGGTACCTACTGTGACAAAGTTAAAATACAAAATCTTGTCTTATTTTGTTTCAGTAACACGCACAACAAAGGAAAGGGGCAGAAAAATGAGCAAGAAGTTCCGGAAGAAAGCCATGAAATAGAGTAAGCATTTTCACCAAAAAATCATTTTATAATAAAAAAACGTACCTACTTTTATAACAAATTGAATATATATATATATTTTTTATTTCAGTAACGCACACAAGAAAGGAAAGGGGCAGAAAAATGAGGAAGAGGGGCAGCCAAGAAGGGGGAAAAGAGGGGGGGATTGTTGCTGGCAGCCACGAAATAGGGTACGTATTAAAATTAAAAACCTATAAAATAATAAAAAATATTTACCAATTGTGACAAAGTTATTGTAGACCATATATTGATTTCTCTCCTTTTCAGTAATAAACACAAAAAAGGAAAGGGGCAGAAAAATGAGGAAGAAATTGTGGAAGAAAACCATGAAACAGGGTAAGAATGGAAATTGAAAACCTATGAAATAATAAAAAAATATGTCACTATTGTAACAAACTTATTGTTAAACAAAATATGGATTTATTTTCTTTTCAGTAATACACACAAGAAAGGAAAGGGGCAGAAAAATGGCGAAGAAATTGTGGAAGAAAGCCACGAAATAGGGTACGTATTTTAATCTTAACATTATTCACATTTGTCAGATATTTAAAAACAAAAAACTCAATTCATTTTTCCTTTCAGAAATACACACAAGAAAGGAAAGGGGCAGAAAAATGGCGAAGAAATTGTGGAAGAAAGCCACGAAATAGGGTACGTATTTTAATCTTTACATTGTTTACATTTGTCAGATATTTAAAAACAAAAAACTCAATTCATTTTTTCTTTCAGAAATACACACAAGAAAGGAAAGGGGCAGAAAAATGGCGAAGAAATTGTGGAAGAAAGCCACGAAATAGGGTACGTATTTTAATCTTAACATTATTCACATTTGTCAGATATTTAAAAACAAAAAACTCAATTCATTTTTCCTTTCAGAAATACACACAAGAAAGGAAAGGGGCAGAAAAATGGCGAAGAAATTGTGGAAGAAAGCCACGAAATAGGGTACGTATTTTAATCTTTACATTATTCACATTTGTCAGAGTATTTAAAAACAAAAAACTCAATTCATTTTTTCTTTCAGAAATACACACAAGAAAGGAAAGGGGCAGAAAAATGGCGAAGAAATTGTGGAAGAAAGCCACGAAATAGGGTACGTATTTTAATCTTTACATTGTTCACATTTGTCAGAGTATTTAAAAACAAAAAACTCAATTCATTTTTCTTTTCAGAAATACACACAAGAAAGGAAAGGGGCAGAAAAATGGGGAAGAAATTGTGGAAGAAAGCCACGAAATAGGGTACGTATTTTAATCTTTACATTGTTCACATTTGTCAGATATTTAAAAACAAAAAACTCAATTCATTTTTTCTTTCAGAAATACACACAAGAAAGGAAAGGGGCAGAAAAATGGCGAAGAAATTGTGGAAGAAAGCCACGAAATAGGGTACGTATTTTAATCTTTACATTGTTCACATTTGTCAGATATTTAAAAACAAAAAACTCAATTCATTTTTCCTTTCAGAAATACACACAAGAAAGGAAAGGGGCAGAAAAATGGCGAAGAAATTGTGGAAGAAAGCCACGAAATAGGGTACGTATTTTAATCTTTACATTGTTCACATTTGTCAGAGTATTTAAAAACAAAAAACTCAATTCATTTTTCTTTTCAGAAATACACACAAGAAAGGAAAGGGGCAGAAAAATGGGGAAGAAATTGTGGAAGAAAGCCACAAAATAGGGTACGTATTTTAATCTTTACATTGTTCACATTTGTCAGAGATTTAAAAACAAAAAACTCAATTCATTTTTCCTTTCAGAAATACACACAAGAAAGGAACGGGGCAGAAAAATGGCGAAGAAATTGTGGAAGAAAGCCACGAAATAGGGTACGTATTTTAATCTTGACATTATTCACATTTGTCAGATATTTAAAAACAAAAAACTCAATTCATTTTTCCTTTCAGAAATACACACAAGAAAGGTAAGGGGCAGAAAAATGGCGAAGAAATTGTGGAAGAAAGCCACGAAATAGGGTACGTATTTTTATCTTTACATTGTTCACATTTGTCAGAGTTTTAAAAACAAAAAACTTAATTCATTTTTTATTTCAGAAATACACACAAGAAAGGAAAGGGGCAGAAAAATGAGGAAGAAATTGTGGAAGAAAGCCAAGAAATAGGGTACGCATTTTAATCCAAAAATTATTTCATTATTAAAAATATGTACCTAATATGACAGAGTTAAGTTTTAAATTCCAAATACCTAATTACTTTTTCTTTTTTAGTAATACACACAAAAAAGGAAAGGGGCAGAAAAATGGCGAAGAAATTGTGGAAGAAAGCCACGAAATAGGGTACGTATTTTAATCTTAACATTATTCACATTTGTCAGATATTTAAAAACAAAAAACTCAATTCATTTTTCCTTTCAGAAATACACACAAGAAAGGAACGGGGCAGAAAAGTGAGGAAGAAAGTCACGAAATAGGGTAAGCATTTTAATTAAAAATCTACGAAACAACAAAACAATACCTAAAGTGTAAGAGGTAATCTACAAAACATGTTTGGTAAACAAAATAATTATTTTTTTACATTACAGAAACACACACAAGAAAGGAAAGGGGCAGAAAAATCAGCAAGAAATTGTAGAAGATAGCAAGGAAAAAGGGTGAGCTTCAACATCTGCCACTGCAGTGCCTGGCCAGCCTTTATATTAGTGTTTAAATTCGTTCCATTGCATGAAACTGCCGATTTGAACGGTTCCAAAAGACATCTACATAATTTGAAACAGTCTTGAATACATTATATTTATTAAGCTAACAACTAAATTTATGTCACCATTCCAAAATCCGTATTGTGACATAATTGGTAAAACGTGGACATAAAGTATTGCAAAGGTTTTGTAGTTGTAGGAAAAATGGACAAGAAATCGTTGACATAAATATTTTTACATGTTATTGCACATGAAGGCACTATATAATTTAAAAATCAAAAATAAATTAAGAATTTTTTTGTCCTGCCCGAATCAAAAATGTTTACAATTTATTTTCGATTTTTAAATAATATTAGACTATTAATATAGATTATTATCAAATTTAAAAAAAATTGAGCAGTAGTGGGCAGATTCGATATGATATATGCCTCATTACGAATAAATCAATTGCGTTATTGCATTGTAGTTGTGATATAAATTTGCTTTAAAGTTTTACAACATAATTTTCTAAATATAAATAAGAAAAATAATTTACTTTTCTCGATTTTACAGGGCCCACCAACCAATACCGAAAACTGATATTGTCGTCGACTCTGAAATCACATCGAGGTATGTTTTACTGAATTTCTTGATTTTTTTTTAATAAAAGAGGGTTTTTGGCTGTTAGTTGGATTGAACCTAAAAATCGATGGTAATATTTTACTCGACCAACCCATTATATAGCTCCATCCCCTAATTACTGAAGATACCAGTAATATAATAATTGTTACAGATTCAATACGGATGAGGGAGCGCAAGAGATTGTCCAGAAAAATAAAAATGGAGAAAGGTACGTTATTGAAGAGCTGGAGACAAAAATAAACTTCAACTCAAAAACATTCAATTCAATTCTTCTTAATCCTTATGCAATTGATACTTTGACAATTATTTTTAAAATTATCACAATCGGCAAAGTCTGAAAGCCGACTCAAGCAGTCTATTTCCATATTAAACTATCTGTGCTTGCGACTTCGTTCTCATTCAATAGTTATTTTGCACATCATATGTATCTTTGCAAACGACCTCCTCAGTTTCATAAATTATAGATTTTAATGACGTCATTGCGTGTTAATCTAAAAAGATAGACATATATCATATTAAATCTTATATAATGCAGTGCACGCAACGAAAGCCCTCAAAGATGAATCATTTTCCCCGTTTCTTCATATTTTCCTCTGTTTCTCCTATTGGTCATAGCCTGATGTTATGCCTCAATAAATGGTCTGTCCAATACAAATACCAGTAGTTCCTGAGATTGGGACGTTCAAAAAAACAAACTCTTCAGCTTTATAATATTTAGTATAGATATAACTAAAATATTAGTTGCCTAACTATTGATATGAAGTCTTAGTAATCGATTCCAGTTCTTCCCGTATCTACGGAAACCTAAAAATAACATTCTTATATCAGCCTTTAAACATATTATGACTCACACTGACGCACGCTTCACAATATTTTGCGATATGCATTGACACACAATTGCAATCTATTATAATAAAAAAAATCTGTATAGATGCACATCATGAACTTTGCTGAAGAAACTAAAAGACTACTATATTTTAAAACTACCTCTCTTTTAATGAATACCTTTAACGGTTTAAAACCCAATTTTTTATTTAAACTTTTTTAAAATTTTTTTTTCCCCGGGCGGAGAAATTAAAAATTTCCCCCAAAAATTTTCAATAATTTTCCCCCGTTTTAAACTTAAAGTGTTTTATTTAAATGCGTAAACTATAGACAGAAAACCCTCTCTTGTTCATATTTTTGTAGTTTTGTGAATCAGCGCATAAAAGAGAACTTTCATAATCATCAAAAGCTGTGTTCATTACCTATAATTATTTAGATAAATCACAACGAAAAAGCTGTAGTTAGTAAATCGATAATACAAAATTTTATATAAATGTATATTTATACAATTCAACTCACTATGTGATATTTTATAATTAGTGTTATTTGTTTTTTATAGTAACACAAATGCTGGCGCAATAGGAAAAAATGGTGAGTAACTTGCTGATTATATTTATTTTTTATGTATATGAGAACACGCGACAGAAACGGGGTATGATGACCCTATGTTCGAATCCCATGAAGAGACAAAATAAACAGTTTCTGGCGGACACGCTATAAAAAGTAGTTTAGTAGCTTGTCAATAATGTAGATGACCAATTGACACAGAAATATGTCAGCCCTATGACCCATTTAGAGGAAAGGGGATTTCATTATTATATTTTAATATCCTAATCAAAAGTTTATTTACAGATGCAACAAGTGCAGCGTCCACCAGCGAAAACCAAGCGATGTACGTACTTGAATGATTATGATTTTTAACAATATAAGTGTATTTAAGTTAAGTTAAGTTGGAAATTGTATACCCCTCCTATAGATGCTTAAGGGATTTACTTTTTATTAATAAGAGTTTGTTGTGACCAGATAAAAGCAAGGTGCAGTTACAACTAATTTATTACTTCTTGTAGCTACCTTACATAGAGTAGTATATATTATACTAAAAGCGGGTAGGCTTGACTACCTACTAACATATTAATACAACAATTATTATATTATCCACTTTGTATATAAGACTCAAAGTAGAGTCTTATATACAAAGTATGGTGAGAGAAAGATAATATAACAATGTCTGCAGTCTATGCGAGTATTTTAAAACGCGAAATATATAAGTTAAAATTAATTTTAACTTTAGCCCCACGTTTCGGATCTTTCTTTAGATCGTCCTTTGCAGCAGCCGTGGTGACGGGGAAACTGTATCCCCATGACCACGGCTGCCGCCAAGATTATTTATTTTGGTATTAAACCGTTAAAGTGATTTATTTAAAGGAAGTTAAAACCCAAACTATATTATGAATGCTTTCACCCTTGTGAGTGTGGCCTATGAAAGCATAGGGTTGTAATTAAAATAAAGTTACCAATTAATGGTTTTTTTATGGGTACAAAATTCAAAAAAGTTATACAATTTTATTTTTTCAGGTCGGGTGGTCAAAAGGCTGGCATTGTAATAGGCGCGCTGGTGGGAATAGCGATCGTCGCGTACGCAGGAAAAGTTATATGGAGTAAATACATTGCTAAGTGAATGATGATTCAGTATTTGATAAAGAATGAAGAGATGGCTGATATAAGACGGCGTGTTACATATATGACGTTACATCTGTAACATCAGCATTTCAGTCGACTTTGCTGTCAAGGTATATAATAATTTGTCAATTTATGAAATAATAACTATTACGTAAGGGTGCCGCTTTGATATAAAACGCGTTACTAGACTAGACAGACACTACAGACAGACTGCACTAGACAGTTGTCTTTCATTCGCCGTTCTTTTTTATATTTGCAGTGTCAATTTTTAGTTAATAATTAACATAGAAAAAAGAGCGATAATAATGAGTACTTATTAACTTGACGATGTTGTTAGTTAGTTAAAACGGCATGAAAGTGTATAAACATACTTTAAAATATAAGCGAACTAATTGCACGTTTCTTTAAAATTTACCGGAAATAGATTTTCTTTTTGACAAAAAATTAAAAGGTAAGTTAGGACATTAAATATATTTTTGAAGATATAAATTGTGTGTGTGTAAATAATGCACCCTCCGAACTAGCTGACATTCAGTCTTAAAACAGTTGTGTAATGTTACTTTAAATTTGAATAAAACAATGACTAAACAAAATACGGGTAAACAAAATCGTATAGGTACATATTTAAATTTCCACGTTTACGCAAGTGTATGGGAGTAGGTGACAATTACATTCTAGTAAGAATTTATTAATGTAACATTTGTATCTCAGACACCGAAAGTTGCCATCTTAAAAACTCCTTAATCCTGCAGGTTTTAAATATAATGGCCTTGAATTATACAGTTGAAATATTAAGTATCATATTATGATTTTCAACCTGTTTAGAATTCCATTTATATAATATAGCATATTTATGTAATAACCTGTTCTTGCCCATTGCTGTATAGTGTATTCTCTGTTCTATCATTATGGCAACTCTTAAAATATTTATTGTAATACGAAATATGTAGTATTAATATGTACTAATAACTATAGAAAACATAACTCTTTTTGTTGGTGTTGAGAATAAAAAAAATATTGGTTCTGTATTGTACGTAATTCAGTTTAGTTTTGTTCTAAGCTAATAAGTGTGAAATTAAATAAAGATTAAGTCTCATAACTTGCTTTTAATTCATTAAAGATTATTTATACTAGTATATGTCTAATCCGTTCAATAATAATAAATTCTATTGTCATTCCTGTAATACTATCAGTGTCCTTTAAAACGGAAACTATTTGAACACACAATAATCATATGTATCTTTGGAGTAGGGTATCATTCATTTTGGTACAGTGGAGATTCTGTGTGTACGTCGTATCGTAACCAAAATCATAGCTGTCAAACGCAGAACAGGTGTTGCGCCTCAGTAGCAGGTAAGAGTAAAGCAAGAAATAAATATACTCATTATATGTTAACGAATTTAAGGTGCCCTATTAATATTTTTATTGAATTCGCCAAATAGTTTAATTATGTTCACAAGAAAACCGATATTCCATTATCTGTAGACAGGCTGCTAAATTATGGTGACTCTATTATAATTAGTCATTATGAAGAACAAATATATTTCACCAGTTATCGCACGCTATGCGAATACTATAGTTCTATGTAAAAACGAAAATGTTGTATTCAAGTGTAGTTTTAGTCGCGGGGTTTCTTTGTTTTGTTGATGGTCAACTGTGCACGGAGAGGGTGAAGTAAGTCCGAATTTAATTATAATTACAATTACAATCTCAACATCAAATAAATCATGACAATATTTAAAAGCTTGGTACTTTTAAATATTGTCATGATTTATTCGTTAGAAATACTCAAAAACAAGTTTGAGTAGATATTTTTTTGACCAACTCCAAAATCAAGAATATACGAAATACATGTTTAAAAACATTCGTTATTTGTTGTGCTAATCGTGAAGCGAACCGTTGTGCGTTGTCTGTTTTATATGTTTTTTTCTAATACCAAGGAATTCTGTGTTTTAGTGTACGGATATTTTACCTTACACACTTCTTGCACTTAACCCAAACGAATCAGTGAGTAAGTCAAAACAAATAAGTAACTTTAATAAGGTTTGTTGGTTATAAAAAAATAGAAGCTCCTCGATGTTTTGATGCGAACAAAATCAAATTTTAAATCCTTGTCTGCTTCCGCATAGACTATCAACTGTATTTATTAAACTGTTTAATGACTTAAAAGTAACAAATAGATCTTTTAGTCCATGAATATTGTGATGGATAATATTGAAATACAAAATTACAATTATTAAACAATACTGGGAAAGCATCACTAAATCCTTAATAGGTACATGTACAACAGTATTTTACTATAAATAAAAGTATTATAAAAAAAGTTTGAGTTATTACAAATACAAAAACATGAAGAGAAATATCCCATCCCCCGATCACCTTCTTCTATACCCAAGATATAAAAAGTGGCTATCTTTAAATTTTATTTATTCTAATGCTATACTTGAATTATATTCGTTGAATATGGCATAGTTTTTTGCAAACCATGTTTATCTAGTTTTATAATTTGTACTACTGATTCTTAACTATATAATAATATTTTAGAGCTTAGTTTAGTTTGGCCTGCGTAGTTAAAACCAAATTTCCAGAAAAGAATATCTTTATAGCAAATTTTATAGAGAGAAGTGGTTTTATTTCGGAAAGACAAAGTAATGTGACATTCTTAAATAGGCATGTAGAATATGATAAGTGTTGATAGTATTTTAATACATACAATGAGTTAATGAAAAAAAAAACTATTAACGGAAAAAGAAAACGCTCGATTTTCATCGAAACATTTCAACGACAAATCGTCAGTGATAAGAATGCCAGTTACTGACATGAAGGACGTTCTATGATTAATTCTACTTAGTGGTTATAGTATAAATTAGAACTATATCGACTGAAGTGTCTTTATTTTACCCACTAACGAATTACCGCTAAATGGGAATATCGAAATTTCCTCCAGACCACACACCTCAATCCATAGATGGAGCTGTACCATTACTACATCAAAGTTTCGTTCGAAATAGGTCGACAAACCGTTCTAATTAGATGTTATAGGGATAAAAGAGGAATTTCCCAGATATTTCACATTTTATCAAATGAATCCATCCTCGTCTGTCATTAAAACATAAGCTACCTACCGCTATTGTACCACTTTTTCATTCGTTGATTTTACACTTCATATTACGTACATATACTACCCAAATTTATTATATTACGGAACCGATTTTTAATGATTAAGTTGTCAAGTTGAATGAAAAACTTGGGATTTTGAGCTGTGAAAAATGTTTTTTTTTTATACATTTTATCACGGTTTTGATAATCATTTCTCAACAGCTCAAAAACTCAAGTAGGTCTACACTTGTACACTTGTGCGCTGTTGTCGCTTGTCTGTCCTTCCCTTTTAAAAGGAAAAACAACCTTATTTTGATTTTGCTAATGTTAATTTTAGGATGACACGATGGGGTTATAAAACTTACATAAGGACATATATAGACACATACCGCGGATACTGTTGGTATGGCCGATGCGACCGTACTAGATTGGCCAGTTATGTTGACAGCAAATACGTGCCGGTTAGTTAACAATTGATATATTCCATTAAACACTTTAACGGTTTTAAACGCGAACACAGGTCTTCCGGTGACCACGTTTGCAAAACATCCGAAACATCGGACCATTGTTAAAGTATTTGTCAAATAAGTTTAACTAATATATTTCGCGTTGTAAACCGTTAAAATGTTTTATTTAAATGTGTAAACAGACGGTACTTAATTGCGATATTAGTTAAAATTAAAAATTATATTAGGTACGTTATTTTCAGGCCTTGAAACGACAATAGAAGTGGAAAAGACATGTCAACGACTTCTATTCAATAGTTATACTATAAAAGTACCTTATGATTACATTACCTTTTCTTCATACCTTTCTTGGCTGTTTTTGTTCAACGTAATCAAAATTTTAGACTTTTTCTGATAAAAAAAAAGTATAAAAGTGGTTCTTGTTTTAAAGGATAATCCTTTTATACATATTTTCGGGTATACTCAACTATTATAACGCATGCAATGGAAACCCTCATAGATGAATGTTCTTCTCTGTTTTTGCCACATTTCCTTCTGTTTCTTTGCTCCCTTCGCGCGTTCAGCTTTATAATATTAATATAGATCCATAGGTCAATATTTGAACGATATGTTTTTCATATATTTCGAAATGATTTCAGGAAGTTTATATTGGCGTGAAGCATGTTTGCTGCGATGGCTACATCCAACGGGACAATGATTCGAGTGACGAGTGAGTTATTTTAACTCATATTTAAAACTACTTCAAAATTCGAAGATGTAGCTAGTACTATATGTTTCAAGCACTAAACTGAGACCTCTAAACGTAGATATAAGTACGTACATTTTATCTGAATATATAACATTTATTGAAAGTTGACTATGTTGCTTTTCAGGCTTATATGCGATCCCATATGTATACCCCCCTGCAACAACGGCTTTTGTTCCAAGCCCGGCGAATGTCACTGCAACGCTGGATACACTTTTGACACAGGAAGCTCACACACATGTGTACCATCTTGTTCAGTCGATTGCGGTCATGGACACTGCACAGCCCCAGATACATGTGAATGTAATTTCGGCTATTCTTTCCAAAATGGCACCTGTCGCCCAGTTTGTAACGAACCATGTGTTAACGGGACGTGTTCCGCTCCAGATACCTGCGAATGTAGTCTAGGGTACAGAAAATCAGAGGAGAATAAATGCTTGCCCTACTGTTCCAAAGGATGTACGCATGGGACCTGTGTGGGTCCGGAAATCTGTAAATGCGATGATGGATATCAGAAACTTAATGATGAATGTATGCCGCACTGCGATAAAGACTGTGCTCATGGTAATTGCACAGCACCAAATCTTTGTAATTGTAATGAAGGTTACGAAATAAATAATGGCACGTGTGTACCGCATTGTGATAGCTGTGAGCATGGCACGTGTGTCGCTCCAGATACCTGCGAGTGTAGTTTGGGGTTCAGAAAATCAGAGGAGAACAAATGTTTACCCTACTGTTCCAATGGATGTGTCCATGGGACCTGTGTGGGTCCTGAAGTCTGCAATTGTGATGATGGATATGAAAAACATGATAATGACTGTATACCGCACTGTGATAAAGACTGTGGTCATGGTAATTGCACTGCACCAAATGTTTGCACTTGTAATGAAGGTTACAAAATAAATAATAGCACGTGTGTACCGCATTGTCAAAATTGTGAGCATGGCGCGTGTATTGCTCCTGAAACATGTCACTGCGATGAGGGTTGGTATAATGATAATGGAAGATGCTTACCGAATTGCACAATTCCTTGTGGACATGGCAAGTGTATAGGCCCCAATCAGTGTCAATGTGCTCCTGGGTATGAGATATCAATAAACGGTTCCTGTAGCGCCCATTGCGAAAATTGTACCGGCACCTGCTTTGTTCCTGGCATATGTATATGTGATGTTGGATGGATTAAAAATGAAGCAAACATATGCATTCCACATTGTGCAAAACCTTGTAGGAAAGGTACTTGCGTAGAACCAAATAAGTGTGAATGTCACCCAGGTTACAAAAAAGGAAATTCCTCATTTGAAAACGATGTCTGTGTTCCCGATTGTAGAACTTGCAATGGAACCTGTATAGAACCCAATAAATGTATTGATGATAAGGATGATGGATGCACGGGAGATGATTGTTCTAAAACAAATCTCGTGATCGAACATACAACAGATTCAATTAAAATTGCTACTGAAGAAGTTGAAGAAATAGAAAAATTTGAAACATCGAGTGTATCAGATCTCTGGAATTCCCTTAAGGACGAGCTAAATTATGATGAAGCAACGACTGAACACAATAGTTCAAATGAAGATAGTGACTCTACAAATATTGCGAAATCAACAATGAATTCCAGGTAAGAATAAAAATAAACATGACATTGTTATGGAGGGGAATAATATATAACAATAAAGTACAAAGCTAGACGAAGAACTATATCTTGTCCCCATCACCTCCGTCTCCAATTATGAAAAGAAATGTGATTTAACGTGGTACTTGATTTTTTTTTTTATGTCAGACGTAGAGAACGAGGTACATTCGATAGTGCGTAACCCAGCCATATAATTTCTAAACAAGATGCGCATCTAAAGAAGACTATATAATTAATTATTGTTCTAATTGTTTTTTTTTTCAGGCATTTATACCTGTGGGTATCAATTATTGTATTGATATTGGTTATACTTGGACCATTTTGTTCGGTTTTCTACTTCTTTCATAAACGTGGACTCAGGCGTTACATGAGCGGCGGAAGTTATGCTATAGATGGTAAATTATAATTCAGTTGCACTTTCAGCTAGATATAATGATTAATTATGTATGGTTTCTATATTAATAATAGATGGATAAACTTTTATTTTATTTACATGGATTTTTACGAAATATTATAATCTCGAATACCTTAGTTAGTAACTTAGCTTATTTTGTTTAATATAATATAAAAAAGAAAATTTTGTGAGTAGCACGTAGTGGAGAAATAATTCGTGTGTGTTTGCATTGCATTACATACATTAAAAATCATATAAGTATACCATAGTAAGGTCAATCTATTTGAATTACAAAATTGTGTTGTCTTTTTCTTTAAATTTTTATGAAACGAGAACCCACGTGCATAGTGTTTCACTGTTCCAATTCTTTCAATATTGTCGTCAGATTTTGGTAAAGACCAATTAATTTTGCGTGTAGGTAATGTACGTCATTATTAAATTAAAATTTTCATTCATTTCAGAAAACGAGAAGACCTTAAAAGAAACAATCCCATACACGAAAACCAGCAATCAAAATTTAAGCTTCAGCTACGCAGAAATAAAAAAGAAGAAGGAAATTAGCAATCTATAAAAAATATTGAATTGCGTACATAATCTCCTTTTAATCTGTAGAACAGTGTAATCTTCAGTTTAAAAAAATAATGATATCAAAAAGAGCCTTATCTCAATTCGTATGAGCTGATGAAAATCCGACGTATGGTATAAAGTATGTTATAAGCTATGGTAAAAAAATAGATAAAAAAATAGCATGTCTTAAAACCTAATAATTTTTATATCATATGTACTAAGTAAGGCTTTTGGCCAGCGTGGTAGATTAAGACTCTCTTATGAGTGTGTCCCAGTTGTGAGAACTGTAGATGAGCTTAAAATGTGGTTTTGTAGTTACCATTTTAACATTTAGATTCTTGACTTAAAACAATTCTTTACATTATCACGAATCGAAATTCTTTACCAGTTTTCGGCAGCCATATTGAAATGTGAACAAACTTGCTTTTATCATGTTTTCGATTACATTAACATAGTATATTTAAATATGAATTAAATATAAGGATACTTAGTAATTACATGTATAACCTGTTTGGGGTATTTTAGGACATAAGTAATTACTGCATCTAACAAAAATGCAGACTCGCCAGCTTTTTTAGGTACTGTTATAGATACATATTGTATGACTCCGCCATCTTTGTTAAAGAAGTTATAAATTCTTCACTATAGTCGTCGATTATGTAATAGAATGGGTGTTAGTAGTTAATTTGTTATTAGTAGTAAGTTTGTTTGCTTTAAACAAGTTATCTCAATTAACACTAGATGGAGCTTTACTAAATCTATGCTTATATCTCATATCATAGAGATTAAGAATTTAGAAATTTTACGTAATCAAAGTTTTTGATTCTAAGACCACCTGATCTCCATTCACCCGACATTCAGGGGTTCTGAAGTGGAGATTTCGGATCGAACCCTCATTTCGTGTGTTGGTAATTTCTGAAATGACATTTAAAGTAATTTCCGAGTTTCCCGCACCGATTGGAATATTGGCTGTATTGTAAATGGCTGTGTGCGGCAACAAACCTTGTTTGCATTTTATATCCTAAATGGATTTACCGTCTTCGTCTCCGCTGCTATAGAAGTAAATAAGATTATTGATGTAGGTAGCGTGAAAACTCATTTCTGAAACCACACGAGGATGCGTAGTAAAATACCTTTATCGAATTTCCATACTAACATTTTAAAGATAAAAATTATAATTAAATAATTATATCCTTAAATATACATAATTGGTTTCAGTTGAGTGAGTCATAGTGATAAGTTACACGTCCTTCGCAAGCTGTCACTTCACCATATTTATTATTACATTAGTTTCTATCTCTGAACGTTTTTACTTTTATTGTTAATAGTTGTGGCTAAATAAATGCATTTTTAATTTTACTTCGTTTATTAATATTTGTCTTGCGTATTTGAACCTTATCATTTGGTTCACAACAGTTCCCAAAAAAAACAGGTTAGGTAACCAATTGTATTAAAAAACTCTTAATGTTTTAAACGTAAAAAACATTAAAAGAAACGAAACGTCGGGCTGTACTAAAAATAAGTTACTGTAAGCTAATTAATATTTACTGTGTTTGTAGTAAAAGTGTTTTTAATGTGTACTATTTACGTAAGCTTTGCAAACAATTATGGAATAATATTAATATAATTAAAGAACATATTAAAATTATTTTAAAAATATAAAATAGCTTTTTCACACATTAAAAAACGACTTTTAAGGCAAAACAAAGTTCTTATGTATCAATCTGTTATCGCTTTATGAGAATTGCACCCTTGGCTACACAGATAATGATTAAAGCTTTATCTCATTTTTCCAACTAACTTATTTAGCAATGTGCACGTGGAGGTTACGTGGCCCGCAAACAGAGGTTCATGTAATTAATGGCTTGAAGAATATAAAGAGCTATGATTGGTATTATCCTATTAAGCCGGTGGCTGGAATGTCCCTCAGCCTTTATTAGATTCTTAACCTCCATAAAAGTATTGCCGTCTTATAAGAAGTCCAAAAAGGCATATTTTTTTGCAAATTTTGGTTAATTACACGTGGATAAAGTGAGCGATGCTAAGATATAAAAATGGCGTTATTAACTAGTTATAGAATAGGAGTGTTTGGTCAGAATGGAATGTTTTAATGAGGTTATTATTTTTAGCTTTTTTTACCGGTAAATGAGGTCGAAAGGAGATAAGAGAAAAAACTCTTTTTGAGACGCCATTTTGTAATGTGGCCGTGATTGGCAAAGGCTTGCACGACATTCCAAATTTGAAATCTATAAAATCACCAATTTCCGATACTGTCGGAAAGCTTTTCAAGTAACCTAATTTTTTGCACTAAATTACTGACCTGAAATTCAATACTTTTGAAGTCAATAATCTATGTAAAAAGATGATAAAGAAAGCATTATATATATTGCACTGACTTAGTCCAACTTTTATAATATCGGCGTTATTGCATCGATTTTTTTTATAAGACAGCATTTTAGCATGCGTCCACATTATAGAAAGTGAAATATGGAGTATATAATATCTAAAAAAGGTGCGTTGTCGATCTATTTTGAATTGATACGGCTTTTTCACAAATGAAAAGAAAAGATGGTTCGTTCCTCGGTCGCAATTTCAATATTTCTATTACCCATTTCCTTTTTTATTGAATATAGATGAGAACAGACAAGCATGGATTCACTTGATGGGAAGTGAAAGACCCCAGTCATATAACATCAAGGCAAGATGCACTGTCGGCCTATTTTTGGCTTTGGATATTCGAAAATAACTTTTTCAGACTATTGACAGGTTCTCTATACACTAATATATGCTATGTAACGTGTAAAAAATATAAATTGATTTAAGATCATGCTGGACCCGGTGGGAATAAAACTCACAACCGTTATTTATTAGCCACACATTGCATCTATTGGACCAACAAATATATACAAACAGAGCCAATGAATAAATATTATTTTAAAATATTTATCATGCGCTTGACATAGCTATCGAAATTCAATCAGAAAATCGTTTGAAAGCAAAGCTTCTATTACCGGTGTTCAGCGCGATTCAGCCCCCAAGCATTTATCGGCTAATTTTCGTATCGAGGGGTGCAAACCTTATTATGGATTAAATATTGGTTTTATACCTACTGCTGTTAATTCAGCTTTTCTTCGACGCTATATTTCGTCGCTCTTTTAGGTCCAGTGGTGAATAACAAGGTAGTGGCCTGTGGGTTCGATAATTCTCTCTCTTACGCGAGTAGGACACATTTAAATAATTATCAAACTTAAACCTAGACGTCATATAATACAAGCTTACAAAACGCTATAAAAATGTATTTATGAAATACTGTCTGTAGTTTGCTTGAGTAGTACACATTTAAATAAAACACTTTAACGGTTTAAAACGCGATATATATTAGTTAAACTCGTTTGAAAATTATCTGAATTACGGCCCGACGTTTCGGATGCTTCGTAGAAGCCGTGATGACGGGGAGACCTTAAAATTATTTTCAAATAAGTTTAACACATATATATTGCGTATATAAATCGTTAAAAACAAAGTGTTGTTATTCGAAATGTATTAATTAATTAACGAAAAATTAAAAGAAAACCATGATATTATTTATTTATTTATTTAGCGCTAATCCCTCTGGGCAATATAATTATGTCTATTTATATTGCCCAGAGGGTATTAGCCTGTGCCATACAACTTGTCTGGCGCAAGTAGACAAAGTTGTATCGCACACGGGCTACACACAGGCACAATAAATAAATCACTTTTAACGGTTTAAAGCACGACATATTAACTTATCTACTATGCCGCAAACGTGGTCCCTCATGACTACATGAAACATCGTATGGTCATAATAATTAATAAAAATAAGTTTGATAATATATGTAACGTTTTAAAACGTTAAAAGTGTTGTAATTAAGGTTTAGGTTAAGACATTTATTTGTCAGAAAAGATACAAGAGTTTATGTTATTTTATTTATTTTATGAATAAGTGATAATTGAGAACACTATACAAATCAACATTATTTTTACAATTCAATTAATTAACTCTCGAAAGCTATAGAGAATACTTCACATATGTATTTTACACTTCGATAAAAAACACTATATGTTGCGGTTCAAAGACTTAATTAATTTCTTTCTTAAATAAAAAAAAAGTAATCTAGACTGAAAATACACGGGCGGGACTTGAAACGCATGAACAGTCGTTCGTGCAATTGCTCGTTGAGTTACCGTGTCGTGTTTTCTTTCGTTTTTTAACCTAATTTTATCAGTATAAAGACAAATTTCTATATTTTTTTTTGGTGGGTTACAATTGCCTAAAAGTCCAGCTGTTAGCGCAATAATTCTTACGGTTCTGCATAATAACATTTAACAGTTTAAATAAAACCTTTAGCAGTCTCCCCGTGAGCCTGGTGCAAACATCCAAACGTCGGGCCGAAGTTAAAAATATTTTCAAATAAGTTTAACTAATTTCGCGTTTTAAACCGTTAAAGTGTTTTATTTAAATGTGTACTACTCGAACGCTAGGATTAACAGTTCCAAACTATAATTTGACGTAACATTTATGAATAAAACCTATGTGTTTCCTGTGCAAACCTACCTACACAATTTTACCAAAAGTCCTTTGTGCATAAAAGAGTATAACAACAACATCGTAGGTAGTTTACGTTTTTCATCATTGCAGTAGGGTTTACTGTTATCCCCTACTTCATTGATATAATAAAGTAGTTATAATCGGCATTAAATGAAATAACGATTATTCACAATGAGTAAAAAATCAATGCAAAAAACTTATGATTCTATTTTCCTTTTACTAATGTTTCTGTATAAATAAAAAACGTCAAAAGAATGTTATTTGCCTTTGAATGTAGAAAATTAGGTAGATGACAAAGTTAAAACGTCAAAATTCGGTTCCAAAGCGAAATAAAGTTTTTAAAAACAGCTAAAAGTACGGCTTACAACTTCATAAAACCTACTGCAAAGGAAAACAATAATAGTAAAGTAGTTAACAAACATTTACTGACC